AATGGCCAAGCCGAAAATGTTGTAAATGAAGGATGCAAAATTGTCTAATTGGATATAAGTCTTCAGAAGCATGCCCTTATGTGGTGTCACAAAATTTGCAAGAAAAGTAACAATTCTTACTTGCATGAAACCAAATCCAATATCCCCTCTCCTCACAGAATCTGAACCTTTTATGCCAAAAATGAATTTGTTTGAATTGCATTCTATTTGTACATACCTATTTAAACAAAATGTTCAGTATGAAAATAATTGAAAATATAAAATAATTAGAATTATAAAGAAATCTTTGCTTTTGAATTATTTTAGAACTCCCATATACTAACAACATAATTCAATTTTTCTGCTACCTGCTCTTCTTATAAAGTGAACCTTTTTTCTAGCTTCTATTTTGACATCAAACAAAACATGACAGCTTTAGGCTACAATCTTCTAAACTATATTGGAATCAATATATAATTATATCTGGTCAGCAACATCAAATGGCAATAGGTACAACATTTAGATGGCATTTTCATAAAAGATCTAGAGCTATATGGAGATGTGAAACAATGTTCTGGTGGATCACATTGCCATGGGAGATCGCATTGCCATGGGAGAAACAAAACATTGCTTTGGCCTTGTTTACCCCAAAATACACACAGTCCTGTCAATAAAATATTGATTCCTTTTTCATGCGGAGATGAGCCAATGCTTTCAAAAAACTTTCAGCAAACTTTATCAATTTTTGATAGTAAAATATTTGACAAAGAAGATCTAGAGCTTCTCTTGATGTTTGAAAAATGCGCTTTCAGCATGTACTTCAATACAGTAAATTCTGCATCATTGGAAAATGGTTTTTCGGCTTTAAAGATAGTGAAAATAACTATTTGTTTCTCTAAGAATCAAGAAAGATTTGAATGTTGCATTATAACGACAGTGCAAAGGAAGGTTCTTCTTTCAATAAACAAAGTTCATTTAATAAAATAGTTTGCAAACATACTATATCTTTTACACTACGAGTAAACTTATTTGCTGTTTTCCTTACTATATTATACATTATCAGAGGACAAATGTAATCATTTGAATATTGCACTTCTCAATCTACATCAAGTTTTCGTTAATTGAATTATGAAGCTGCATGATATCATTAAGGCAAAATTGCAAGGTATGGTATGTGAATGTGTTAATAAGATCTATCCCTAATGTTTTAATTCTTTCTTTGTTTTAGCTGGATCTCATAATCATAAATCTCTACAGTCCTAAGGTTAAAGAAAATGTACTTCGTCAATAACTTTATGCTGAAAATAATCTTTACCATGTTCATTAGTTATCTTGGAAGAGGGGGGGGGGGGAGTCTCCGCGATTAGCCTACCTACTGAGTTAGCTACGCCAGAAACCCTCCTTGAGAAATCCTACTACATACGATTCCTTTCTTCTGTTTTGATAATTATGTCAATATAATGCCTGAATTTTTTTTTATTTTATATTTAACGTCTTATTTTACTTCTATCAGACTATATGCAGAGGAATTTAAAACAATTAACAGAGAAACTGAAAATGATATGCTGTAGACTTAGCTAAAGGTCTTTCTGAAAAACTCACTTCACAATATCCATATCAAAATCCTGTTTATTTACAATCAAACAATTAGTGAGTGACAGCTGTTCACTTGGTGACTTTGCAACAGTATATTGAACCATTGTGAATTTGTTTGCAATGCTTGGATCAGACTCGGTCCTTTCCGGCCTGTTTCTAAATTTTTATCTCTCCAAATGAATACCACTACGAAATCGAATGAACTGCTTTAAGCAAATGCTAGCCAAAGGACTGATAGACTTTTTAACTCTATGCTTTCCTTCATATTCGCAAAGTACAATAACCCATCGCAGATATTTTCACAAGCAGTGTAGTCGTCATCTGATTTTGATTTTGACTCGTTTTGGCTTGCTTGGAAGCGAGGCGAGGGACTGTGACAAGATGGCCGAACTTGTTTTTGTGCATTAAACTCTAGAATTGGATAATTCGCGATGCTGTACCACAGAAAAGTAGGATGGTTTGTTTATAAATACCTGCCATGTTACGGAAGGCTACAAGCACTCCAAGCCGTACCAACATCTAAACTTTCTTGTGCCCTTTTTTCTACAACAAAATGTAGTAGGGTCTTCTCCAATTCACAACTTTTTACATCGCGCGGAGAAAAGCGGTATCTGTTGGAAAGAAGGGTGATAAATCATCTACCTGAAAGTATTCAATTTCGTCAATCATCTCATGCTCCATATTACACGTTCCCATTAATAGTTGGAATGCAAGATTTGCTAGTTAACGTACAAGAAATAAGTGGACTTCCTTGGTGGGCAACCATTATTTCAGCAACTGTTATGTTTCGCTTGATGATAACGCTGCCACTAGCAAGGAAACAAGCAGAAACTTTAGCTAAAGTTGAACTTTTACAACCTACAATTAATGAGGTTGTTGAAGCATTGAAACACAACATTGCCATCAAGGGTAAACGTGATGGGAGGCCCCTGGAGGATGTAAATAGGGAATTCCGGATGGAAGCAAGATTACACACGAGGGACATGTACAAGCGAGAAAAATGCAACCCTTTAAAGTTGTACTTTTTGCCTTGGGTGCAACTTCCATTATGGATCATAATATCTCTTGCTTTGCGAAATTTGTCAGGGTTTTTCCCTAGAGACCCTAACCTTGGAGAGGCAACTTTGGCCCACGCTGGACTCCTAACTGGAGGCTTTGGTTGGATAACAGACTTGTCTGTTTCTGATCCATACTTAGTGCTACCTGCTATTATTGGAGTGACAAACTTACTTAATATTGAACTGAATACTCTGAAAAAGACTATGCCATCAAGACGTCAAATAATTGTTACAAGGGTGTTCCGATCTTTAACAATTGCCATGGTATTCTTCTCAGCACAGGTTCCAGCAGCAATGTCTCTATATTGGGCAACATCTAGCAGCTATGGTCTTATCCAGAACTTAACCTTAATGCAACCATCTGTTCGGCGAAAAATGAGAATACCACAAGCACCTTCAGAAAGTGCAACTCCATTACGAGACAAAGTCAATATAGTCAAAACCAAGCTTGATCTTTTTATGAAAATCCAGAGAAGGTGAAGAAAAAACTAGAGAAAACAATAATATTGTTCATACAATGACTTTTATTGAAAACAAATTTCCAATCAGATGCTTAGGATATTGAAAAATTTACTTTGCACTGTTCTTTTAAAGACATAAACGACAAATTATTAAGTGCAAGAAACCTTTCCTTCATCTCTGCAATTTCATTAATTATACATTCCAATAAATGCTCATGACAAGCATTACCTCCTTCCCAAGTTATGTATTTTAACTAGTCCCTTGCAATTTTTAAATACAAATGAAAATTTTTGGTACCAATAAATCATAAAGTAGAAGTAGAATAAATATATTGTTTCTGAATGCCAATTTTACTACGACTACAGAGAATCTAACAACAATGAAATCAAATATTTGGACAAAAATAAAATAAACCTAGTTCAGGGTATTTTGTCCCACTGGCATGAATAAATATATATAGCAGAAAACAAATGCCTTCAATTGTGTTGAAGTATTGACTTTATCCATTAAAGAAATACTCTGGCAAATTAAAATGACAAAGCATATAAATATTTGATTTTCAAGAACTTGCAAGCCTTGAAACATCGTTATATTAATTATGTGCTGAGCCATTCTCTAGAACCAGGCCTTTTTGTAAGAAATAGCCCACACGAAGGCCCCAGTGATTTTCTTGCACAAGCAATTGCTTCAGGGAAAGATAGCCATTTTTAGTAATGAAAATCAATGCTAAAAGCCCCAGACATGTTTATGAAAACCATATAATCCTGCTATAAGGCACAAGGTAATATCAAATGAAAACCAATTGCCAAAGAATGATCTTAACTGCACTCCAAAAAATTAAATACCAATTATGATTGCACTTCATTTAAAGTTTTATGTACATCACATGAGTATTTCTAAACATTCCTGGTGGATTTGAAATTCAAATCAGGCTAAACTGCATTTTCTCAATGCAATGTCATGTTTCCTGTGTTTTGATATCCCAGCTTTGTATTGTCTAGTATGTCTATAACTTGGGTCACAAAAGATGACTGGAAATGATGTGTTAATTGATGAAACACTTATCCCTCACAATTTACTGTTTTGTGCAAGTGGTCAAAGCTGTCGTGATAAAAAGTAAAGGCTTGTGTCATACGAAAAGGCCTGCCAATACTCAAAATTGAATCATACATTGTCTTAGGATGTACTTGAGCATTGCCTTATTTTGATGTTCTCGTGATTTTCTTTGATACCCTCACGACATTCTTAACAACTGGTTGGCAAAACTACAAGGATATCCCATAGATGACCATTGTTGCCATGCTACACAGTTCAATGTGAGGTTTTATCTGGCACATGTCTTTCTCTAATTGGCTAATGTCTAAAAATTGCCAGCTCTGATTGGCTTACAAAACAAACTTTATGTTCCTTATTGTATAAGCTTTACAAAGATATGTTTTGGTTCAATAGTTCAAAACCTCAACAGTTTACAAAATTTAAATTACGAATGAAGTTTAATGATGGATACCAAAATATAAAACGCAGATGCTGTTGAGAAATCTGACAGTCTTAAAGGAAGTAAAATTTAAATCTGACAGCAAAACTAGATAAAACATATTCGTTTTAGCGCTTGTGTTGGGCAGTATGTTTTTCATTTCTCTTGCTGATGTGTTAAGAAAACCCAAGATTAGCATAGAAGTGGTGAGCTTATTTGAGTTGGCCTAGCTGACAAGCCAAACTTTTGTGAAACTCTATTGTTGCAAATATAGCCAAACTTTCAATCCATTTTAAAATTCAATGTTAGACAAACAACTTTATAATACTCTGTTGTTTGATTGGATGTTCATGAATAGGAGAAAATTTAGATTTAATTTGTGATGTTTCATTTGTACTGCTTGTCATGACACATTGCAGGGGTAAAGAGGTAAAACAAGGATCCTTTTAGTAGGGACACAATCAACAATGCTGTGTACAGTAGCCTTTGAGATAAGATGTGTATTTTTCTGGATAAGAGTTAAAATGAAACCACTTATCCAACAAAAGTTTACCTTTGCCAAAGTTATTTAAAGCAACTTAATTATTTTAGTTGCATTGAGAATTTTGGCTCCTACTGGCTTTGGAAAATCTGCTGAAATCTTGGAGGTTATTTTGTATCTCCCAGTCTTCTCACAGTAATAAACATTTTTCCTAGAACAAAAATGCAAAGTTCAAGATACTGTAAATAATTTAATAGAGTCAATTAGACTTGAAATGTTTTTCTTTCACCACCTGTGGTATTTAACCCCTTTTGCCCAAAATAAATCCAAAATATTTTCAAGAAAATAACAGCATCAAAAACAATGTATCAGAATTCCATTAAACCATTGGCAACAACAAACTTAGAGTCAAATCAAAAACTTTATTGGCGTTTCCTAATGTTGATTCAAATCAACAGCTAATTGTATCATCCTCACTCAACAACTGCCAAAATAAGGCCAGCACAAACAAGAACAATAATAGCTACTCACTCCTCTGCTTTCTTCTTCATTCCCATGTAATTCTCTAGGTCTTTGATTTTGATGAGGAAGTTGGGGTTGTTGTTGGCGAAGTAGTAATTGCTGATTCTGTTGATGGTGCTGCTGTAACTGGTGTTGTCTTGCCATCTGGTTTTCCTCTTCTTGCAAGCGTCTAGCTAGTGCAAGGCTGGAATCAAGAGTTTTTCTTTATACCTCCATTTCTATTATCAATCACTAGAATGCAAACTATCAGTTCTATGGGCAAAAATAACATTACTATGCACAAAATAAAATGTGTACCAAGATCTGCACACCATATGCACAAGTTTCCTTAGATTCAAACTTCAAAGCTTATTGTCTCTTTTTTAAAATGCCAGTCTTTTGCACTTTTGTTCCCTTAACCAAACCTTAGTTTGTCTTCATCTGCTTTCAAACTTCACTGAAAACTTATACTTTTCAATTCTGTCAAGCATTACAAAACATCATATGCCTACAGCTTCTCAGTATTCTAAATACTATCTGCGGATGCAAGGTAGATACATGAATACAAATTTATAGTAATGTACATCATAATTTTATTGCTTATCTTTGCCAATTTTATGCATGAAAGCAAGATTTTCAGCATGAAAACACCATGTAACATTGGTTAGCCACAGCAGTAGATTCCCTGTTGGACTAATTATAATTTTATAAGGCTGAAGCTTTTTTTGCTTACTAACTTGAATAAATTTATGCTTGATTGAGACTGACAAATAATTAGAGATTTATATGATAAGACATAACATTTGATGGTTGAAATCTCATTGTTCTTATCTGCCATTAACTGTGTGATTGCCTTAAAAAGGCATCTCTAGGCACTTGTTGCAAAAACCGTTCTTTCTTATTCCATATTCTACATAGAATAACACGAAATCCTTTAAGAACATTGTTTTCACAAAGAGATTTTCTTCCATTTTCAGCAAATCCAAGATTCCTAAGAATTTCAAAATTATAGAAAATACATCCAATATTTCATAGCCTAAAGCATAAACAACTCACTCTTTTGCCTCCTGTTGCTCTGGACTGATAGGGACTGGTTCGGGTGCTGGTGCTGTTTGATTTTCTTCTTGTAATGAAAGAGCAATCAAATAGCTGAAATTTGAATTAAAATGGTTACCTTCAATAAATGCAGTGGAAAATTACTACTTACTGAATACAAAAAATAGCACTGATATATTACTTGTATCTGTGGTGTTAATTCAACAAAAAATCTTTATTTAAGATAGACAAGGAAATTCTTTCAAAGAAAGTTTAAGTCATTAACATAACTTAGGCAGCTTAAAAAGTTTTTAGAGCAAAAAAATATATTTTATCTTGTCCAAGCTACATGTAGTTAAACGTTTAATTTTATCCACTTGTCTTCATAAGAGATAAGCTAACTTGCTTGTTTGCGATGAAACCAACAACAGTCTTCAAAACAGTACTGTACAACCCTGCTTATAGTCACATTTCATTTCAAATGTGCATGTGGTTATATCTGCATATATACTATCTATTTATTAGAAGTTACAAACAAGACAGTATGGAGGCATGAAGTATGTGCATTTATCAAGTTACCAATTATTATGAAGTTACAAACAAATAAGACTTGCAAACAAAAGTGTTCTGCTACTATCAAGCAGGTGTGTGAGGTCATACATCAAACTCAGTTAAAGAAATATCTGTAATAGCCATATATGATAAATGTTCCATAAATGAACAAGCTTTTGTGTCAAACAGTTTATTGTGCCCTTGATAACTACTAAACATTATTATTTTAAAATCACTTATTTTCCTTATACAATTGCAAGTTAGTTATAAGTGATGTTGTCAAATATAATAAATGCACTAAAATTATAACTTACTCTCTGTCCTCTTGTGTTAGATCAGTTGGTGTTTGTTTGTTTCTTTCTGCCATTGCAGGCTGATATGTCATTGGACCAACAGTGACAAAATTCTCATCAACAAACTGACCATCCCCATCAACATTAGCAAGCGTTTCCCAGATAATTTTTGACTCGGTAAGATATCCTTGATCAGTCACTAATAGAAACAGCTCATCCTTTGATATAGAAAGGTTTTATGTTATCATATATATGGAAATTGGTTGACTTTTATAAACTCAAAGGAACAAGATGAATAGAAAATTACTAATAATCAAGTTAAAGCAAAAATGACAAATGGCAGATTTGGTAGTTTCTTATAGTAAAAATTTGTTACTAGAATGGTGTCTAAACTGGTGGTTCTTGCAAAGCCTATATGTCAAACTGGTTGGAAAAATCGACCAAGCTTGAAGATAAGAGTAACTACAGTTTTTCTAAACATTTCATCTTTGCACAACATTTTCGCCTGAATGACAGAATTAAACTGGCATGGTTAAATGAAGATGTGGCAGTTTGCTGCCTTCTTCCATTTTTTTTTTCTTGTTTATACATGTGATTGTTGCTATCAGTTACAATAATATTTGATCATTCTGAGGCACTGAAGCACCAATGATGTGGCAAAACATTAATCTGATAGGTAAGATTGAGACTGATAGGAAAGATAGGTAAGCATTTTTAAAAATGATTTCTTTAGTATTTGAACTAACTCAATTTACTTTGCCTTAAAAAAGTGCACTCAACAAAAGTATCTCTTGGTAGAATAAGCAGAATAAAGCATTTTTTGTTTCAATCGCAATCAAACTTTACAGTGATATCAACATATAGCCAGCCCCTACCCCTACCAACTAATTTGCATTTTTGGACAATCTTGAAGACCATTTTTTTGCCAACTTGGGTGGGTTTGGACCCCCTACCCTTACTGCATATGCCACTGATTATTAGGCAAGACAGATTTTCATCAATAATGACACAAGACCTAACGTCAGCCTAAATCAACATTAATGGGCAAAAATATCTAAAAACAAAGCCTCTAGAACAACTATCAAACTATAACAATAAAAAAGAATCTCTTTTTACAACAGCATCAAACTGCCTAAGACATTTCCTAACCTCTTTTCTAGTTATTCACTACAATGATTCAGTTTAGAGCAAGGGCTTGTTTACTGGTGTCAAACAAGCAAAAAGCAAAAAAAACAGAATGAATAGCTGATAAATTTAGGTATGATTACTTCAAGGAAACCCTTAAAACTTTTAGAAACATTGGTGAGAAAAATTATACCGAAAAACTTTATTAATTTGGTCTCTGAGCTTTTGATATGGTTTGATAAATCTTGTCCATGAACAAAGTAATGTATTGTACAGAAACCATAGTCAGGTTTGTTATTGGTATAAATAATCACCATATTGAAATTTAAGGAATTCTCATGGATGCCGGAGAACAGGGCTTAGGGGATCAACTGCCCCTTTTGCCTTTTGATAAGAGGCGTAAGATGCCGGAGAACAGGGCTTAGGGGATCAACTGCCCCTTTTGCCTTTTGATAAGAGGGGTAAGATGCCAGAGTGCTCTATTTGTTCAAGTGCCCTTGAAACTGACCATTTGCGATAACCAGAAGCTAGTCAATGTTCCTACAGAAGATCAAAATAAAATGGCAGTTGCAAAGTAATTAGTTGCAGATGAGAATTATTTTTCAAATGCCCTTTTACTCAAGCCTGCCCCCTTGCAGCTTGGTCGTTCTGGCATCCCTGGGAATTCTTGATAATAAAAGTACCTTAAACTTGTATAATGTATTGAAATGGTTGTTTCTGAAAAATACACAGAGCTCCCCTTCTTTTGTTGCACTATTTAACTCACACAATCCATGGTAAGTCAACTGGCTTGCAGTTTGGTCAAGGAAATTCTCAACAGCAAGTCCTAATAGAAACAGAAACATAATTTAGCAGAAATTTAGGTTTGGGTCAAAATGATAAAAGTTGATGAACAATTACAACAAAGCCTAATGACCTAAAAAACAGCAATCTGGAGATAAATCTACCGGATTTTTCTAAAATGTTTCCAAACCAGGTGCAGAGACATCTAAAATATGCACATTTTTTATATTAAAGGCATTGAGTCGTGGTAAATAGGACATCTCTATAGGGGGCCATTTGTTTTCAGCATGATTGCGGCAATTTCATATGGGCATCCGTTATTGACAACTTTCTATTGATGGAAACTGTTTTGCTAATCAGTAGGAGGTGAGCTAATGTGACCAGTTCCAGGTCAACCAATAGCATTACAGCACAAAAATCATAACTCAGGGGATATTGGAACTTTGGGTATACCCACTCCATTCTATCATATGACTCAATGCCTTTAAGGAGCTCCATTTCACTGCAGAAGTTTCATTTTCATTTTTTGGAATCTTGATAAAAGAAAGCCATAGTGGAAGATTTGGCAACTGATAGCTACACAAAAGTTACATGTTCTGAATGAAACTAGCCAAAACCTGCCATTCTTTAGTCAATATAAAAATTACATCTGATTATTACATGCCGAACAGGCAGAGCTGTATTATATCCTTTTGGTGTAAAGAACAAAACAGTTCTAAGTTGCTACTTCACGGTTCACTCTTAATGCAGCCATCATGCAAGACAGTCTGATTATTGATAGACAGTAAAATTTGCTTGAATTTGACTGGCGGCATAAATGAGGTGTTTTACAACTCTGACTGAATTAAATTTATGGATTCATTCATCAGTCAAACCTTCTTAATTCTCCTGTGAAAAAAGCATCACATAAGTCCCACTCTGCAACAAAACCAAGATGTTCTTACACATTTTTATCTTAATACCCGTCTTGAGAAATAAGCCCATGAATTTTTTACAAACCATTGTTTGTCTGATCATATATCTACTTGTGTGTACTTCAGCTGTTTAATTAAGCCTTGTAACTTATTTCGCTTGATATGGGTTTAATGTCAAATTTTGGTTTTGCTCTCCAATGCTGCAAGTCAAACTTTGATAATGTTTTATCTGGTCTGTAGTGATCTAAGCTGTTAGCTGTAGTAAGAAATTGCAATGAATACCTTCAGTCAATGTATTTTCATCAGAATTCTCCTCCTTGCTTCGGATGATTTTTTCTACAAGTTGATTATAGCTGAGACTTCCAACAGCATGCACAATTTGGGAATCTTGAGGATCAACTAACCAGCCATGATACAAGCCAATGTTCAAGATATCAAACACTAGGCATTCAGGAGTGAGTTCAAAATCACGAGGGCTAAAAGAAATACATATAAGCTTGAGCACTGTTTCCCCTTGGTTATTAAACAATTATTACCTTTTAAGAAGAATACAAATAAAAATACAAATGAAAATTTCAATGAAAACTGTTCAATCTGCAAGAAGAGAAAAACAATGAAAAGTTTAGATACCCAGTAAACTTGACATTCACATCAATTCCAGTCTGTAACTTGTACATGATAGAAATTGCATCATGCATGTTTTGTTGGTAATTTAGAAGAACTGATTCATCAACATTCTGCAAAGTAACAGAGGGACTTGCTGTAAAAGCAAATTCTATCAACATACTTTTTTTCAGATAACAGATTTTGTCGCATTATTGAGGATTTTTTTAACTTTTTTACACAGTGCCATGATAAGGTTTTTTGTTAGCCAGTAGGATATAGAAGAATTTTAGCTTGCTTGTGATGCTTATCATGTGTCTGAAGCATATTCTATTTATTGCATTGCACAAGAGTGAATAATATAGCACCTTCTGAGTACTTCTTGAAAAACCAATCTATAGTCTCTACACCTACCAATCCTGTCTGGTTTTCATGATAGCAGCAAAATCTCTTTAAATACTAGATTTACATGTGCCCAGCACTCAAAACTCAGGTCATTTTTGAGAACTGCAGCCCTAATAACAAACCTAACAGATATCTTCTTCCTAAACTGCACTGCCAAGGGAGTTTTTTAGTACTGTCCATACTAAAGTCTTTAAGTTTGTACAAAAAAGGAGTGTTGTGTATCTTCTATATTAGAATCTTAATTTAAGTAGCCTGCTCACTCAGCTTTTATTTTTTCCAGGATTAAACTTAAAGTAGAAGAGGTTTAATTTTTTAGACTGAATTATATGCAAAAGGTTGGATCTGAATTGAATCTAACAGGTACTCTCATCAGGGAACTAGTCCAAACAGCATATGAGAGCCTTTTTGGAAAAATATTTCAATCCCCATGGATATCAACCAAAATTAAGGTCAAAAGATCTTCACTTATGATAAATTCCAGGAACTCCCATACTAAAAATTTAAGAAAAATGAACTGATACAAAAAACATGAAAGAAATAGAATCTGAATTAATAATCAATACCTTTGGCTCAACTGTCAATATGTAATCCCCTATGTATTCCATCAGTTGTGTTGCTGTGATGCATTCTTGCATTATGGGAAGTATAATTCTTTTTGATAACACAAGGACATTGGCTATGGCCAAAAGTGGACATGGTCCATTCTCATTCTGAGTCACAATTTGTATCAGCTCCCCTTTCCATCTGAATTTTTTCAAATGGTACAAAGACTGTAACTGATCAAATCTTTGGGTATTATTTTGTCTAGTTCCATTATCTCCTTGGTCAGAACACTTACTCTTTTTTGATTCCATACCTGCCTCCATTTCGTCAGGTTGCAATGACTTTGAACAATGCTGTAGTCCTGCATCCTCTCTAATTTCTGAACTTTCAACCTCTGGGACTGGATCTCCTATTTTCTTTTTTACTGGTAGGTCTGCATTATCATTCAAACTCTCAGGTTCTTTTTCAGCCTCAAACTTTGTCAAGTCATGTTGCTGATTATTGCCACCCTTGTCAACAAATAGAAATGTTTTTAGAATGAGCTTCAAATATTGTCAAGTTATTACAAAACATTCAAATGTTACAAATTGCAGCATTCGGTTAATCTGTAAATTGCAATTGATAATGTTCACTTAGCAACCAAAAGTATGACAAACGTTGGACAAACGTTTGACAAACGAGTAATGGCGACATTGCTGTGAACAACTTGATAATCTAAAATTAAACAACTTATGTGAAGCCACTAGGCATCATTTAATAGTTACAACCTTATCAAACAAAACTTCCGACTCCTGATGCGATTTTTGTTTATTATTTGAAAAAAACTATTTTTCAAATTTCAGAAGTGCAAACTATTCGATGGTCAGTCTTTATGGTTTGAGAAAGTTGTTAGACTTGCCAAAAGCTACTTAATCAAAAACTTTATATAATAAGTTCTGCTAAATGCAATGATAGATTTACAAAAACACTGGAACTATCACATTTAAAGGCATTGAGTCATGGTAAATAGGCCTTCTCTATAGGGGGTCATTTAATTTTGGCGTGATCGCTGCTGGTTCATGTGATATTGGCATCCGTTGTTCACAACTTGCTATTGATGGAAACTGTTTTGTTAATCAGTACGAGGTGAGTTCATGTGACCAGTTTAAAGTTAACCAATAGCATCGCAGTCATGAAAATCGTGACTCAGCGGATTTTGGCACTTTGGGTATACCCAATCCTTTTTATCATGACTCAATGCCTTTAAGTGTTAAAGCATCAAAATTATTATTGTTGGCCTCATGTTTTGTGGTAAGTGACATATTTCAAACTGTTCTATGGCAACTTTTTAGTTGCGATTGAGACATTATAGTTCAGATGACAGATTAAATGTTGTTTTAAGCAATTCACATCATTATATGTTCCCTAAACAGCATTAAAATTGACTGGAAGACAGATTTGAATTTTCGTGACACGTGGTTAATTGCCTATTTTTTCCAACCAAAAAACCATTTTGAAAATATTCCACAACTTGAATTGAATTGAATTTTGGTATTTTGCAGCAATGGCATCATTTCTGTTTCAGGCTATACTTTTGCTATCCTAGTCCTTACATCAATCACTTTACCAGCAACTATTTTAAGACAGAAAAATTGAGAACTAAATGATAGATTTCTCTTGCAGCACAGCATCAGTTCTTCTTACCAAACGCGATTCTTGGTCTTGTGCTTGTTTTTCATTCACAATTTGCTCATTGGCATCTCCAAGATCTGTATGGTTGCCAACCAGCATGTCATCTTGTTGAACAGTATTGGCTTCTTTGCTAGGGCCATCAGATTGTGATATTTTTGTGTCTAGATCCTTTGAAATGCAACTTGTTGATATACTGTTTTGTTCTTGATGTGAGGAAGTAACAGGTGCCTGTCCTTCAAATTTATCATTGCTTGTGAATGTATCGTTTCCTTGACTTACTTCTGTCTCTAGGTTTTGTGAAGAACCTTCAAATTCTTCTTCCAGCTACAAGAAAGGATACAAAGCATAAAATAAAGAAATAGATGTTTTAAATTAAATACTTCATCAATAAGCAATGGCTAATCTCAACTACATTAACAATTTGCAAAATTGTCCAAGTGATACCCCAGAAGGGGATAATCTTCGAAGACATCAAAACTGGTTCAAAGCAATGAATCAACTTTTATAAACAAATGCTACAAAACTGCATGAAAAATGTCGATGCATGGTGTTTTCTTTTAAATAAAAATACTATCAACATAGCCTGAAAACAAAGCAATATAAATGCAAAAATGGGTTTACATAGGGTGTTTGTCACTTTACTACAGGGTCTATGCCAACATTTGATAGTACTGTTAATTTTAAATAACTTTTGAAACATTTATAAATACCAATGCATGCTTTTTTGCACCTAGTAAAGTCTTTCCCTGTGTATCTGCTACTCTCAAATAATCTTGAAATATCATAATTGATTACTCCTGTGATTAGTTTTGAAAATGGAAAAGAAATAAAATTTAAATAACCTTTTGGATCTTGTCTTTGATTACAGCATCATTATCATCCATCTTTGCCCTGCATGACAACCTTGCAAAAAACACAATCAGTTAGGAACATGAATAGCTAATAATTTTCTGGACAACTTTTATGGGAGCACATAACTCAAATTTTTGTCATTCCCAACCAATCCTTGTGAATTGCCTGTGTCTGTTTAATTGAGAACATTTTTATCCTCAATAACAAAACTTGTCAATTAAAAGTATAGGACAGCAACTGACAATGCATTATGTAACTTTATTTTGTTATTATACAACAGAGTACTGAATTTAATGTTTCATGAAATATATTGACAATTAGATGGCATCAGACCACAGACAAGAGAAAGGACTAAAGAGAACATTTCTGCTACCAATCTGTTATTTTTTCAAGGTGAGGAGAACTATTGTTGTTTTGTTAACCTCATTTCAGGGAAAGAGTGACAGACAATAACAAACAATGTTACAAACAGCAATTGGTTAGCAGCAATCTACAAGGTAAGGCATCCTTCGCTATCATCAACACAAATTTGCTTTTGGCTAGCTTCCTTGCAAAAATGTAAACTCAAAGACCATGTGATTATTTCTGCTTTGCATCCCTATTAAAAGGATCCTAGCTTTACCCCTGTAGCCCACCCCCCACCCCCAATGTGCTAAACTGGCAGTACAAATAAAATATCTAAAATCAAATCTAATTTTTCACCTATTTATGAACATCCAATTAGAAAACTAAGAATTATAAAGTTATCTGTATATATAACATTGATTTTCCTGAGCTGTAAATTTTCTAACGAATCTAGTGTTGCATAGATTTATAGGTTAGATTTCAGAGGGAAGCCAAGACTTTAAAGGAGCTGCACATCAATGCTGTTAACAAGCATGATTTATTAGATGTCCTGCATTAGCGCACATATTCATTTCATGTCAGATGAAACGTGGAGAGTCTCACAGTTGTGGATATGTAAGTCTCTTAGTCCAATGGGAATTAGATTGACTGCAAAACCAATGACATTACCGATGTCAGTGAAATTCCACAGCTTGAATATTTTCTTTAGATATACCAGATTCAAAGGGAGAGGGAATTTGTTTGAAAAATCTGAGACATATTTTGGTAGCTTAGGATCATGCAATTCATGCTGATGGGATTTGTTACCTCAAACAAACGCAAGGGTAAATTTTACTAAGATACATAATTTTACAAAATTTTCAGATTATTTTGGAAGTCTCTCCAAATATTGTGGAAGACAATGGTATTTTGTATTTTGTCATCATATAAAAAAAATTGGATTGCTTGACAATCTGTAGTTGATGAGGGTGCTCTTGCCCTGAATCCTGTGACTTTTGTGCCATGGTAGTTTAGGTAGGGCAGTCTTGCTCACAGCCACGCGTTCCGTAAAACCTACATTTCCAACCTGAATACCCTGTCTGCGGAGTACGGCAGATGCATGTGCGAGGTCAGTATAATGCCACACATGTATATTTGAAATTGCACACCGAAACTACAATAGAGCTGTTATGAAAACCATCTATTTGCACGCCAAATATATACTAAAGGATTTTGCACGCTGAAGACAGGCTTGAAATGCCCTGCGCGGTAGATATATCGGCGAGAACTCCCATCCCATTCCCATACTTTTGCAGCCTTGCTGGATACATTGTCCTGTCTTCTCTGAAAAAAATATTATATCCACTGTGAAACTAAAATAGCCAACGAAGTTTCAGGGTACTCGACTTTGGATGAAAGAATAAAATTTTGAATTTTCTCTCGAAAGTAGATGCTTGTAGATGTAGCCGTAAGTCTTCTGTATGTGTGTCAAATTCATCATCTGGTCATAACTCTCCAAAAATGAAGCACTGACTGTTAGAGAAGTTATCACAATTGAAAGTTTATAATCTTACCGATATCGAAAATTACTAAAGCTTTTCTTCTCATCTATCCAGTTTACATTTCTTATGGTTTTCTTCTTTCGATGGCCGCTCTTGCAGCATTTATGACAACATAACAGAGTTTTATCCACAGAACAGTACACAAACTCATAATGAAATCGAGGCAAATTTGTAATGGGGACAAAATAATATGGCGTCAACATTTAGTACACATGCAGAGGATGCTTTTACGAGAGTAGTTGAAGTTCAACAAGACACTGAATTGGAAGATCTTGATATAGAAAGAAATTTTCAAACAGAAAAGATTATTTCATTCTTGAAAAGAAAATTGTATGAGAAGGTCAGTAATTTGAAAGTCATCAGCTTTTGACGATGAACAAAATATTTAACGGTTTCTCTCGCGTCAAAACGATTATTATGATTCAATGAGCATAACCTCGCCTGATTACTCAAATTTTCCCATCTTTTTAGGTTGCCCTACAATTTCCAGATGAATATCTGAAATATTCTTTCAAGATTGTTAAAAAAATCCAAGAGAAGCTTAAACTTGTGAAGCTTTTTATTTTGGGAGACACAACATATGGAAGGTATACACAGTGACCATCTTCTTATTTATTACTTTTAAACATCTTGGTTTCTAACAGTCATTTCTCCCCAGGAATAAAAAAGAAACACACATTCCACCCTGTAATTGGTAATATTTTCAATAAGCAAACATTAATGCTTGGGTAACCTTTACAATGATGTTTCAATCCACATCTGGGTACTTGTATTACCTAGCTTAGAGTTTTTTATTTATTTTCTGGCATTTACACTCCCAAGTGTGTCAAACGAAAAGCATTAGTATCTTTCAAAATGCTGCTTTTTTCAAAGCCATTTTTGAATTTTGTACTAAAAAAATTTGTTTGCAAATCATAATAAATCAAATTAAGCACATTTTTTAACTAGATGGTGTAATGTTTTGATATGTTTTGTAAGACCCTTTTCTTTTTCAGTTGTTGCGTTGATGAGATTGCTGCAGAGCATGTTGGAGCAGAATGTATCATTCACTTTGGGAGAGCCTGTCTTAGCAAGTAGTTATTTAACTGCTTTAATTTCAAGCATTTAACTATTTTTATCATTTCTTCCTTGTATGAACTATGACTATTTGTTGTGTTGAACTATTACTTGTTAACTTTTCAGCAGTTTTGTTAGGTCAGCAGTTTTGTTAGGTCAGCAGTTTTGTTAGGACAGCGGTTCTATGTTGTTAGGCCGCTGTTTTGTTTTTTGTAAGCATGTGATGTAGCCTCCATTCTTATTGCTTAGTAAAGCCTATTTATACGGCAATGACTCATTCATATTTATTACAATTTACTATACAATATTATTATGAATAAAGTATCACGGCCAGAGCGTTTGGAGACGAAATCTGACATTGTTTCAGCAAACAAAGAATGGCTTCATTGGTGGCAAACTTTCAACAACTTTATATTGTGTGTTAACCAGTGAGGGCCTCCATAAACTCCATGTTTTGATGAACTTTGTGTCTCCAGAAATCTTTGAATACATTGAAGAATCAGCCTTGTATGAACAAGCAATGGAAACACTGCATAATTTGTTCCTGAAACCTACAAAGAAATATACGCTCGCCATTTACTGGCAACTCACCAACAAAAACCTGGAGAAACTCTCCATGAATTGGCTCTGAAAACTCTAAATAAAGACTGCCTACTGTGAAGAAAGTATTCACAATGCATTTTAAACTGGTCTTCAATCGAACGCTATTCATCAACGTCTTTTTGAAAACACCACACACACCTTGCAAGCCATGTTCGATCAAGAACACTACTACCCGACCATCCTTCAGAGATGCTATACCTCATACTCAAGCAGTATCCACATGAGATATCAGCCTTGATATCACCATATCAGCAGTGGTTCAGCCTGAAGACTAGAACTCTTTCTTCTGCAGAAACAACAAGTACCAATATTCAAAATGCCCTGCTCACGAGGCAACTTGCCACTAGTGTCAAAAAAGGCTCATTATGCCAAGGTGTGTCAAGGAAGGTCTCAAAAGACTGAGTAGAGCAATCAATTCAGTAATTTCAAGCAAGCTCTTTTAGACAGTGGGAGCAGTGAAACCTTATTGCCATGTTTTTATTGCCATGAAATTAGTGTTGCTACCTATCCACCCCTGCTCTGGTACAGTATCTATGGCTTCCACAGGGTTTTCAACACAAGTTAAAGGCTTCTGTCTTGTTGACCTTACCTTCAAAGGGTATACATACAAGAATGTTTGCCTATCTATATTACCTGGACTTTGTGCTAATCTCTGTAACGGTAGATGGGAAATTTCAGATAACTAAAACATGCAAAATATGTAGGAAAAAAGACGTTTGTTATAAAGGATGTGCTCCTTCAATTATTCATGTATTCATGACAAAGCTCTAATCCCTAGGCCACATTAGAAACCTGAGCGGTGTTGGAGGGCCGAATTAAAAATGACTTTATTCTGCATCTGAATAGCATTCATTCTCTTTCAATGTAAAAAGCAACAAATTTTCCAGTACTTCTTTGTGAGAATTTCGATTTTTTTAATAAAAATAGCTTAGACAAACGTAGGTAGCTTAGACAGACATGGCTCAAACTACGACCCCAAAGGAAAAATCAATGGCCACCCTTAGGTCCCTGGTTTGAGACCAATCTGACAATATAGCAGCATTGTGTAGAAATAGATGTTGGCTGACGTTAAATTAGAAGACAGCTAGTTTTAAAAATAGTCTTTTTTAAAAACTTTGCTCCATTTTTATCAAATCAAACATGCATCTGACAGAAACAGGTATGAAATTAAGGCAAAGTTGTTTTAGTTGTATGCAACTAGAAGAGACCATAAGAATTTTGCCAGAATACTTGTCAGAATCTCGTATTGTCTGTTTCAGAACAAGTCGGCTTCCAGTTCTATTCAATTTTGGAGAAAGCTTCATTGATGTGCGAGATTTCAGCAGCAAGTTGAAGGAAACCTTTCCATCTAATTCAAGTCCATTGATACTTTTCTACGATGTTTCATATCAGCATGCCATCGGTAGGTAACATCCCCAGTTAAAATTACACTTTGTTGTATTTTCCAATTACTTATTTTTCATCGCAAATGAAAAGAAAATCATTAAGTTTGCCGTGAAATTTGTGAGTGATTAATTTTTGTTTCTTCCTGGCGTAAAAGATAATAGATCCATTGTTTATTCGTGCGGCTATAATTCTTTGATCTATTACAACAAATGTCGAACATATACGAAAACCGAATTGCGAGTATAAAGATATACGAAGACGATGTTACATGAATTATATAGACATGAAAATTCAAAGAAGATATACCGTTTTATATAGAAAGAAGATAAATGAAGATATATCATTTATGTGCCTGTCGTTTTTAAAATGTAAGTTATTAATTTCAACCGTTGGTCTGTTTTTAGCATAGGCCCTTCATTTTTAATTTTTCTTAACAGATGAAATAAGTAACGTCATAGAGGAAGAATACAAAAACCTGACAGTTTCAAAGTTGCTGACTGACGAGAATAAAGAGAGCTGCCAATATTGTTCGGAAAGAAACATGATTTCAGACGAGAAATTAGCAATTGGATGTTGTAATGATAAAAATAGCTGTACTAGTGGAGGATGTCTGGGCCTAAAAGAATTGAATATAGGAAATGTTGATTCAACTGCGAGTTGTAGTTGCAGAAATTCGGAACAAGAGAGTGACAAAGTTCATAAACGGTAAGTTCAGCTTTATTGATCATAGGATGTGATTGTTTTTTCGATAAAATATGTTTTCATATTTGATTGTGCCGCATCCAATGAAATGCTTAATTCTTATCAAGAGTTTCTAAGTGCTAAGCAGAAATTAATGGAGTTATGTTACATCAAAGGTTTGGAAGGATGTTTATACTGCCCAGTGAAACAAATTTGGAGGAATGCAGTATGTTGTATATTGGCAAGCAAAGCTTAACACTCACCAATCTAATGATGTCATACAATCGAAATACGGTAAGTTCACTGCAATTTTTCTCCTTACATGATAAATGCTCACCAAATTTTGCTGATGTCCCCCCTTAAAGTTACCCCCTCTTCAGGCTCGACACAACTATTATGTTTCCTCTTAAAGTTAAAAGCGAAAAAATCAATCAGGCAAGTTAACACATTCAAGATTAACCTAACAAAATCTAAGTTATATCCTACCTGTTGTTGATCTTAATGCTGCAGTCGTCTCATTTATTGAAAGATTAAAGCGCTCACATCAGAGTTTGGCGCAGACAGAATATAATTGGAATAATTTAGATTGTATGGGAAAAGATTCAGAAAGACCAAGACGAGGGCATAATTTCACAACGAATGTTTATGATGTATTCAAACTGAAATAATCATCTACTCTTGGAAATCAAGCCAAACGACGGTTAAGACACTGTCGAAGGTCTTAGAACAAGGAGCCCCCCATTCTCTCTATTCACCCAAAAAGTCGTTTTTGATGTAATGACACATATTCATTCTGAGCGAGCGTGCTTTATGCATCAACTATCTACATCGTTTGAAAAAGAGAAAAGTAGAAAGGGCCAGAGCTGCAAACAATTTTCATGTAACATGTAACATGTTTCATGTAACCAATCCAACTAGGTTTACTGAACGTTTTCAGATTTGATAGAGACATTGTAACCGAAAAAAGATGTCATACAAGCAAAAGCAAGTAAAACTTTATTTTAAACTTTCAAACTTAGGAATCACTGAGAGCCCAAGTTAATGTTCTCCATTTTCAGTCTCTTTACAAACAATCTATTATGAACCTAAACAACGGGAGATTGAGGAATCCTTCGCATCCTTTGTTTTATTTTCTGTTTTTCTGTTTCAGTTTTACACTTACGACCCAAATAAACGAGTTATGCAAAAGGAATCTTTAAATGTAAACAAAGCATTGATGAAGAGGTAAGATATTGCTGTTAGTAATGTCTTTTAAGTTATGTCTAGTGCAAGACTGGTGCAAGATATAAAACCTCGAAAATTTTTGCATAACACTTTGATGTAATCAGTAATTAGATTTACTCGTCAAGCCATGATGCTCACAAACATGCATTTGGTTAAATTGATTTCAGATATTTCCTGATGCAAAAGGCAAAGGAAGCTAAAACAGTTGGAATAGTTGCAGGTACTCTTGGAGTAGGTATGTTTTCAAAGTTTTAATTACTTTGATTCATATTTCTTCTCTACAATATGACGTACAATCACTGTCAAATATACTTGGAACGCCCAGCTCTTTGCGCTGTGCTTTTCTATTTTTCATTTGTTTTCCCGAATACTTCTTCTTCCAGCCCCCTTTCCCTACATAAAAATGTTGATAGTTTAGATAAATATCATACAAGCCACAAGAAAATGCGTACTTCTTAACCTCTTTCTTTTTTCTCTAGCAATTCAACATTTTTCCTCTAGCAATAGGGGGAGAAGGGGATGGCTGAATTTGCTTTTAAAAATTGACGTTGGTGTTCCAAGACTTTTGGCGGTGATTGTACTTCATTCAAGTCCCTCTCTAACCAAAAAACTTGTTTTTCATTGTTAAGTGACAAAACCTATGATGCGTACAGTAAAACCTATTCGCAAAATTCAAATTGTGCCTTAAGTGAGAAAATTGAACAAAGACGAATCGATTTGGTTGCATTGCCACATCACAATGCTCAGCCTTCTTTCGCTGGGAATTTCTTCCTGCTTAAGAATTTTTTATTTGCTTCAAAACAACTTCTGAAAACATTACTGCGTCGCATCTCATTCCCAATTGTGACCTGTTGAGCTATTACTTGTGTTTTGAATTTGGCAAAGGCCTTTTGGCTTTTTCTTCAAGTATTTTTGCTTGAACTAACAAGTTTTTGTTTACTATATCCAGTATCGGAAAACAACTGACAAGTCCATGTCTATATTTCGAAATGTTTTTTCATATATGTTCTCGGACAAGGCAAAAGTGCACCACTGAATTGCTGAAAACGAATACGTGGCTTCGCATGAATCGCTTGAAATGGAGGTCATCTCAAAAACGAGGTCATTCGAAATAAATGTCACAGTGACACAAAAAAATAAAAATTGCCATTCTTCCTCTTTCTGTTCAGTTGTTGAAATTCAAGCGATTGTAACTGAAGACAATATAAAACTCTAGATCAGCAAGTTAAATCCCATTATATTAGCTAAATGAAGGGGATCGGAAGATTTGGCTGGAGGAGCACTTGCTTTGTCCTTGGAGTATACACCAAAAGCGTGAATTATCCTTTGTATTGCTAGAAGTACTCTTCAAAGTCTCTAAAATGACGTACAACTAGAAAACAATCAATTTGGCTACCGATTTATCAATGTTTTATATTTTACATTGGCTTCCATTTTTCCAATGTTTCTTAACTAAAATGATAATTATCTTTTAGCTGATTATATGTCAATTATTGAACGGTTGAAAAATCTCCTGAGAAAAAACGGAAAAAAGGTAAATGAATCTTACCTTTGAAATGCAGTATGATGACTGTATGCTAATTGGATGACTCAACACGACGTTACTCAAGTTTCCTTCAGGTCATTTCATTTTGTTATTGGAATTCCTCCATTCATGCACCATCAATACTATGCATATTTCAAGTTGCCTTTTCTAGTACTAGTAACAACCGTCTTATTTTTGTGGGTGTGACCTCAAATGGTACCAACACTCGACGAGAATAGACTGACGTCCTAAATCAATGTTAGGAAAGCAAGAGCCTTGCAATTGGATGGAGATAAGACCACATTTCTCAGCATAATTCTGTTGCAGACGAACTTTTAATATTAGGATAGTAAATATATAAAACATTTAACGGATTAAATCCACCTTTTGTGGATGAAAAATTTCCCATAAATGAATGCACATATAACTTAGGAACTCTCTATTTATATCTGCGGTTTTCGTCATCTTAGTGTCTCTAGACATTGTGCCAACTTTGAATAAAGAAAGAAAAGAAATAATAAAACCACGCACATCTGCTAAAATTGCACCCCTGAGCAAGAGTACCATGTTACAGTTAGCAGAAGTTCCTATATTTTTATTTACTTGTCTTTTGTCTAATACTTTTTCCATTTTTTGTTAATGAACTGTTTATTACCCAATATAATTATGAAAACATGTTTTTTGTATTCTTCTACTTGCAACAGTAACCTCACTTTAAAGGTAGTTACTATCGGCTAGCCTAATAACAAGTATACTAACTTATAAAATTTTAAACATATAAATAAAATCATTGGAGTTCATAGTATCTTTAGAAGGAGAGCAGTTCAGGGTTTGTCCAAGTCTTATTGCGCATATAGAATATATAATAAGATATGCGTATAATTATTGCTGAAAGTTTTTTAATCACAACATAACGGTGTTGGTAGTCTAGTTTCAATTCGTCACACATATCAATAAAAGAGTCACACGAGTTACCAAAAATACCAATGCAGCGGATGGACGGATTGACAAATTTAACTTCTTTGAACTTAGAAGGCAGTTCCTTTAGAAGGGAACAGTACTTCGCAGCTTTACGGGAAGTATTTTTATTTAAGTTACTCTCGAACCCAACAGGCTATTTGATGACATACAGACAGTTGAAAGCAGTTTTGATAACCATGTCGGGACGGAACGAATCACCAGTTATGATACACGGTTATAGAAAAGTGGAAATGTCAGCATATAGGAATACACCTCGGATACAATGAAAGGATGATGCAATGAAGTGCAGGGCAGAATCGTGCCTGCAAGTAAAACGCCCTTGATCAACTTATTTGCTACAATCAGCCAAGATGCGAAGAAGTGATACAGGCTGAAGGCAGAACGAGCAATATGGAGAAGAGCTCGATTCCATTATTTCTTTCGAGACACAGCTTCATATTTCATAGACACTCAGCTTATTGTTTCCAATATAAAAATATGATTTTCATGTTAGTTGCTAGTTTGTTTGTTCACCATTGCATTATCAATTTTATTACCACAGTACTATGTATTCATGATGGGGAAACCAAACGTGGCAAAAATGGCGAATTTCATGGAAATCGACGTCTTTGTATTGGTTGCTTGCCCGGAAAACAGTTTAATAGACTCACAGGTAAGTTATCGTATGATCTCTTTGTCAGCCTTTTTTACACGTCAAGTACCTACCCAAGGATCAGCTCTCTATTGATGTTGATATGACAAGAGGCCTGTTGTACTCTCTTCTACTGCGAACTTTAGGTACAAACTTCAACCAAAAGTATATACCAAATTGTTTGTAATATATCTGTTGAATCTAATGTGTTCTAAGCTATTTAATCTAATTATTATCTGCTGAAGGATGCATTTATCAGCACAAGCTCATCATTAGATACTCAAATAAAAGTTTAATTATAATCTCTTTTGGACCAGATTTGCTTCCTAGCAGCTACCTTAGGCTATGTTCACATTGCTCCGTATTCATTTTTATCCGTTTTCGTATCGATCCGTTTTACCTGTTCACACTGCTCCGTATACATTTGAAAACGGTATGAAAACGACGAAGCGTTCACATTGCTCCGCTCTGGATAAAAAGGAAAACGCCACGAACTGGTTTACAGCACTTGCCACTGCTAATAAACTTTTCAAACAGCTCACTGCCACTAATATTCCTCCGAGTAGTGTGCTAACTTCGAGTGAATCAGCCATGTTAAGAAAAGTTGTTCAAATTGGCGCGGTCCAACTCTCTTGTTGTGTTGTTGTTGTTAGCGTTTTCAAAAGTATCCGTTTTCGGTGTTCACACTGCGTTTTTGCGTTTTCAAAAGGCTCCGTTTTCAAAAGTCTCCGTTTTCAAGGTGGAGCAGTATGAACGCAAGGCACAAACGGATACTTTTTTATCCGTTTTCATATGAATACGGAGCAGTGGGAACGGGGTCTTAAACAGAATATTTTTAGATTTGCTTCCTAGCAGCTACCTTAAACAGAATATTTTTAGACAGTTCTTTAGACAGTTTCTACTTGTTTATATGTTGTACAGCTTAATGTAACTAAAGGGTGATTATTGCTACAGCATGGTTTCAAATTAAATGAATTTTGCATTGGAAATCTCACGAGCTGTCTTTTTACCAGAAGTATTTTTCTACAGGAGTTTTATCGGCCAATTGTTACACCGTTTGAAATGGAAATTGCATGCTCTTGGTAAGACTGCTACCTTTATGCATTTTTTCAATTTTGTAATTCTTGCACATTGCTTTTTCTTTTGATTCAAACCTTGCTTAAAAGAATGATGCAATTCAAACCTAGGGTGAGACCGTAGAGGAAGAAATAAGTATTTATCTTTTTACGAATATGGGTTAACCTGGGTAAATAGCAACTAGCGCAGTGCATACGTTTCTTCTTCTCTTCACCAGTGTGGAGGTAAAATGGCAGATTACATCAAGAAAGTATTTATTTTGAGGATTTAATATTTCTGGCCTTTGCACTTGAACAGAACATAAGGTTTTTAAATAGAAAAAATATCCTGTTTAAGGTAGCTGCTGGGAAGCAATCTTTGACGCAACACTGAAAAGCATTCCTGCTAATACTGTGCAATTTCTGCATCTCCTTAAATTTAATTGTTTCCATCAAGTTTTTGCCGTACCACAAGCTTAAATTGAGCATATGTTTAAAATACACATTTAGGATTTTTCATCATAATTGCCAATGCTTGCCCTTCTTATTTTCCACTAAGATAACAAACTTATCTACCTTGTAACAAAAAAATAACACCATAGTTTACCCTTACAGTTAAAGAGTAGTTCTACTTTCAAAGATTTTAAATATTTATGTGATGTTTTGAATAAGAGCTTTTTGCTTTGCAGTGGAAGAGAATGGACAGGTGAATACATAACAGATTTCAGAGAACTTCTACCAGGTGACTTTCTTTGAGTTTTCGTTATCCCCTTCGTATTTCTGTGCTTCTTATAATTTCACGATTATTTGAGAAAATGGTATTTGCTCGGGTATTTAATTTACTTTCTGTTTTTCTAGTTAGATCAGTCTGGTTTCATGCTTTTTCGCTCCATATTGATACGGTTACTGAATTTTCCAAATTAAAACTTGGACAACGAACTTTTTCTGGAGTAATTATCATAATCTTAGTGGACACTGTTGACTGCGATATTCTTATTTAGTTAAGCTTGGTTTTCTTGCAGTTGAAGAAAAGGAATTTTTAAGCTGATTCTACCATTACCTAAGTAATAGGAAGCAAGAGACCTGTCAAGTTTCAGTTTTGAAAATGAGTGAGTTTTTTTAAAAAGAAAGAAAAATGTTTGGTCGTCATAAGCGGACCTTAACCAATGCATAACGAATCCTGACTGCCACACAACCAGAAGTAGGGTCCAGGGGCGCAACTCCAGAAACCTTTCTTTTGCAACGCCCTCTAGTTCTTCGGCAGAAGCCGGTGGGGGGATATAGGGAGCTTTTTTCCCCATTCAATTCAGTTTTTATCGAGAAAGAATTAATAACAGTACATATTCATGAAATAAATTAATCTGGTGCACTTGCGCTGCGCAAATGATTGCAAAGTGCACAGAACTGTGGACCAGTAACGCAGAGGAAGGAATTCAGGCGTACAAGCAAGCGGAGGAGCATCGTAGTGTAACTGCAGCCCCAAATATCATTCTCGAGAAAAAGTAACTCCGCTCTGACAACTCCTATTGAAATCTGCTAAATTGAAAGTCTAACTTAAGGGTAAAGCAAAAGTCTAACTTAAGGGTAAAGATGTAAAGCATATTATGCTCCTCGTTTACATTTCCAATCAGTTCACAATGTGTCATAATCGCGAAAAAGCTTACCTGCTATTTGTGTAGCCTTGCCAATAAATGTAACATCACTTATATTTGTACGGATTTGCTGTTATCTAGTCATCTAATTATCTAATCGTTGTTATTATGCTAACATGTCTTGTTAAGAAAGAGGGATTTTGCTAGGATTTGGAATAAAAATTTAAACATACCAAGAAGTTTGTTGCAACATGCATGAGAATTCTGCTTTGATGCATGTGAGGGTGAGAAAGTACCGAAATGTATGTGTCTCATGCAAAATATGTGTGACTTGGTAGGTCTGAAGCAATGCGCTAAGGTAGATGACATTATATTCTACAATACATGACATCAAAAAAGGTGTATCTCCGATATATTTTTAAAATAGTAGAGGTGTAATAACGCCATTCAACTTGTGCAAACATTGCTTTCACCTCTTTAGGTGCTGCATCTTTTGTTGATTTTGAAGACAAAGGGCAAATTGAGAAGGTACATCCTATATATCCTTTTTCTTCTCTTCTAGTAATGCCATCTATTCACATGAGATTTTCACTGCAGATTATACCAGTGAACGTGCTTATCATTTCAAATTTCAAACCAAAGATTTAAAGGCATTATGCCCCGTCAGATTAGACTCTCTATTATTACATTTAATTTTAAACAACAATCAAAATTTTGAGTTTCTTCTTAGCCGAAGAAAGCCATGTTTCCATTCCTTAAAGTTCTTATGCACGAATTTTCATTAGGAGGAAGAGCCAGAGTTTTCGCTGATTTCTGGAAGTTTGATACACAGAGCTGATCATTACAAGAAAGGTAAATAGTTTTTTAATTGATTAATTTTCTTTAGGTATTTTAGTATTCTTTTAAAATAAAAGCCAAAGTTTTCATAAATGGGTTGATTACTTAATAAAGTTTGCTTCCCTTAAAATTTACAATATAGAGATTGAATTTGTTAAGTGCTTTTGCAAATAGGATTGCAAAACCATGAAAACATTATTGGCCATAAAAACACCATTCTTTTATATGGAATAGATCACAGTTATGAAATTCCTCTACTGTTGCATTCTATAAATTCCAACTAGTTTCTCTGGGTGAAAAAAAAAGAGTTGTAAAAACCTTTGATATTTAGATCAGTAATGTTCAGATATGAAATAGACAAGTTATTGATAGAATAACTAATAATATTATATGAAACATTGATTTTGATCGGACCAGATTGAGGCAGAAAGTGTATGAATGAATATTACTTTACGACAGAAAAAGGAAATTCAACTGATGTGGTTCTGAAAAACCAAGAAAATGCAGTTGCAATGTTTGGAGAAAATAGTTCAGGTAAATGTTTTGTTAGGTAGACTTTTTAGTTTTAGAGAAAGTTATAATGAATATTTATGCAAAAAAGCTAAATTTATTTAAAGAAATTTGCAAATAAATATAAAAACATTTGCAAGCTTTCTCTATCAATTCATGGTATACTGACTGTCATTTAACCATCTTTGAAATATTAGCGTTTATCAATAAAATGTGCTATTTTTATGAATTACAGCTTCCTTCCTAAACACAAGAGCATGGAAAGGGCTGGAAAGGAAACTTGGAGAAACAGAAATAGTTGATGCCATTCAAGGGCGGACAGGCATTGCAATTCAGTATACTCATGAGACAAACACTCCAAACAATTCAGATAGCAAAGATTTGTGTAACAACTGATCATTACTATAAATGCCTTCCCTTGCAACAAGTTTTTCTCTTGGTAATTGCTCTTCATCTAGATATATAGGTCGAATGTTTAGTTAATAAATCTTGGTTCATTTTTCACATCTAGAGTTCAGATCCCAGACTTGGATTTAAAATAATTAACATACTTTCCCAACTCATAAAAACAGAGTGGTTTGCACATTAGACATCAAGCAAATAAAACACAATATCAAACTGTTAATATTGTATCTAAAAACAACCTGCTACATAAGTATCCGTCTGAAAAAGTTCATGGAGTGATTCTAAATTGGCTCAAAGGATCAAAATACAATCAATGTGACTGCATGTTGGTGATGAGAATGTCTTATTCTATGTTGACTAGTTTGTGTAGATAATAAATATGTTTATATCACAACTTTCCTGGCACATATATTATTTACTTGTCAGGTCAGACTAGCTCGGTACTTATATACACAAAAGAAAATCTACAAGTTCAGCACAGTGTGAGAGTTAGCAATCAGCCAAAAATTTCTTGTGATGCATAGACAATATATAAAAATCCATCATCATCTTTATCGTCTTTATAAACATCTCCAACCACTGTTGATGCACATGTCAAACTTTTTTGATTAACAAGCATAAACAATGACTGGGCTGATGACAGTTGTAACCGTTTTCTAAAAAAAATATTTTGTCATCAAATACTTCATCCAATTATAAAACAAAATTTTTACTTTCCACTTCCTTTTTCACAACTACTAAATTCAGCACAATCTCTCTGTTCTCTTTAACTAAAAGGTATTTATTCCTTGGAACAACATAAATTATCTCACAAAAACAGTCTTTGTAATATGAAAATAGGCTGCCTGCAGCATTTTCCACTGCTTGATTACTTGCGCGTGCGATAGCGTGCTATAAGAAAAAAAATTTATCGCCTTATCAAGAGATAAGGTACTGCTTTAAAAAGGAACCTTGGGCAAGCTTGCATGCTATAAACTGTTCCTATTCTTCTTTAAGATGATTCATTCTAATTCGTCTTTAAATTTCCAGAAAGTAATCATAGAATTGTTTTGCAATCATTTGAAGATATCTGGATTGAATAATTTCAATTTTTATAAACCCTATGGTCCATCGAAATATTGCTATGCGACATCACTGATTAGGCGTTTACACAGTGCCGGATAACTTCTGATCCTGTTCTGGCTAAAATATCAGCACTAAGCTTCACTTTTCAGAATAGAGCACACTTTGCTTGATAGCATATTATAATCTGTTGTTGATCAGAGCACGTTAAGGACCCAGCACATAAGCAGAATTCTTACAGCATCTGGGAAGAAAATTTTGCGTAAATTTCAGCAAAGGTCTGGCAGAACTTGGTTGGATAATTTTATCAATGATATTATTGTGCCAAAAGAATGGATTGAAAACTTGCGAATGTGCAAAAAATGTTTCATAATTCTTTTTTCTTTAGCTGAAGCTGTTTGTTGAGAAAAATCTGGTGTATCTGTACTTGTTTGTGTAAACTGGAAGCCTATCCGTACGAAAGTTGTACAGCACCGTGTTAACACGATCTACCGGAATAACTTTTTATCCAGATCAAAAGTTATCTGCCACTGTAAATGCAGCCTTCTCTGAGATGATGGATATCATAGCGGATATTCATAAAGCGCCTATTGATTAGAGGAATTTTTGTAGATTAGGGGATTTTACCTAATCGAAAGACTATTACAGTTATTGAGTGAATATCCCTTGATTGTGTGGCAAACTTACACTCCTTTGATTTGAAGAAAAACCCTTGCTCCTCATATCGAGGGATGGGTGCCTTACTTTTCACAAAATTTTGGCAATTGTAGAATATGCAGGGATGTCATTGATAAATCTAGTATGGGAATACTTTGACACTTGGGAAACCAATAGATTGCCTTTAATTTGGCTACTTTGCCTCCCTGCTGCTTTAGAAATCTTTGAAACATATTTCAAACTGTCAAATTTTTCCTGATAAATTTTCCATATTGCACGAAGGATGAATTTTCCATATTGCACCCAGACAATTTGGGCATGTGTGGATCAAACACCTAATATTACCAAGACTGCACCAATGCCACTAGTGTCTGTAATTCCAGGTGTAGGTTTTATGAGGTGTGGTCACATCGAGTGGAAGGTCCTAAAACTACCTTCTGAAGCTAGGTAGAAAACAATACAATACACATGACCTTAGAAAGGTGCTGACAATTTACAGAATTGTAACAAAAGTTATGCGCAAACCTGATAATACTTGTCAAACTGCCCATTGTCATGTCAAATGGCACCAGGTATTTGATCTTATCAAGGACTGGCAAATTTCTCTCATTCTTGTACTTTTCAATGATTATCTGAAATAGAAGACGGAGCTTTAATATTAATTCCAATTAGCAGGTAAATTAGCCATCACCTAAAGTATATACAAGGTATGAAAAGGGGAGAGATTTGATAACACAGGCCTTTTTGTAAGAAACAGCCCATATGAGTGGCCCAGCATTGGCATGATTTCTCTTGCGCAAGTGATGGCTCCAAGTAAAGATAACCAATGTCAATAATAAAAATTAAAAATGCTAAAAGAGCCTGTATTGTATGCAAAAACCATATAAGCCTGTTGTAAGGTACTTTTGTGTAAGGGGACATCAAATGAAAAAGAGCTGTATGAATGATCTTTAACAAACAAAAGAATGTGCTTTGTTTATACATTTATGTACATCACAAAGGTCATATAGTCAATATTGCCAGATGATGGCAAAATGCTGCACCAAACCACTGAAACATTTGCAGTGAATTCGATATTCAAGTACATTTTTTCAATAAACCGGCTTTGATGTCTCTTTTTTGAGTAACAAATTTTTTTATTAAAGAAACATTTATTCCTCACAATTTACAGTTTTGGGCAGCTTGTGTGGTTGGATTGTACAAGTGCTGATGTGACTGATCACTGGTGATTGCAAGTGAACACTCATATCAAACTAAAAGGCCTAATGATATTGTTAAAAGAAAAAGTGTAGTGAAAAACCAAAGTAGAACAAGAAAAATAACATAATTAGAGCCCAATAAATATCTGAAATTTGGTATAGAAATTCCATCAGAATTCATCTAGGGTCCTGTTAAAAATGATCGGGTGAAGATCCATAGGTTTTGTAGAAATTTTACAATATAACTTTCCTATTTTATATGAAAGAAGTTTACTCTAAGTTTTTATACAATGGTAAGATTGGCAAACAAAATATAACCAACATGTTAGCTGCTAAGAGATGCTTAATCTTTATGTTCTATGTTTATTTCTCTTGGTAGGTTTTATTTGGTGTTATGCTGCTGTGCTGTTTAATGATATGCTTGATCTAGAGTTCTGCTTGAACCAAATGCATATTTTTATCCTTGCACAAACCTTTCGAAACATTATACTTTTTCACAAATACTTGTTCAAGCAAGAAATAAATGTTTGAAACAGTTTTGTATAAACACTGTGCAAGGAACATAATTTTGTTAAACTGTTTGGAAGTTCGCAACAACCTAAAATATACAGAGGAATATTCACATTTAAAGCCATATTTTGCATTTTTAACTCCTAAGTGGATTGCACCTAAACACCCAAAATAGACCACCAGTAGAAGGGTTTGGAAATTTTCTCAAGCTACCTTTTATCAAAATTGTTTATCCAAGAAGACAAATACATACTCTTAAGAAAAAGGTTTGTGTGTGGAATCTATTTCATGATAGATAACAGGTTTGTGCAACGTGCCCAGCCCCTAAGCCAATCACAATTACAGCTCTTTATAATGCCGGCTAGCCTTATCAGAAGGTATTTCTTCAATCAACTGCCTGACTGTTGGCAGACTTTGTGTTATGGAGTTAAAAGGCATATATCTTTTAACTTGAATCAAACCAACAGGGTTAACATTATTTTACGAAGTAACAACAATATGACTTATTGAACAAATATTTACCCTAGCACAATGAACAAACTTGAAAAGCACAGATTTTCATTGTATCATAATCTTTTGTTTGATGGTAAAAGATATCATATGGTTGGTATTTCTCCATCAATTTTTAATCCGTTAGTAAAAAAACAATAACACTTAATTGATTAACTGAACTTTGAAACCTGCATCAATAGGTTAAATACTTTATTTTCATTCTTATCGTGTACGGGGTTGTGTGTCAACATTTTAAAAACAGGCACCAAATTGCAAAATAGCTTTACAGGATTTCTTTGTTTGTGATTGTATTGCAAAGCTATTTCTCTAAGGAATTCATTCTATAGACAAAAAACCTTTAACACAAACCTAAAGTACAAGTCATTTCAAAACCTTTTTTAATCCTCGAATGCTGTCCTCAAATCAAATGTTTAGGAGTAGAATTTTGAGCTGATTAGCTATACAATTTCAAATAAATAGTCATAGATTTTTATTACATACTACAATTTTACTATTTTATGATAAAAAACAAAATGACAAACTTTCTTACTGGGATTTTATCTGGATATTGGGCCAAAATGGCTTCAGAGTCTTTTTTTCTTGCATCTACAAAGTAATAACAAGAAATCATTTACAAAATAGTGATCAAGCATACTTGGTACATACTTAAAGCAAGGCTTGGTATTAACAACAAAATCTTTAAACAAATATGCCTTACCATATTTAAAGGACAAGTGACACACTTTTCACCCTATCTTTTCTTTTCATTAACTTATAGATCATCTTTTAAAAGTAAGTTTTTCCTGGTTTGGAACAAAAAATTCTAATCAGGGGGCGCAGGGGGCGCGATTTTGCTTTTTATCACGTGACCCTATGACGTACATTGTGATAACTCAGAATTTTCCTGTAATTGATAGAGAGTTTGCGAAACACGACGCGACAGGTCCAGACGAACTGTATTCGTTTACAAGCGTGTTGTAAACGTTAATATTGCACTCTATACCAGTAGCAGCAATAACAAATTATCACAATCTACGTCACGGTGTCACGTGATTCATTTCCCGCTATAATTTCAAATGGGTTTTTAAGTGGGAAAATGAAATCAGAAAGGAAAAATATTTCAACAACACTCTCATACAGCATTTTACTTTAAGTTAAAAGAAAAAAAACATTTGGCGCCAAAAGCGTGTCACTTGTCCTTTAATTATTAAGATAGCAAAGTTGAATACTCCCTGTCACTTGTAGTTCATTTGTCACTCCTTTGAGTTTCATTTTCAGATAATGGCCAAAGGTGTGTAAAAATTTATAACCAGAGAGGAATCAAATCAAAAGTGAATTCTAACTGGCAAAATTGAGGGCTAGAAGAGCGAGCGGATGACAGAGAGTGATGCTAATGGATAGTTTGGCTGTGGAAATTGGGGTGTTGGTGTCAGAGCTCATACGTCGCACCCTGCTTGCTAGTCCTATTTAGTTAACACCAACAGCGGCACAGGGCCTCCAACCAAGGGGGTCAGGGGGCTACTTTTTGGCAAAACAATAAAGCCTTATCCAAGATTTTTTATGCTATCCAAGAATTTTTCCCTGGCACCTCCACTTTCCAACTTGTGCGGGAGCCAATGGCGGCATGACAACTAGAGGGAGGGAATATATCCCAAAGATGACTCAAACATTTGTATAGTTTCAGGCATTTGGGTGTTAAAATAATATGATTATGTATGGGACTTGCCTCATTAAGAGCCTCACACTGTCCCATTAAGACACTTAGCTTGAGTAGTCTTTAGCTATAAGTGCAACTGTCACAGTACAAATTTTTTGTTATAAGAAATGACAGTTGAACCCCGTTAATACGGCCACCAATGGGCCACCAGACAAGGAAGGGTCAAATTTTGAAGTTTGATTGGTAGAAATTAATAATAATATCCCAAGGAACTGTTCTCTTTAATAGACATCTGGAAATTTAGATAAAGTTATAAAAAGATATGTTAATAACTTGTCCACAAACAAAACAAAACGGAAGTCCTAGGTTCTTGGGCCTTAATCACCAAATATGTTCATGATTTTGCAAAAAATCCCTTTAAATGTGGGCAATCACACCTGAAAGCAAGCGACTTTGATAATGAAAAGTTCTTTTGTAAAACGAATGAGATTATTGTGATTTCATTACAGATTTTCTAAATACAAATGGCCGTATTAACGGGGTGGAATTACAAAGAACCCTGCTGTTTGGGATCACAAAGTGTGGCCGCTGACCGTACTAAAAGGAGGCCGCATTGACAGGGTTTTTTTATGGGGCTATGTATGACAATTTTTCTGGGCCATAACGTAATAACGAGGTGGCCATATTAACGAAGTGGTCATAAGGCAGGTTCCACTGTATTTTATTAGAAAGTTGCACTCAGTTCTTCAAAAAGCTAACAAAGTTCAGGCTGGATCTATGAAACCTTAGAAAGTTGAAAAATTGAGATATTCAAAGTTTCAAAGGAAATTGTGGTGTAAAGAGTGAAATATTTCAAGAATACATTAATGTGCTGAACAGGAAATTCATAAAGTGCAAGAAGTGTCTGTATAGAAATTGTTTCTCCCTTTAGGAAGTTTCACTAAACAAAAAATAAACCACATGAATATGATATATTTTTGGTCATTACAGTATTCTGTGAGACTACTGAGTTTTCTTTGTTGTTAAAGGGGTTAGTTTTTGGCTCTGGGATACACATTAAGAAAACTGTCTTGCAAAAGACAAGCAATGTTGTTTAAATTTGACTTCAAGAAGAAGGTAGAGCATTGCGGTGAGTTACATGAGATGGTCAGCAATGAATTTTGCAATGAAGAACAAGGGTCTTGCCATGCACAAGGTATAGGGACATCCAAAACCACCAACATCATACCCGTCTTGTAGTAATGCAATATCATTTGAACAGTAATACACTAGTGTTACTGAAACTTATTGAAATATGATGTGAAAGAAGTAATGAAAAGCTTGTAATTTCCATGTATTAGCATGGATGGTATACATGGTTTAAAGTCAGAATGGCAAAACTTTGGCAGGAATTTGATGATAGTTCTGATGATTATATTGAACCAGACAAAAAGACGAAGTTGAAATTATTTGTTTATAGCTAAAATTGTATGCGGTTAATTTAGTTCTGTTTGTTGGATTTTCTTTGAATGACCAATTGCACTTGTTTGTTTGGTGTTCTTTAATAGTAAATGTTGTCAATTATTCTGAGTGACATTTTTAGTTACCAGGCTCTTTCATCTTTTAAATAATTTTACTGTTCTGCTAGTTAGTCAGTGGTTCTGTTTGTTTCTCTTGTTGCGCATCTTTCGTATTATATTATCTTACAGATATCTAGTTCTATACTGAAAATTATTGTCATAATAATATAATGGTTATGTTTATATTTTGAGATAAGTTGTTGTTCTATGTTCTTTACAACTGTTATGACGTTGAGGGTTTTTGAGAAATATAGCATATTTATAGCATTTCATCTTCTCCATCACTGCGCATGCTTTGTAACGTAAAACTTTCCAATTTTACATTAAGAAAGTGTTAAGAAAGTTTAAGTGCTGAAATTAGGAAATCGTTCAGAAAGTCTGAGGGCTGGGCTGAAAAAAATTTTCTTATAAAAAAAATGTGTAATCCAGTTTTGCACCTCAATCGTTAGCGAAACTTCCATTTTGGCAAGATAATGGAAACCCAAAGAAGCTCAACATAGCTTTCATTGTAGTGCATTGTGAAGTTGATACCCTTAGTAATGGAACTTTTAATATCATGCAGTCAATGTTGAACACAAAAATAGTAAGCTTGAAGAAAACATTAGAGCACAAGGGTGAGAATTGTTGAAGAAAATGAAAGTACACCCTGCGTTGGTCAGGAAGTGGCTTTTATAGATTCAGTAGGTAATTTTTTGTCAATATTATAAAATCCTGAAATACACGACTCTTGCCTTGAAAAGCAAATACGACGAGACGATAGAAAGATGGTGTCACTTTGGATACAAAGTTATCACAGTCACATGATCGTGCAGCCGTCATTGCATCAATATTTGTAAAAATAAACATGACTACGGAAACTAACTTGAAAATTCGTGAAATTTTTAAAAAAAAATTTGCTGCCTCATGCTACAATTTGGCTGGGCGCAAAAAGCAGGATATGATTAGAATATACATTGTTTCATTAACTCTTGTGATCGAGTTTTCTGGCGGCTCGATCGAGTTGCGAGATAAGTTCTTGTCTGTAAACAAATAAATATACTTACGAAACGTTTTCTTGTCTTTAAATCGCATTGGTTGAGATGAGGACATTTTACTTGTTTAATTACGAGACAAATAGCTTTCTGGTAGTCCTTTTTGAATTGTTTTTGCCAATCTCCACATCTAGCACTTCATTATCGCTCCACTTTTATGTCGTAAACAAATGGAATGGATTCTACTGAGAATGACGTAATCATCAGCCTCTCTTCAGAACCACCTTGGGCAACATGACAAGCCAGGGCATGGGAAACCGAAAAACATCCATTTGCAAGAAGACTAAATAAGGTGCGTCTAGACCTGTCAAGAATCAATTTCAAAATGAGTGAGTCTTTGAGAACGTTGGGATAATGTCAGGACTGCTAATGTTTTTTAAGGCTCTTGGCGGAACCAGAATTAATCCTGACTGCCATAGGCGTAAACTTAGGGGGGCTCTAGGGTTTCAGCCCCTCCTGACGTAAACCAAGGGGGGCTGAGCCCCTCCTGGAAAATAAGGAAGCGCTTTTCCAATTTTTAGATTAGTTTGTTATATTATTGGTTTCACGCATAAGATTTGTTGCATTAGATAATTGCGTTTACAGCAAAATAAAGTATGAAATTATTTTGAACATAAGGTCAGATCCAACTCGAGGCCAATCCTTCAGAGAGGCTGGAAGCATCAGAGGAAATTTTTTGAGCCCCCCCTGAAAAAAATGCAAGTCTACGCCTATGCTGACTGCCACACGGATGAAAAAGGGGAAACGATTTTTTGTTTAACTGTCAAGTTCTCCAGAAACGCCCAAACATCTAGCGTAAACACTGTGTAAACAAACAATTGCATTCTTCCAAATTTTCTTTCAGGATGTTAAAGGGATATTATTGTCCTCTGTATATTTCGGGGAATTTTACTGGGGTCATTGTTGCGCTAGAGCTAACCTGAAGTTGCGTAAGGCACCATTTGGGGCGAATGTGCTGTTATCTACTCATTATCTCTTCTCTAGCTAGGCCTTTTTCGGAAAGTGGATTTTTGCAAGGGTTTGGAAAAAATTAAAAAATTAATAGCTCAAAACTCTATTGTAGAATGCTTGACAATCTGCTTTGAAATGTGTGAGGGTGAGAAAAGACCAAAATTTGTGTTCTCGTGCCATATGCTTGAGGCTTTGAAGGTCTGTAGCTATTTAAGTTTATAATGGACATGTATCCTTTTCTATCTGCCCCTTCAACAGATTTGGCAAAGGAGTGCACAGAATTCCTTAAATTATGGCAATTTTTATATTAGAACTGGGTCGCCCTTCAGTGCCTTAACAGGTAGTAAAACAGTTAGATAGTGTTTATTCCCTTATTCCCTAAGCATTGAGTCATATGGTAAATAGGGGGTATTTTGGTTTTAAAAATGAAATATCCACTTTGGGTAGTTTCCTTTTTAAAAATCTATTGTAATTTGTGGCTCATCGATTAAATTTTGAAGATTGAGCTACTTCATGTTGAATGGAGATCGGTCATCAATACGCAGTGAATACCCTAGACCTAGACTAGACGGTAGTTCAACCAATCAAAATGCTCCTTTCCATGAGTAATATTTACTGTTAATCAGTTAAAACAATAGTCCTGTACGTTGAGAAATATGCAGCGTACAGCCTCAAAGTTGGTTCAAACTAGTCTCGCTTTGAGATCGATACAAACAGCAAATGTACAACTTTTCAAACGATTGCAAGAAAAAGACTGCACAAAATATTCTAAAATGAACTTTTACGCTATTTTACCAACTTTTACGATCTCGAAACAGTTTTTTGCGACGTCATTACTTAAAGAACTCTTTAGTCAATGGTACCCAATGTTAGTCTGAAGTCTTGAGGCGACATGTTGTACTTTTTGCATAAACTTAACAAGGGAAATCACAGCACCGCTTCTTATTAGTACCCCTTGTGAAAAATAGATCGATTGTTCTTTACATTCTAAACAATATGAACCAGAACATTTGTGTACTCGGAACGGTTCGCATGCTAAATTCCACCATTTGTTTCGATTTCTTGTTTTCTAAAGGCTTGGGTACGTTTTTTTGTAAACAAAATTTCCATGCGTTTGTGTACCTGGACCGTTTTGCATGCTAAATTCCACCATTCGTTTTGGGACCCTACTGTTTAAGTGATGATACGTTTTTGCATTACCGAAATTGCCATGTGTTTGAATATTCGGACCGAAATTCAAAATGTTACCGAAACGCATATGACACCGGCATAGATGACTTTCTACACCAGCCAACGTATGCATTTTATGAAGATACGAAGTTTATGATCATAATTTTGACTGCATTGTTTTACTCGTTTAAGCGACAGATAAAAAAAACTGTATACAAATCACTAATATTTCTTAAAGCGACATGATTACGCGAAATGAGCTTTGCCATGAAATATACAATTTTTAAAGAAGGGTTATGTTGAATCAAGGTATTATTGGCAACTCCAAAAGATTATAATTGTTCAAGATCTTTGCTGTTATCTTTGGAATCGCAGGAGCATTTGGTGAAATTTTGCTTTCTCTTTTCGTTGCATTTGTTAATGCTAATACCTTTGGTAGAACACTGTGCCATAATGTCATTCTTCTCGGGTTGTAATTGTGTTTTCTTGTATTTGTGACATTTATTTCAAGATAGCTCTTCTTATCTAAATCAAATATAGGCCATTTGCTCTCAGGAACACCATATTTTACAAAGTCTGTCCACATCTTCATCATTTTCCGACTAAAATTGGCATCCGATTCAGTGTATTTTGCGACCAACCAATCACCAGAGGAAAAAAATGGCCTACCAAACACAAAACCCAGCTCTATGCTATGTGCAATGCCCAGTGAAGGAACTCGTAAGTGCTCCGGTAAGTATGTGAAGTCATAAACATACACCCGTTTTCCTGCTTTTGACCAGTCACCAGCCATTTTGATAATTCCCTCTTTGAAATAAAAATCAGCTAGAAAGTCACTGCAAGACATCATGAGGCTCCAGTTCTCTGGATTCAGAAACTTGCGGTACTCAAAAGAAGCTATTTCTCCAATTATATTCGCACTTTTTTTATACCGCCATTTCAACGTCCCTGTAATGTACTGTTTATAAGCAGCTTGGTTCCACTCGATTTTTGGCAAAAAGATTGTCCCTTCGTCCTTGTTGAAACCTATCAAAAGCTCCAAATCTGGTACTGGCAACTTGCCCTTTTTACCCTGATGCCAAGGCAGGGCTGTAATCACTTTACCATCCACAGTCGGTGCAGTAAGCGGATAAAATGTTGATGGCATTGGTTTCAACAGCAATCTTGTTGCAGGTGTGCCGCGTAAGCATGTCGCTATGTGCGTCTCTCTGCATCCAAAACTTGCCGCAAACCCTGCAGCTATGCTGCGATTCTGACGCTCATAAACAGCCCAGGGACTCAATGCAGATGCACTCTCGGCTATTGCCCGAGTAAACAGCCCTTTAGTCAAGGGTGACAGCAGGAGTAACGACACGCTACTGGCTCCTGCACTTTCTCCAAATACTGTGACTTTGCTTGGATCGCCACCAAAAGCGGAAATGTGTGCTTTGACCCATTTTAAAGCGAGAATCTGGTCCTGCAGCCCGTAGTTCCCCAATAACTCTGAGTCGGGCAAACTGAAGAACCCAAAGATGCCCAAACGGTAGTTAATAGTTACTACCAAAACGTCATACAGGGCTGTCAGCATTTCTCCATTATAATCACTCCCCGATCCAGTTCTGTAGCCACCACCATGAATGAAAACCTTGAAATAAAGGCATAAGCTCGTGAAATACTAAACCGAGGGACACAATCTCATAAACATTGACAACAATGACTATTTTATTCTAATGCTCTGTTTTTGCTTTACAAAAACCTTTTTTGTTTAGCAATGATGCTAGGTAGAGAGGTATTTGTTGTGTTGATGCTAACCCCCTTCGCCTTAAAGGTGTAGGCAATGGATTTGAATCTTGTATAGCATCAAGGATGCCTTTTCAAGAAACAATCTTTTGCGTAGGAAAACACTGGCAGAAGAGAAAGATTTGATGTCTTAATGGAATCCGTACCCAGAATTTTTTAAATCTACAAAACCGTCGTTTTAAGCTATTTTTACCACTCACCATGACGCTCATTCTGGCTGTTTTTCCCTTTCGTACTCTGAAAATGTTGAGGTACAAACAATCTTCCTCTCCTTTAACGGTAGTAAAACTTGGATTGGTCTGTAAACAACTCTTTTTCTTACCAATCAGCGTTTTTTTCCAAGGTTGTACCATCTTGGGCGGGACGAATCTCAAATCTCCAACAGGCGGCCTAGCAAAGGGCACACCCCAAAAAGTATCAACAAGACTGCCATTTATACTCTTTGTAATACCTACCAAAGAAAAGGGCTCATTTCATTGGATGCAATAGGTCAGTCTTATTCAATTACAGCTCCTTACAGAGGGGAGGGGGGGCTACGTAGAACTATCCTAGCATATCAACTCAATAGGATGACGTACACCTCAATAGTTGCTGCTGTTGAAGTCACTTAATGTACACGTTGAAGTATGCGATAGAAATTAGATTTGAATTTAATGAGTTTAGAGAAGACATGAAATTAGAATGAATCGAAGTTGTAATCTAAACTAGAATTTACGTTATGATTGATCGATGTTTTACAGTCCTCTGTTGGAATTAGAAATGGAGCCTAAACAATAAATCGTTGTCTTTCTTATCCTGTTTCTGTAGTACTGAACTTGAGTCACCAGCATATAGCAATTTTGCATAAAAAGCAATCTTTTACATAAAATGATTTTCCACAGCAAAAAAAACAAATTTCTGTAGTGTTTATTCTTTTAGCCCTGGTGAAACTTCTTTTTCCAAGGCAACAACAATCCTTGCCAAAAATAGTTGAAACGCCTTCCCAATGCAGCATGCAAGTAAACAAAGCAAGTCTAAAACTACTTTACCAAAAAAGCAATGCCGCTTCCAAAATTTCGACCCCCTCCCCCGTACAATGTTAATTTATTTTCTCAATACTTTCATACAGCTTTTAGTTAAAAAATATTTATCTTCAGCGTCAAAACAGCCAAATTGAGCAACATTGTAATGGTGGGGGTAGGGGGGGGGGAGGGATTTTTCAAAAAAGCTTCAGCTTTGTGCAAGTGTTCCAACAATTTTGGCAAGGATTGAAGCTTTTTCAGACTGCCATAGGAGTTTCGGGGTAAAATTTTGGGGAAAGTAATATGTTTTCATTCAATTGGTTGAGTTGGTGGCTTTTCAGATTTGAATTAAATTGGGTATTGATACGACACAGGGCCTCCACACGGACGATATCACGTGACAATTGCATCATTACGCTGTGATTGCATCAGTTTCTGTAAACATGTGTTATACCTTAAGGTATATAAGAAGTGGCTTTTATAGTTAGATTCAGTCTTGCCGTATGATTTTCGAACTCAGTGTGTCTTGTCGTTAGCTTAAAGGATTGTTTTTTGCCGTTACTTTGCCCTCCTTAGCTGTTTAAAATATTTTTAGTCTTATGCCGTGAACTGATCAATTAGAAGAAGTGTAAAACATTAGAGAATTGGAAAACAGTTTTTGTCGTATTTATCGCGTACGTTTCTGCGAACGATCTACGAACTCACATTTGTAAAACCCCCTTTTTAAGTGGTTTTACACTATGCATTTCATATTGTATCCAAATTTGGGGTAGGGTTTTTGGAAAATTTATAAATTTAGGGTATGTTTCCGTTTTTCAAAATGGCACATCCCCGTCCTCTGTCCATTTAAGTCAAGCCTCCACCCCTCTCCACTTCCTGGGCTCAGATGACAAAGCAAGGGGTCCAATGAAAAGTAAGAGTTCTATATCAAATAATTTTATCAGCTGTAAGCCATTGCAATCCAAAGAAAGATAAATATTTTCATTTACAATTGGCCTAGCATTGAGAACTAGCCTTTTGTTGCCGATTGGATACGTAAAAATACGTCTATTGAGTATTTCAACAAATTTGAAATTTAAATGGCCAGCGAAATACGTCGGGTGTAATCTACTTTCAATCATAAACCGATTGAGTGTAAAGAAGGATTTGATGCAAGAAAACCAAACTTTCCTATTTTGCCATGACGTGAGTTCTCTCTACGATAGTAAAAGTTTTGCTGAATATTGGAGATTTTGGGTTCTTTATGGGAAAGTTTTGGAATATGGATCTTTTCGGGTTTTGAAGGCACGGATAGATAAACGTTTTGTCTTGCCTTTGGTAAAATTTTCATTTATGCTGCATTTTGTGCTGATATTTTTTCGCGTGTATTTTTACTGCCGCTTTGAAAGAGTTTGGAAGCTTTATTCGATTCTAGAATCTGTTTACAAAATATTTCTCTTTCTTTCTTATGCTTTCGTTTTTACAAAGCATAGTTTATAGAAAAACAACTAAAAACAACTTTTCCATGCAATATTTTTCCATTGAATTTGTTCAGAGTCAAGAAAAGTTTGTTCTTCTGCTTATTTGTTCTTTTTGTAACTTGCTGATTACGCCGTTCTCAAAACAGAGAAACGTTATGGTCTTAAGGCGCAAAAAAGTTGATGACAGGATATGAGTTGTCAAGTTGACTAGCAGCATCGTAGCAACAAAACAACAACAAGCCTGCATGCAGCATCTCCTGTTTCCATGATTCAATTTCATGGCGTTTTTGTCAAATATATTCAAATGATTTGATTAGATATCATATTGTATTGACCTTCTTGTAAAAAGTGTATTATGTGAACAAATGAATCTGATTTGGATACGAATCAAAAAGGCCTCCTTCATTTCATACCATATTGAAACCGTATTCGTGCTAACTCCGTTTATGCAACAAGTCAATGTGCCATTATTTCGTTCTTCAATATTCTTTTAGAGTGACCATTTGCTATGATACATCGACATTTTGCATAATATTCGATCTATTCTTGAGATTTCTGCTCTGTGTTGACGAATCTCTATGGCAACACTTTTTTAAACACATAAGTTTTCCGTGTGCAACAATGTATTTGTTTTGCACAATTCAATATTTCTCACTGCAAAGTCTGCATTTACGCAAGCAGATGTTCCGTTTGCTTGTGGCTACACTCCTTCAGACCTGTTTTATTTTATTCCTAACATGCTCAGGAAAACCTTTTCTCCTGAAACACCGATTGAGCTTCCTTCTTCTCATAGTGCTGTAGATCAAAACATGATATATAATCTAACAGTGTAAATTGGGCCTGGATATTTGAATTTTAACCAAGAAACATACCATCAATGATCTAACTGTTTCGCTGACTGGAGAATATTGCAAAATGTGCAAATAGAGAAGATGATAAGATAATTGTGGTTTTCCAGTTTTGAGTTGCCGCCCTTTCACATATCTAAACTCAAATTTTGGATGGATTCGCTATTTCAGGTCTCATCTCAGAGTCATCTGCCTTTAAAAAAGGACTGACTAGTGACTTTGTTGACATTCTGTACATGTTTGTCTCGTGAGAATAATTTTGATTCGTTGCAATGGTTTTCTATGCCCATTTGAATTATTCCATTTTCGTACTTGACGTCTCAACTGACCCTTGCCTGGCTGGATTAGTTTCCAATTTACACAGAAGCAGTAGTTTGCGGCAAGTCTTTGAGGCTATCCTCTTGACTGGTAATTCGAGGATCTGACATGTCTATACAGTGTAGCAAGATGACGCAAATGAGTTTGAGTTAAAAAGATATTATGTTACGTTACAAGGCTTTTAGTTGGACTAGATATCGACACGACCCCTAGCCTGAGATCAGGCTCTCGGGGCGGAGGTGGCAGGAGCGGAAGAGGGAAAAGGAGATTAAATCCTTCCTACTTTCTTTTTCTTATTTTCTATTTTTCCCGGTCTCCGTCCGATCCTGGTCTCAGGCTACACGATCCCTTAATAATCTCCAAAATGCCCTTAAAGCAATTCAACAAATTGTATTGTTTTTAACTTTTGCCATGTTGTTAAGCCTTCCCTAAAACTTTCTAGGACCTCAATCCACAATATGCTTTTCGGTCTGTGGTCTACAACAAAAACCGCTAAGGTTTTGTCCAAGTGGGCCTGCAGAGATCATAAACATGTACTGTGAAGTTTAACTGGACTGCCCTAGCAAACTTCACTTCGGCTTTCAGGCGTACGTTTGCATAAATTTCTAAAATACTTACCGAGAACGCTTCCAAGACCCTCAATCTCCACAACAATGCATTGAACGATTGTCACCGCCAATTCCAGTGCCAAGAGAGCAATCACAAGTGACCTCTTGGTTGTGCACATCTTGAAGGTGTACACTGAAACGCTCTGTTGAATGAATGCATCCAACTGTCATCTAGTAGGAGATCTAGTAGGAATTGGCCTGTGACGTGACGCAAGGAATCGGTCTGTGACGCAATCTGTCTCTAGCACACCGCATTCGTGGCGGTGACGACTTGCTTGAGCTTGTAAAATGCGGAGGCAATATTCAAACAAAAAAATTTAACTACAGTTTAATCCTGTGCCAGTATCTTGAAACATGAATGATTAGCCAACAACTATTCAGAGTGTTTAAGAAGGAAGAACCGCAGGATAGGCTGTCCGCCGGATTCTGTGAATCTTGCAATGAGTGTTGTTATGAAAAATATACAGGAACAAAGCAATACGATTTTCCCAAAAAGTAAGAACAACATAAGAAACAACAAACAAGGCAGGCTGAAGTTTAACAAAACTCAAGAAGCAAAATACCATAAAATAATGAACGAATAGCAAAAAAACAACGGAAAGCTATAATAAAATAGCATTGAAACAAAGGTTAAAACAACAACTTTACCGAAATTGACGTCATCATATCAAATCTTTTTACTTGCTGAAGATAAAGATGCAGGTACAAGTGCAATATCGCGGACAGAGGCTTCAATTACTTTATCAAGAAATTCATTGCACAGGAAATTCAATTACAGAAAACAAGCAACAAAATAACAAACACGTAAACCTAAAATTATGCGTAAAAATAAGAAACACCAGGCTGAAATTGGAGCAAAGTGTTCTTTAAAAAAACGTGGATAGTTGTAGAAAATTGAATACCATTCACAGGTTGAATTGAACATCTTTCAAATTTGAGTCAGAAAGTGTGAAGTTGCATTAAGAATAAACATAAAGGATTTTGAGTAAAAAAGGATTTTTGGATTCTAATCATGACGCAATTAAATTTTTGCGTTGTTCCCCTGGATCAAACAAGGCAACTTTTATCCGCTGGACATTGCCAATATAGAAATACATAACGATTGAAAAAGTAATATTTTTCACTATTTGATTAGCTAGCTCCGTTCAAACGTAGTATAAAGTACACAAAATAATCAACTTTCTTATTGGGGAGACGAACATTTTTGGTCAGAAGGTCGGTTGGGTTTCCAAAATTGTGCATCACATGCACATGCGCATTTAAAGTAAATGCAACTGCCACCGGGCCCGGGCCTGGGGCCCACAAACAAATAGAGGCTCCAAGAAGCTTTCGAAAGTCTAATATGGTATCACAGGGTTTACCTTGCACGAGGTTCTTATCAGTGGGCAAATGCTCAACCTTACCGTGTACAAATTTCGAAAATTGGTATGGATGACTCCTTATTCGAACTGAGATGGCACCCTATATTCATATCTATATATTTCATATTATGTTATTATATTATTCATATTTTATATTTGATTTGTTTAAGGGGGGTTGCCCTTCAACGGAAGTTGTTTTTCAAGGTGCCCTCCAATAAAAACTAATTACAATATACAATTAAAATACTAGAAAATAAAAAACCATAAAATTACAAACCTATTTACAATCACATGGTATCATACATGGAAACTAGCCAACCCTGTATTGATTTTTTGAATCCACCCAGGGAGGATGCCGTCTTGGACTCAGCAGAAAGGCTATTCCATAGTTTAGCTCCCCGGAGAAAAAAGCATTTTTGTCCCTTTGCTGACCTTTTCTTTGGGAACCTTAAATCAGTCTCAGTGTTCCGGAGGCTGCGGGAGGAGCATGCTGAGTTTTTGGTGGAGAGGTTACACAAGTATTGAGGAGCCAAATCACAGAGCGACTTGAAGAGCACATTGTCGCGTATTTTTAGCTCTAAGGCTTCATTTGAACTTCTAAGAGAGCTGCCTTTCTACCTTGAGGATATGAGCATTGAATGAGTTTTTGCCACATTCAATGAAACTTATTGCCTCGCAACCAAGTCTCCGATTTCTTGAGATCGCTATTTTTAGGCTCATTCAGCTGAGTCAAATCGTGAGACTGGTGACAAAGACTGGTATCATCAGCATACATAGTCACAGAGGAATCTTGGATGGCCCGTGGAAGATCATTGATATAGATAAGGAATAGAAGAGGGCCAAGGCATGAACCCTGCGAGACTCCCACTTCTATTTCCCTGAGATTTGAATCAACACCATTAGCCCTACAGAATTGTTTGCGGTTGGATAAGTAAGACCTAAACCAAGACAGCTCTCGCTGCTGAACCCCACAAAATTCGAGCTTTTTACAGAGAATATCATGGTGGACCATATCAAATGCCTTTCTCGGGTCAATAAATACCAATCCCACGAGCTTACCGAGAACGAGCCCGTTGTACCAGTCATCACTCATTTTAAGCAAACAAGTTAGTGTGGAATGTAGCCGCAGAAAGCCTGATTGGTCAGATGTATAGAGACCATTTTTTTCATATTCTGGTACACCTGGTTGAAATCTGCTGACAGATAAAATGAAAATTAGATGATAATGACGATATGGTCGACGAAAACTACTGTAAGCAAAGTGATGAAAACGTGATGAAAATTCAGTTATTGGACTCCTTTTTTATTCATAACTTCAAGCCGTCCCGATAAGTCCCGATGTCAAGACTTAATCCCAACAAAATGATGTGTGAGATTTTGCCCCGATCTGAGAAAAATCCATCCAACTTTGATGCATAGTTAAAATGACTTCAAAGAGTGCCTTTTTCAGCGAACTGGCATCAGTCATATTCGAAAATTTTCTCACCCTTCTGCGGCAACCAGTGCCAGCCATCTCGGGTAGTAAGAGAATCGCGATTTTTGTTTTGATTAAGGGATCATACTTATAATTGAAGAACTGAGCAAAATATCTAATTCAATATACATAATAAAAAGTGTATCAGATAAACGTGTTATAAAATTTTATGTTTACGCCTTCCCATGCTTTCGTCGAATATAACTTGCTAGCCCTGGGCTATGCACTGGGCAATTGAAATCTTTTAGATTTAGATTCGTTCTAAGTTTGCTAGAATGAAATTGTGATTTTAGTTGATGAAATGTTTTGATATTGATATCAATTTAGCTCCTTGAAAGTTGGAATCGGTACCCCAGATAAAAGAAATATAATTATATTGTACAGTTTTACTACAGTAAGGCTCAGCATGATTTAGCCTTAGCAGATCTAAAGACTAGCATGCGGAAGAGCGCATAGAAGAATCAGAAGAAACTGTGTGTAATACCAACACAGCGGACTCAGTGATTAAGCTCGATATCTCAATCATTAAATACATACATGCCGTACCATATGTTATTTTTCGATTTTATTATCTTTCATATGTTAGATCATATAATTGATAATCATATATTATCTTTCAAGTTTCTTTTTAGAATAAACTGCAAATTGTGAATTTGAATCTTAACTTTTGCTTTAAATCCTCTCTTGATTAGATTTCTGCACCTTTTTCTTTTTTAAAAAGCTAAGAATAAAGAGGCTATACTATGCATTCAACAAAACTGTCTTATATTTAAATAAAATACGGTAAAGCATATATAGCAGAATGTTTGCAATTGAAATTACTTTCCATGTCTTTTTCTTTCTATTTAATATTAATAGAGTGACTATTTTATTAAACCATCCATCTTTTATGGAACGATTGTTTGTGTAGTAATGCTTTTATTGCTGCTTTGCCTGCTATTCGATAACTCGTCTTTTTTCAGGTTTCCAAGCTTCAAAGCTTTAACCAAATCACTAGCCAGGGGATCTTTATCAAAATCTTCTAGCTTTTTTCCTTTTGGGCGATTCCTTTTTTGCATATTCTTTCTCTGTTTTTTCACTGTTATCTTCTTGCCTTTCCTAATTTCACCTTTCATCAATTTCCCATGACGACCACTGCCATTGATCACATTTGATGTCCCCTTGGATTGCTTTTTAATTTTCCCCTTTTTGCCTGGCTTGCTGTTTTCTGTTACCTTCCCTTTTGCAATAGGGTATCCTCCGGCTCCCATCTGAGATGTAGTTAAAACCTCGTACGGATTTCCCTCCTGAGTAGCTATAGGAAGGGGGCCACCACCGTTGAAAGCCAATGGCTGTACTACGTTAGGCTGCATTTGTGTTGATGTGAGTACTTCATATGGATTTGAAGCCACAGGCAGGGGAGCGGCTGCGTCTGTCAGTGATTGGAAAGCTGGTTGAGGGCTGATTATCCCAGGGGCCTCTAACGGCTGCTGGGGCTGCACAGGAGCAACAGGAACTAAAGGCAAAACATTATACCCTGCTACGTTCACAGGCGGCTTGAACTTGGAGGCAAAAGATGTCAAAGAGACTGTCTTTGCCTGTTCAGGTACAATAGCTCCAGGTGTCATTGTCGAGACCGATCCAACTGGACCTGATCCGGTTGGTGTCGAAGGTGCAGCAATATTTGTTTGTGAAGGCACCTGCACGAATGAAAAATTTGGTTGCACGGGATTTGTCGAAACTGATCCTGCCGGTCCTTGTCCTGTTGGTGTTGACAATGACGTCACATGTGACTGTGGCAACAAGTCGATCGGGGTCAAGGTTTGGAAATTTGAAGGCATCACTGGGGCACTAACTGATTGCGGCTGTACGATGGATGGTGAGATATCCTTTGTCTCTGTCTTACCTTTGCTATCTGATGATAACCCTGCCAATGCTTTCTGGATGTCTTTTCCAAGCAATTTGCTGAGAAGCTCCCCAGCGGCGTCCGGTGCCTCCGCACTTCGCACCGCTGTATCGCTTCGGCAATTGACTCTAGACCCTATGCAACGTGAACCCGTATCGCGCGTTGTCATCTCCTTCGTACCGTCCCTATCCAGTCGAGAACTCAGTTTGCCTATCTTTTCAGACATGTTGTTGATTTTAGAAGCCACATAATCTTTATATCTATTCTGTTTGTCTTTTTCTAAAAGCCTTGGTATCTTGTCAACCTGATAGGCAAGCTGCGTCACTGCCCCTTGAAGCACCCCAATGGCATTGACAAATGCAGTTTTTTCGCTTACTCGCCGCTCTTGCTGGAGAGCTAGCGCTGCTCTCAGATCATTATTTGCAAGTTGCTGTTGTTGCAATTGTGTTGACAATATAACCAAAGATTTCTCTAGATTTTCTAAACGGCTAGGCATCTGGAAGTCAAGGACTGGTCCTGAAAAATATTTACAGAGCCTTAGAGTAAAAGCCTTGGCATTAGCTACAGCTTGGAGTTGATGAGTTTGGTGAAGGAAATGGTCTCAGAATTATCTCCAATAATCAACCGATAGAAACAGTGGATGTGACATTGAATAGAAAAGTGAAATAGAAATCATTTTGGCAATCAACTTGGACTTTAGAAGAATGGAAATCTAGACAATATAAACTTGGAATATGCCGTTTATGTCGGTCATACACTGGCCAAACATAGTTCTGGTGGCAAGTCGAAATCTGGTCCTGGCTCTTTTTCGAGCTCTGTTTCAGTTGTTAAACAGTTGTGAAACAGAGTCTAAACCTTCCAATTTCAACAATTTCAACTCGTTCAAGCAAGCCAAAGTCCCAATTTGAATCTCGGTAGACAATTGAATGAGAATTGATGTTCTTAGTTAGCAGAACCATCTCAATAAAGTCATCAAAATGCAATGGTGTCAGTAAAATTGAAGTTTAATTTACATTCAACATACTTTGCAAGGGAGCCCCAGAGCCTTCGTGGGGCAGTATCTTGGTATCATCCTTTGGCATAGCTCTTTCGGGCATTACACTTTTCACTGGGTAATCAATATGTTCTCCATCATCTTCGTATGGATCAATGTCATCATCTTCATCGAATTCGTTCACAGCCTTTACTTCATGTCCCCACGCAATCACCTCTGTTCCAATCACGAAAATAAACATAAGCATGAACAGGTTCTTCATCTCCGGTCTCATGCTTTCTTTTCAAAATAAAGTTACATCACTGTAAGGAAAAGTTACTCGATTGAATGATTGAATGATTGAATGATTGAATGATTGAATGATTGAATGATTGAATGATTGAATGATTGAATGATTGAATTGCTGTATAATCTGATAAGATGATTGAAAAATGAAAACTGCCATGAAAGATTGGCGCCCTGCCGAACTACGGCCACAGCTAGAAAGGTCAATTAAAACAAAAAAAATTCGGTTCTCGTTTATTTACAATACGAAAACTTCTTGGTTATTACTTGGATTCTCTTGGGCATTCCTCGAGATATGTTTTATCTTTCAAAGATAAGATGTTAGAATGACACTTACCTACATAAGCGGTTCCAGGAACCAGTACCAAATCACATAAAGAATTCAAATTTCAAGAATGAAAATCCTGTTGTACCCTGATCTTTTTAAAAGACTGTTAACTTTGATAAAAATGATACTTGGCCTGTCTCTAGAATTATTTGCTTAGTGCTTGACGTGAAACTGTTTATTCGCATGTTTGATGAAGTACGAAAACGAAGCCAAGCGTGTTGATGATTTCAATAACAATTCCACTGGTAGCAGCAACAACGACCGTAGTAACAACAGCAGCAACTGCAAAGGCTTGCTATTAGACGAACCATCGTTACAATCGAGCAAACTTGGCTGATATACAAATTGCAAAGCTAACTGGGTTTTTAGATTTTGTGCGAATTTCAGGTTATAAGCAAGTGAAAGAAACAATTCTTGGGAAAGGTCTCTGCTCTTGCTCTGTACGACGTTTTTAAAAATTTCCCAAACCTGTTCTTCAATAGCTCTCTTGTCCTGCCCTCATTAAGAATTATCAAAAGCTATCCAGCCAACTAATGAAATTACTAATCAGATGAAAAAAATTAATAGCCTTTTCATAACCAGACAGAAAACTTATGCGATCAAAATACTTCAAATGTAAAGCTAACAGTTTCTGCAATTAAGACGATATAATGGTTTTTCTATTTGATTAGCCTCTCCATGTTTATCTTGCTATCTATTTTAAGCTTATGCTAAAACGAAAAGCAAGTTATAGGAAACTTGCTATCTCGTTGATACTTGCTGAAATAGATATTTTAACCTTGCTCAAGCAATAGAATTATATCTACATTGTTCAATGAAATAGATAGTTAAACGCATATACAAGAGAATTATGTAAGGGCTGACTGCATGAAATTGTTCTTTGAGACTGATTTTGTGTTTTTCTATCAGATGGATAGATTAATAGCAACTATGCCCTTGACTACCAAAATGACGTATCTATGGCCACGACGTCGTCCTTTATTCTTTTTTCTCCAATTTGCAGTCCTGATGCTGCGAATCTGTGGTATTGGCTATGAAGGAACTCCCATAAAGTTTTCCATTCCACCTCAAAGATATTTGAATTTGAGTATCTAAATTTTATTACGTTGTCAAAGATGGTATGCCACAAGTTTTCATACAGTGCCTAAAAAAGCCCCTGCGGTGCCATATTGCTCTAATGTATCAGATTTGCCTTCGAATTACGCACCGTTTGGTCATCCCTTTTGACTTCCTTAAGCTAGGCCAGTTGTCAGAAACAAGGTTTCACCCATAAATTGTATTTGCATAAAAAATCTTTGTTTTCTATATATAAATGCTCAAACCACTTGTTAATATTTAAAAAGGCCAACAGTTAATATTTCAAAAAACATGTTTTTCTTCAATGTGAATGACTATCACTTAATTTGTCATATCAAAGATAATAGCTTTGAGAAATGTTCTCATTTCTTTTACTGCCACTGAGTTTGTTGGTGCGAGCCAATAAACCGTTTGCCCGACTTTGCTTGTTCAAAAGGTTCATTTTCAAAGATTTCCCGGTTGAATGAGCAGATTAAAATCAAATTTATTTTAGTCCGAATCACATGCAATATTCATTGCTTGTCAAAACATTGACTTTCTCTTGATAGTGGCGTTTATGGAAACAAGTTATGAAGACCAGTAAAATTTCAGTTTCGACAGTCAGTCTTTCAGTTGAAGAAAATGAATTCAAAAGAGTCGCATATGGGAAAATCTTGACTTTGACATGTCTGTTTACAAACCAGTGCTATGGTGTGAAGTTTATTGTGCTAGCGAACTCTTTGCATCGGTAGAGTCGCAGCTTCATTGATAACAAAGAAACGTGTCAGATGCAAGTTTGAATTTCATATCCTACTTCTCTCTACTTTATTGCTAGAATAAAAACTCTTGAAAACATACAATAATAAATAATCAAGCCTAACGCAAAAACACAAGCAGCATTAGTTGAAATTGAAGAAAAGTGACAAATTTAGCTTCATCGCAGACGTCAACTAAACAAGCTACCATTTGTTATCTCTACGGGTGCATCAGATGAACCTAGGCCATGATAAATCAAAGCCCTAGTGCCCAGGACCTGCTGGTAAACCTTTGTACATGCTCCAATGAATCCGTATAAAGCCACTCAAGCATGTAAGTCAGTAGGCCCTAATTTATCAGGGAAAGCTCTTAGCAACTCAAAATACTAAAATTAATTGTTTATTTAAAAGAAATGAAGAATAGATTGCTGCTTTTGCATTACCTATAAGCATATAGTCGTCAACACGTGCCTGGGCAGCATTGGATTCAATACATAGCTGCAAAAGGGAATTTGAAATTTGAATTCACAGTACTATTTATAGAAAGGGTAAGTCTGCTTATAGTATTCTCTTTCGATACTCAGGTTTTGCAGTGACTAGCAACGGAAACAAATTTTGCCAATGGCTACTGTCAAGCCCCTATAATAGAAAAAATTCGCTAGAGAATATTAACTGGGGTTGCAAGAACGAGCCTTGTGGAGCAACATGCAATATCATTAAAACAGTCATACAAGTATCATTTCTTGAAAAACCTTCATTTCTCAAATACCAAGTATCACTTTTCTAAAATTTTCGCTAGAAAAGTTTTCATTTACTTTAAATAGAATAAAATTTACAAGAATGATAAATTTGATGTTGGAGGAGAGTTTCCCTATACGGTCGTCACTTCTCGTATCCACATCTGCCGATCCTGAGTCTTCACAGTAGTTTAGAGCCTTAACATTCTGCTCGCAATATTTTGCATGGCTCTTTCCATCGATTCGTCCCTTCGATAACTCTTTCCAGACGTTTCTCTCTCGTATGCTCGGAACTAAAGCATCTTTGCTACATTGCCTAAATGCAATCAAATAGTTGTCTTTTAGTGTTTTCATTTCACAAAGCTTTCTCGTTGTACTCAACGATATGCAGAGAAGCTTCCATAAGCAAAACCTGACAGGCAGCCTTTACTGAGCAATGTAGAGAGCAAAATCATTGCATAAAAGTTTTCTTCTTGTAGAAATTTTGTGTGTTTTAAGCTTTACATGACATGTCTTATTAAATATCATCCTTCAAAACTTATGCAGCACATGGCGAACATTTGTAACCCCTTTCAATTATATTAAAATGTAAAGCCCTTGATTTTCGGGTTCTACGTTAAAGGACAGTTATAAAATTAACTTGTTTTGATGCGTTTGTGTCGTTGTTTACATTGTTATCAACTCTTAGTTTTAGCAATTTGCGGAATGTAAAGAAAAATGAAAACTATGCGAAGACTGGCTCTGTTGCTACTTGTTTGGCTAGCAGACTTTTTCTCGAACGGAATTCATGCACAGCAAGGTAAGTCTATGCATGTCGGTAAAATCTTATACGATGCCATACACCTTGACATTACTACTTTGTGAAATAGCCTTATATATAGCTACGAAGGGTGTAGCTTGCCTTGTAAATTATTCTTCGTATAAACCTACAAGTAATATATAAAAAGCCTGATTAACTTTGACTGAATTATACTCTCATTCTTAAAAAGATGTCGGTGGGGCTGATGAAGTAGACGGCAATATCCTTGATATCAAATTTGTCTCTATCGCTGCTCGAGATAGGAAACACGAAAGAAATAATATACAAAACAGAGTTGCACAAGTCCCTGTTAACTTTATTGGCGAGAAGCGAGATGGCATGGTATTGTACCCAAGATCATCAAAACCAATCAATTATCCTATCAAGGATTTGTTTCCGAAAGACAGGGAAGAAGAGAGTGGATCTGGAAGTGGGGATTGTAAGTTCTTCCAATAGTCGGTAGCATCGCAGATTCTTCTCTTTCTCTATTTGAGCGTCTGTTTGCTGGTGAACAACTAAATCATCACAGCTGGAGCAATGAAGTATAGTACTTGTTGTGAGAAAGAAGCAGTTATTTAAATGCATTGCTCATACATGAGAAAATACTAGATATGCAAGAAATAGTTAAAAGAAAATAAGAGACAAGCTCAAATGCCAGATTCAAAAAACTTCTTTTGTTAAAACATTATTGTTGTATATTGTAGCAATCAGGTGTTATGTGCTTTCTTGTGCATCATCTTCAGGCACAAAATGATTCCAATTCTCATTCGCATTTCAGCAGCAGCAAATGCAAAAGTTGACCCTGCGGTGGCAAATCGCATAAAAGCGCTTGAGCAAGGTTTACGGCTAATGGCGCAGAAAGTTGTCACACAAGATCGCAATAACCAAGCCCTTGCTGCAGCATTGCAAAGCAAACAAATGCAGGAAAACCAGGAACTGGCCATGCAGCAGCAACTGCAACAGCAAAAGGCGGCACAGGAACAAAAAGCCGCCCAGGACCAGCAAGGAGCGCAACAAGCAGCGCAGCAGCAACAACAGCAGCAAGCCCAATCACCTCAGGTGAATCCAGCTTTGCAAGAGGCATTCAAAAGCTTGCAAAACAATATCGCCAGTTTAGAAGGGAAGATCAAAGCTTTGCCAGATCCGACAGCGCTATCAAGCCAAACCTCACAAACAGCTGCAAAGGTTGAGGAGCAAGCGGCAGCCAACGATTATTTGTCGACTGCTGTTGAGAGGCTGCAAAGCATGGTGCAAGGAATAGGTGGGAGGCTGTCGTCCATTGAAACTAACATTGTAAATAAGCCACAAGTAGATAATGGCAAAACACAGTTGGTTAAAGCATTAGGAGGTGGCCTTAACAACCTGCAGGAAACTGTGCAGTCTCTCGGATCGAAAGTAGCTGAGATTGATAGCAAAGTGGAAGCAAACAAGAACAATGGTGGAGCGAATGATAAGAATGGGCAAGTGACAGCAGAACTGACAGGAAATATAGGGAAACTGGAAACAGTAATGACTGATTTATCACAGAAAATCAAGGATCTGGCAGCGAAAGAAATCGAGAGAAACAAACAGCAAAGCACCAATGACAAACAAGCACAAGCAGAAAAAATAAACAACGATGCCAAGTTAGAAGGCCAGATGAAAGCCCTTGGAGACCAAATCCAAGATCTTGCGAATAAGGTATCTAGCTCTGCAGGTGCAGGACAAGTTGCAGCTGCACCAGCAGCTGTACAAAACGGAGGTGATTCTTCAGCAAATAAGGTGAATCAGGAGTTGATAAAAAATCAAGAGAAACTTGGAAACGATGTCCAGGCTATTCAGAGCAATGTTCAGAATTTGGCGCAAGTAATCTCAGATTTGAAGCAGCAGGCAGCTGCTACTCCACCACCTGCGCCACCACCACCTCCGCCACCTCCCCCACCTCCTTCACCACCACCACCACCACCAGCACCAAGTGGAGTAGATGTGGCAGCAGTTGCAACCAGTATCCTTGGCAACGCTGTCAAGGTTTTCAAAGACGTAGCTGCGGCAAACGCAGCTTCTGCAAGCTTGAGGCCTGGTGGGATAGGTGGCGTAAGTGGAGCGGGAATACCATCACCTTTGGCTGGTGCTCTTGCAGCAAATATGGCAGCAGCAGGTGGGGCAGGAAATCTTGGGGCTTTGGGTGGATTTGGAGGAGCCGGGGGCCTTGGTGCTGGAGTATCCGGAGTTATTGGTGGAGGCCTCGGTGGTGGGGTAGCTGGAGGTATTGGTGGAGGTCCTGGTGGTGGGGTAGCTGGAGGTATTGGTGATAGCCTTGGTGGAGCAAATGCAGGGTCGTTAGTTGCTGCAGCTCTGCAAAGTGGTGCACTTCCATCTGTTAACAACGCACTTCAGGCTGTAGCACAAAACCCACAACAAATACAAACACAAGTGGAATTTAAGCCTATGTTAATACCCCAGTTACAGCAACAGCTCAAAGCATCTAAACTCCCTGGTTTAGTCACTGGAAGTTTAGGAGGAAGCCTTGGACTGGGGGGTTTAGCTGGAATTGATGCTGAATCTATAATTGGAAAATTGATCAATCACAAAGAAGGGAAGTCAAGAAAAGATGATGAGGAAAAGAACGAGCAGAGATCAAAAATAATCATGCCAAGTGAAAAAGTAGAAAATTGGAGCGACATAATTGATAAGCACATGTTATTTAGAAGGGACATTGAAGGTGCTAAAAATCGTAGCAGTAATTCATCTTCTGATTCTATTGCAAAGCCAGAAAAACACTTTTTTCATAGACTGATTTTGAGTGGGTCAGAATTAAAAGCAAGCAAAAGGATGGAAAAGAAACCTAACAGTGATAAGAACACATTTCATAGTAAAGGCATGGCAAAAGAGGAAGACTCTAGTTGGAAAAATGTCAAGAATTCTAAAGGAGACAAGAGGCAATTAAATACTGGCAACAACGCTGCTTTACAGAAAGTCTTTGCCGAAAAACTAACTTCAGATACAAACTACGCAAATAATGGTGAGTGATTTTTATTCAATTAACAATAAAAGTTAGCTGCATACCGTAGCCTGATTGGATTATTGTATTGATATTGAAAAGGATTACAAACATTCATAATAGAGGCATTCAAAGCTACTGTTACGCTAAAGACGGCGAGGAAGACTAACTCACAGCTTTAGAAAGCATATATAGACATTGAAAGATTGTTCAGGGGTGTCACAGATTTCCAAAAAGACCCGAGCAAATGCTTTTTTTATTTTCAAGGGCCCTGCGAACATAAATCTTAAATGTCAGACCAGCATATTTGCTAATGCTATTTATTGATTTGTGCGTCAATTGATATCGAATTGCTTCTGACTGCAGTTTGCGGCAAAGAAACTCTTTTCTTTGTAAAGGGTATATTGTCCCTTCTATTCTAGTAAACATTGCTTGATATATTACAAAGAATAATGTTTCATAGTATGCCCTCATTTTAAAATTAACTAAGATGGAACTGTCAAGATATTAAAACCCAAAAGTATGTTTCAAGCACAATTTTAAGCAGTCAAATCTTTGATTTGATTTGCGTTGATTTGATTTGATTTTATTTGCGTTGATTTGATTTGATTTGATTTGATTTGATTTGATTTGATTTGATTTGATTTGATTTGATTTGATTTGATTTGATTTGATTTTATATTCAATAGGTATGCGTGGTGGAAATAGTGGTCAAGTATCTGGTGATATTGCGAATGCAATCAAAGCAGGTGTGAACGCAGGAGGTAGTGCAGGGTCAAATGGTGGGGCTGGAGGAGCCAGTGGGGGCAGTACAGGCGGTGGGGGAGCAGCAGCTGCTGCTGGTGCAGGCAACCAAGCAATAGCCAACCAAATAACTGCAGCTGCAGCAAACGGAGCAGCAGGAGCTGTTATCCAGGGAGGAGGATTAGGAGGAGGTGGATCTGCCGTAGCTGGAGGTCTTGCAGGGGATAGGGGTGGTGGGGGAGATATTGGTGCTAATTTGGCATTGGCAGGAGCAAACCTTGCTCTAGTAGGAGCAGGACTTTCAGGAGCTGGCTCAAAAGCCGGAGCAGCCTTAGCAGCTGGAGGAGGGTCGTTGCCGGCTGGTGTTTTAGCAGAGTTGCAAGCACATGGTGGATACCATCATGAATCAAGGCTTACAGGTGCTGGTGAACAGGCAAACATCGCAGCGCAACATGCAGCAGAAGCCATCGCTCATAACGAATGGGGACACGCTGAGCGCAAACACGGCTTTGGGAACAGATTCTTTGACTCTGCTTTTTCACATGGTCTTCATGGACACGACCGTGATCTTTATGGCCACCACTCACAGTTTGGCTTTCATGATGATTGGGGATTCGGGGAGCACGGGCATTCAGATTTTCATCATGGCGGACATTTTGGTCATGGCAGCCACGGCGGCCATGAACATGATCACGAGTATTGGGGAGACACCGATCATGGTGAGCATGAAGAGCATGATCATCATGGACATCATGAAGATGATCATCATGAACATGAAGACCACGAACATGAAGACCACGAACACGAGCACCATGAACACGACCACCATGAACACAGTCACCATGACCACGATCACGCTCCTTTCTTTGACCATGGTTTTCACCATCATGGTGGAATGCGCCCGTGGTTTGGTCATCATGATGACCATCAAGGTGGTCATCATGGTGGACACCATTCACATTATGACCACGACCACGATAACCATGCTGGACGAGTCTATCACCTCACAGATCCCAATGAACTCTCTCACTTGTTACATATGGACGAAGGTATGCGTCATTACCAAAATTATTTCCCCCTTGCTCATCATGGTGACATTGATATGCATCATGACCTTGACCATTTTGGAGAAGGACCTGGAATAGGCCCTAATGGACTTTTCACTCATGGAATTTCAGATGGCATAATGGGTCATGGCATCAATGGCGACCAAGCAATAATGAGCCCTGGAGTTGGGGATAGAGTTTATTTTGGTCTTCATCATTCAGATCATGGACATGGCTTTGGTGGTGGACACAATGGGTTTGGAAGTGATCATGGCGGTGGACATGGTGGTGGACATGGTGGTGGACATGGTGGTGGACATGGCGGTGGATTTGGCAGTGGATTTGGCGGTGGATTTGGTGATGGGCTTGGTGGCCATGGTGACGGATTTGGTGGCCATCATGGTGGACTTGGAGGTCATGGCGGTGGATTTGGAGGTCATGGCGGTGGATTTGGTGATCACGGTGGTGGATTTGGTGACCATGGTGGTGGATTTGGTGATCATGGTAGTGGATTTGGTGATCATGGTAGTGGATTTGGTGATCATGGTAGTGGATTTAGTGGCCATCATGGTGATGGATTTGGTAATCACGGTGGTGGATTTGGTGATCACGGTGGTGGATTTGGTGATCACGGTGGTGGATTTGGTGATCACGGTGGTGGATTTGGTGATCATGGTGGTGGATTTGGTGATCACGGTGGTGGATTTGGTAATCACGGTGGTGGATTTGGTGATCACGGTGGTGGATTTGGTGATCACGGTGGTGGATTTGGTGATCACGGTGGTGGATTTGGTAATCACGGTGGTGGATTTGGTGATCATGGTGGTGGATTTGGAGGTCATAGTGCTGGATTAGGTGGTCATAATGGTGGTGGATTTGGTGGCCATCATGGTGGATATGGGGATGATGGTGATGGATTTGGTGGTCATGGTGGTGGAATTGGTGGCAACGATCACGGTGGACATCACGGATCATTCTATGATGGTGGACATCATGGGTATGGTGGTGGTTTTGAAAATATTCTGAATAGCCATGGTGTGCACTACGGTGCTGGCCACCCTGCCTATGGTGATGGCTTTCATGGTGATTTGGGTACCTTGGAAGGAGGATTTGGAGGACATGGAGGTGGAAATTGGAACAATGAGGGAGGGTTTGGTGGTCATGGAGGAGGTTTTGGTGGTCACGGAGGGGATTTTGGTGGTCACGGAGGAGATTTTGGTGGTCATGGAGGAGGTTTTGGTGGTCACGGAGGAGATTTTGGTGGTCACGGAGGAGATTTTGGTGGTCACGGAGGAGATTTTGGTGGTCATGGAGGAGGTTTTGGTGGTGACGGAGGAGATTTTGGTGGTCATGGAGGAGGTTTTAGTGGTCACGGAGGAGATTTTGGTGGTCACGGAGGAGGTTTTGGTGGTCATGGAGGAGGTTTTAGTGGTCACGGAGGAGATTTTGGTGGTCATGGAGGAGGTTTTGGTGGTCATGGAGGAGATTTTGGTGGTCACGGAGGCGATTTTAGTGGTCACGGAGGAGGTTTTGGTGGTCACGGAGGAGATTTTGGTGGTCACGGAGGAGGTTTTGGTGGTCACGGAGGCGATTTTAGTGGTCACGGAGGAGATTTTGGTGGTCATGGAGGAGGTTTTGGTGGTCATGGAGGAGGTTTCGGTGGACATGGAGGAGGTTTCGGTGGACATGGAGGAGGGCTTGGCAGCCATGGTGAGGGAATTGGTGGGAGTTTTCATGGCTTTGGTGGTGATGGGTCTTATAATGGCCTGGACAGTGGCCATAGTAACTTTGGGAATAACCATGAAGGGGAGTTTGGTGGAGGGCATCACGCTGTTGGCGGCATATTTGGTGGTGGTCATAACATCGGATTTATTGGGGGCTATGGACATGGTCATGATCATTTTGAAAAAAGCAGAATTGGAGGTGGTAGAGAAGGCCATCATCATATGGGAGAAAGAAGGTTCGGACACCACTTATTTGACGAATTGCACGGAGGCATGGATAGTCGCGGGAATTTTGACAATGGTTGGGGCTCTGATGGGGTAGGTTTTGGAGAGCTTCGTGGTCATGGAGATAATGATTGGGGATGGGACAGCCATCATGGAGATGACAACCATCATAGTGAAGGTGAAAGACACCATCATTCTCACCATGGTTTTAGGCATGGAGGCAGGATGATAAGTTCACATTCAGAAGATTATGACCATGGCCATGGAGGCCATCATGAAAGCGAAGGATGGGGACATCATGGGTGGGATGGAGATGGTTGGGGTCACGGAGATGGTCATTTTGGAGACGGTAACGATGATGATGGTTATGGGTGGACGGGGGGTTATGGGGGTGGACACGGAGACAATCATGATGATCATTATGATGAAGATGGCTTTCATGGGCCTGGTCGAGATTATCATTCACGCGGTGGTCATTGGCACCGAGAAGGTACTGGAGGAGAGCACCTGTTACCACATGGCTACAAGAGTGAAGAACATCACAGGGTTGACAGCATGTTGCACCATGAGTTAAATGAACTGCATCACTTGTATGACAGCCTTTCCGACGACCACCATCATCAACATACCCATGGTCTGCCAGGTCCAGAGGAAAAATTCATCGACAGAGCAACACATTTGGTGATGTCACCATGGAGTCGAACGCGACATTTTGCCGATTCGCTTGACAAGCGTAAAACAATCTTAGACGATAATCACACAGGGGTTGAAAATAGCAAGGATCATTTGCCATTTTTGATAACAGAGAAGGCAAGCAAAAAGAACTATGGCTGGTCATCCCATCCGTATGGTGGCTTTGGAAAGGCAGGATGGCACGGCGGAGATCATAGTAATCACGGCCATAGCAACAGTGGTCACTACAACAATAGATATGATGCAGAAGTTGATATTCAATATGGTAACCATGACAATCATGGTCATGACGAAGATCATTACCACCAGTGAGTTATATTACTGTTCAATTTCTTGACTTTAACAAACGCTGATTATATTGGTCGTCAAATCATAACAAAGAAAGGATCATGTTCATGGTTTCATTTCAGAACTGAAGCAAAACTTTTGACAGGTCAAATGCAGGCTTGCAAAGTTACATTTTGATAGAATCCTTGGTATGTGCTGGTATTATAAATGCTCATAGCTGTAACCATCTATCTATTTGGCTATTGGAACACAAATTCTTTAAAAATAACTGTTTTTGATGAATAACCCATAAAATAGCTTCCAGAAACTTTCGGTACCCTTTTGGCTCTGTAGATCCAAAGATAACAGGTTAGCACAGTCATCTTTTGCTACATCAGAGAAATTTTCAATACAAGTTTTCTAGTGAAGTTACGTTCAAAAAAGACTTCACAAGATTACAAGGACGATACACCGGGTCCAATATACTTTGACTTGTGCGTGGCATTAAAAAAGACAGAAATTACACTGGTAGCTACATAAAACGCTCTACCTATTGACTATTTGAAATGCAAAACAACATTGATGGCACACTTGTAAGATAAATTGGGCAAGATACTTGATAAAAGTTATTCAGTTCTTGAGGAGAAATCTTGTCACCGTACAATAAGAGTTTTGTTTATCTGTTTCCAGCACAAAGAAAAATTGACGCTTTTACAAAAACATTTGATGTATTCCTGTTCTTATCAAAATTCCTTAAAGCTGACTTCCTCGAGGCAAATTCACTGCAAAATTTTACTTTTATTCCCACTAGACCAAATTTTCAGCATCAAATTTCAAATTTTTAGGCAAATGCTATAGATTATTCTCTTAGAAATCAAGCGAATTCACCGTGCCCTGATTGGGTATCAAATACTAGAAAATATTTGCCCCAAAAAAGGAAACTCTTTCCTGCTTTCTAGCGAATTCAAAGCAAAATCAAAACCGCACGTGCCTCGATATGTTCGCCAGCGTTTTCATTGCAAAATTTTTGCAAAATTCATTTCATGCAAATTTAATCAATGGGTTTCTAAAATAGCTCTTTGTTTTTATTCCAGTCATGACAGACATCACTTCAACTCTCATCGCATTAAAGTTGTATTAAACGGACCAGGAATTCCCGGTCCAGCAGTAGACCGAAGAGCCAAGCTTTCAAGCACTGTAACCAAAATGAACCAGTCCCAACAAGCAGCCAACAGTAGCACAACTGTTACAGCCTCAGTGAACAGAACTTTGGCAGAAACAGATAATTCAAAAACAAAACCCAGTAGTATGAAACCCACTCAACGATCAATAGTTGCATCAAAGTACACAAATTACGATGGTCACAACTTACATGACGATTTGGCATTTGATTGGCACCCTGGAATTTCTGAAGTTCATTACGGCGATACTGGAAATTATCATAATGACGAACACGAAGATGTTGATTCCTTTGTGGTGCAGCATGGCGCAGACATTCACGGTGATCGCGGTTGGCACGCAGGACATGGAGAAAATGGATACGGATATGACACCGCGCGAAATCATGACAGCCATGGAGTAATAGAAGTCCAGCATGGCGGTTACGGGCATGGAGACCTCTACAGAGGAGAGGATCATCATGGTGGTAACAGTGGGCATGAAGGCCGTCACGGAGGAGAAAGTCATCATGGTGGTGACAGAAGCCATGGAGGCCACTACGGAGGAGACCATGGCCACGACGGACACGATTATCATCAGTAGGTTTTCATTCAAAATAGGGTTGTGTATAGACGACTTGTTAAAAATTCATATTCATAATTCCAAAATTGATTATCCTTTGAAAAAGCGTTATGATATGCGTAAAGCCTGAAAATTTTTAGCAGAGAAATTTGTCTTCACCCCTTACCTAGGCATATAGTATATATTTTAATAAACGTCGTTATTCTTGCTTTGGAAAGATCTCTTTTTTTCTTCTAAGGCCCAGTTCATACGCCGCATTTCTTCCGCAGCGAATTGAAGTGCAATTAGATTGCAATTAGTGCAATTATTTCCTTAAGTTTGTGTTTTGTTTCAGACGCCGATTTTATTCAAGCCCTGTCGATTTTAATATGATGCAAAATCCTGCGCAGCGCACCGATGTGATTCTCTTTTCTAATTTCTTCATGACAAAATGGCGCCAACAAATCAGTTCTTGGCCATTCATTGATGAATAACAATAACATGCTTGTGAAGAATTGAAGAAGACGAGCTAGTCGGTCGGTCAGAAAAAACTGAGGCATCTTATTTTGAATACTCTGCAAAGAAGGCAGTCAATATTGTCGATTTTGTTTCAAATTCTATTGTTAATGATAAGCAGTCAGAATCTGTACGCTAGGTTTTCCCACTCTTGGTTTTCTCCCAAAAACGATTGAACTTTCGATCAAAAGGCAACCATTATAACCAAAGACTATGAGATTTATAAATTTTGGCGGGAACAGCACAATTGTACGCATGCGTATTGCGTATCATTATTCGATCAATCAAAATCAATTTCAATCATAACTTTCATTGAGTTCGCTGCGGCAGAAAAACGGCGCTTGAAACCAAGCCGCATTTCTGCTGAAATTATTTTTTAAATGCAGCAGAGCTGCCGCATTTCTACCGCATTAAATTGATAAATTCTTATTCGGTTTCAGACGCCGTATTTTTGCCGCATTTAAGTGACACTTAAACTTTTTCAGACTTGTCAATTTAATTCGCTGCGGCAGAAATGCGGCGTATGAACTGGGCCTAAGAAAGCTACTTCTTAAATTTTAATGAATTTTGCAAAAATAGTTTTTTCGATTTCTTTTGAAATACTAGGGATAATAATTTTGTAATATTGAAAAAGGATTTAAATTTCGTTGTTTTCATAGCTATGACCGCCATCGTCACAAAGCCCATCGCATCAAAGTGATACTTCATGGACCAGGAATTCCAGGCCCTGCGGTGGACCGGAGAGGAAGCCTTTCTGTTCCGTCTAGTGAGACAAGCACCTCGACGCAGCCAACTACTCAGCCCACTACAATGGAAAAATGTTCTGCTTTCCCTGAAACTTTTAGCCCTGCAATTAAACAATCAAAAATAAGCCACACTTCACAAAGATTCAAGATATATAGGAGAAAAAGAATAAGGAGAGGCAAGAAAGGAAAGTCTAAAGCATTAGCTTTAGCTAGCATCAAGGCTCATAAAGATTATTCAAAAACCAGCAGTTCAGAGGTAAAGCCAGCAGTTCATTTCCTAGAAAAATTAAGCAAATATAAGAAGAAATCTAGGTCAGATATGAAAAAGCTGAAAACCGAAAAGATAAACATAAACCTGAAATCTTAGCAAAGGAGACAAATAGGATATGTAAATACCATGATGAGTGTAGTTACGATATGGACCACTACCCGCTGGGGTCAGTTCACGTGATGGAAGGAGGACATGGACACGATGGAGGCGGTCATGATTATGGTCACAATCTAGATTACGGTCATGGGCATGCCGATTACGGACATCATGGTGGTGGATTAAGTCATCTTGGAACAGATCATGGTCACCATGATATGGATTACGATCACCATGGTGATGGCTTTGCTCATCTTGGAACAGATTATGGTCACCATGACATGGATTACGGCCATCATGACATGGATTACGGTCATCACGACAGTGAATACGGTCATCATGGCATGGACTATGGACATCACGGCGGAGGGTATGGCCATCATGGCATGGATTACGGTCATCATCAAGAAGTCTATCATTCAGAACCGATCCATGTTGAAGAAGAACATCACAACCATGTCATTCACCATGTTGAGCCCGTGCCGGTTCCAGTCCCCGTACCTGTTCCAGTACCAAATCCCGCCAACAATGCCGCTTCCGTCGCAAACAAAGCAGCAGAAAATGCAATTAAGGCGCCTGCAGGTGTCGCTGTTACAGCCACGAATATGAACAACGGAGGTGCTCCGAGTAACGTCCAGGCTGCTCCTCAGGTTGTCAATACAGGGTATCCGGTTTACTATTTGCCACCAGCGGCAAAACCCGTCGGGAACCCTTCCGTCAATCTTGTCAAACCTCCTCCTCCTGCCAATGGTCCGAATCCTTACGAAATTCTTACCTCTGAAACTTTAAAAGAAGCAGCAGGACAGCAACAGAATAATGCTGGCGCAGGCGGTGCGAGCAATAGCGGTGGCGCTGATACTAACAATGGCGGAGATAATAATGGGGGAGGAAAAGCAAATAATGACGGGAACAAATCCGATAACAAGAATGAAAATAAAAACAATAATACACCACCTCAGATGATAACAGGTGGCACAAAAACAGGAAATAGGCCTGTGAATACTCAAGTTGATCATTCTTCGCATTCTTCACGAAGAAGTGACCATATTTACAGCAAAGATAACTTGACACGCAAGAGTAGGGAGATAAATATTGTTAACTGGCCTAATAACCGAAAGCTCTCCTCTTTAATATTACCACAGAACCTAATATCTAATGCTCGAAGAGCCCGTGGATCTTAGGCATGTTAGTGTAGGTATGTAACCGGGCAACGCAATGCATCTCGTTAAATCTGACTGCTTATCGTTTTCTCATGCATTAGAAAAGTAGTTTTTTATTCATTTTGACAATAATTTCATAGAAAATAAATTTTGTTCATACAACCTATGACACCTCTATTATTGTTACAAGCGATCATTACAATTTCCATTGACAATATCTTAATCTCAATTATACAGAATTGAAGTTCAATGCAACTAGCCGAGTGTCTTTGGTTAATCAAAAATGCAGCTGTGCACATAGCTGTTTGACCTTCGCTAAAAATTGAATAGGAAATCCTTTAGACTGAAGGTTCAGGCTACAATTAAATATTTGCTTTGACCTACGGACGGCGATCAAGTAGATTTTCTAAAGCTGTGCAATAAAGACATTATGTGACACCTTTAGTAACAAGGAGAAGTCCTAAAAACAGGCGTAATCAATGTATGGCCCTTCTTATCAAAACAAATACAAAATTCAGTTTTCATTCTTTATTCAAGAGTTTTCTATTTCATTTCAAATTTTCTATCGACAAAGAAAAGTAAAATTTTATCCGAATTTTTTCTGAAAATTATGTTTCAATTTTCTATCTGAAACTGCAATTTCAAAATGTAGATATTCGGATATGTGAACTTTTTGATGGGACATCAAATAGTAATCAATATCAAATATCTTTGGATGCCTTCCTCTTGATGCCGATATCAAAGAAAAAAGAATTCTTGTTAAAAACTGTTTTTCAAGGTTGGTGCTTTCAGCTTCGGTTAAAACAGATTTGAAGAGATTAAAGACTCATTGCTAACAATGAGCCATTGCGCTACGCAAGCATCCTATAATGCATTTTAAGACAGTCTGAAATCAATTATGGTTAATCCGAAGAAGTTTACTGCCATTGTTTGGATTGTCGCCTGGATAATTTGCCACCCTCGCAAAGGCTCATTGTTAGCATTGAGTCTTTAAGTTAATGACAAGTCTTAAGTTAGAGTAGCTTTTTAACTAAATTGATTAACTATTTTTCTTGCTTTTGTAACCAAACTGACAGTTTTAGTAAAATCTCTGTAAATATGTAGAGAACGACATTAAAGGAATTCGATATTTAAAAAGAAACATAGTGTTTACGAGAAGTTATCACTCAGTTTGTTTTCCTCTAGTGAATCTGTTGTTTATGGCTCATATACAATAAAGACGCAAAATACAAACTATTATTTTTTATACGTGCTATAAAGAATGACGTAAGATTTAAATCTATTAATCCTTTCATGCATAGCAATCGTGATAAAAGGAAAACCTCTATTTGACCTTTGTAGCGAATCAATTTTTCTTTGCAAGTTTAATAACAAAATCTAAAAGGTCTTTGCAAAATATTATGCTATAATTAGTGTCATAATCATAAAGTATTGAATTTATCATATTTTCAATGTATTGATTTACTCAAATATGACATCTTCAACACAATTTCCTTTTAATATATTAAGTCGTGTACTTTAATGCCTTTATACATTTTTACCTGCATCAAAAGATGCTACAACCGACAAAAATAACAAATTAGATTTGATTTGATTTCTTCTATTTTATTTCATTTAGGAGCTATTCAATCACCTTTGGGCACTTGAAACACGTCTCTCAAGCCTCTTCTAATGGATATAACTGTAAAAACCTATCTTAATCAATTTTGAATTGATTTTCATACAAAACACCCAGCTGCATTGTCTCTTTCATGCTATTACTCAGTTGCATGATTATACTTATAACAAAGCAGAGTCGCCAAATCTAGCTACTGTTGCTTTTCATTGTCTGTAAACCAAAAGCAGAAAGCATTGATAAGAACAGCGGTCTTGTGAACGATAAATTTTTGATAGTGGGACAAATGTTATTCTTTCAAATTCTTTAAAAAAATATTTATCTATTTGCTAATACGCTACATGCACTTATAGGTAGGTATTACGCACAATTGATTAGCAAAAAAGAAAACATAAACACGACTCTAGTCTAGTAATAGCTCTGTGATTATCGCCATGTACATTTGTGTTGATACGTTGACTCAAATATCAAATATACTATATGACAGTAACTTTTATAAATTCAATGCATGGGTGTCTTTACAAGTGTTACATCGAATACCCCCAGATGACCTGATTTATCGAAAAATCATAGACAGATTGGCAAGTCAATGACTGACCAGCACAACAAGTAAACATAGGACGGGGTGTTTGTGACTTGGTTATTCCTCCCAATGACGTCGGTGCAATTAACGCTGGTTATTGAATAATCAAATCATTTTGAACCAAGGATGACGTCATATTGAAAGCTGCATACAGGAACAAAGCAAATGATTGTATTATTGTTATTGTAAATAAGATGATAAATGAAGACAAATTTGGCTGAAAAATACAGCATGCTGCAACGGACTGGGTTTGTGAATAATATGAGAGTGATTGCTTCCAATTGATGAGACTTGCAAGTGAAGTCACAAGAGAGGTGCATCATATTTGAGAAAGGATGTCGAAAAATTGGTTGGGATTTGTTGGTACTATTATGACAATTTTCGACTTGTTGGCTGCTTTGCAAGGACTGCAAAAAGGTGTGTAAGCCAGCTGAAAATTCGACGCTTTGAAATTTTATCCTCCGCCTGTTAATTAACAATTATTTATGGTTTGTCTGCGCATTAATATACCTATGAGGCATTTATACAATCATACAGGCGCTCATTTTGAATATATGGCTGATGCTTCCGAGATCAAGAGATGTGCATAAAGACATTTTGTTTCTTTGTATGTCGTCCCCATTTGATTAGCAAATCGGAAATGAAGCTATAGGCTTGATCTGAAACACTTTAAAGTAAATTGTAAGGTAACTCGAAAATGCAAACAGATGCAATGCAAAATAAATTGAGAGATTAAGCCGGTAAGATTAGCTATAAAAGCGGGTATTTCATGGAAAATAGATTTCTGCTTGGCAAAACGGAAGTAAAAGCCTAATATCAATTCTGCATGTTCGCTTTGAGTCAGATAACCGTTAAAGCTTTATCTTTTATTGCTCAGGAAGCTTGCTGAAGTATCACAATGTGTCAGTCAGATTACATAAAAACAAGACCTCTGCAAAAAACATCACGGAAGGTAATACAGACGAGACGAAAAGGTCATATGGACATCCTTTTTTTGGATTGCGAAAAAGAAATAATGGAAGGATGTTGACGGGGATTGGCGGCAGAAAACCAATCAAGAACTACGAATTTTACGATGACAAAAATGAGTTTGGCTGGTACAAGGACCAAGGCAATAAGAAATACCCATATGATAATTGGTTACCGCATTATTCAAACGATGGTTATGAAGAGTACCAAAAAGCGCCTGATGCGAACGCAGTCGCACATGCCATGGCCACTCTAGAAAAACATATGAGTTCGTCAGAAGCACTGCACACAGATAACATGTTTAGACATGATTCAAAAGAACATGGCGAGCATCATCGAGGATTTTTGTTTAGGGGAAACGAAGAGCATGGGGACCCCAACGGGGGACCAAATGGCGGCAGCACTTCTCATGAAGGTGGTAGCTATCATGAAGGTGGACGTCCTCACGATATTGAAAGCTCGCATGAAGGCAACTATGCCAGTGAGGGTGATAGATTTCATGAAGGTGGTAGACTTAATGACGGAGGTGGCCCCAATAGAGGTGAAAATTACAATGAACACGACAGTTCCCACCAGGGTGGGGACTCTTGGAAACAGGGCATGAATCACGCGGACAAAGTGAAAATAATAGACAAATGGACGATGATCACTACCATAACAACGAGAAAGGTGGAATGACAGAGAACTATGGATGGAAAACAATAGAGGGACCATCATTGTTAGACCACCAGAAACAAAAGTCACGCGACAACTCTGGAGGCAGCGATAAGTCTCACGAGAACGAAGGGTCACATGAAAACAGAAATGAGTCTGGGCGTGAGGGCTGGCTGCCTCTAACACCGCCAAACCATGAAAGGCCAGAATCACACGAGCCTGACGTGGGACAGAAATCTGAGCCTGCAACCAACCACGAGGGAAGATCTTCTGAATCTAATCCCCTTTCCCTTGCGCAACAAAACATGATCCATCATGAGGACGACAGAGGCGTTTTTAATGGAGCAACTACGAATAAAGATGGTGTTATCAATGATGAACAAAAAGCCCTTTATGGGAATGGCTACCAAGAAAACAGAGGGAATACTGAAAATCATGGAAATGGTGATAAAAGTTTGGAAGCAAACCGCAATGATTATGCTGATTTTCCTTCAATAAATACAAAGCACAATAACGAAGATAGCCGAAACAGAGGCAATTTTATTGAAGGCACCTCCGCCAAACAGGAGAATCCGAGAGAGATGCCAAAGGAATCAACTGATGGAAAAGCAAACGATAAAGGGTCATTGACAGGTGAAAATACAATAAGAATCAATGTGGGCTATCCACATTACCACGTTGCCGACAGACATATCGATGCTGCCTTGAAGGTACCACATGCAGGTCCAGAAAGAGGAGGTGGGTTGTGGGGCAGTCAGCCAGGGGAAGGGGAACAATACCAGGAAGAAAAGAAAGAGAAGTCCTTTGGCGAGACTCAAGTGCCGAACCACAATGAGAATGGAATTCAGCACAACGACACTTTGCCGAAATCAAATAGTACCAGCCTAGTTCCAGGGAACTATGCTTTAAAATGCAACATTAACACTGAATGCCAACCAGCAAAGGAAACTGCGCAAAGCAACAGTCGGGGTGTTCAAAGAAATGGAAGCGAGGAGATGATGAAAGTGACGAGAATTCCAGTCACGATTACGACGGGAGTATATGATTCCAGAGAACTGGTGTCAGTTGAAGAGAAAACGTTTGTTAAAAATTCAGGAAACAAAGAAAATGTTAATCGAGACTTTACAAAACGCGGAGGGTGGAATAATGCATATGAACACAAGAAGCGCAAGACACGGCTTGGGGCAGCAGGTGAAGATGACAAAGATCATAAAGTGCCTAAATTTAGGCGCAAGCTACATCATTTTATGAAAATCTTTAAGATACAAAAGGCAAAAGACGGCAGAGACCAAATGGTAAAGGGACAAAGTCTGTTGGAAGGAAAAAAGAACCAGCCACACAGTTTGAGCAAAGTCAGAAAATTTGGAAACAATGCGAAGTTAAGGAGGATGTATGAAGGAAAGAAATATAAAGAGAGGAAGGACAACATTGGAGGTGACTTAGGATCAGTACATGGACACCCAGCGATTTCGGATGAGAAGGCATTGCATTCAACCCCCGAAGATCTACTTGAAATGGCGAATGGTTATAGGCATAGGGCTGAAGAATACGACAGCAAAGCCAAAGAGCTTGAGAATATGGCAGAAGTACAAGATCATCAACATGATCATCACGGTGCGGTCTCACAGCACAACATGGGTCATGAGGGACCTGAAAGAGGGGGAGGCTTACATGGGGATGATCACGGTGAAGGGGAACAGTACCACCACCAGCAGGGTATAGGGCCATGGTCAGGTCCGACGTGGTTCGGACCAGGGCCCTTCGGTATGTCCCATTTTCAGCATGGTGGAAGAGAAGGAGGTCATGGGAGTCAAGAAGGAGGTCACGGCGGTACGGATGGGGAACATGGCAGACATGAGAGTCTCGGTGGCCATGTTGAGTGGAATGGTGGCCACGAAGGTGGCCATGGGGGTGGAGGAGAAGGGGGACATGGAGGAGGACATGGGGGTGGAGGAGAAGGGGGACATGGAGGAGGACATGAAGAGGGTGGCGACGGGGGTCATGGAGAAGGACATGACAATAACATCATACATTTTAACACAGGCTATCCTTTCTATCATGTACCTAGGCCACATTCATTACCACAAGTTGAGTACGACAAGCCACATCCACCGGTGCATGGCTTGAATCCATACGAAGTCCTGACATCCGAACAATTTCATCGGCCGATGCTTCCGGCCGGACACGGAAACCTGCCGTACGGATCCAATCAACGAACGCTGCATTCGCGCGAGATAATTTCTCAGTTCAACAGCAGAAGAAACAGTGAAGCAACTGCAGGCGCTAAAACGCGCAGGTACAGTAGCCTTATGCGGGATTTCTTAACAGACGAAAATGTCGCAAGTTTTTTGCTTAAATGATTGAGACAGCACGAGATATCGACAATTTGAGATGAACACACACTGTGAGCACAGAATGTGAATATGCGTAGTAGAGAGAAGATTTATTCAATGATAAATACATGACAACATTGCAATTTTTAGAGGAAAAAGAATAGATGGAAAAAAGACCCTAAGTAGCCAGAAGAAAGCAAAATTACCGAGAAACATATTCCTTAAGACGTCTTGTAATTGTAATGGTAACCGCATGCTTACGATACCCGTGTCCATTCTGCCTACGGCATTAAATAATGATTTCTGTAATCCAATCAAATGTTAACCAGAAAATGTTGACCAGACAACCATATGGAATAGAGGTACCTACGAACATCTCAATCATTGATTATTGAGAACGAGTCCAGATCCTCAAACGAAATGACGTCCCTGGCAGCTATACGTTTCTCGTGCAATCCCGTTCACAGGCATTCCTTTAGTTGAAGGGAACAATACCCTGATGAAAAGAAAGAGAAGTCCTTTGGAAAGAGACAGCAGCAAAACCATAACGAGAATGACACGTAGCGAAACTACGCCTTGTTAAAACAAACGGTGAAGGCCTTGTTTCAGGAATTTCTGCTGGTAAATCGGTTGATGTGCTTTAAGAAATGACATGCATTGTTTATGTTAATGTGTATGAATGCGTTTTGATTCAGAGACTAGCTTTAGATTACAAAAGCAATAGCTTTGAGTCATTTAAAATGGGAAACTGTCTTTCAATTCAATCTTCAATTAACATGTACTTTTTCGTAGTATTAGTTGAGTTTATAGTAATATAATACTAAAATAATTTTGTGTCATAATTTGTTCAGAATGTGCGTATCCAGTTGGATTGTCCTTAACTTTGTATCTGTACAAATACTACAAAAGCAGGTTAAAAGTTCATTAACAGAAAAGATAAAAATAGCGATATAATGAAAAATGCGCTTACCAGTACACGATTTTATGTAAAAAATATTTAATGTTATTTTGACACGACATATTGACTTCACATAATTGCGACAGATGAAATGATTACACATAAAAAGTTAAGAATATTGATTCCTGTCTTTTTTTATATCATGCAATTATTTTTGTATGCTCTAAAGGGAGGCAAAGTTGCAATTTGATCTTTTTTCGAGCTTTTTCTCAAGCATTGGGTCCTATCAACAACACAAAACTGAGAGCAATTTAATTCAAGGCAAAAAATAGATGTTTGTAATAGGTATAAAACTACAATTGGACTTAAACGATGTATGGAACTGAAACTTCTCATGTATACATTTTGCCCTGAGTACTTTTCTAAAAACTTTACCTGCTGTTGAAGGAAGCACCTAACTTAAGTTAAGTCAAAAAGAAAATATTTTTTTAAAGATCATAACTCTTGTTTGATAAAATGCCCCTCTACATTCCATAATTATAGACTTGCATGCAGTAAAGTGGCAAGGAAGTGCTTATAGATAAGATAGCACATTTAGCAGAAAAAATTTGTAGAATTTTCATATTTTCTTTGAATATACTATAAGATATAAGCAATTTCGGAAAAGAATGCATGGTTCTAAAATATATTTAGTACTTTAGATTTTTTAAAGGTACTTCATAAATTATAAACTGATTGGCCTTTGCTTTACAAAATGAAGAAACACTAAGATCTATTTTTATATAACTAAGGTTTGCCGATGACATTTGTTGCATCAATGTCATCTACATCTTTGCATACTTCAGACTTCAGGCTGATGACTCGACAGCCTCTCACGCTGTTGACAGCCTCTCATGCTGTTGACAGCCTCTCGTGCTGTTGACAGCCTCTCACGCTGTTGACAGCCTCTCACGCTGTCACGCTGGCAAATAACTGATCGCAGTAGCAGAAAGGAGAGTTTGGTCCAAAGAAAAATTATGTGACTTTTTATCACTTTTACCTCGAAACTTTCCTGTCTAAAGGACAACTTGAAAACTTTCTACCGACTTATCAAACCAAAACTAAAGACATTAACCCCTTTAATTATTTATTTTAATTAAAGTTAAAAAGCAATATTTTCAGTCCGCAACTCCAAAAAATATTGATTAAAACTAACAGCGGTTTGTCTAAATCAAAAGAGGAAAGCCAGAACAAATTCCATTTGAGCAGAGACAGAATGCAAGTCTCAGGTCTAACGACAAAGATTAAAAGCCACTAGGTAATTAAGATTTAATAATTAGAAAATGATTCTTTGAAGAAATTGTAGCATTTTGGGGGGTGTCATTTCCTTAGTAAGTATTGTGCCAAGACCGTAGCGTAGCATAGAGTATCAATTTTCAATTGTTTTCAAAAATAAACTTTCAGAAGATGTAGGGAGACCAATGTAACGAGTTATTGGCATTTTTCCAATGATTTTGCCATTCATATCCTATTATTTTAGTTGTGTTGTATAATAGTTCGTTAGTTAGTAATTCGTTAGTGTAACTTTTATATGGGATGAAAAAAAATCCCATATTCTATCAGGTCTTGCATGTCCTCATATTATTGTGCAGCAACATACATTTGTTAAACCTTATAAAATGTTAGATATTACCGGATTACGTGTTTAAATTGCATTTTATTAGGAATCTTTACGTTCATTACGAAAAAGCCTTTGGTCAATAAATTTCATTCTACCATATTTGTACATTCTCTTAAACTTAAAAAGGCAAAAACTTGGCTCAACATGTAGGCAAATGGAAGTGAATTTTAGAAATGGACATTATAATTGAAACCTTAAGCGTTATTATAATCCATGAAATGCTGATCATGTTGATATATTCTCTCCACTGTCTTTGCCGGTCAATACCCGTAGCTTGAATTCTCCGTAACCGAAGTTTGTAAGTTTCGTATCCGAATCACTCACTGACAGCTCGACTTTTACAGACAATACCATTTGATTTATAGAACAAACAGAAAAACTATGAACTTAATTAGATTATCCAGTTCACGAACACAAACATATAACGAAAGGGATCTTTATGTTAATTTCAATAACTGGGGCAGATCGCATTTATACGACCCCGAGATTTACAAAGACAAAACTGCACGCTTCACCGGAGCGTATCACGTAAGGACATGCTCCGAAAATAAGCGATGCATAATTAAAAAGGATTGGATCCTAAATTTTGAAGGCGATAATTGGACTCATATTTGCAAATGTTATCTATGTATTCCAGTAAATTTTGGTGACAATGTTGTTACAAAAAGGATAGGTATGGGAATGCCTGGAATTTTGAATCGAGTATAAATGAACAGTACATCGTCAGATGAAACAAAGCAGGTATGATCATCGGCATTGACCTCCGGTTCTTGCTGGTTAAATTCACCTAGATGCTAATGAAGCTGAAAATATTGCAGAAATAATTGACAGATATTTGACTTTTCAACTTACCCTTTAATTAAAAACCGACAATGACTGACTGTTAATTAAAATAGGACACTTAATGCCTTATCTCTGAATATGTTTAGTGTGGGCAAATTTTACAACTTTGCTAGAATATCATATTTTATCAACCTCTTTGCAAAGTTTTGACACGATTACCTACCAATGTCCTCTACACGTATGTCGTATGTACATATGATGCCTAGTTTCATTAAAAAACAATAATGTCACCAATTCACTTTGATTAACTTCCTGTTTCTTAACAACTGTTCTCAATTTAAGCTTTAAGATAAGAATGAAAGCAACCTTGTTTTACAAGACATATTTCAAGGTTTTCTGTGAGTTAAGTATGTTTAGGCATTCATCCAGAAAGAAAGGATTCTAGTGCTACAAGCTGTCGAAATGTTGAAAGCAATAGAAAACCTTTCTTAATCGAATTGCTCACAAATAAACCACACCCTGTGTAATTCTTTCACAAAAAACTGTTACCGTGAAAAGCTCTTATTTCAAAGAGTGAATAGACTTTTTAAGCAATGACTGAATGAAAGTAATATATTTTGCAGGAAATTTCAAATGAAGAAAGTACAGCAGATTTTCACTATTTTAACACTGACGCTAATAAACATTTCGTATATTGCAACGGCATTGGGAACAAAATCATCGCAAAATGATGGAAAAGATAATAACACACCCCATACGTGGATTTCAAACAATCTACAAACTGTCAAATACATGGTCAATGATCATCCAACTGTGGCGGTTAAACTGGAAAGCAAGCAGCCAGTGCAGAGCAAGAAAATAGAAAAACAACGAATGAAAAATGACAATTTTAGTGACGTTGATGACAATTATAGACGAATATTACGAGAGAGAGGTCATCAATCGTCAAACATCGCGCGGCAAGATGATTTGTTTAAAATCAAGGACCTACAGATATCTAATTTGTTGGGATCAATTGAACAAAGTGTGAGAGACGATGCTGTAGATATGTCATCATTTCAGAACCGAAAGAAAAACATTGAAAATCAGGATGCTCCCAAAAGTAGTTATTATTTTGCAACAAAAAATAAGCCGTTTATTCAAAAAAGTTATCATGGAAATTTTGTAAAATCTGAGCAAAAAGCCTCACAAAATAAATTAAGGAAGTCACAAGCAAACATTACAAATAACGTGAGTAAAGACAGGGGAAATGGTACAAAGAACCTGACTGGGGCGAAGATTGATACGAGTTTGTCAAACGAAGGAAGGAAGAATGCAAACGAAAATAAAATTGTGTATGATAGCAATTTTGGAAACGATAGGAAAATAGATAATGGCAGCAGGCTGCAAGCATCAGGCGATGGTAAAGATGATGGGGATGATGAGGATGATGAGGTAGTGGAAAGCGGAAGTGGTCTTGAAGGAAGCGGAAATAAGAAACGAGAAAACGGAAGTGGTCTAGATGAAAGCGGAAGTGGACCACAAGAGCAGGAAGAAGGGCTCGATGAGCCTCGTGATGAGACGGAAGGATTCTTAAAGGATAATGGATCAGGTCAAGGAACAAAGGAAAATAAAAATTCAAACAAAACTGAAAAGATTGTTATCAAAGGTTCAAACAGATTGGTTTCGCAAAAGGAACTTGTACACAATATAACCCATGATTCGTCTGAGGGAGACGATGATCTTTCCGATGAAAGTGGTAGCTCGGATGAAAGAGATATCTCATCTGGAGAAAACAATGCTATTAGCAGTTTGAAAAATGCTGCCGAGTTCGAGGATCAGAAAACACCATTAAGGTCATTTGACAGGATTTTGGACGAAGAGTCAGAAAAAGAAAAAGAAGAATATTCTGGTTATATGAAAGAGTGGATAAATGATGATAATGGCTCTGCGGAAGAATCTTCAGAAAGCGGAAAAGAAGAAGAAGAAGAAAGAGCTGATCAGCTGTATGAAGAGGACGGTGAGCGAATGAGCTCGCCGATAGAAGTTGCAAATGATTCGAGAAATGAAGATGACAAACCTGTTGAAGATGTGAGTTCTTATAGCGGCGATGAAGAGGAGACGACATTTGAGAATAATGGAGGAAAATATATGATGGAAAAGATAAGTAGTGGAAAAAATGAGGAGCCACAAGTAAACATTGAAATGGAGGATGATCAGGTTTCAGGAAGTGGAGCTACAAGACCGTCAGATGAAAATTCATCTCATGATAATCTCAAATACAGCAAAGATGCAGACAATGAGAATGCTGAAATTGATAACATTGCGGATCAAACATTTGAAGATGTCACCAGCGGAGTTGATGAAGAGAACAATGAGCTATATACAATTCACCCAACAGAGCTTAAAGCTTTTTCCTCCATTAAGGATCGGAATCTGGCGTTTATTGATGAGAATTCGGAAAAGAAAAGGCAAAACAATTTAAATTTGGTGCTTGCCTCACATGAAAATACCACTGACCATTTGCAAAGCACTGGCAAGCTGGGCACTAGCAAAGATCCAATGACGTCAGGAGGCAATAAACAGCTTGAGGACAGAAGTAGCGAAGAGCTTGCTAAGACTTTTTATGAAGCTAGCAAGAGAAAACATGGAGAACCGCTCTCTGTGGCAGACAAGAGTAAGGCAATAAATGATTCACTAGCATCTTATCCTAATTCCGTGAAACAAGTCAGTCCTAAGGAAACAACTGCTGCAAATTCTTCTTCGTTAGCTTTTTCCTCCATTAATCAAACAAAGTCAGAAAATCAAACAAAAAATAGTAGTGTTTTGAACATCCAAAGGCCTCTAGAAGCTATTGGAAAATCACTCGCAGAGAATGAAACATCAGTCAAAAATATATCGGCTGTGGATTCAGAGGACAGCGAAAAAACTCTCCAAGAGCTTAACCAAGAAATCAAAAAGGAGGAAGATAAATCAAAAGCAATGATAACTTATTTAGAAACAATTGACAAAGAACTGAAAGAGGAAACAAATGAGAGTCTTGATATGAACGAGATTGTTTCTAACAAAACTTCATCGATGGGCAGGCAGCATGCACCGACATTTCAAAGCATGAAGGTTATTCCTGCAGAGCTGAAGCCAGATAATACTCATTACAATGAAACAGGTGCGATTAGCCAAATGGTCGGGAAAAGTATGAATGCATCATCTAGCAGAAATGCAACGAATCAAGTTAGAACCTCATCAAAGCAGCAAAGGTATGTTGCCAATGGAGGACTTGATGCAACATTAAACAAAAAATTAGAATCCAGCAACCAAAGCAAAACGGTCAATGAGATTGATGCATTTATAAAGGGCTTTTATCGGGGCGTGGAAAGGAAAATCGAGGACAGTCTTGGTTTAACAAAACACAATACAGCGCATAACATTAGCTCTAAACCCCAGGAAGAGGCTGTAGGTAGGGGCAAAACAGAATCGCCTGGAAAAGCGAGTGGAATATCTCTGAATTCTATTGTTGAGAAAATGGAAGATTTGGGGCTAAAAAATAAAAAAACACATTCTTACGAACCAGCAGAAAAAGGTCATGAAGGGAACAATGAAATTATAGCCTACAGAAGCCAAGTTAGTAGCGGACAGCCGATGCTTGAGAAAACTGGTTTAAAAAACGAAGATGAAGAAGAAAAGCTCGAGTTGGTTAAGGAAAGAAATGCACTAGGGAGGCGTAACGTACTTGTTGTTGATTTGCATGATGACGAGGATGCCGACTTAACAAGAGTCCAATTTAAAAGGACAGAACAACCAAAAGGAGGCTACGAGGATGGGATAATTCTTAAGTATAAAAGAATGTTCGGTGGTAACTCAACATTAGTTGCCGACTTCTCCAATGGAGAAAAAAAAGCAAAGTTGTATATCTATCAAAACAAAAAAGATGAAAATGCACAAAAGAAAGACAAGGTTTTGAAGAACGAAAAAGGAGAAAAAAGAGGACGTAAGAATTTTTTTGTGCATTTTATGTTAAAAGGGTAACTGTGAAAATTCATGTCAAGAAACATTGTTCATTGTTTGACGTTTGTGATTACATTGAAAAATAATGAAGTTTATTTAAGACAGGATAAATGCTAGGAAGAGGCAGGATAACTATAGATCAAGAGTTTAAGGAGTTTGTCGCTGTCATTCCAACTCTTTCTCTAATTAATTAGAAAAAAACTAGCAAGGCTGTCACATAAATTCGTTTATTGCAGTTATGTCTAATAATAGTTACATATCTGATCTTCGTATTCTTAATTGCCAACAGTCGGTGCATTTGGTATCAACCGCTGGGTTTACTTCGGCATTGGAATGAGTCGAAAAAAACGATCTTACCAAGACAACCAGGACTATGACGGCCCTGGCGGACGCATTATTTCAGGGACAGGCCCAAGAATTAGGTCACGTGCAATTGATGCTTTGTATCGTGACCATAGGTTCCCCAACGAACCAAGTGCAAAGGAGATACTGCAGCAGTTTGATGCGCCTACGGGTGTTGGATACCAGTACGGCCAGTTGATGTGGGGATGGTTCATTCCCCCTATGGACGGCGAATATACATTCTTCAGCTCTTGCGATGATGAATGTGATGTGTACCTGAGTCCTGACCAAGGAAAGGATAGAATCAAAAAGATCCTTTCACAAACAACCTGGTCACCACACAACGTTTGGGATAAGTGAGTGTAATTTTCGCTTCATTGGTCAATAAAAGATTACAGCTTAATCATGTTAAGTTTGACTTTCAAGAAGATGATCCCACTTAGCCAGAGGTGTGGTTGAAATCTTTATGGGCTGGGAAAATAAAATTTTTAGGGGCACATCATTTTGATGCTGAGTGTTTCTTATATTAAGTTGGAATTGAGTGTCGTGGAGGCAGCGTGGAGCCTTACTTCACTTGTTTTTTCTCACAAATCTGATGTTACAAATGATAAAAGCTAAATGTAAGAAAAATCCAAGGGTTAGAAAAACATGAAAAGTTTTATGGGGCCTACAGGGAAATTTCCCGAGTCCCGGTCCACCAAGCCCCTGCACTTAGCGACTGTTTGAGATATCTAGGGCACAACTTTGACTTGAATTTTCGGTAGGAAAATCAGCTGAGAATTGAGAGTAATTCCGTCTTGGTGAAAATCCGAGCTATCAAGAGTACGAGGTTCAATCTTAATCAGTTCTTAAAAATATTGAGCAAGGCACGGGGATATAAGTGCTTAAATAATTGTACCCTAAGGGAAACTACAGAATGGTTGGCTGCAAGCAAGATCAGTAGTTAAAAACAGGAAATATCTGTAATTATCAAACTATTCAGATTGCCATATCTATGTATTGCAAGGCATCTCTGGTGTGATCCCTGATGAAAAGAGTTTGTTAAGTCGTCTGTTAGACATTACTGATCGTAGAAGCAGAATAGCATACAGAATCTACAATGATTATTACATTTCAGGGACCCTACGCAGCAAACATCAATGGCAATTCGACTGGCTGGAGGGAAGTCCTATTACGTTCAAGCTGTAGGAGCACAGAGTGGAGGCGGTGACGGTTTGTCTGTTGGTGTTCAAATGCCCAATGGCGTCATGGTTAGGCCAATTACCAGGCACTTTCTAGCAAGAGCTCCACTAGGTATGAAAAGAAGTTTCTTTGGCACCAACCATAAAAAAAACATTGTATAAATGTCTATTCTAGGTATTGGCATATCTCGCTACAGGGTTAAAAGGAGTGAAAAGATAAAGATGAAATATAATGTCAAAAATAGTTGTTATGTGTAATAGGTGTTGTTATGATTGAAATTTGGATAAATGTAATCTGGATATATACTTTTGCATTGACGTTGCTTAATACGCTGCTTTAGGTTAGTTAAACAATGCAAATGCATTAATAATTCAAACTTGTAATGGAATATCTATGTTAACCGTCAGTAGCTTGATTACGATTCTTCTTTAACAAGGTCCTAGGGCAGTGAAACAGATGTCACCTGACCTTGCAAAAGCACAAGCCAATGATATTGCCGCTGCGGCTGCTAATGGCGGGAATGCAAATCTCGCGGGAGGAATCATGCCAGGAGGTAATTTTTAACCAGACAAGATTGGACTTTCTATAATATCTTATGAATTTGCAAATCATTTTTCATCGCTAATGTTGTTTCTTGAATAGAGTTTGTAAATATTGAAGAATCTTTTCAACAAACAAATCTGCGAACAACGTCTCAACACCGAAAATTGTTGACAAACCACGTTAAAATTAAACAAACGCATTAAACAAACGCATTAAAAGACAGCTAAAAGTTTCCTATAGGAGAAGTAAACCTTGGTGAATAACAGTCCTAGAACATGGTACTCACTGATAGCTTAGATTATTTTCAATCATAATATGGAAAAATATTTTTGGGCACAAATTAAAGGTAAGGTAGAATGAGAGATGCACAATCAAAGATTCTTTGGAACGGACACATGCGCTGCTTTTGTTTGACAGAAGAAGACGAATTTTAATTTTTGTTCCTTGTTTTAGTTTCTGGTGGAGTTCCAATACCAGGATACGCCGGCGGTGTCGGAGGTCTGATCGGTCCAGCTGTGGCGGGAAATCTCGCAGCAACAGCTGGAGCAATAGCGGCAGGAGGCGTCCCTCAAGGCGCAGCTGGAGGAAGTGGTCCTGGAGGAATAACAGGAGCAGCTGCTGGTGGCGCCGCTGGAGCAGGAGCTGGCGCTGGTGGATTAGAAGGAGGCGGCGGAGGTGCCGGCGGGGCACTCACTGGTGGGGCCGCATTAGGCGCTGGAGGCCAAGCTGGTGGTGGAGGTGGCGCTGCTGCAGGTGCTTTAGGTGCTGGAGGAGGAGCTGGGGGAGGAGGAGCCGGCGGTGCTGCCGGTGGAGGTGCAGGGGGAGCAGGAGCTGGTGGCGCAGCTGGAGGTGGTGCTGGAGGAGGAGCTGGTGGTGCTGCTGGAGGGGGAGCTGGTGGTGCTGCCGGGGGTGGCGCAGGTGGAGCAGGAGGACCAGCTGCAGGGGGTGGAGAAGGTAATGTAGCTTTCTTTTCAAATACGATTTCAAAATGCTTATACAAGTTAATATTCATTACGTATCAAAATGTTATCAGATTTGACAACAAGTTCATGAAGTCCACTCGCTCAAACAGACGAAAGCCTTTTTGAAACGCATAACTAAACTCAAAAAGACAAGCAGCTCGTATATTTTAACGCCTCTACTGTTTTAACCTAGACAGCTTTAGTTGAACAAATGCAAGGAAGGAGGATCCGTTTCTATTGAAAGGGAGCAGTTTTCAGGCGATGGACACTTTAGAGCTAGGAGGACACTTAATGAGGCACTTTTTATCAACTTTAGTTTGCTGATCCAATTCAATACTCAAAACTGATTCATCAATGATAGCACAGAGACAGACTTGGTCTAAATGAATCGTTCTGTTTTCAGGAAATTTTACTTCTGACACCATGTTTTTTGAATTTCATTTAAATTAAATAAAAACAAAAACAAAAAACCTGATGTAGTTTTTGCTTTTATTTCGAAGGTGGAGGAGCTCCAAGCCCAGGTACGACAAAATTAAACATTTTTTCATTGCAAATCTCTTTTAGACAAATGGACAGAATTTTCCAATTCAAAGATAAATTTCACCATTTTAAAAATCTTGCTACTACTTATGCGATTTATTTGTCATTTATTGAAATTGTGCCATGATCACTTGAAAAAATAATGTGAAGATTGACACCTCCAAGGGGAAGGGATGAAATGATTAAACGAATTAAAGCAAAGTTGATTAATGATTAATGATGGTTGATTAATGTTTCCTTTGCAGAGGATCAAAAGCTACTTCAAAACATCGCAAAGCTAGGTGATACTGTTGCTGGACTGGCACAGAAGATGGACAACAAAGAGAAACATGCAGCCAAAGCAAAGGAAAATGCTCTCGTTACTGCAACATTAGGCAAACTAGAAAACACTATTGCGGCCTTAACAGCCAAAGTAGAAGCCAATGAAGCTGCTCCGGAGGGAGGAGGGGCAGCCCCTGGAGGGGGTGGTGCTGGTGCACCTGGAGGGGGAGCCGCTGGAGGCCCGGCCGCTGGAGGCCCGGCAGCTGGAGGCCCGGCAGCTGGAGGAGGACCGAAACCTGACGGTGTTCCAGCAGCCCCTCCTCCACCACCACCTCCGCCCCCTCCACCTCCACCAGCTCCACCAAGTCCAGAGCAGGAAAAGATGCAGAAGGCAATGCAAGACTTAGCCGATAAACTGCAAGATGTGTCAGACAAAATGGACAAAAGCAAATCGGAAGGAGGTGGGGAAGTAAAGATGAGTCCAGAATTAGCAGCAAGTCAACAAAGATTGGGAGATCAATTGAGCAATTTGGGGGAATCACTTGGAAAATTAATGGGAGAAATGCAGTCAATAAAAGACGCAGCGAAAATGAATAAAGCAGCACTCGAAGCCGCGTCAGGAGCATCTAAAACACCATTAGGAAAAGCAGCAAAATTGGTGGAGCAAGCACAAGCTGCCGAAGCCCTGGCACAACCAAACGAAGACTCGCAGAAGGTAAATAAAGTCCTCAACGCAGTGAAGGACGCAGCCACTGCAGCCGGTCTTACAGCTAATGTACTTGGGCAGGTAATTGCAAATGGAGGCGCATCAGCTGGAGGAGCACCAGCCGGGGGAGCTCCAGCCGGAGGAGCAGTACCAGCAGCATCGGCAGCACCCGTACAAGGCAATGCCAATGCAGGGGGAGGAGGTGCACCACAACAGGCTGGGGGTGGAAATGTACCAAACATAAATGAAGCAGCTGCAGTAGCAAATGCCTTGACACTGTTGGGGGCTGTAGGAAATTCAAATGGATTGCTTGGAGGGGGCGCTAAGGGTGGAGGAGGAGGCGGTGGTGGAACTGGAGGGGGAGGAGGCTTAGGCAACAGTTTGAACTTAGGTGCAAACATGGGAGGCGGGGGTTTTGGGAATGCTGGACTGGCATCACCTTTAGCAGCTATGGGTGGTTTTGGAAATGCTGGAGCAGGGGGAGGAGGCGGTGGAGGTGGAATGTCAGGAGGTGCAGCGAATCCAGGGGCAATGGGAGCAGCTGGGGCACTGGGTGCACTAGGTGCAGCTGGAGCCCTAGGTGGCGGAGGGCTTGGAGCTGCTGGTTTTGGTGCTGGCGGCGCAGCAGGAGTGTTAGGTGGTGGAGGACTTGGAGCTGGCGGTGCATTGGGTGGTGGTTTAGGAGGGGGCGGTGGTTTAGGAGGGGGCGGTGGTTTAGGAGGTGGTGCTGGTGGCTTTGGAGCAGGACTAGCGGGAGGTGCTGGCGGATTTGGAGGAGGACAAGTAGGTGGATTGGGCAACGTTGGGGTTATAAATGGACAAAGCAGAGGAATTGTACAGCCTCCTGCCTTTGACTTCTCAGAAGCTTTTCAAAACTTACTAGGAACTCTTTCGCGTCGAGATTTAAAAGGGTTCTCTAAGCCAACTCGTCCTGTGATGGAATCATTTCGTAAAAGGATTCAAGAACTTGCCAAGAGGGGTCGAGCCGCAATGTCAAATCCCACTCCTTCTATGATGACGTCATTGAGACAGAATTTGATAAGTGCGCTGAAAAGAGTAGCTCCTTACAACAAAAGGATAAGCGACTTTATGAAATCGAATAGAAACCACATTGACGTGATAACGAAATCGGACAGTAGTGGATTGCAGAAGTCGGTTGTTATGCGCAATGAGCCAGGCAGCTCTGTTCCTGCGAGGCAGCAATTCAGAATGCAAGCCTACAGTCAGCCACAGCAAAGCATTATGGGCCGCACCAACACAAGAGGCGAATCCGGTGATAATCAGAATGATAGAGTACAAAAACTGGCAAAGTTAATGAAGATTGTAAAGATTTTGAAAGATAGAAGAAAAGAAGCACTCCCGATCAAAAGAGGTAATTTAACTCTAACACACTTCTTTTCTATTCAAGCAATTTACTTTTAACAAGAATTTAAATTTTTTAAGTTAATTTTTGATAGATATATTACCAGCGTATTTCATCATAATAAACATAACAAAACATTTTCAAATGATTTCATACTAGTGAGCTTTAGTTTAGATCTGTATTTTGCTTTCTCGTTCTCTTCTGCGGAGCTTCATCTTACTGGACTATATAGCACAAATCGCATGAATAACTGATTAAGCCAAATTTTTAACTGTACTTCAAGTAGAAGAATCTGAATCTCTTTGCTTTGAGTGACTGGAGGCCGTTTACTCGGTATATCAAAGTTTCTGGAACATGTATTCATTGTCAACAATCGATTTACATTAAATTAACTGTAGCAACATTTCTGAAATATTGTTATCTTCTTGCAGTTCTCAAAAATCAATACGGGGCTGCTGCATATCAAGCTGCAAACGAAAAGAGACCAGGTGCAGACAACTCAGGGAAATTCATGAAAGCTCCGAATCTTATCAAATCTAATTTGCTTGGAAACCTAAAAATAGGAAGGGCATACACTCAGATACCGGTAACCAAATACAAGAGCCACAACACCGGAGACAGAAGCAAAGCCCTAACTTATCATGGAACAAAAGTACCAAAGAAGGGTCACATTTCACCACTGAAAGTACAGTCAAACATGGTAAGACCTAGTATGGCATCAAAAAACAGCCAACTGAAAACCAGGGTGGGCCATATAGTTCCGGCTAGAATAACTTCGGAGCAGACTGGTCCAGGAATGGCACGAAGTGATATCGCGAAACAGCAGTTAGCTGCTTTGAAACCAAAGTATGGAAAGGCCAGAGGTGGTTCAAAAAGGAATTTAGGCAGAAAACGGTCCAGATCAACAATTCAGTTCACCAATACCGGTCCATTGCTCGTTAAGCGCACCAACGAAGCGGTAAATCCAGCAGAGATCATTCCGAGACGGGCACTACATGAGATCGAGGCACAAGAAGACTCCACTAGAGATAATAACAACTCAAATGAATTTGAAATGGGCGATGACGAAAGCAACGAAGAAGATGCGATAAACAACAGTCTAGAAAAAAGTGCTTATGAACCTCGCTATAAGAAAGAAGATGATAACTACGACAGGCCACAGCGTCGTTACAAAGAAGAATCACCACGAAAAAGATGGGAAGACGATGAAGAAGAGGAAGATCATCATCATGTTCATGAGAATGCGACCGAGCATTCTTCATTTGAGCACAGATTGACAGAAAAGCTTTTGGACGCCATTTTATCAGAACATGGTCGCCATGAAAGCCCAAGCCAGAATGAACATCCAAACTTAGGTTAGTCTAGCATGCAAGCCCTATAGAAGCAATATATTGACATAAATACCTAAGCTTTTGTACTAATTTAACAATTTTTAACTTGAACCATTGCATATGATAATTATTCACGAATGATTTATTTGCATTATACATTATTTGCATGCTATTGTTTCTAGCGGCAACCAGTGGACTGATGAATTCAGCATATTCTGCAGGTAAATCAATGCTATAAAATATGATAATCTATTCTCTCTATTTATTTAGAGGCCACTCAAAGTTTGATGGACACTGCATACACGTCAGGTAATACTTCTCAAACATCCCTAGCTAGATCTCTAGGATAACATTTTTGGAGAAATGGGTATCGATTTCTCAATGTTCCTTTCAAAATATCCAAACAGGAACATGCCTTTTACCAATCTTTATCAACTTCCAATATTTTCAATCTTCAGTTTAAATTTTATGTCAGACATTATGAGTCCTTAAGTTAATATCAATCTAAATAAAAATTATACCATCGGTTGCTTACTCGTCTTTACTCTAAACAATGCATCAGTAAAAAGCAGTCTTACTGGGCCTAACGGGGTAAATTCAATTTTTATGTTCTGATTCTTCGCACACAAAAAACTTCTAAAACCAATTGATCCTTTGAAGATGGCACGACGACGCCAAAAATTAATAAGTTAATACAGTTGCACTTCTTTTCAAACCCTTTTCAGAGAACGTGGGATATTGATCGAATTGTAGATTGAAATAAGCACTTAGCATTAATTGGTAATACCATTGCACAATTTGTTTGAAAAGAAAAGAGTTGTCTGATGATCACATCAAGCTTTAAACTCAGAGTAGCAACTTTGAACCGTTCTCCTTTAGACCCCAAAACAGTGTAAACACAAAAATTTGTTAATAAATGAATGATAAGAAATTATGTTAAGCTTTGGATCATTTTACGTTTGAGGATAGTGCCACCCTGATTTTTTTAGCAAAAAAGGAATTATCCGATAACAGTTTGACATTTTCTTGTCAGGATTCCACACTGGACTGGCAGGAGGTATGCAATCCAGCAATAATGAAGGTAAGTGACGAGAACTGTTTGAAGCCAATAAATTAATATTTAAATATAACTTAATACTGCATTTTAACATTTATCAATATTTAAATGATGATTGATATGAAAAATTTAGCAATGAAACCGTATAATTTATAATAGTAGATTTAATAACTTTCTCAATCAATGTAAAGATAAGGACATATTTATAATCAGCAAACATGGAATTCCTCATTAAGACTGTCATATTTCCCCAACGGTGGTTAATAACGTTTTTGGTTTCGCTATGTTGTAAATTTTATAATTCTATGCCAAATGAAATCACCTGCGACCGCTTAAACTTCCATAATGCTCATTTTTTATAAAACTTTGCTGATGAATTCTCATTTCACGCCCTCGAAACCTCTTTATTAGCAAATTCTAAATGATTAAATTCTACATAAGGTCTTCTTTCAATTTCAAGGGAACTCAGCGATGATGGACAGTATGAACCGATTGTCAAACATGGTTGCAATGTTATCTGCGAAGGTCACACAACAACAGGCAGGAGGGGGAGCCGCTGCGGCAGGAGGCGGAGGAGGTGATGGTGGAGGAGGTATTGATATATTTTATCTAGTATAAGAACAAGTGATAAGTGCGAGTTGGATATTTGGTCGGCTGCCCGCCCTGTATTTTGACACGCATCCCCGTAAAGTTTTTATTGCACAACATAGCTAGATGATGACCCATCAACAATAAACCCTAAATTGTTACACGTGTACTTTTTTCATTTCTTACACTCTGAAGGTCTGAATTTTGCATCTCTTTGCTATACTTGAGCTCATGAGAGATTTTAGGATCAGGAAATTATTTTTCGTCGTGTACTTTTACAATTGGAGTTTTTGTGGACATGCAGAGAGAAGAAAAAAACAGCCTGTTCGGCCTATAGAAAATAAGGCGCGCCAGGAGTGATTGCAACTTCCTATCTTTCGTCCATGCACTTTTTCATAGGTTTAAATTCTTAGAGGGATGATTCGTTATTTTATAAAGTGACGTGAATCGATATGAAATACTTTGTTGCTGTACTTGTAGGAGTGAATGCCATGGTAGCCGCACAGCAGGCAAGAGTCTCCGGCCAACTTGGGGCACTTGCAGAGGGAGTTGGAACGCTAATTAAAGAAATAAGAGAGCTTAGAACAATGAAATCCATAGAAAATCCAGGTGGTGGTGGCGGTGGAACTGGATTTGGAGGTGGTGCTCTAGGAGGAGGTGGAATGGGTGGTGGCGGAGGAGGAGGCAGCATGCAAGGAATGTTAGCCGCTGCGACAGTTGCTAAAGCCTTGAATGCCATCCACAATGCACAGTCAGCATTGAATATTGGAGCAGGTAACGTTATGGGACAAACAATGGCAGGAGCAGCCGGCAGTCCTGCATTTGCGACCGGTTTTAGAGCAGGTGGTGCAGCTGGCCTAGGGGGTGTTGGACTAGGGGGCTTGGCAGGGTTAGGAGGAGGCATTGGTTTCGCAGGAGCAGGGCCTTTGCCTGGAGCCCCTATGCCATTGCCAGTGCCCTCGCCAGTTGTATCGTTTCCAGGCTTAAATGCTCTTACAGCTGCGGCTGGCGGAGGCGGGTTTGGTGGTGCAGCGGCCGGTGGTGTGGGAGGACTCGCTGGAGGTCCACTAGCCGACTCATTGAGTACCAGTTTGAGCGCTCTCGGACCAAAGGCCGCATCGCATTTCCTGAACAATCTTGCTAAAGGAATGAACAAAGTCACATCAAGTTACCTGGCTGCTTTGAAAAAACAGCAGAAAGAATCTGAAAGCAACGGAGGCGGGAAGGGTGGAAAGGGAGGAAAGAAAGGCAAATCAAAGGCATCGAAACGAGGCACAGTTATATTGCCCGCCTCGTTTGGATTTCAGAGTGCAGGAAAAAAATCAAGAGTAGGAATGCAAAGAAGGGTGATAACGCCAAGTAATGAGATTAACAGTGATGAAATCATAGAAGTGCTGTTGGGGGAGAAACGAAGCAAAACAAAAAAGGTAACACCAAAGGCAGGAACAGCGAAGAAGTCGAACGGAAAGAAGAGAATGGGAGCTAACAAAAGGAAAATAAGCAGAGAAGAAAAAAGTAACCAGAATGATGCTTTGCTTGCGCAGAAAGCTGCCAGTGTTAATTTTGGCAATGGTTTGAAACCACGTAAGTATCATGATTCTTTCCAGCCTCAATAAATTTTTCTGGCAATCATCAGAAAATTGTACAGAAAACTTATGAACTACAGAAAACGTGCCTAGTACAAAATAGCATTAAGGTACAACATACTTATCTAACGCTATAAACATTTTATGTGAAGTATTATTGAAAGTCGATGGAATAAAAGTGACCAGCACCACATCTAACTTTGAACGAATTCAGTTTGTTTTTAGAACTTTTACGTGAAAGCGAAAATAACAGCCATACACATTTTATGAAATACAATTAACTTTGCTACTAATTATCTAGAAAATACATTGACTCATACAACTTGACATGTACAACTGCTAACATTGAACTAACATAAGACTTTGCCTTTTTTAAAATCAGGGAGGCCTGGGGTGACACTACGTGAATATGACGACATAGAAGACATTAACCAATACGGAATCGACGCTGTTTATGACTCAAAAAGTTTTCCTAGAAAATCGACAAAAGCGGAAGTGCTTTTCAATTTCGACTCAAGAAACTCAAGGCACGAGGACACTGCTTTGAGAGTCTATGGCTGGTTTTTACCACCCCTGACAGGGGCTTATGTCTTCTACACATCATGTGACGATATGTGCGATTTGTTTATTAGCCCTAACGAAAACCCAACGGCAAAACTGAAAATGGTCTCGCAAAAGGACTGGTCAGAACACAATGAATTTGATAGGTACGACTAACAGTTGTTCCTAAAATTACTATAATGCCAAGCAAAACGTATAACTGTACTGACAAAAACGAATTGACAAATGAAAAGGAGACTGATTTCAGTCTTATGCAATGCCCTTTGTAAACATGCTGCACTTCACTGTTGGTTTGAAATGAGGTCTTTCATGCAGAATAATTTGCTTACCCTTTCCAGAAATTCAATGTATTTTATTATCTTTTTATCTTCAAGCACTTGGCAGTTTAAGGTTCCAGCTGAAATTTTGTAAATATAAACATAAGAGGAATGCAAGATTTTTCAACAATTTTGAAAAACACCTAAATATATTCATCTAGATTTTATTACTGCCAATGTTTAATTTGACCTTGCTAGTGTGCTCCATATTGCATAATGAACTCCAGTTTTTACTAGAAAATTTGTTTCATTTCATAGAAACAATGGTATAAGTAGTCTTGACTTAAAATGTATAACCAAAAGTTGCTTTCATCCCCAGGTATCCAATGATGCAGTCGTCAGCAGTTATGCAGATGCAGGCAGGCCGTTCTTATTACATCGAGGGGGTACAAGGCAACGCGGAAGGAAACAGCCATTTGTCTGTTGGAGTTCAACTACCGAACGGACTAATGCTACGTCCTATTACAGGAGCATTCTTAAGCAGAGAACCAATGAGTGACGCAGCAGCACAGAGTGCTGCGATGGCACAATCAGGAGGAACAGGAGCATTGAACGGTGCAGGTCAGATGCTTGGAGGAACTGGTGGAGGAGCAGGTGGCCTTGGAGGGGCAGGAGGACTTGGTGGAGCAGGAGGAGTTGGAGGGGGACTAGGAGGAGGTGGAGCTGGAACTGGAGGGGGGCCAGCTGGACCGTACGGAGGCAGTGGCCCTATAAACAGTGTTGGTGGAGGCGGAATAGGACAAGCTGGTGCACATGGTGGAGCTGAAAGGCTGACGAGTGATCAGTTCAATCCAGCAGCACAAGCTTTAGCAGCAGGCGCAGGAGCTGCGGGAGCTGGAGGATTTGGTGCAGGAGCAGGTGCTACTGCACCATTGGGAACAGCTGGTGAGGTAGCAGATGCACTCTCAAAACTAGGCACGAGTGGACTTGCAGGGCTTGGTGGTTTAGGAGCCAATGGAGGACTAGGAAATCTTGGTGGTTTGGGCGCCAATGGGGGACTAGGAAACCTTGGTGGTTTGGGCGCCAATGGGGGACTAGGGAACCTTGGTGGTTTGGGCGCCAATGGGGGACTAGGAAACCTTGGTGGTTTAGGAGCAAACGGAGCATTGGCAAATCTTGGAGGTTCAGGCACAGATGGAGGACTTGGTAACGCATTGGGCGGAGCTCTAGCAAATGCTATTCAGGGGGCGAACGGAAATCTGGGGGGGTTAATGGCAGCCGCTATTATCAATGCTTTGAAAAAGAAAGCAGGAGAAAAAGCTGGAGGAACACCAGCGGATGTCTTAGGAGGTGTGGGTAGTGCTGCTAGTCTAGGGGCATCAGCAGCAGCAGCCGGTGGTATAACTGCAGCACTGGGGGATGCAGCCGCAGCAAAAATGGCTGAAGCATCAGACGTCACGAATGCCTTGAAGAATGCCTTGACAGGAAATGGTGCTGCATCAGCATTAAGCGATGCTATTAATTCTGCAGCAGGTACTTCTTATGCAACATATCCAATCAATCTAAGTTAAAACTTTTCTCTGTATACATTGTTTGTTACAAAAATTCTCAATTCGCAAGATACAATCCTAAAGACCTTTAACCATTGGTGGCGTAAAAGAGGGTATGGGGGGTAATTACCCCATCCCCCTCCACCTTTGTCAAAACATGGTCTACATATTTCTTCCAAAACCGGATTGAAAAGGGCTTGTTAGGGGTAATTCATATTTCCTAAGGAAAATTGACCTGGTACAAAGCACTGAAACGAGGCAAAAGGGGCGCGGTCTCGCTGGTCACGCCCATTATCCTCTCACTTTGCAGTAGCTGGAGCCACCACTGCCTTTAACCACTTGTTTCCACATCTCATCTCGAATGATGCATTTCCAACGTGCATTCGCGAAACTAAAAAGTTTGTTGATAGCAAAGGAAGTTGTAAAATTTCATTATATACTTTTTTGATCCCTGTAAGTTCTTTGTTCAAGTATAGCTAGAGCGTTCGGCATGAGACCATCTTTTGGATGCACTTTTTCTAACCATATTGCAATAATACCACTACCTACTACAGTTTATGTTCGTATTATGCAAAAGAATTAAAGTAACATGAAAAATGTTGTAGGCATGACAAGTGGGACTGGACCATGGCAAAACAAGGTGGCACAGACCGTTGCTTCGGGAATAGCAGCAGGAATCCTATCCGGAGGCACAGCAGTCATAAACCACATTGCTGAAATACTCAAAGCGAAAGGAGTAAATCCTGCCCAGTTAGCTGCAGCTTCGCAAGGAGGATTTGGTAGCAATGGGCAAGGCAGCAGTGGCGGGAATAACGGGAATCCAAATGGAGGTAATGGGGCCGGCAATGTTGTTGTTATCGGAGCTGGAAATGGCGGAAATTCCGGGAGCGGAAATGCTGGGAACACCGGAGGCGCGAATGGAGGTAATGCAGGAGGTGGCGGAAATGGAGGTAACGCAGGAGGAGGCGGAAATGGAGCAAGTTTTGGAGGAGGCGGAAATGGAGGAAATACTGGGGGTGGCGGAAATGTAGGTAATGCTGGAGGCGGAGGGCTTCAAGGAGGCACCACATTTGCATTTCAGCAACCAGCAAGTGGAGGAGCAAACAATGCAGGGGCAGCTGCTAGCGGAGGGGCAAACCTTGGGGCTGGCATATCACTTGTCAACGGAGTAGGGCAAAGTAACAGCGCATCAGGGGCAAACAGCAATGGAGCAAACACCAAAGACGAGAACTTAGGTACCACATATGTGTTTAGTCCAGTAAATGTAAATGCTGCACCGACAGTCAGCGGAACACAAAGAAACGTACGCAAACCAGCGAGCAACTTGGCATTTTCAGGACCTGGCGAAAACGCACCCAGTGGCAGCGACAACCAAGGTGTTACTTACAAATTCAGTCCTGTGAATGGAGGGAAAGGCTCGGCAAAAGGGCTTAGCCAGGCCCAACATGGGATACTTGTTCCTTCGCATATACAGCGACCAGCTCTCAATGTGCACACAGAAGGGCATCACGTTAGGCCAATGGACGCTTCAGAGAATCTTGGTACTGTTTTAAATGAACTGGTCAGTTTGATGCCCCATGAAGAATATAACATGCAAATTGGCACAGACCATATTCATTTGCACCCCCCAAGCATAACGAGCTCCATGTCGACTGGCAACATACATAGTCATACCCCTGTACATACTATGAACGGGGGCTTTCACAGCCGTAGTTCAAAGAAAAAATTGATTGGTGAGTTGGCAGAAGTAAGCAGCAAAGGACTAACGGGAAGCAAAAAGACAAAAGATAAAACTAAGGGAAAAGGACGGGAAATTTCTGCAAAGAATCACAAGGCTGATGAAGCCGACGACGATGATGATGATGATGATGACGAGTTTGATATTGATAAGGACAAGCCAGACAAAGATGAGAAAGAGGATGACGAGGTGCCAAGTGATGACGAAAAGGAGGCTGAGAAGAAACTCGAAGAAGTTGACGAGAAGGAAGTTGCAAATGGCAAGGACTTAGAAGCGGTATTTGACGAACTCTCAGATAGGGAAGACGCCAGAATGCATGCAGAGCATAAGCCTAAAAATAAAAAGATTGAGAAGAAACCACCTCCCCAGGCTATAACTAGCGAAGCAAAGGTAAGAAGCGAAGGAAAAAACTTCGTCAAAACTCATGAGTCTACAGGAATGTTTCAGAGTTATAAACCTTCTTCAATCTCCAACACAATTACAGCAAGACAAAAGTTTCTTATTAAAAGTCAGAACAGAATGAATAGTAACAAAAAGAGGAGTAAGGAGACTGAAAAATCGATGGAAGGAAGTTTGCCAATTGAAATGAAAGATGGTTGGCCAGGGACGTTGGCATCAAAAAGATCGTTTTTGTACCAAAAGAACGGTACACTGAAGACCCGCAACGAATCAAAAAGAACAGATATAAAAGAAATAAATCATGAATATGAGAAAAAGAAAAATAACGATCTACATGCCGACAAAACAAGCAACCAAAACTTTAAGATCACATATATTGAAAACCAAATGAATGAAAATGGAGAAAAGACTCATCACACGAAAGTATATGATAATGAAGCCAAACCAACAGAAAAAAGTGTTGAGACGAAAGAAGTTGTTAAAAAGGACAGGAATGCAGAAAAAGAACTGAATTATGATGTATACGACGCAAGTAGTGAAAATGGAATAGAAAAAAGGAGTCACACTGCAAGGGGCTCTGTTGAGAAAGGAACGAGTGCAGTAAAAAAGAGCTTAGGAGTGCAGGAGTCACAGGTCTATATGAAAGATGGAGCGATGAATGAGCAAATTCAACCGGCTCTATGGAACCTAGAAAGCGAAAGAGAGGGAATAGTTGCAGATGATTTGAGTAAGAAAGTACTACACGATATCAAGATAATGCCGATGAATGGAATGAAGCGAAACAAAATTGAGAGTTTATCAGAAAGCAGAAGGGACTTCAGTGGTGCTCAAGAAAAACCAGAAAATAGCGACAAATATGAAGTAAAGAAAAACAGCCAAGAAAGACATTTTAAGGAAAAAGGTAAAAAAGTAAAGACTCCAGCCAGAAATATTAATAAATCATTGATAAAGGAGAGGACATTAAAGAAAATAAAAAGAAAGGGAACAGCAAAGCATAGAAATTTCAAGAAAATAGCAGATACAGCAAAGGCTAAAATGCCAAAAGATTCGTACAAACAGAAGAAGCTAGCTCTTGAAAATGGAGATAAAAGAGATCTCTTCAATCTGCAAGCTAATAGAAAACAAATAGCCAACATGGCCGTGAAAGCTTTTTTACCGTTACTTGTAAATAAAATTCAACATCGAATTGAGTCAACGTCAAAACACGGGCAGCAAGTTTACGCTTACTACCCGTATGATTCAAGTCAGGTGCAAATGAGTGCGGCAAAGCAAAAAGTTGCACCGGCGAAGCATCAAAACCCACTGAAACAAAAGCTGACTTTTGCTCTTCTTGGAAATCTCTTTAAAGGACAAGGTATGAGCCAACCACAAGGTTCGAGTCAACCACAAATTGTAAATCGTCTCAATTACCCAATATACTTCATTCCGCCAGTAAAAACCCAATCACCCCCTGCCTTTTCAATTGGCCCACAACCGCCCTTTATTCCACAGCAAAATATACTTAATCCACCTGTTGCCTCGATAGGGCCTGACCCCCCTATGACATTAGGCCAAAATCTTGCACTACCCCCTGTTGCATCTATTGGTCCACAGCCATTTTTCAACCCTCCGAAACCCACAAATAGATTACCGGAAGTTGCATCTATCGGAAAAGAACCAAAAATGGCACCAACCAAGTCGCCTTCAAAGAAAGTGGTTCCTGTAAAACCTACAGCTGCTATTAAGAAAAAGCCAACAAAAACCAACAAAGGCAATGCAAGACATATTACCCCAGCAGCTGCAGGGCCCCATGTGAGATTTGGACCCACAGAAAGCACTGCTGAAAACTATGACACACAGTCTAGTATTCACCACGAGCATCATATATTCCATCATAGCAGGCTAGGGAGATTCCCTGGCATGCATAATGAAGAGGACTATAACGAGATACACGGAACGCAATCGAGTATTCACAACACTATACCAGTGGAGCATGGACATGGCTACCCGGAAGACGATTACCATACGGGCGATGAGTATCAGCAAATGCAGAAACATATTAAGCCTAAGGCTGATTTCACTGGATTAAGTCATAATGGGTTATTGTCAAAGAACTTGAGCACCATATTACCAGGATTTGTGCTTGTTCCTGGGCACGAAAAAATTTCAGTCGAGAAACGAAAGAAAAGGGCGACTGAAGAAGAATTAGCGAAGGATGTGAGACAAAGGAATGTTAGTGCGGAGGAGAAAAGGGAAAATTTTGCAAAACAGAGACAAGAGAAAAGGAGACATGCAACTAAATACAAGAAAAATAAAGGAAACATAAAAAGAAGAAAATCAAAAGATAAAAGGAAAAGGAAAAGAAAAAACTGGAAAATGAGAAATCAAACTGGTTCTAAACGATCGTCAGGAATAAATAAAATAACTATTGCAAATGCAGCCGTAAAAGCACTAGTGCCATTCCTGCTAAAAAGCATGATACTAAAACGAGGTAAAAACAGGAAAAGAAAGGTATTGTATGTACCTGTGGCAGTGCCACAAGGTCAAAATGCCGATGCAAGTGCAGCTCAAGTGCAGACGATGATGAAACCCCTTGCATCTGTGGCATCTATTGGAAAAGAACCAGTGGTACAACAAGAACCACCACCACAGATGCTACCTTCTGTGCCATCAATCGGTAAGGAGCCAGAAGTGCCACCGCCACCGCCGCCAAAAATTCTGCCTTCGGTGCCGTCGATTGCTAAAGAGCCAGCCGCACCACCGCCGCCCCCGCCGCCCCCGCCGCCAAAGATATTGCCTTCTGTGCCGTCAATAGCAAAGGAGCCTGAACCACCCGTGGAAAAACCGAAAGCTGTTACGGAAGATAAGAATAAAAAAGAAGATAAAAAGGACGAGAAAAAGGAAGATAAGAAAGAAGATCAGAAAGATGACAAAAAGGAAGATAAAAAAGATGACAAAAAGGAAGATGCAAGCAAAGATAAAACGATGAAAGAAGGGAAGGATGCAAAACAAAGCAAAAGTGGAAAAACAAGACATTTGACACCTAAGATGATTCCATTTCATCTTAAGAATGTAGCAACAACATCGGATCATGACAAAAGTAAATCAAGCAGAAAAGGTTATGTACTTGTGCCGCATCACGAAGCCGACCTTAAAGACAATACTGAGAAATACTTAGAGCAGTATGATGATCATTAAAATTGTTTGTTGAAACATTGAGTAACATGTGGTTCTTATGACAAATATACAATATTGCTTTGTTTGGAGAGCAATGAAAAATTTCAATTGCTTCTATAATGAAGATCAATTAATAATGAATAAATAGCTTGGCTCAATAATCAACTTTTATATATAAGTTAAGCAGATAAATTATAATATATATTCATAGATTATACATGATTGATTTTATCTCTAAAAAAAGCTTTCGGTCGGAAAGAAAGTGCAGCAGAGTTGAAAGAAAATATTATCCATTATGACCTAAGGATGCTTCTGTAATAGGGTTTTTAGATCAAAGATTTAATAAGAAAACTCGCATTTTTAAGATAAATTATGGTACGAGTATTTAGAAGTTTGTTTGTTTAAAAAGATTTGACTTTATACTGATTTAACGGTAGTTAACTTTTGTAATGGCTTTGTTAACAAAGATTTTTGAATCACATTGCATTCAGATTAATTCTTAAAGGACAACGTTATATAATGTGTGTAAATTTGCTATTTAGTATGAAAAGTAACGGAGTCCCATTCATTGTCTGTTCTGCCGAAAACTCTCAAGGATAGATTAAGGAGTTCACAAAACATAAATATAAGATAAACAAACAAAAACAAACAAAAATACAAGATAGAAAAGCAAAACATTTAGTCAATTTTTCATTGTTTGCACTGCGGTAAAATTGTATCACAAAGTCTCGGAAAGTGTGGAAAGAGGTCAGCCAGTGGTAGAAACGACCTGATATGCATCGAATAATGATTGAAGCTTGAAGCTTAACGATGTGTACTGTTTAAATAAAACAGTTTTCTTTACTCTTTCAATTGTTCGTAAGTTATTGAAGCATTTACAATCATTTTGAGTATAATCAAGTACTTTCTTTAAAATATAATCTGAGAAAGCTTAAATTTGCTCAAAGAGATGAATGATTTCATTCAAGTCTTGTTGGAGACACAACAACTCTGTCTGAAATTTATTAATGTACATAGACGATTATAATGTTGAGGCCCAAGCCATTCATAGCCGAAGAAAAACAGAGGAGGGTGAGATAACTGCAAGAATTAAATTTCTGACAAAGCACGCAAATATACATTAGGCATGAAGGAGTAATTACCTGAAAAGAAATGTTTAATTGGAATAAAAACTGGAAACAGTTAGGCTTGATTCTAGTTATGAGTAAACCAACAAAAGACTGCATCATATCTTACAACCTGCTGATATGACGCGAAAACTGGTGAAAAACTGATATGGAACTGATACGTTATCCGATACAAGAAAAGCAGGAAACTGGCCTGATATGATTTGATAAAACAACAGAGAATTTAAAACTAAACCCTTAAAAGCAATCTGTCACGGCGTTGATTGATTATAAGAACAAAGGGTATTTTTTATTGTTTCCAGTCCCCCTTTAATTTATCGCATTGTAAAAAATTTGGCGGAGCGATGGAATCGTGTTTGGGCTATTGTTCCAGCTATTGTTCTCGTTAACCAATCCACAACGAGACAGATTGCCTTTAAACAGGATTCATTCCCGCAACTTTACGTGATTTGTCTCACGACTTCTGTTAACATTTCCATTTAGTGTTCTACTTGCAATAAGAGGTCTTCATCAGCTATTTCGATATATAAAAATGTGGAATAAATCTACGTGAAAATACCCTTTGTGACCGATGCAAACTGAAAATATAAGTTACCTCTATCGACAGAGGCAAGAGGATGAAGCAAGAGATAAAGGGCATCTTATGTCTGCTGTAATCAATAGGAAACAGGAGTTAAACATTGCTGCTTGGATTTCCCTACCTTTTCCAAGGCGAAAGTCGATCACTGGATATGTCGGATAAATTGGGTCATTTAAGGCCCGAGAACTTCTCGTATTATATGGTAAGAGTTTTGATCTGGTCAGATATGTATCCAAAAGATAATAAGGACACAACCTGTTCATGATCTTATAGGTCATCAAAATTCTTTCATTGCGGATAATATTTCATACGCTAAGCAAGGGAGATGAACAGTTATCTTTAATTCTCACAATGTTTCTTATTCAGCATGCTCGATCTTGAAGGAGTTGTAGAGCAACTAAAGTGTTTTAGATAGGCTTCTCCTAATGATATCGGCACATCGCCGGTGACTCTCAATGAGAGAATAAAAGACACTGCAAGGTTGGGATTGTGGTAGCACATTTTCAATTTTTTTCAAAGCTGAGAGACTGGCATTTATTTTGCATGCCACTCACCTAAACTTCTCTTTCCATGTAAAATTTTCATCAACTATTACATCTAAGGATTTCTGACTGTTCTACTCATTTTTAGCCGTGTCCATTTGTTGCATAGTATTATTCTTAGTCGCGATTAACTTGAATTCGGATTTTTCAGGATAAAGACTTATTTATTCTCATCCGCTAAGAAATATTAAATAACTTTTGCTGCGTGTCTCCGAAAAGTTTTGTTATATTATTTGCAGCAATCGGTAATTTGTATCATCGGCATAGGCACTAGCCCTTGAAAATTTCAAACAATTTTCAAAATCATTCAAACAAATGATAAAGATGAGAAGGCCTTAGCAATCTAGTGTATTCAAATATAGAGACCAATCAGCCTTTGACAAGATATGTTGCTAGTGATGCAGTCAAGTCATGATTAAGCGCAATATCGGTTTCTCTGTGGCTTGATGTTGCGTCATTAAACGTCTTTCCCAAGAAATCCGGCGATTGAAAACCTATTTATAACAAACAGTCGATCTTATAGAATGTAGAAGGGCTCCACGAGATATAATTTTTCTTATTTGTTAAAAAATGTGAAGCAGATACATATAGCAACCTAGAAAATGCATATAGATACGGGTTGAAACATAAGTACAAGAAAGTCTTAAAAACTGCAAAAAGCATCATGACACGGCAGAAAAACTTCATAACAAGATGGTCTTCCAACGACATTCTTGATAGAAAGAAAAAACTAGTCCCAAAAACTGCTGCTGCTGGTTTTTTGCAACTGATCAAACAGAAAATTGAGCGATGGCTATGAAATAGAGATAATTTTTAAGAGCAAAAGGTGATCTTCTTCGCAAGCATGTAATAAAATTATCTGCCCCTGTTTAGCTTAAACCGGTTGACGTTGAATGTTTCTCGTTATCAAAACGGAGACCTTTGAATCACAAGCAAGTATATGTATATTAACCTTAAGACCTTTCGACATCAAATTGTAATAGCCAGTAAACATGTTTCTCTGGCGCGTTCTAGTGATAGTGATGGATTCTGCGTGGAGCGCTTTGCTACGGGTCACATGGCAGGGTCAGCTGATGTCACAGCAATGATTTGTTGTGAGTGGGCTAGCCATTGAATCGGAACAATGATCCATTGTGTAGGAACAATCAACAATTGAATGGGTTCGAACTTCTCCGCAAGGATCGCCTAGGATTTGCAACTGAACAGCAAATAATATGGGAATACTTTTCTTGTAATTTCTGCACATTTTTATTTGGCAGATTGTGAAATTTCGTTTAAAGGGGTAAGTTTGACTGATAAAATTATTTTCCTTTTTTTCTTGAATTGTGTCAGGTGGTTTCATGAAATGAGTGATCAACTGTGTTCATTGAACTATTGCTTTAACGCAGCGGTGTGAGTTGTAAAAGAGGTTTTTTGGCTAAAACGTTTAATACATTCTTTTCTTTAGTAAATTTCATATCAATTTCAACAAGTTGTAAAATGCTGTCATCTGACAGCAATGAGAATAAGATTTGCAAAGATCAATATATTTTGCTGTTTCTGCCGTTGTGAAATTTTTCAACATTTTGAAAATCTATTTAGGTTATCTGTTAATCCAATCGTTAAGGTTCGAGATCATATAAATGCCAAAACGCTGGTAAATTCAATTTCTTGACCACTTTCTAAGAAGCAACTTTGTTAGGCACGTTTATCTAATTCGAACTCAAAATCCAAAATAAAGTTTACTGAAACCGAAAGTTGCAGAAAGGTTTACAAAAAAGAAGATTTGAACTGACAAATTTGAATTGTATTTGTATTTGGATTGAATGAGCTCAATATTGCTAACTTTTGCTTTTTTCTTCAAATTTAGAAGTTACCTAAATACCAATTAGGTTTACTTAAAAATACCAAAGTGTTAAGCAACTGGTTACATTAATAAATCTATGTTTGTATAGTTTGGATAAAAATTCATTCTTTTTCTTTATTTATGATAAAACACTGTTTATAAATACATCAACTGCCTAAATTGGGCTTCCAAAATGTTTCTTTTTTTATTGATATTTCACGGTTAGAACCAGAAGAGTTTTTAAGGTTACAAAGCAACAAACGTGCATTTACAGGCAATTTACAGTATTTCGAAATCTGTTGAGGCATCTTCGTATTCGGCTTTCTAACGAGCCATAATTCCACTTATGAACTCGCTCATTGCAAAGCTATTAACTTCATCTCTTTCAGATAAAAAAGCAAAAATTTTCATGCTGGTAATCAAAGAAAACTTGTCCACATGAAGTTGAAGCTGTGGCTCAGCATATGTACGTTTATCGTACTAGCATCGCTAGAGGCCTGGACACTAGTCATACGACCAAAACTACTCAAAGGTAACATAGCCACATAACGCTAATTGTCGAATGATTCATCGTTATTGGTTTACAGTTAATCCGAGCGTGCAGGATTTTAGGCTGAAATTAGTGTTCTAAAACAGCAATTATTCACAATTGTGTCATGTTTTTAAGGACACACCATTAGTATTTTAATTTCAAAGCTTCGAACTTTCAAATAAAAAATAATGGACTTTAGTTTAACTATTTTTCACAAATGTTTTCATTGTAGCCCCTGCGGTATCTCCAGCTCTGCGAAAATGGAGACAACAACAAGCATTAAAGAGGCACATGATGCAAACGAGGCCAATGTCATCACCAAACAAAGTTGGTCTATCAATGGCAGTAGCCAGAGCCAATATTGCAAAACAAAAACAACTTAAAGCATTGCAAAGCAAAAAGCAAGCACAAAACAAGAAAATTGTTAATAAAAGACTTAACAAAAATAGCCTGAACGCTGCTAAAAAGCCAGCAGCAAATGTAAGGCAAAAGCCTTCACGCGCGGGAAATTACCTAGCTCGTAAACCTTCAATCGGCAAATCACAGACAAGAAATAAACTTAGTCAACCGATTAGCAATGGACTTTTTTTAGCTGACGAAAAGACGAAACAAGGCGTTGTAAGAGAAAATATTTATCCAAAAGATGCATACCAACAGGTTGAAAATTATGTGGACAATGTATTACATGATGCAGTGAGAATTCCCGGAATAAATTACTATTCAAATCAGTATGACCAAGATAGATCGATTCAGCAGATTGGAATGGGCAGAACAGCAGTAGCGCCAGCACCTCCTCTACCTCCACCACCTCCACCACCACCTCCGCCACCACCTCCTCCGCCACCACCTCCTCCCCAAAACCCTTCTCCCCCACCAGTACCCCCACAAGTGCCCCCTCCAGCACCTGCCCCACCCCCAGCGCCAGCAGTTGTACCAGCTCCAGCACCAGCACCTGCAGCTCCACCTGCTGCCGCTCCACCTGCTGCTCCCGCGCCAGCCCCCGCTGCTGCCTCTGCGCCAACCCCTGTTTCTTGGCAAGAGAATAATGACGCAGCTTTCCAGGAGAAGATGGGGAAAACAGTTGAAGTTCCAGAACCGAATGGAAAGCAGGCAAAATACTATTCTTACACAACAGAACTTGTTTCAGATGGAAAAGGAGGCTACAAAGAGATCATGCCGAATTCAAAGCAGGCGGCTCCAGAAGTAGCTGCACCAGTGCCAGCTGCAAATGCACCAGTTAAGGTCACGAAGAAAGCTCAACATAGAGGAACGATAAATGACTGCACGATAGCAGTCGGAAATCGCTCTGATGACCAGGTGCAGCCTTCGAAACGAGTGTATTCGCTTGGCGGCCACGGTATGTACAAAACAAGATTCGCAGTGCAGGCTAAGATTTACCGTGATAGAAATGGTATCTCAATATTGAACAAAATTTAAATAAATAAAGCGTTTTGTTGACGCAGTCATGTGAAGTTTCTCTACATTGATGACCTATTAAGTCTCAAACTTGTGAGTTAACTAGAATAACCTTTATAGAAAAGCAGTTACAACTAAGGATTGTTATCACTGGTTCGATGCCGATGGAGACCTTAAATTCGTAGTTACAACTTAAAACAGAGTAGTTAAAGAACAATACACAATTAATTTGTAAAACTGTAAATTCGTAAAAATCTTAAGAAAATAAAGAATAAGATTATAAAAAATTTTCCTTCACAAAGCCTAAAATGTGTAGTGCAGAACTTCAAGCCATTATTTCTTTACAGTGTTTGCTGACATTGGTTGCTATAGTGATTGTTGGAAAAGGGCGATTCCAACCTTAGAAGGGAATCACGATTTGTTAATGGAAGATGACTACAAGAAGCGCGGCGACGCATTGCAGAAGTGCGCAGAGGCTTCTTTAGATCGAGGCTTCAAGTATTTTGCACTGCAAAATGGAGGCCAGTGCTTTGCTGGTATGAATGGAACCGGAGGTACAACATATACGGCCACTCTGACAGGTGCAGAGGTACGTGATCTTGGCTCAAACTACGTCGTTCTCAACTTAACAACTAATTTTACCAATTTATCAACAATAGATCACATGCGTGCATTTTGCTTCTGTCTTAAAAAGACAGAAAAGATATTGAGCAATGAAAATCAGATATTGAAGATACTTTTCTATTCTATAGATGACGGTTTGGGAGGACCTTACGCAAATGAAGTGTATATGTAAGTTTATTGATAATTCCTTCAATAATTTCAATGTATGCAAATTCAATTCAAAATTACTGAAAAAGTATTTGAAGATAGCACAGAAAAGTGGAAACATGGCATTTTTTAGGAATTTTTCATCCGACATTTCTACGCATCAATCCTCAAATATCGACGCCTGAGTATATTGTTTCCTTTTACGCTGTAACTTTACTTCTTCAATTAGGTTTGAAGAAAGTCCTACACCAAAGAGAGTCCCGTCAGCCTACACAAAACCAACACAGACCCAAAAGCACCTCTCCGGAAAATGTCGAAATAGCGATTGCGATTCGCTAGATGGTTACGACGCGTCGCTAATGAAAGAAGAAAAGGTATCGTCGCATCACTGATCGCCGCCTTACAAATTTGACATAAAATATTGTTTTTAATAAAGATTTTATTTTGTACTGGTCGCCTATCACTATGAAACATAGCTTATGTTCTGAAATTTAAAAATAGTTAAATTCCATTTAATGATGTTACTTACACTGTTTTCTTTGCATTTTGACTTTCGTTCTAAGTCAACAGAAGAACTTTGTCAAGCGTTTCTTCAGATAAGTTCAGCTTTAATTTCCGATCATGTTTTTATCCCAAGCTTGACACTAATCTTGAAATCCAGTACACAAGCGTTATACAAAACTGTAGTTCAATCGGTTTAAGGTTAAATCAGCCAAAAGTGCTGGATCAAAAATTTCTGGAAGATAGGTAGCCTCCTGTTTTATACAGAAGCAAAAAGGCTTGGAACGAAGGATTGGCACGAAGAAACACCGACCAAAATCAGCTGATTTTTAAAAGCAGGATGCATCTTCATAAATCCATTTCTGATCTACAAATCATTAAGTGGCTAAGGAATCGTGAAATCTTAATCCAATAATATGTCGATTTGTAGGAACTGAGTGAAGAGGAGGATGAAATTGAGGCAAGTGAGGAGACAGCAAAACACAAGAACAAACTGAAAGACATCGGAGTAGCGATACAAAAATTACTGAAAAAACATGACAATGATGACGCATTGGCAAAAGAAGAAATTCACAAAACGGAGAAGACCAAAAAGATAGAAAGCACGAAAGAGAAAGCAACTTCAAAGTTGAAACCGAAGAATGCATCGATTGAAGAAATCACCAATGCATTGGTGAAAGCTGCAAGCGCAAACCACAAAGAAAGAAATATGACATTAGATGCCGAAAGTGGTGATAAAGAAGACAAACTCTTTCTGAAAGAAGGAGGTGAAGGAGAGAGTTTGACCGGGGATAAAACTCCAAAGTCAACAGAGAAGGGAGATAAAATTCTTGAAAAGTTAGGGCTAAAATCAAAGAAGAAGGTTTTACCACTAGCATCTGCAGTCGCAAGAGGAGAAAAGCCTCCATGCATCTGTCCAGATAAAGGTAATAAATTTATTTGTATTTGCAACTACCAAGCATTCGAACGCAGTTTCTAATACACGTGCTGTGCTCTGTGCCTATTGAGCAATGTCCTGGTCCTTCCTTTCGATGTGACCACACCTCGTGATTCCTACGCCTAGAAAGACAGGGAACTGGCAACTCCCCTCACTCTCCGTGAAAGTGATTGGATCTGTAGTTCGCGACCCTTACTAATGAGCCATCCCTACACATTTAAACGAAGGTAATATAAGAAAATTGTCATTTGTAAAGACGCTTTGGTTGCTTAATAAAAAGCCTCGCTTTATATGTTAAAAAATAATCAATGTCAGCAGTGGAGGTGCTTGGCTTCAAAGAATATATTCCTGACAACGGTAGGCCATCACTCAATTATCAAGTTGAATGTTAGCAGCTTTTTGGTACTTTTGTCAAATTATATGAGCATTGATGAATTGGCTAAAAAACCTAGTTTAGCCATTGTCCCTCTAAATAAATTTTGTTGCTTGGTGGCTGAAATTTCCATCAGAAAAACAAGAGTAAATCATTATTCTAATCACTTAGCTTTGTAACTCAAAATGAAATGCTCACATCCATTATGGATGATTTTTTCTTCATATAATAAGAGTTTGGACAAGAATGGTTGTTTAATGTCGATTTAAGCGAGGTGTCTGTTGTATAAAGGTTGCCTTCTCAAAGCAACTACCATTAAAAATTTGGGTAAAAACTTGTGTCTATTGAATAGAAGTGTCCGTGAATGGAGGTGTCTGTGAATGGAGGTGTCCGTGAACTAAAATTGTTTTCATATCTCATTGACATTTTCCCTCAGCATTGTCTTCCTTGTTTCGTTTCAGTTTGCTCCTCCAAACTCGACCTCGCATTTGCAATTGACGCTTCAGCAGGCGCAGAGCAAGGAGGCAAAGAGAAGATGGCGGAAGTAACAGAATTCGCAAGGAGAGTGGCATCAGCATTCAAAGTTGCTCCTGCCGATTCCCATTTGGGTTTGATCACGTTTTCAACTGATGCTCAGGTGATGCTTAACTTCAAAAGATTTAGTGACCCAGAAAGCTTTGCGGAGCTAAAGATTCTGTACGGGTGAAGCCGCACAGCGGGAAATTTACAGGACAGGCACTGAAACTAGCCAAAGAAGGACTATTTGGAGCAGTTCATAGGCCTGATGCTTTAGACGTTTTAGTACTGATAACGGATGGTCCGTCCTCTGACAATGTTATGGCACCAGCACGATCACTTCGAGATATGGGGGTGAAGCTGATCACAGTTGGCATTGGCGACCATATCAACAAAAGACAATTGGCCAACATTGCGTCCGATCCTGATGACGACAATATGTTTCTAACTGAATTTGATAACTTACAGCCATTGATCCCAAAAATTCAAAAATCGGCATGCATTGGTAAGAAACATATATAAAATAATCAATTATAGGATAAAATTTTTACATAAATAAAATAAGTTGCCTGGTGATCAAATTAAGCGTGAAAATCAGTGTTTCAGCTTTAATAAACCCTGTTCTATTCACAAAAGTCTTGTGTTTAATGAATATAAATATTTCTCGTCATTTTAACTCTCATCGTATTGTACTTATGTGATATAATGTTACAGTAGAAAATAGAGAAGAGAGCGAGCAAATTCTTCACAATCGAAGTTACTAAGATTTATTTCTATTTACAAGGTGGAATATTGAAAGAGCCTACGACTCCATGCAGATGTGAAGATAAAGCCACGCCATCAGATCCCGAGGTCGAGGCAGAAACAGCTGCTTTTTTGTCCCTTTTGTCCATGAATGACTTGGAAACGGACAGCGACATTGGCAAGGCAGAGAGACATGATGACATACCGACCGCGTCTCCTGTTGATAACTACAAGCTAATGTTGAAGCGAGGCGGGATCATCGCTCCCATTGTACGGAGCACAACAACAACACCTTCAGCACGCGACAGCCTCTCGGCAAGGGCGTTACCTTTCAACAACCCGCATCCGGTTGATTTTGACGGGGATTCTCAGGGGCATTCTGGGTACATTGGCAACAATCCAAACAACGAGGGCTCGGGCAGACAAAATAGATTTCAACATGCATATGAAAATGACAGGAATGGAAGGGAGGCTCAGGAAAGAGATAATAGCAACAAAGGAGCATATTCAACGCCGAAAGTGACGTCAAGCCTCGACTCCACGCAGACAGATGAACCTGAGTACACTGCACCAGAGCAACCACAAAACAACCAGGCATTCAACAACAATGGAGAAGGCAACGGCAACAGCTCTGAAAAACCCAAAGAGAAGCAACAACAAAGTAAAGAAAACGACAAAACTGGGTCGACGTATGTAGAGGGAAATACCGGCCATAACGAAGGTTCACGGTTTGAAAGTGCAGACAAGCAAAACAACGCCAATGCGAAGGAAAATGAAAAAGGTGGCTCAGAATCGCAACAAAATAGCTTCCAAGGTAATGACGAGAGACAAAAGCCAGTGCAGGGTAAGTCCCAAAGTTTAGGCCAGTTCGAGAATTTGGGAGAACATCAAGAACCGAATCACCAAGTAACCTCAAACAAGCAAGGAGAGGCAAATGAAAGCAAAATGCAGCCATCTGGAAACAAAGAAACGAACAACGAGGGAAACAGTCAAGAAAGGAAACCTGATTTGAGCAAGGAGAACTTGAACACACAAGGGAAGCAAGGAAATAGCTTCAACGAAAACAAAGAAGGGCGACAAGGAACGATGACAGAGAAAGGGCTGTACGTCAGTGAAGGAAATACAGGGGAGGGGGAAAATAGCAAGAAGCCTGAAGATAATAAAGAGGCTGCTATGGGTGGTCATGGAGATACGAACCAGTACAAAGGCGGGAACAATAACATGAGCGAGCAAAGTTCAAAATATCAAGATAATGGAAGTAATGGAAATGTACAGAATAACGGGCCTACGCAGGACTCGACACAAAATCAGCCACAACAGCTTAACATGAATTCAGGCTCAGAAAAAGAGGAAAGTCAAGAAAGTAAAAACGAGGAGAGGAAGCAGGACAATAAAAATGTGGATAAATTTGTACCAAATGAAGTGCCTTTAAATGGGAATTTACAGCAGCAAGGATCGAAGAGTGACTTAAACAGTACCAACGGTGATGTGCAAGGAAGCTACAATGGAGATGGCAAAATATTAGATCCAAAGATAAAGGCAGAAATGTACAATCAATACGTTTACAAGCAAGAAGAGCAAAAAAGAGAACAGAATAGCAGTGCTGGGAATAACGAGACGCAGAATTCGAATGAAAACAGAGACGAGATGCAAAGATATGAAGGCACGCTCTATAAAGAGAAAAAAGAACGAGCGACTGACAAAAATGGTAACGTTGTCGAGAAGCAAAAGTATAAAGGGACGTTATTTTTATATGATAAAGACAATGCAGGAGATGGAAAAGCGAACGAGGAAAAACAAGAGAACAAGGGGAGACAGGAAGAAGGGAACGCTTTTCAGCAACCGACAACAGGACCGAGCCAAGCAGTAAATGAAAATGGAGGAAAGAATCAACAGAGATTTCAAGGGCAAGAAGAAACGTTAAAGGCAAATGAAGGGAGAAGTAACGAAGAAAACAGAAAGCAAAACGCCCAAGACAGATTTCAAGGTGAACACACCGATGGAATGAGCAGAAGCAGCCAGGAAAACGAAAGCGAAAACAAGAATAGCGAGAAAGATTTTAATAAGGAACAAAACAGCAACGAAAACAATGATAAGATGCGAAACTCGGACGATAAGAAAGAGGAAAAATCTGCAACACAACTCAAGGAAGATTCAGAGAGAAATAATGATAATTCGAAGGACAACAGGAAGGATGATAAAAAAGAAACGGAAATGAAAAGCAACAAGGAAAGACAAGGATACAAGGAAGACAGTCCAAGTAAAAACAACGAAGATAAGGAAAGTGGGAAACAAAGTGGAAAAAATTTCAGTGAGGGAAATGGTCAAGAAAAGAATGACAAGAGCTCAGAGTTGAAAAATATGCAACAAGACCAAGATGTTTCCACCTTTGGACATGGACATGGAGGACACGGTAAAGGAGAACACGGAGAACACGGAGAACACGGACACGGAGAACATGGGCATGGAGAACACGGACACGGAGGACACGAGGAACATGGTGAGCATGGGCACGAGCCAGGACACAAATTTGTAGAGGAAGAAAATCAACGTGCACCGCAACAAAACGAAGCAAATAAAGAAGACGATAAGAAGAAAATTGCGGATGAAAATGAAGGGCAAAAAGGAAACAAAGGTTTTCATTTTGACACGGGAGAAACACACAAAGCAAAGGGGTATGAGAACAAAGAGGATACAAGAGAGCCAGCGAGAGGAATGAAGGAAAATGAGAGAGATAATGAAAGAAAAATGTCCGATGAAAATGCAGGTAAAGGGAAGAATGAAGATAATGAAAAGAACAATAAGAAAGAAGGTAGCGAAACATTCAACAGTAAAGAATCAAGCAGTGAAGAGAAAAAGGAAGATAAAAATGAACTGAAAAATAATGACAGTGGAAAGTTGAAACAGGCGCAGAAAGAACCGAAAGAAAAGGATAACGCGAAACAGAATCAGGGAATGCAAGAAGAGAGCAGACAGAGTCCTGCAAAGCAGAACAGTAGATACACAGAGGAAGGAAAGGGGAGTCAAAACAATAAGGAAGAGCAAGAAAGGTATAATGGGAACGACAAAGCAAGTGATAAAGAAAAGGACAACAACAGTCAGAGATTTAATGAAAAAGATGACAAAAATGATGAAAGTAGAAAGGAAAAAAGCAATGGAAAATTGTCACAAAATTTAGAGAAAGCGGATGGTGAAAAAAATGGGTTCCGTGAAAAGGGGACGAGCGACAAGCAAGCATCTATGAAGGAAAAAGAAGATTCGCAGAACACGGAAAATAAAAATGAGAAAATGAAAACGTTGGACAGAATGCAGGAGAAAATGGACGATAAGAAGGAAACATTTAACAATGAAAATACAGGGCAAGCATCGATTGCTGATGTACAGGAGAATGGATATGAGACATTAAATGATATTGTCAAATATCCAAGGAAAAATCTGCGCACATCAAACACTGGAAACATCGGAGAAAACATGCCTCCGAGTCACAATATTGGTTTCACACAAGGATTCAATGATGGAAAAAGTGCCGGGCAAGTTACCGGGAATGGTAATAGTGGACCGGCTTCACATAGCGGACCGGACAGTAATCCGGTCCCAGGAATAAGCAATGGACCAGCGCAAAGTAACGGGATGGCTAACGGAGTGAGAAAAGAGCAGATAAATGAAAAAAGTAACAAGATGCCTTATGTGGAGAGGAATGACGGAGACATTGAAATCAGCGTGGTAAAAAAATTTAACAGTGAGCCGAAAGATTCGATAAATGACATTGAGGGTATAAGAAAACAGAAGAAAGTCGAAGACGACGACAGCGATGAAGAAAAAAGTTTCAAGTTTCAGCCAACTGGAAAAAGTGGCAGTCGAAAACAGAGTTCAGGGAGTAACCACGATACGAAAGGAGCAAAGCTTGGGCCTAAGGGCCCATCAGCATGGCACAAGCCACCGCAGCCTCAAAACAACAACCATCACGAAGGAGTTTCACGAGATGAGGAATACAAAAAAGAAGATGAAAAGAACAAGGGAGCGAAGGGGCCATCATCAATGCACTTGAATATGGCGCCAATGAAGGTAAAACAACCAGAAGACAAAGCAGCCCCAGGGAACAATACGAATAAACAAATTGAAATCCTGCAGTCGCCGAGCAACGGTAAACAGCAACAACAACAAATGGATCCAGATCAACAACTGCTCATGAAGGAATCAGAAAAAGCAGGTAAACTTTGTAATCCAGTTTAAGTGTAGAAAAGAGATTGATTCTAGATCTGAGCCAATGGTTTCAAACAGCAATAACAATCAATTATACCTCTCTATGAAGTGTGTAGTTGCTATATAATACAAGTTGTGAAGCATATAGCAGTTAGAATACCTGGAAAACTAAGTGAAAGCTTTGAAATCTTAACCATTCAATGCAATTTGAATAAGAGTAAAATTTTGTTACTGTCAGGTCAAGAATTTGAGCAAGAGATGAACTCAAATAACATGGACACTGACATGCAGGATATGAATTCAGATATGGGGACAGGGGTGGACAGCGGAGGAATGCGGCGCAATACAGCAACTAAACGAGGAGGTAGCACGCATGCGTACCCCACCGCCCCAGTTCGGGATTTCATTGGAGCAAACAGTGGTGTGGAGAGTCTGGACGACAAGCAAATGGTGCAAACCAGGACAAAAATCCTAAAAGGTAGCCTATCAAGTCTCTATCCCTAGCGAATTAGTCTCCTTCTTGCGGTGCCGGTAACACTGTTTTTCTGATACTGATATCTGATAGCTGAAAAAGGTTTTCAAGGAATGGGATCTGAAAAGGCACTAGATGTGAACAGTTTATCTCTAAAATTAATTTTGAGTGGAATAAATTCACGATTATAATCTAGATCATCACGAAGTCAACAAGCGTGGAAAATGATATTACCATTCGCGTAGAAGTATAGAGAATTTAGCCTAAGTAGAACTCTTAATCTTTATTACAAAGAGACTTGAAAATGAAATGCCTGAGCGGTGATGTGACATTTATTTGACCCGCGAGGCGAGCAAAACTGTTGCGATTGCGAGGAAAACAAAGAGATGCGTCCAAAGCGAAACAAGATCAATCTAGCATTCAGCATAACACCTGCGATTGGCGGGTGGCCACCAAGATCACGCTTATTCCAAATCACTGTACTCAAATGCTCCAGTTTCTACTGCAGCAATGCTTGGCCAGCTAACATAAGTTCATAGTTATTTTACCACTCCATGTTACTAAGTCTATGTTGCTGCACTAGCGGATTCCTGTCAGCTTTCAATTTCGTTTTTTTTAAATATGTTGATTTTCGAGATGCTGCTATTTTACCTGCTCCCGTGTCTTCTTGATTTAGCTGCCTCAAAGCGTGCACCTGTTCGACTCGATGGAGTGCAGAAATCAAAGTCCCAAGACAAAAACAAAGGAATTCTACGTATGTATATCATATACTCCTGTCGAATACAAAGTTCCTTTGTTCAAACTAATTACATGTTATGCTAATAAATTATGTGCCTTGCATCAACGATCTGAAAATTCATATTTGCCATCGATTACATAAACTCAAAATAGTTCACAATAATTACACATAACATGTATTTTCGCAGTGAAAGACCCATTCTTAGAATCGTCCCATTTCTGGCCGCTGGACAACCGAAAGAGCATTCTCAGCATAGATATCCAAACTGGGCACAATGCGATTTTGATGAACGGCAGCACGATAGGAAGCGACCCGAAAACTAAACTAGTTTACGCAACGACCGAATACCCAGGGAGCTACATTATCCTTGGTGACTTCAACGGTAAGTGTTGCGCATTTTGTTTTACCCGGCAGTGAGTTGCAAATATTCTCAAAACAAACAAATCTCTCTGCAAGAATCATTCATATTAAGAAGAAAGTGAAGTTAAAACGTCTCTTTGGATCCCACAATGTGCTTCTCAAAAAACAAGCACGTCGCTGACTTTCAGGAGGCAAGCAATTAACACTACTCAACAAGATTTTATGCATCATGATAAGCATGTTAATTAACTTGTTGCTGTTTCAGGAACATGTTTCAGTGACCCCGGAAAGTGCATTTTGGGCGGCCTAACTCTTTCCTTCTGGGTCAACTTGAAAAGAGAAGGAGTCAAAGATGACCAAGATGCCTACATCATCAGCGGAGGAGGACAGTCGAAAGAGTCACGTGGTTTTGGCTTCTTGTTCTTCCATGGTCAATACGTTTTTGTGCTGAGTACGTCAAATAGGCAGTGGAAAATGATCATTCCGGAAGACAAAGTTCCGACCGGAAAATGGGTGAATATTGTTTTTGCATGGGAGAAGAGCAAAAGCTTGACTTATTACCTAGACGGTAAGAAGGTCATGTCAGTCAAAGGCAGCAGCGCCGATCGTCCGTCTGATAAGTATCCATTGATCACGATAGGAAAACCGAATAACGCCGAAAGCCGCGAGTACATGTACCCGTTGAAGATGCATTCGGTTGCAATGTGGGACCGGCCGTTGAAATCGGACCAAGTCGAGGGAATATACGAAGGGCGTAAGTAGCAGCAGATTTTTCACGTGGCAACAAGCAAATTGAATTCGATTCAGCTGATACTTTGATTGCAGCTGATACCGATAAATGTCGAGTTTCAGCATTCTAGCATTGAAAACAACGTCTTAAAGAAATACGGAGATTAAGATCAGGGAAAGTCAAAGATGACGATTTGGAGATGAGATGTTGATTTTAAATCTTCCAACAAAAAGAGGCCTTGAAATTGTCTGAATTTTATGTCGAAATTGTTTCCCCTTTGTCGTTGAATGTAGCCTTAGATAGATGAACTGCAGAAGCACTGATCAAATTCTACATTATGATCTTATTTACTCGTTATCACTTGTTTTCTAACGCTATGATATTCATCCCATTTCAGTTAAAGAGGTCCGGCAAAAGAGACGGTTAGAGAAAAGATTCTTGATAGCCAGAGCCAAGAGTAATGACGCAATCATCACACTCTTATGGTAAAGATATATTATAAATTGCCACCTTAATAGAGTTTAAGGTGGCCAAGTCATAAAAGTATGTTTTTAGGATTGGGCCCCAAAGTGTTGAAAGAACACTGTAGAATAGCGCTGATAGTACAAAACCACCTGAATTGAATCGGTTGAGATATGGTCACTAAACGACTTAGTGTTTTATAAAAATAGAATTAGTTTACTTTGGCTAGAGTCATCAAGGCCAAATTCAAGTGCTTTGACACGGTAAGAAACTGAGCTCAATTGGCCATATTTCGACCAACATTGGCTAGATTCGTCTACAAGTTGTACATTGATATATAATTGATTATGATGTATATAATGTAAAATTGATATATAACAAAAACACAATCCTAAAAAGTTTTCGCTTATTAACTTTATGAAGTTATTCCTTTTGACGAACATGAGATACCATAATATCTAACTGTTGCTTGCCGTCCTGAGATGTACTTTATATGACCAGCGGTATCGTTTTACTTGCGATGTTCTTGCGAAAAGCTGCAGTTTAAAGTATCATATTGAAAAAAATTGAAAAAATAATTTTCTTTTCAGATTGAAGATACCATATTGCGCACAACAATATTCTCGAAAGCAGATGATTGCAAGGCGCAAGCAAATCATTTTAATCCAATTCTGGCTTGGATTTCATTTAGACAAGAAACTGTAGTATAGTGCTATATTCTCCCAAATGCTGAATCTTAGAAAAATGACGTAACAGTGATCCTGTGAAAAATGCAGAACGCAGAAAACGTTTAATAAGCTGTCACGCATTATTGCGAGTGACTGGCCTGCATCCAAAAAACACCGATATTCAAGTAACTTAAGATTTGACCAGTTATAGCAAAAATTACAGTTATATTAGAATTTTGTCTTATGAATAAACGATGTTTATTTAAATATCATATTATATATGTTAAGGAAGGGATGATGGAGAAAAGTTCCACAATGGGCGCTTGAAATATAACAGGAAACTCGGTATTACTATAACATTATATGTTGAAGATTCGACAGTAGTTTTAGCGGGACCCATTTTAATACATAAACTAATGATATTTATATCGCATAATTGCTTTTATGATACAGCTAACAATGTGTACAGTTTTATAAAGCGAATCAATTTGCAAATTAGTAATTACAATAATATATTTTGTGTTTTCATGTCACTAAACAGTCTCTAACTCGGTGTTCGACAATTTATTTGCTTCTGTATCACTAGAAGATTCTCTGGGACCCAATAACAACAGACAAGTGACTGTTGTCCCAAGTTCAAATACAACTCTCTCCCCGCTCAAAGCCAACCTCTCCAAACTCAAAGATAACCTTCTTCCGGATCAAAGACAACCCTCCCCCACTCAAAGATAACCCTCCCCCACTCAAAGATAATCTTCTCCCCAGTTAAAGCAACCCTCTCCCAATTCTCCCCAATTGAAGACAAGGCTCACCCCACTCAAATACATCCCTCTTTATACTCGAAGATAGCCTTCTTCTCAATTAAAGACAAACCTCTCCCAATTCAAAGAGGCCACCCTCCCCAATCAAAAACGACCCTCTCCCCAATCAAAGACGACCCTCTCCTATCTCAATAATGTAAGGATGGCTCAGAGGGTAGGATCGCGGGCTGCAGATCCAAGTGTTTGTGGTTCAATTTCCTGACATGAAGGAACTTTCACTTTGAGAAAAAAGAGTTGCCAGCTCTCTGTTATTCCTGGCGTAGGGACCATGAGGTGTGGTGTGGTCAAATCGAGAGAAAGGACCAGGACACTGCTCGGTAAGCACAGTTTCTCCGTGTCGTATGCTTTTTACGACAGTTCTTCTAAAGCAATCAGCTTTATGAGACCATGGATACACGATTTATCAATATAGCTTCAAATAAATTGACACTATTCAGAAAGATGGCAGGGAGGAAAGATTCATTTGTGTGAACCCTACGTCGAGATATTTGCAAAAAACAAATCTAGACCTTCACAGGACAAGGGGAGTTTTTCGAAATCAAGATCAAGGCAGAATTGTTAAGGGGGCTGAGCCCCGGAAAAATATTTCAAAAGGGAGGCTCCGCGCTCCTGCGCTCCCTTAGAAATCACCACTGGATGCTAGGTAGTATTTGGTAGTAGAGAAGCAGTTAACTGTTTAAATACTGAAACAGATCAATACTTTCTCTTTGGCGCTGTATCGATCAGAAATGTTTCAAAATGGCTTTAAAAAAAGCAAACATTTGAGAATACTAAAAATTTTCGTCTATCATTCTTCAGAGTATAAAACGTCAGAACATAGATCGAAGATTCTACGCTAGGAAATATATATACCCAGTTGCGGATCGAAATAGGCCAATCAGAAACGCCACCTAAAACCATTTTATTAAATTTTGTACCACAAAAAAAATGTTTCAATAGTTGAAAAATAAAGAGAGGCCCAAAATTAAATAATTACTGACGTTATGTTACCGGACTTGTGAGAATCTGTTTAGCTAATGAAGAAGGTGTATGCATGTATGTTGATAAAAGTAAATGCGAAGAAATTTGGAGGCAATTAGAAGGAAAAGAAGATGGACTAAATGGGGCAAAATAGCAAAGTTACCAGTACCATCATTTACTGTATATGTTGAAAACAGAGGATGGCGTAAACATCATCAGTGGCTGAGGGGCATTTATAAATAAATTACGATCACAATTCAGATAGGGATGGCTTGAAAACACTTCAATTGCAGTAATTCACAAGTGAATCCAGGGACCTGTGAATTCTAAATTGTTCAGCAGGATATGTTGTGCCTAATATGCTTGTTTAGCAACCCAAGTGCAAAGAGAACCTGGCAGGTCTTGCAGTTCTAAAGTTGTTTTTAGTCGGTGAGTTTTTGTTTTGCTCATTTAACGGCACTTCTTAAGCTTTTTGACGTATTCCTTTCTCTATTACACACTTTATCTTATGCGAGACTAATCTCCATTCCGCGATGATATACTTCGCAACTTGCTTGAAACACCATGCCAAGTTCTGAACATTCTGTGTGGCCAATATTTGGGAATTGAAAAACCGAGTTATAACGTTCGTGATAGGGGATTGTGGGGATGAAATACTAAATAAATTAAAACATTTATCATTCTTAATTGCTCTACTTAGTCGAGATAATGATCGCGTACAATAAACAGATATAATGAGGTGTTGGTGTTGAGGACTGTAATTATAAGTTAACTGTCAAATGAGTCTGCTCGAGAAGAAAATTAACCTGAAAAGGAAAAGAAAGAAAAAATTGCGAAATGTTATTGTATACTAAATGGTAAATGACACGCATTTCATCTCTCTTTAGTGCCTGGACTCGTCGCATTCAAACCGTGGCTTCAACTCTTTACAACTAGTGAATTCAACTCTTATTTAAAATAGCTGCGCGGAGTTAAAAGATTTGTCTCAAGGCTGCGATATGAATGTGGTACTGACACGGGATGTGGTGAAAGCAAGTAAAATTGAAGAGAAAAGTTGTGATGAAAACCGGCTTGTAGCGACGGAAAATGAAAAGGTGTCGAAAGATGGCATTGTGTGTGACGAACACAGACCAATGGATAACAATAACAAAAACATCACAGAAGATGGGCCTAAGCCAGATAAGGAAACAGAGATGCTGAAAAAACAGTACGCGGAATTATTGGAAATAAATCGTTTATTGAAAAAACAGTTGGATAGCCGTGATGCGATTATAAAAAGGCAAATATCGGACATACATCGACTTCAAGGGGAAAACAAGAATCTAGAGAAGGAAATAGGCGACGTTAAGGGTGAATTTATCGATTTAAAAAAGGAATTTGAAACTGAAAAATGGCTCACGGAAAGGCTGAAGCATGATATAAGAGATTTGCAGATGCAGCTGGACTTTCAGGATTGTTACTTGCAAGAACAGTCGCATCAGAGCAGTCTTCTTGAGAGTTTGCTGGGAGAATTGCAGAAAAAAGGCGAAGCACAGGAGAAAGAGATCACTCAACTGAGACAACAATTGCATTCAGGGAAAGAAAAACTCGACACGCAGATTGTTGATCTGCAAAAAATGTTGGGAATCCAAGCACACAAAAGACGTTAAATGCACCATTGTCGGTTCACGAGAATTGTCACGTGATCAGAACAACAAATCATGATAGCAGCCCGAGGGTCCGGACTACTAATAGTCCGGACCTTTGTGATCGCAGTTTGAATAGGAATGATAATTTCACCAGGCATATGAAACATAAATTTGCATGGACGAATATCGATGTAGAAGTAAAACTTTCTTTTGAAAAGATCTTATAATTTGGAAGAAAATTATTGCATTTTCAAAATACACGATTTTAAGAAAGATTTCTATATGACAGTAATTCGTATTTATAAAACGAGTAAACATGTTTTGCTCATTTTTTGATGTAAAAGCAGTTGAAATATTCTGAAAATAGCTTGAACTCAAAAGTACCATACAATTATTGTTTGAAAATGAGTGGAACGGAGTCTTATTATTCTGAATAACGTGTTACTTTTGTTGGAGGGCTTGTTGAGCATACCCGGTATTATTTCAGGAACGTGTGCAAAGCCTTTAAAAAAAGGGGGCAAAGTAATTAACGACGCCTGTGATAAGGAGCAACTTTACCACACCTGTTTTACCATTTTATAAATATAAAGAGTTGGAGCAAATTTATAAGAGAAAATGTCAGTTATAACCCGAGTTTTGCATAGCACGTGGAAAAAAGGTTCTGTTTTATATCAACACAGGAAAATGGAAAATGGATCATTAAAAAGGAAAATAACGACTTTTCTTTACAAATGTGCATTTATTACAGCGTGGCTGCAAACTCTGCAAGTCCTACCAAATCCAATACGTCATTCCAATGCGTCATAGTATCAAGCACAGATCGACGTATATCGGAAAGTGCAGCTAAAAGGACTGTGCTAGGTTGTGTATCTATGGTAGATAAATGCCCCGTAACTTCGTAGCTACTTTCTAATAGTAACAAGTGGCCTAATGGTGAAACCCCTTAACGGGGAAAGAATAATTTATAAATTCAAGTTATTTCATAGAGATTTTAACAATCCAGTGGGCCTACGAGCAGGGCCGCGGAGAGAATTGCCTAAGGCAGACGCTTCTAGGAGGTATGGGGAATGCTCCCCAGAAAGTTTTGAAACTATGGTTGCTTAAACTTCTAGGGTGGCTATTTTGGTTGCTAAAATTGCGCCGGTGGCAATGGTGTAGATAGAGGGAGTCAGAGGGAGCAAAAACACCACTGTTGAGCTAAACTGCTATTTTGTCGGAAAACCTCTGCTCTTTTCAAAAATTTAACATGGTTGTCTACGTTTATCTAATTGCTATGTTTTGTTGGAAAAAATTTGAATCTAAATAAACATAAGAATATTCAATATATCAAAAGATCTTTTTTCAGTTCTGATGTCGTTATGTTATGTTGAAATTTATGAGAAAAAAATAGAAGCTTGTTAGATTTTTGTCGGAAAATCCATGTTTCTCACCCCTCCTGTGAATTAAAAAAGAAATAGAAAATTACAGGTACAAGATGATACGTTTAAATAACTGAGAATAAAAAACAAGTGGGATAGGCACAAGATTTGGGGATATTTAATGGAAGAGATATAATTTATCACAAGTACATTTAATACTTTAGGCAACTGTTTATTCTGTTTCCTTCCATATCGCGCTGCTTCATTCAACCTCGCACTTCTTAAATACAATCGAAATACAATGTACGCATCAAATATCATACTTACCATACCTGATAACTGATATCTGATACCTGAAAATTTGGGCATAACTGATATCTTAGCACCATAATGCATGAAAATGAAATTTTCTTAGAAATTCTTAAAGGTTAGACTAAATTGGACCACAACCGACACACTGTTGCAAATAGATGCGAATGCCATAGTGTAAATCTGTATGACATACATATTGCCCTGTATGTTGCCCTGCAATCACATTTTTGATAACATTCAGAAGCTTTTGAACTTCTTTAGCCCTAGCCAACAAAGATGAGAAATTCTTAGCAAAATTATATTTAACACCGAGGCAGGCAACGACTTCCTGGACCTTTATTGTCTCTAATATTATGTTATGTTAATGTTGATGGGGAGGCTGGATTATTACTTACAAATTTTTTTAGTTGAGTTATTATTTATGGGCCCCTAAAGCCAAGGGCCCCTGGGTCAGTGACCCCCATGACCCCCCACCCCTCTTCTCAACACTGCCTACGAGAGCTCCTCGATGGTGTGAAAAATCTTCATTTGAAAAAGCAAATCAGCGCACCTTACACGAGAGCTACAATACCCGGGTAATGTTTTTTGCCGTTCCCAACTTAATTGAATGTATGCATTGCCAGTCCATGACACATTTTCGACCTTAGAGAATAAAGCAACATTTGCAAAAGAGGCTGCTTTGTCTCCAAAGAGGCGGATTCAAAATACGATTTGAATAGCTGGGTAATACGCCCCTATTTACCTTGGCTCTAGCTTATACAACGTGAAAAAAACAGCAGAAAATTAAACGTAACTGCTTGTTCTGAGAACTGTGTAGAAAGACCCAAAAAAAATCCAGACCATCATAGCAGGTAAAGAATCATAGCAGGTAGACATTTTCTTGAAATTTAAATGCTTTACAAGCTGTACCTCAAAATGCTTCTACCTTTTGTTCATTCAGCGGAGATGATTTAAGATGGTGCCTTGTCGCTAAGATATCATTTTTCTCTATTCAAAGATTGTCTAGCCATCTCCAGAGCGCCTTCATATGTCGCATTTCCACCGATAAATCCCGATGCATGTACGAAAATGCAGCCTGCAATTCCGGAAATTCTCGTCAGCTCTTCGTCTCTTACTCCCCGCCATTCTTCTGGGAGGCTGAGTCTTCAAAGGAACAACGAGAAGCAAATCACCATAACCTCAGCAAATGAGGCGAGAAAAAACATGGAAGTTGCAAAAGCTTAAGTTGGGGTTGTACACACGACCTTGCGTTGCAGGCAATATCTTTGTCGATTCAGCACACTAATTTAATTCTACAGTGGCACACGGCACAACTGCTTCTACCCCATCCCCCCTTTTGCATAAGTTTAAGATTAGCTAAGGCCGCTTGGACCCCTCCTTTAAGACTCTCCATTGCAGTATCGTTATCGTCCGTAAGAGGTACTGAAGAGAAAATTTAACTTTCGCCCCAAAGAGGCATCGCTTTGCCTACCAGATTGACAGAACTGGTAGGACAAAAAACGTTAAGAAATTGGCAACATACAAGGCACAGATTAGCTGAATTAATATTTATCAATTAATTAACTAAATATGTAATATTCAGAGAATCAATCAACAAACAAATGCGTCTCAATTTTTCTAGATACAAGAAATAATCAATATCTTCATTTAGATTTAGAAACTCCCGAAGGCGAAAAAAAGGAAGGGCTGTCGAACGTGCAAAGCGTCTTTGTTAAACTTAAAAAAGATTTCAGGAAACAGAATTATTTTGACAAATATAAACCAGACTGAAAAAAAATTTGAATAAGCTTGATAGGGTTGATTTGGATGATGGCAAAAAAAGCTGCAGTTGCAGCTTTAAACCTTGAAATAAAGAAGGCAAATACTTTCTTCGATCAAAGCCCAAAATCAAGACGGTTCTGAAAAAAATTATATCATTTCCTACGAAGACACCTTCTAGCTAGAAAAAAAGATTTTAAGAGTGATTTTGTAATTTTTTCTGACATAAAGCTGATAGCTTATATATATTTTAGTCTTGGGGGCTGGATACTGACGCATCAGCATTAACGTCATATTTCTAAAATGAGGAAATAGCTCCGTTTTGTAGCTACAGTAAATAAATGTTTGACCTGTTGAGGAAGACAATATAGTGGCGATTGTGGAAAGAAAGGTTCGAAATGGAAGCGACTTTTTGTATACAACAAGTTTTTGAAGATCCTTCTGAGTTCGAATAAGTCATGACGAGTTTTGATGTCCATATTTTTATGCTTTTGCTGTCTAGGTTTATACCCATCCGAAATTAAGACGGCAAAAACCCCAATTAACAGAGAAGGCACTTAGATAGCTTGTTTGAGAATTCACGGTTATTATTCCAGATACAAGTGCCAGCTTCGAACATGTTTATGAATCAAACCACATTCTAGACACTATCATTTACAATAGAAGATTTGTCCAACACGAAAAGGGAACGTGTTGTTTCATTCATCCTACAAACTTTTGAGCGCAAAATTTCTTCTTAAAATGGAAGCCATGGCTGGAAATAGCAAGTAAGATTTTAATAGAAATACATACCTGTTTTCAAATGAGGAGAGACCAATAGGAACGCACTATTGTAGAAAAAATGAAATGGATATATGTGGATAAGAACATTGTTTACTCAAGCTCGAATTTAGATAGTTATCTATTCATGTTAGTTATCTATTTCGATTAGTTTATTTATAAAAAATTTCTAAGAACCAAAGAGGAGGAAACTTGCCCTTAAAGAATCTGTTTTTGGCCAACGAGAGAATAAGGTTTTGAAATTGGTTCATCTTTATTAAAGATGATAAAACTTGCATACTTTTGCACTGTTTTGTTGAATGTGGGGTAAAATTAACAAGCATGAGCCGAGTGCCCTGTTTGATGCAGCCAATGGCAGGTGCCTGTAGTAGCAAATGCGTTTTGTAATTAAGTGATGGACTAACAAGTCAGCTGGCTTTAATAAGGGGTATGAACAATTAACGAATGTTTATTCTAAGGCATATCAATAGCAAATCCAAAGCAAAGGAGATTATTCAGTTGATGTAAACAGTGGGCATTGTAATAAAGATATTAAAGGCCTTCATGAGGCAGGCTCCATTCAACTGGGAGTTCACCAAACATATTCTGAATGTTTATTCTAAGACTTTCAAAAGAAGGTCTCAACACAGTTGATACATGAAACCCAAATGATACATGGACATTAGAACACTCCATATGAGCATCCTTTTTCCAACTATACTTTTTCACTAAGTGTATTGCCTAATGCAAATATTTCAAAGCTTGACTCGATTAAAATATTTACCTGCACTCGCCATTTTCCGTTTTGATCTGTGAATAGCACATATTTAATTTTGTTCTCCATCCCCAACTCTTTTTCTATTTCAAATAAATGATCCTTCCAAGGGCAGCCACCCTTTCCAAAATTAATTATCTCTCCGCTTTCATGAACCTGCAAAGAAAAAAGACTTATTTGTTCATACAGGGTTCTAATGACGTTGAAATTTTCTACATTTGTAAGTTAAACACTACTGATTATTGAAAGTCCTCATTCACCAAGGGGTACAAACATAATATCACATGTAATATCATAATATCATAATATCATAACTAAACATAGTATCACCTGTAAATGGGCAGGTTTAATTCCTGTCTGATGATTGCACTAAGCGGGATACTCAGGGTGGCAACCTGAAACCGTATTTTTAACACAGAGAGTACATTTTCAGATACACATTAATTCTGACTACGCGATGGAACATTGACTAAAGCCAAACCTTTGCTCGTTCTTTGATGGCACTTTCGACGATGCATCTTGCAGGCAGCCAAGATTCTTTAAAATACGAGACTCTGTCCAGAAATTCAGACCGTACGAGCTCCATTGCTTTTTCAAATCCTTTCTAAAAAGGAAATACAAGTGTGCATCAGGTTTCAAAGAACATAATGCTGTGGCAAAATATGCTATGATAAAAAAGAAAGCAAGTTCTATCGAATTACCCATGGGTCAGGACTTTGGTCATTCCATCTTGGATTCAAGTATGAAACACGCGAGCTCAGTGTAGTAGTAATTCGATACCTGGAAAAAAGTCACACAGGTTTAAGCCAAGGCAATGATTTACAACGAAAATTTTTTTTTCATTACTTGTGTAAATAGCAAGGGCATACCTACAACAATGGAACAAGAAAAGTGATGGTTGTTTTGCCACTGCAACGTATTTAGACATGAATTTTTTATCAGCTACTAAGAAAAGAGTTCTCAGATTTCTAAAATAGATTTCTGCGATAAGACAGCACAGAAAAGATACCAGCCAATAACTACATACACCACGAATTTGCTGATAAGAAAGCATAAAAACCACTCTTGGGTTCTCAAGAATAAATTCCTTTTTCACAAGAAACAATTTGGAGTATCTTCTGACATAAATATACTAGATTGCGTGCGGTACAATATAAGCCTTGATAACGGGCTATGCTCAAAACATCTTTATTTATTTAAAAAAAATTTTCCTGGTACAATTGACTTACATTAATCGTTATAATATCTTCTGACATGTTGGTCATATATAATTAACTATGACCCAAGCTTAGCATTTTCTCTGTTATTTGTGTTATAGTTCATAATATAGGCCTGATCCATCAATAAACAGTTGACTTCTATTTTTAACAAAGTACAAGTCAGAGTTGGAATGGCAGGAAAATTTACAAATTCCACAAAAGTTTCCTAGACTATCTATAGAGACAAAACCACTGATTCAAAAAGGCACATATATAAGCTCATTTTATAAGCTGAAGGTTAATACGCTGGTCATTTTTATTGCACATTACACTGTTTTTCATCATTGTATGTCCACATATGCATAAAGTTACATAATATAACGTTATCGTTAACAGAAAATGTACTTTGATAGCAACCCCCTTCCATTGTTAATAGCTTCACTGTTCCACTTCAATTTCTATGAAAAAGAAGCCGCAAGCAACAGATTCCTAGATCCACTCCAATTTTTGGAAAGGGAAATAGAACAGAAGACACACCAAGGTAAGCATAAAAATTTTTAATTGTAATTATTTTGTGCTTTTTAGGTACTGCAAGGTACTCTAAAAGGCTGCCAATTCATGTAAGTGGTACCCCACAGTTAAAGACAACCTAATGATACAAGACCCAATGGATAGTTTACTTTCTTGTGCAGACACATTTCCTAATTTTCTCTCCCAATTGCCTTCAGCTTCATTAGAGTCTAAAGAATACCTTGATTCTCCATCGTGTTGATTCACTCCATTATCAATAGCATCAATCTCTTCAATGAAATTTTCATACAGTTTGTCATAAAGTACTTCAACATCTTTCTTTTCAACAGCCTCTCCAACAATCTGAGACAGTATCTGATGTCCAAAGTGCAAATACACAAGCCCTGCACTGCTCAGCTTTGTTTGCCATTTCTTTTGTGCTAGACAAGCCATTGTTCCATCAAATGCCCTGCAATGATTTGGAAAGATCAATATCCTTTACAGAATCATTTAACATAAAAACTATTATGTAAGAAAAAGCATTTACTTTAAACAAAGCAACTTTTTCCCTGTGAAACTTTTTTGTATTTTCATATGACTTGATATCAACCAGCATTCATAACCATAAAAGAACAATTTGTTGTTGTTCTGTTTGCTTTTCAAAATGAACATTGACATTCCTAAAAAATTTGATTTACCTTTAAATTTGATTATAAAAAAATTCAAAAAACTGTTGGTACAAGGCATTAGGATAATCAAGAAAATGCTGAAACCAACTTCTATGGGGAATTTTATGTGATAACCTGGCTAACAAGAACTTTTTATCTTTTTTTCTTAGCAAAAAAGCTATGATGCAAGTTATTGATTGATAATAAATGGACTGGATCAAGCCAATTGATAATTAACAAAACATATCTAAAAACAAACAGATATATACATACACAATATCTCTAGAATAACTTCTTGTGAAAATCTTAAACAAAAATGATGTTAAAATGTTTTGAATGTTTTGGGCTTAAAAATATTATCAGTATCAATTATAAGAATTGATAAAGCACCTCTGATGATGGTCATATCTGTGTTTTGCAGGGTCATAAACTCCACCAACATCAACTACAATGTCACATTCTGCAAGCTTTTCTGGATCTCTGGATCTTATAATTTCAGCATGTTTGTATTCTGGCAGCATTTTCAAAAATGAGCAGGCAAGGACTTCATCACAGTGAAATGTTCCATCATGTGTACCAATTAATTTTGTCATTTTCACTTTTTTCTCATCACACATTCTGTAAATTATTTATATGGTAAGTACGAGCAACACATATCGTAGAATTGATAACAAAAATGACTTTGTAAAATGAAACATTTGCAAACATTGCTTCTATAAGTATGCATACACACAATAGATACTGGCAAAAGCCCTAGTTCAAACAGAAAAACAAAATAAATATTTCTTCTGCATATATACATTGACAGAAGTATCACAGATAAAACAAAAGCATTGGTTGAATATTTCAAATATATAATGTACCTATAAAATTCTTCAAACAATTTCATTAATATTTAGAGGCAAGCTAGTCCAGTTTTTGACAAGCCCTATCAGCTTGTTCCAACTTTGTGTCACTTTCGTAGCTTGCCCAAATGACACACCCAACATATTGGGAATCTTCAGCCAAGGATGGGGATGGTATTTCTGTGTAATCATTGCAAATCACAATTTTTTATGTAGTAGTGTTCTCACTTCTACACACATGCGAGATAAATTCAAGTACTGCTCATGTATGCGATTGAGCAGGGTAACTTTTTTAACAATATATTTTGTAATTTTTGATTCGCATATTGGAAGCTATATTAACATTTAAAAATAACATGATGCAAGAAAATTGACTATTTACTTAAAGATTGATGCATCTAATCAACTAGGGGGTGCTATCTCCTCGATTAGTTTAGAAAACTACTGAGAATTTCCTACTTTAAACAATCCCTGTGTACAATACTAATTTGTTTCTCTACTCCGTATTTATTCTGTAATGTTTGAATTATTAAACTTCCTTTTACATTGTTTATATTTTTTAAACTTGGAAATGTAAACTTGCAACAAATGTTTGTATACAGTGGAATTTAAAAAAAACTGAACTGAACTGCATCAGAAATGCAAACACGTAACAGACAGTTAAGCATGCCCAATCAGTCACGTTCCCCGCCCAGACCAAACTTTTCAGTCTGGCAATCAGAGCCACTTATCTATTTAAACAATCACGAATGAAGACCCAAGATGAAAACCAACACCTTCTGTCTACACAAAAGCGGTTTTTGACATCCTCGCGTTTCTGATCGGTTCTATTTCGATCCAGAGCTGGGTGTATACACATAGGTTCATAAAGTAGTGTGACAACTTTGAAACTTTATGACCTTTAATGCAATAAATTTTGAAAGCCTTTTTGAAAATATTTTGTCTTTAAACAAGTACGGCAGCTATTTCCATAGAAATTCCCGCAAGATTTTGTTGATCTTTTGAAGCCTTTTATGTATGCCAAAAATTCAAAATACATCAACCATAAAAATTCGGGGTTTGGGTAAGGATCAGTGTCCAAGAGGTGCGAAACTGCGCCAGCGCCAAAAAATTCTTAGGACAAACATCCGACCAATTTTCCCACCAGCCATCTAATATTTGACTTACACTGTTCTCTTACAGAAAAATTTTATAAAAACTATCTAAAAAACCAACCTAATGGGCAATATGTATAATCCTTTGAACGGCTGGTTGTATCTCTCCGGTCGAAACAACTTACCTACAGCACTCAATCGGATAGGCCATGATTTCCACATCGAAAATGGCGCCAATCGCCCACTTGAGGCCAGCCTCTCTCTGTTCTTAGAAGATAACGGATTTTGTTTAGACTTGTTTAAAGCCCTACATAGTGAAAAGTTGAGTGAAATGTTTAGTGAAACGTTTAGTCGTTTTGCCAGGGCTTAAGATTTAATCCACTAATAATGAAATTAACTGTTTTACCAGTCTATCATATAGTATTTGATGCCGTATAGAAAGAGCTGTGCATGCTTTGGTGTAAAGAACAGGACAGCTCTAGGATACAGTTATCATAACCTGTTGGCATTGATACAAAAGAAATACTGCATTTGCTCTGAAAAGCGCCTACCCTCGAAAAAGCGCCCACCCTCTCTCAAAATGTTTCTTTCTTTCAAAAAATCTTGACTGATAATAAAAATCAATACAGGAATAATGCTATTCATCGGTCACTAATCTTCTAAATAAAGCAAGGGCGGATCCAGAGCAATTTTGAAGGAGAGGCAGTTGGTAGTGGGGGCGCTGAAAAATTTTCAGAGATCGGTGACGAGTGTACGCTGTATACAACAATTTCAGTCCCTAGCTACTGACAGAAGGCTCTCCATTCACTTTGTAAGGGAATTTTCACAATAATTGTTGTACATTTTGAAGTAATCCTTGAAGTAAATCAACCTATAAGTCTCAGAAACTTTTTCAACTGATTATCATCCTTGAAAAGGGGCGCACAATTTTCAAAAAAGAGGTGCCATGTTTTGTCCAGAATCACTCCAAGTAGCTTTTCTTCTGTGCTCTCTTTTATCCTGACACTTCCGATATTTAAAGAAATATCATTACTTTTATTCTCAAAGATCATTAGATGGCATTTGTCCTCATTCAACTTCATACAGTTGTTCGGAAACCATTCTGCAATTTCAAGGGCATCACTCTCTAATGTTTCAATGATACTATCAATACTGTTGTCACAAGCATAGATAGTTGTATCATCTGCATATTTACATATTTGAGTATCATTCACAAACATGAAGAGATCATTGAGGTATATGTTAAACAGAAGAGGTCCCAAGAACAAGCCCTGTAGTACACCAATCGTTGGATGTGCTGAAGGACCCATTCATTTTTACCCGCTGCTTCCTCTCATTGAGATAGCTAAGGATCAACCGCATATTTTTTGATAGCTTTTATCAATAGATCATTTGTGATTATTTGTGAAATAATGATTAAAAATTTCTGCAATCTTCAAGTCCTCAGTTATCATTTTTCCATCTTCAAACAGATTCACAGCTGAATTTGTTTGTATTTCATTTGAGAAAACTGGTTTGACCGTCTTCCAAAATTTACGGTCATCTGTAAGGTCTCCAAGGTCAAGGTTTCTATAGTAATCAGATTTCGTTCTGCCCAGGAGTTTCACACAAAAATTTCTTTACTTTTTGAAAGCTTTAAGATTCTCCTCAGTTTTTCTCTTGATGTATCTATTGCGTAATTTCTTGCGGTGCATCATCGCTTTTCGTAAGGCCTTTGTTATAAAAGAGCCATCATTTGCACGCAAATATTTCTTCTTAAGAGAAGCAAGTTTATTAAGTGTGTTTATAACTACAGCATCGAAAGCGCCATAATCATCGTTACCCTGCAATTCAGACGTAATCTGATCACAAAGGTCACTCCTGAAGTCCTCAGCACGAAAATTGGTGTAATTTCTATATGTAATGATCTTGGGCTCTTTTTTCCTATATCCACCTTTAAGTACTGTGATTATCATGGCATGAAAGTCCGACAGCCCTGTATGCACTGTTACAGTATTCTGAAAACTAGTCTTCCTGTTCGTCAGGATAAGATTAATACATCTAGGGTTGTCAGACCTAAAACAGTTTGGGCTTTTGACCAGATTAGGTAAATCATAGTTATCAACGAAGTCACTGATAGCACAATCTTTGGGCTCACAATTGAAATCATCTATCAAACAGAAACTTTCATATTTGCTACTGTAAAAATCGAGCCCCTTTTCTATCTCATCAAAGAAGTATCTGTCAGATTGAGCTGGAGGGCGGTAAATGCTGAAAATTAGCCATTTTTGCCTCTTGAAAGTTACTTCGATTATGCCACATTCAATGTCATTTGGTGTTTTGTAGACAGCTATCTCTTTGCAGGGAGATAGGAGGTAGGCCTGCCTATCTTATCTCTAAATTAGCCTGGCAAGTATGAGATCCGTACTTCATTTTGTGGAACTTTTTGACACAAGCTATGTAAAAGTCGAAAACTCAGTGGCCCCTGGAAAAAATCCACATGTTTTTCTGGCCCGGCAGTCAAAACAATTAAGAACCCCTGTTATAGACCAAAGACCATACATCTAAAATACAGGGTAGCGGAACATTTCCATAAAGCAGACCACAAGCTGACGATTGGAATAAACATTAACTAGCACTCTTACAGAGAACCAAGGAGCACGAGAAAGCACTCCTATATGCAGAACGTTGTTTTTTTGATTGATTTCTATCACCATCCTACCCTTAGATTCTTTTCCTTGCTTTCTTTCTGCTGCCGCTATATAATGGGGCTTTTCTGTGGTGTCAAAAGTGTCTTTTTGTCGCCTTTTTGAATGTCTAAAACACTAAATCATTTTTGGGCGACAGTCCCATTCTTCCAACGTGCCCATGTTAAAATGTACAAATTTTTATTTTCATTTCGAATGTGCTCCAGGGTGAAGTTTTCAGCAGGTTACAAGCCTTGATATGTCTCTTGACAAGATAGGAATTTTTCAAGCCATGTTTTCTTATCCTTTAAAAATCGTGGTTTTTTAATTAATGGATCTACTACGATAACGATATTGAGTGGAATGGTTTGTATATGCTATGATATAAGCCCAGGGCTTGAAAGGTGAATAGAGCTTAAAATATTATGATGATTTGTAGAGCTGGAAATTTTCTTTAGATAAGCTTTGTGCAGTTGGAAGTTCGTACTGCACAGAACATGCGAAGTTTCAAATCGCTGCTCAAGACAAACCTTTTTAAAACTAGCATATAATTTATGATTAAATTCAATTTTTAATATTATTTTTGAACAGTCCCTAGAATACTATATTTTGTACTACAGATGAGTAAGTTAATAAATAAATATATGGCTTTGAAAAAAGCAAACATTTTACAACATACTTAAAGCTTTTTCGTCTGACACTCCTCAGAGCATAAAACGTCAGAATAGGTTCCGAAAAACATGTTAACATGTTGTAAAATGTTTGCTTTTTTCAAAGCCATTTTCAAATTCTGTACCGCAAAAAAATTGTTCAAATAAATATATGAAAAATTAACTATACATGATAAAATTTGCAATGAAATATGTATTTGTAATTATTATTAAAAAACTTTCACTCTGGCCGCGAGAAAGCTTGTGACAAATTGTGATAAAATGTTAAGGTTGGTAAGCAATCAATTGTATCGCTGAAGCGAAGAAAAAGGAAGTAATGAAAGAGAAGGAAAATTAAATTTCAAAATTAAAACAAAATTGCAACTTCTGACCTTCAATAAATTGTCTTATATTAAAGAAGAGTTGGGCAAAGTTGGCAGATTCCCATTCCTGAGGGAAAAGGGTGATTGAGAAGCAGTCTATACATTTAAGAGAAAATCGGAATTAAATGTTGGTCTTCTCAAAAATGACTCTAAATTCTTTAAAAATTGCATTGAAATTAAGCAATATCGAAGTTCATATTTGCTTGCAAAATGCATATGTATTAAATATATCATTATAAATATTTATTTATAATGAATGTAAATTGTATGTATATATTGTTATATGCATGCGTTCCTCTCCACCAACTACATAGTGCATTCACTTTTTCGTACACAAAACAAAGAAACCGCTATTGTGAAGAGAGGGTTTCACCTTTGGGCTAAATCAGTAATATTCTTAATAGGCCAGAATCACTTATTGGGCACCCTCAAAAGTCATTTGCTTGCTTTTCTGATTGGCCTATTTCGATCCCCAACTGGTAAATGTTTTTCCTAGCTGAGAATTTTCGAATAAGATTCGACGTTTTATAATCTGAAGAGCGTCTGACAAAAAATAAACTGTTACAATGGGTTATTTGGAAAACGGAAAGCTAAAATCACACAACCCCAAGCCCCTGTAAATGCAGCCCTTTCGGGTAAACTTACTCCAATCAAGGTGATACTCGTCCAAAAATTCATTAAGAATCATAACAAAATAAACAAAGTTGATAAGTAAAACTTGCAGTCATACAAACGAATGTAGCATTTGGTCCGACTATAGGTCAAGTCGCGAAGATAAAAACTTAGGCAAGACAAGAGGTTGCTCTTCTATAAATTCAAATTTAAAACAACTTATGATTTAGGACGGAAGGGCTTGAATGGTAAAGTTCTATTTTTGGATAGATACAGAGAAGGAACAACCGTCTTGAGTTTGTCTGTTTGTTTCTATACAATTTGTGCAGAGATGAAAGGCAAACATGTTTGGACTTGACTTGGTATAACAATAGGCTTGGTCATTTGAGAAAAAATAAATTCTTAATCTCTTAAATGTGAATAAACCTCGAGGTAAACCCTTAGTGATTACGTAGAATTAAACATGGCCGTTGACAAGAAAGTAGCGTTTCATAAAAACGGTTACGCTTGCCTCTTAGCTATAGTAATAGGATTGCTAGTTGTTGAAGCAATATTCCTACATTTGAAGATCTACAAAACAGACAGTGTGCTGACAGAAAGGATAATTGAACTGGAAAGAAAGCAAGAGAAAACTGAAAGGGAATTAAAAGAATGCCAAAGCAAAGATGGCGAACAAAAACAAAAGGACTTTCGCTACTATTCACAACTTTTAAACAGAGAATTCAGGATAGTAGAAAAACTAAAACGAAGATCACGACGTCACAATCAACCGAGCTTTGATCTTCATTTGCAAATACGAAAATTGGCTCATAATGTCGATGGGCTTTGCAGAAGTGTGACACTTGTTTGCAAGAAGGGTGAAAGGGGAAAGCCAGGCCCGCGTGGTGCCAAAGGAGAAGCAGGACAGAGAGGGGATATCGGACCTATTGGTGTAATTGGTCCTCCTGGTCAAAAGGGGGACAAGGGGCAAAAGGGCCAGCCTGGATCACCGGGAAGGTCGATTTCAAAGCCACGAATTGTATCAAAGTTTCCAAATATAGTCTACAAAACAGTTGGCTCTAATTTAACATTATTATGTGAAGCCGAGGGGAATCCCACACCAAAAATTATCTGGAGATTCGGGTCACAAACTCAAGATTCAAGGTACAGTTATCCTGCTCCAGGTGCCCTCGCTATTTCAATAGTGCAGGAGAATGACAACGGTATAGTCAAGTGCGTTGCGGAGAACATTCTTGGTACAGATGCAGTCGAAACTGAACTTTCTGTCCTAACAAAACCCAAGGTGATCATAAACTCCAAAAAGGTCATTGGAACAGTTGGGTATCCTTTAGAAGTCAACTGCAGTGCTACTGGCAATCCTATACCAAAGCTCTACTGGAAAAAGGCTCATGGTTTGACAAGTGGCAAAGAGGTTCTTGCAACAGATCAGAAAAGCATGTCCCTCAAGTTTACAAAAATTGTTTCTGATGATGCAGGGTACTATATTTGTGACGCAAAAAATAAAGTTGGAGTAGCATCTGATTCCACTGTTCTTGAAATACAAAAAAGAGACTGTTCATCGTGGAGGAAAAGCGGGCAGTCAAAAAATGGACTTTATATAATTAACCCAGATAACGGCATAGCTTTCTCTGTTTATTGTGACATGGAAAATGACGGGGGTGGCTGGACGGTGATTCAGAGGCGTACTGATGGGTCAGTAGATTTCTATCAAGACTGGGAATTGTACAAGATAGGCTTTGGGGATTTGAGAAATGAATTTTGGCTTGGAAATGAGAAAATTCACCGCCTTACAAAACAAAAAGATATGAAGATTCGGTTTGATCTTGAAGATGTGGATGGCAACAAAGCTTTTGCAGAATATAATGCCTTCCATATAGATGGTGAAGATCAGCAATTTACAGCACATGTGAGTTCTTACTCTGGAACGGCTGGCGATTCGTTTTCAGATACAAATGGGAATAAATTTTCAACTAAAGATAAAGATCACGACACGAGTCCAGGTGGAAGTTGTGCTGTGTCATTTCAGGGTGCATGGTGGTATCGAGATTGTCATTCATCAAATTTGAATGGAAGGTATCTAAATGGTCCACATAAGTCGTTTGCCAATGGAGTAAATTGGTATCACTTCAAAGGTCATCATTATTCTTTAAAAAGAACTGTCATGAAGATAAAGCTACGGAATTAGCCAAGACCAAAATCTAACGTAAAAGCAGCTATGAATTAGCAGTTGCATTAATGGTGACTTTTGTAGAAGATAATGTGTAGCTTGGAGTTGATAATTGAAATATATAGATGCATGAATGCCGCTTGCCTCTCTTTCTATTTGAGTTCTTGATATAAAATAGATAACCAAAGGATATAAGATACGACCTTCGAACAAATAGCCTCCTGTAGCTCCTTACAACCAATAAGTTAAGTTAGTTTATGGGAAAACTTTATTATCATTTAGAGGAACTATTTTACGGAACGCGCTATCTGACACAATAAAAAGCAAGCCATTTACAAAGTAACGTATCTTGTGAGCTTGATAATCGAAGCATTTAAGAACATGAAATGAAAATGTTTTTATAGTTATGTAAATAATGTTGAAAAATTATGAGCTATGTTAACAGTTGTAGCGAATAAAAGAACCACTTTCGTCCTAAAGTGAACCGATAGTGTAGCCCACATTCGCAAAGATTTAATTAAAAGCATCATAACTTATGAATAGCGGCTGAAATTATGCACGCAATGTTCAGGTGGGGAAACTTAGGAGGGGCCCCCCATTTTTGTCAATGGCAAATTAATTTGAAATATCTACTGTGTAAGAATAGGTCGCATTTTTCCATTTTTGCTTTACTGTGTAAAAAGAGGACAGAGTTATTAAAATACATTCGTGTTAAGCTTTTGTAATACAGAAAGATTTTGGTGTCTTCCTTATATATTTATATATGAAAGAATGCCCAACTTAAAACTTTGTTTTATAGTATTTGCTCGGAACTGAGCCCTAACCGCTGTTTCTTTATGCTCGTCAGCCTCGTCACAGGAAAGTGTCGCTCCTGTACACCCTGTCTCCCCCCCCCCAAATAAGGATTTAGCCGATGTGGCATATCGATTAGGTACGTTCCTAGAATTTAACCCCTCCAAGTCCGTATTCTGTTATTTTTTTAAACAAGAAGAGGGAGGGTGTCGTAGGACGCTCTCCAGGTCATATAGCATATTGTTATTATGTGGCAGACAATATTAAATAGGCATTTCAGTAAATCAGTAGTTAGTTATCTTTGTAACATCGTTCAGTTAAATTATAAATCTGGAATGTTTATCAAAAAATGAAAAGGTAGAGAATTTGTTTTTGTTCCTCTATCAACTCAACGATGTAATGAAAGCACCTCTCACATAAACAGGTATGAAGAACATAATGAGCATGCAGAAGTTAGAATGTTAGGCTCCACTCCTATTAAAAAAACACCCGTTTTGCAACACCGAGGGTTACGAGAAACTTAGGGCCTGTTTACACGAGAGAAAAAGGAACGGATCCAAAAGATCCGCAAGCGTTTACACGAGAGCGGATCCTAAAGCGTTTACACAGGAACGGACCAAAATCGAATCGCTTTTTTTAAGCATGCGCAATGACAAAGTAATTGTTAATTTTCATTTTGGCGGGAGAATATCTAAGATGGCGTTCTTCGCAAGCAACGATAAGCGTTGCATTTTTTACATCGACAGACGAGGAGACGGCTTTCTTGATGAAAGTAGTTATGGATTACAAAGCTGCTATAATGCAAAATGGAGAAGACTCGGGGACTGTTATGTCATCGAAATACGAAGACATTCTACTTAAATTTATCGAGGCCTATCCAGAAACTGCAACAGAGGACTTTCCAAATAGCCAGGATAAAGAAAAAATCACAAAAGAAAAGGTGAAAATAAAATGAAACAAGACTAAGACAGGGTTCAGAAAGGCTGTCGACTGTGGAAAAAAGAGTGGTGGTGGGAGAGTAGTTTCTTTGTTGTATGATGAGTGCTGCGTACAATTGAAATAGCCTCCATTGACCCCAGCAACAGTCTTGTTTTACTGCCGTGTCTTTGCGGGTCCGTATCTTCCCGTTTACACGGCGCCGATGAAGGTACGGATCCAAATGGATTCGCTTTCGAATCGTACCCAGAAAGATACGAATCTCTCCCAGAAAAGATACGGATCCTACCGTGCCCGTGTAAACGCAAGGCCTATCGTAGCCAGCTTGGGTACGGATCTATGCGGATCTGTTCCCGTGTAAACGGGGCCTTGATACCGGATTCCCGTGCATCCGGCCCATTTGAATATACCTGCTGGAGGCATTTCGAAGTTCCGCATAGTTTCAGATTACAAGCACGACTGTGACACTATGTAGCAGTTTATATTACGTCCGGGGGTTGGGGAAGTCGGCCAGACATATGAATGTAGAGACATTACATGGGGTGTAGAAATTGTATAAGAACACAAGCCTGAAAATTGGTCAAAAGTTAAGACAAATTAAGTTCAAACTGAGGCTGAGTAAAATGTTATTTTGAATAATGTTTCATCTCAAAAATGAGGAGTTTTTTGTCATTTGGGGTGAATTTTCAAACTTGTCGGCAAATAAAGGATGTATATCTAACTCAATTTGTTGGCAAACGAGGCGTGAACACCTTCCAAGAGCGCAGTAGCTTGCAATTGCACTGCTTACATTACACCCTAACCATTAAAGAACAAGTTAAGAACAGCCAGCGTGTACTTTAGTTTACTGGTTCTAAAAAAAGTGTAGGGGTAAAAAAGAGTGAAGCATTTTGCTTTAGTTTTTAAATGCTCTCTATAAAATGTGACTCATCAGCAGGGCCCTCCCCCCCTCTCCCATTTTTTGCGAAGCAAATAGTTTTAAAGCTGCAGTAAAGGAGGTAAAAAGCCTTGCCCCCTACTTTTTAAGCCTTAGCCCCCACTTTCAAATTCGTAGCACGGGCTCTGATCAGTGATGTCAGGAGATATGCCATCCTTGTATGCTGAGCAGAGAGCGGCATTTTTTGCTGGGTCATCTTCCTTCCTACATTTTTTATAATCAGTAGCGTAGCCAGGGCAAATGCGAGTTGGGCAAAGAAAAAATTGGGGCCCACACCCTTTTGAAAACGCCCTCTACAAACTGAATTTTTAGCATGGTGGGTGTCTCCGCCCCTTTATGCTTCCACCTCGCTACACCACTGGGTAAAACAATGCTCCGTGGTCCTTGACAGTAAACTAGAAGAGTCCGGCTTCGGCCCGCCTCCCTATTTATCTTTTGTTTTGACCAGGGACTCAAAATCCTCTCCGTTGCCCTGCTCTTGAAGGATACCCAGTGTTTGAAGGCTTTTTGTAGACTTTACAAGGATGCCAAAGTAAAAACCCCCGTCATTAACTTAAACCCCCGGGATGAACCATCACACTGACGAACCATCTCGGTGTGGTGAAGAGTACATTTGGCACAATCAAGCTGGTAAAACCCCCTGGATGCAAAATGCAAAAAACGTGCAACATCAACGTGCGGCTATAGTTCCACTGAAAATTCTTGAAAAAGGGCAGGAGAACTGACTCTATCATCGGTTTTTGGTGATTCTCGTTTCTTAAATTCGTTAAGTTTACAAACTTGAATGTGCAAAATTTATGTTTGAAGTTGCTAAAGGCGATATAGATAGCATTCGTGATTTCTTTCACTTAACAACTGAGAAACATGGTATCAGAACACGACAGTCATCTAGTGGGAATTTTTCCCAACCTTAAATTAGAACTAACTACAAATCTTCATTTCTCACAAATTCCGGTGTCAAAACTTGGAATAATATTCCAAGTAACATTAAAAATGCTACTTCCAAAAAAGTCTTTTCATGTCTTTTTAAATAATTGATTCTGGAAGAAAACAAGAAAAAATCCCAAATAACCTGAAACAATCCAAAGTAATCCCCCATTTTCCATTTACCCACCTGATTTATTTTTCATAATTGTTATTTTTTATGCTTAATTTGAATCTTTTCTTTACTCAGTCTTGATAATATCTTATTTATTTCCTGTTAACTCGGTATTATTAAGAAAAAATAGTCTACTGATCTCTGATCTTTTAATGAACACAATACAAATTCAACGAAAGCTCTTTTCAGGGTTTTTTTCACATATCCTTTAGCATTATCCTATCAAATTGATGTTTTTGTTGTCTATACCTTGCATGATTGTAAATAAAGTATTTTTCATATAACATCAAAAGCTATTTGTACTATTGTAATTAATTATTGTTGAAAATGAAATAAAATTGAAATTGAAGGCCTTCTTTTCAATCAAATAACGATAAATTCTAAAAGGATCAATCTCCACATGTTTCTCTCATGGACAACGAAAATCTCCTTCTGTATCATTTTACCATAATAATTACAACAAATTTTGTTAAGCTTGTTAAGCTTGAGACTCCCTCCTCTCGTTCTTCTATATTATCTTTGCATCCATGTCTTTTACAATGAGAATTACAAGAATGAGAATTACATATTGAAAATTGTTCTATTTTGGAAAAAGTTATCTAGATCAATAATTTCGTTCCCTAGTTCGTCAGTCCATAAGGGTACTAATTCCCGCCGGTTCACCGTTTCGCCGGTTCGCCGATTCGCCAGTTTGCTATTTTTCTCACTACTGGGTACCCTGGGTACTAGAGAGTCGCTGGGTACCAGAGAGTCGCTGGGTACTAGAGAGTCGCTGGATAAGAATAGGGGAGAGAAATCGCAAGGGCAGATTGAAGCTAAATTGATTGATCCACAGCTGCTCAGTTATTTTGATCTACTGCTTGCTGGAGAAAATGTTCATTTAGTTTTAAGGAGAAGTTTTAAGGAGACACCAAAAGAACCCAACACTTTCTATGTCGCTCAGCAAAGCGTGGGTAACATAATAAAGAAATCGCTACGTTTGTATGAACAACTGCATTTGCTTTCCTTGATGGACATGCGCTAGTCGCCCTCGAAAACAGAAAGGCGGACAAGATCTGAAGGTTGTTACTTTGCTCTTTCAAAGCAAATATTTACATGCCAACGAGCTTGAATAAACTCATCCGAGAACCCTTTACAATGTGTCTCAGAGCTTTTAAATGAATGAAATCGTACCATACTTGATGCAAAAAAACATGCCATAAAAATGCCGTTTGCCGTTTGGACATAAAAATGTTTGTACCGAATCCCTTCTGGGTGATACATCCCCAACACAACAAAATAGATGTAACAGGACTAATCACTTAGTCAATAGAAATCTCGTGACATTTCAATCTTTGCATAGGCAGTATATAAATCGATACATCGATAGATAAATAGCTAAATTACATGTTTTTTTTCGAGTGCGCTAACATCACCACCTGTGACCTCCTGTGGGCAAAGGTTTTATTAGGCAGAGATGGCAACTTGAGATTTTCCAGGGCCCGGCCTAATCAATCCTCTCAACATTGACTTTTTTAACCTACAGCATGGATTTTTCATTAGTAACGGCACTAATAACTCGTAATAATCACATTTAGTCACCGTTCAAGTTTCGCTATGAATTGAACTATTAAAATAAACTATGTTCAAAATTTGTGTCAAAAATATAGAGGACTCGATTTTGATTGTAATTTGGACTGACAACATTGGGAATGTGCAAATGGTTCTTGGAAAAAAGACCTACACTTTTTCACGAATGGTTTTCGACTTTTCTGAGAAAGATTGAAACTTTTCTGTTCTGCTTTTGTTTTTTTTGTTTCAAAATACAAATTATTCGATAACAATGTTTTGTTATGCCCCATATCTACCAAACCTTTGCACCAAATTTTGTCCCCCATTAACAGGAAAGTCCTCTCTAAACCAATGCAGCCAAAGCACCCATCCTAACCTTACGCTTGGTTGGTTCGGTGCTCCTTCAAGCAGCTATTGGTATGTGAACAGCTTGTGGGTGGTAGCCTTCATGAGGGTCCCTTAAAAAAGGACCAATCATTCAGGTTTTTGTGTGCATTCCTCATTGCTGATTCCTGACTTGCCTAGATAACTTCCAATATAAGGTAACCCCAATTTTGAGTAAATCATGAAGTATACATTTGGTGATGAATGACTGTTCCGTTTGCAGGTTTTCAGTGGAAATCTTTAATCAGTCATTTTAGTTGGCAAACGGCATGAGCTGGCAAGGGAGAAGAGGTATTGGTGACCACAACACAAACCAGCCACTGTCGCATTCAATAAACACTGACGATGATCTGCAATTTTTTGGATATCAACATGCGCTTGGCGAAGATGGTGACAACATCCATCCATTTCATCGCAGCGAATCGTTTCCAGGCGATGCCAGAGACACGGTATTGCCTGACATTTTGACCGAAAAGTCACCATTACTGTCCCCCAAGGTAAATGGCTCTTTTTTGGGTGGCTCTAGAACTGGAAGTGTGTTGAGCAATATTTCTCACGTCTTCTCAGGCTCCATAAGAAAGCTGCAGAAAAGTATAGGATTTGCCCAAGGTTTTTTCTTAATTGTTGGAATTCTTATAGGCTCTGGAATCTTTTTGTCGCCATCTCTTGTAGCTAGAACGACAGAGAATATGGGGATGGCATTAGTTATTTGGATCTCCTGTGGAATAATTGCACTTCTGGGTGCTCTGTGCTTTTGTGAGCTTGGATGTGCGTTGCAGAAAGCAGGAGGTAATTATGCCTACATTCTGGAAGCATACGGGGGTCTACCTGCATTTTTATGTAGCTGGACAACTGTTCTTATAATAGATCCAGCAGCCATTGCAGCAGTCACTTTAACATTTGGGACATATGCTGTGAAGCCGTTTACTGAAAATGAAACAGAGGCTGTTTGGATATCGAAAGCCCTTGCTGCCCTGTGTGTAATTATTGTAGCTGCAGTGAACTGTCTTAGCATTACCGGTGCTGCGAAGGCTCAAGCGATTTTTACTATGGCGCAAATAATGGCAGTTTGCTTTGTGATTATTCTTGGCGTATGGCAAATAGCAACAGGGAAGACTGAGAACATCGTTACAATGTTTGATGGAAAGAATTCGAACACATCATCTCGTTTTGGAATGGCGGAGATGGCTCAGTTATCTATAGCCTTGTACAACGGCTTGTGGTCGTACGATGGTTGGGCCCTGGTCAGCAATGTAACTGAAGAAATGCACAATCTTGAGCGGAATTTGTTCCTCTCGATAATTACTGGGATCCCCTTTGTTATATTCTGTTATGTAGCAGTCAACTTGTCTTTCATGTCTGTTCTGTCAAGAGAAGAGATAGCCAATTCACCAACCACGGTAATCCATTTCGTCGAAAAGATTCTTGGTAGAAAAGTGGCATATGTGATGCCTTTACTTGTTGCTTTATCTTGCTATGGAGCTGCAAATGGAACAGTATTTTCCTGCGGCAGGTTGACGCTGGCCGCTGCACGTGAGGGCCACATGCCTGCAGCCCTTGGTATGATACACAAGAGACGCCTTACACCGATCCCCGCAATCCTATTGGCGAGCCTCATTTCCGTATTGATGCTTCTACCAGATGGTAGCAACTTAGAGTCGCTCATTGGCTATTTCAACTTCGCCTGCTGGACTATTTATGGAGTATCAATTTTTGCTGTAGTTGTGCTGCGAATACGGAAACCAAATCTACACAGGCCGTTCAAAATCTGGATAATTGTGCCCATTTTGATGAGCTTAGTTTCGCTGTTTTTGGTTGTTCTTCCATTTTTCAACAAGCCTCTGGAATCAGGCATAACAATGGTGGTTATCTTATCAGGAGTTCCAGCGTATCTGCTGTTAGTGTACTATGCCGACCGACACTGCGCCTGCTTCAATGAATTCAAGAAGTCGATGAACAACACAATTCAAAGAGCATTTAACCTTGCGCCTTGCAAATCATAAACCAATATATTATGTGGACAATCACTCTTCAATACAAGCTGATTGTACAATCTTTGCTGCAAATAGGGTCTTCGCACTGTTTGTTCCCAGACCTTTTTTCAAGTAAATCAACTCCTTTACATTCAGCTTTCTTACGTAAAATCAAGACTTTCAGCGTCATATATTTCAGACAAGAGTATGCTTCGATTATATCATTCCTGCATTCTCTCACTGAAAAAAACACTGGCAGTATGTCGTCAATTGCGTTTGTTCGACTGGCATTGTCATAGGTTGCCTGTCCTTTCCTAACGAACAGGTGTTATTGAATTTCATTAACGATAAAAACGATACCTATATACAGACAGCATTGTGATCCAGCAGAGGCCGGATACAAAAAGGCTGGCTTATCCCCAACAGGCAATAACGATCCGTGAGGCAGCGAAAAGGCAGTGAGTAGACACGTGTGTATAATCCAGCCAATCACGCTATTATATACTGATCATATTTGACATTAATATGTATCTATAATGTAAATGCTTGCTATATCAAAACTACAAAGGTACCAACGAATGATATTTTATAATCAGATGTCATCTTGTTTATACATTGGTTAAATATCTTAATATCAAATAAGAATACAGTTTCCTGGTAATAACATGCTTTTTCATGAATGGTGTTGTCTAAAATGTTACTGAACTAAGGCCTAGGCCCGAAATTATGACGTCATCGGAACGGAATAGGAAGCTGGGTATAACTGTAACGATGTCTCATGTCTAGACGAATATAATACTTATGATGAGATGTAATAGCCAGGGTATTTAATGCGCCTTTCGGCAAAAAGCCTTGCTATAGGAGACTTAATGAAACAGATTTCTTTAAACAAGCTCTTGAGTCCCTGGAGAAAAAGGTATTTACAAAAAAAATGTATCAAAATTTAAAATCATTCAAAACTTCAACAAATATTGGGTGATGCGTGAAGGGACAATGGACAAATCATTTACAATAATGAAGCGATAGATCTATATAATTTACATTAAACAATATATTGTAAGAAGAAAACGGAATGAACAATTATTTGAGTAAATAGTAAACAATAAAATATATGACTGGGCTAAAAAATGAAATAACAAAAAGCTTCACTTTTTCACTGAATTGACTTATTTATATCAAAACCAAAAAGTTAAGAAACATAAAATAGTTAAAACTTGTTCATCAAGAGTTCTTAGTGAAAACATCCATTGGATGTCTGGAATGCGTCATCTCCACTGCATAAACAAACTCTAACCGTTTAATAACTCGTATCTTACTCTTTTAATCAAAGACGGTTGGCCAGTGCATGATTTTGCTGTTTTTACGATGATCCGATATATAGACAACAGCCTTTATTACCACGACCAGTGGTTTCATTCCCATTTGTTGTGACCTTACTCTGACACGGCGTTGTAATTTGAATTTGAATTTGGGAAAGCGTTGTATTTGGAATTTATCAGCCAATTTGCAAGGAAACAATTCACCACGTGGGATGTTGGCCTGCCAATCAGGAAGACTCTCCTTTTTAGCCAGTTACAACTGAGAATTCAGTCATCTTGCAAACAAGAAAAGGATTTGATTTATGAGTAACTTGATTCGGATTCTTCATCTGTCACGTAAGATTGCAGGTTCTTCTTCACGCGGGCAGCTGAGAGTCTAGCCGCGGGCGAATGACACCAGCATTCGGTCATCAACTTGCTTACCAGTCGCAAATGCTTCGAAAAAAGTAAGAACGTATGGATTCAAGCAGGAAATTATTGAGTATAAAGCTAAAACGCTTGACAAAATAGTAAACAATAAAACAAAATTACTCGAATATTAATTTGATAGGCAAAATGTCCTAATGAAAATAGTTTACCAGTTGGACTGATAATTTGGGTATATTGACAAAGATGACCAGTTCTAACGTATCAAAAAAATGGAAGAATAAATCTTGTTTTTGCTATGAAAGTTGTTAGCTGTTGCTCCTGTGACAAACAACCCTGGCAGCATAATCACAGTGGATACTAGTCTTGGCCTAGACGGGATAAGCAAATACCTCCCCGTCATTTTAGATAGCAAGAGAAACATACCTGGTCAGATGCCCATCTTTCAGGAATCTGCGGCCTCCGTCGGGAAGTTACCACGAACTCCTTCATCTCATCAGAACTTGCTTCCTCGTCAATCCATTCATAAAACGGAGGCTTGTACTCATCGACGGTTTCTAAAATCAGGTGATAGCCACTCAATGCGCAAATTCACTGACGCATAAAAACATATACTACAGCTGTATGTTTTCCTTTATACTGTGCTAAATGTGAGTCGAAGCTATGCAGAGTTACAATGGCTATGTAAGGCAGTTACCCATGGCCGGTACAGTGTAAAATAGAAACAATCTAATACAAAAATTGTCAGAAGCCTTACTAAGACTTAGATATGTCAACATAGCTTGGAGGCCGTTGTTCTTTGTGAAGCTTCTCATATAAGGGTTACATTGTATTTAACTAAATTTTATTTTGGATGAGAGCAATTGGCAGCCGTGAGATAAGGCTACGTAGATGGAACATCCCTAGCAAGAATGGCTTTCCTGCGATTATGCACGAAAAATATTTAAGCAGTGAAAGATGGATACCTTGTGTTTGACATCTGCGAGCAATTTCCCACAACACCAGTGAAAATGAATACATATCCGCCATTCTATACGCATCAAAGTGGGTTTCATCCATGGAGCCATCTAAGACTTCGGGTGGAGCGTATCTAATCGTAGGCTTTCTCGCTGTTTTTGCAATATCCAGCTCTTTTGTATCTGGATTTAAACGTACGGCTAGTCCTAGATCGCCAATGGCACATGTGAAATTTCCCTTCACTAAAATGTTTCGACTCTTTATATCTCTATGCGCAATTGGCGGCTTGCCCTTGGTCCCTGATATCTCACGATGCAAATAGGACAGGCCGCTAACAGTAGTATAGGACAACCGCAACAGGATTCGATAATCAAACGTAAAGTTTTGTAGAAAATCGTATAACGACCCGTACTTATGGTATTCAGTTATCAATAGAAGTTTGGCTTCTGTGCCGATGGACCTAATATCCGCGGCAATGAAGCCGAGCACGTGATCATGACGTAACAAGACGGTTTGATAGAACTCTGCCTCTCGGTACCACGATGCTTCTTCAGTTGGGGAGAATATTTTGACAGCTACCTCTTCGCCCCTCCAACGACCCTTCCATACGTCGCTGTATCTTCCCTTTCCAATGCATGATTGAAATGTTATCTGCCTTGCGATGGTGCGCTGAATCTGAAAAAATGATTCATATTGGGCTTGTTAGTTCGAAGCTCAACGAAAAAACCAATATCTCTAGATAGCCTTTAATTTCAAACCTGCGGTTGAGGAAGTGTGAACAAAACTAAGCACTTTTAGGATGAAACGGAAACATTAGCTTAAGGATTAAACAAGGTTTACTGATCTTCAACAGAGTCATTCTGAGAAAACCAAAAACCACACACGCTCTCCTGCTTTATATTTATAAGAAAATTGTAAGCATCCTATATCAGATTTCTTCTTAATTAAAGTCAGGGAACATGCTTCTTTGAGGTTTAATACCCGAAATAATTTTGGTAGAGAAGGAACGTCGAAAAAGCTAAGAAAACGAGAAATAATAGCTAAAGGTTTCTTTGGGAGAAGTTGCTTGAAGGTTCTTTCATTTTCATACCGAATATTGAAGCACATACCGTTTAATTAATTTTAATGTTCGAACAGATTACTTAATAGATAAACACAAACAGAGCAATTTCTAAAATACTAATAGATAAGAAATGAACTAAAAATGTTTAGGTTGAAAAAGGTTATATTATTATTTTCTACCACAGTTAATGAACAAAAAGCCGATAGTCTAGGGGCATGGAATAATGGTTAAGTGCTGAACAGACCAGAGAACTGAGGCTTGTGGGACAGCATAACAACAAACAACATGCATCGACCTCTCAAAGGTCATTTGCAAGAAGTGATGACACCAAAATCTTGTCTGTCGTGCAAAATGACAGTTAAGTTGAATTGGCAATGGCTGGGGTGTAATTGGCTGAAACAAAGCAACAAAATTGCAGAGATGGCAAACACCACCACCCTGCAAACTAGCTTCAGATGAAGGGTTTTTGCAAACACATGAAGAGCATTTTGGTAAGAACAAAATTTAAATGTTTGTTCTTGTTCTCTCAAGTGTTCAAAATTGATCAGAATTTCAACAAAAAGCGAAATTCTGAGTAGCAATTAACAGCCAAGCATGTATATAATTAAATTCTATTTTCCATATATAATTAACAAGTTTGTTTTGTTTGGCAAAATAATATCTTTAATGATAGGAATGTATCCTGATAAATCATCGAGGAGATAAATAACAACAAATTCAAACATAAGAATATGTTTATTGAACAAATATATGTAGTTGAGTTACTGTAGCTTCAGGCTGAAAAAATTTTGTTGAAGCCTTGCAATAATTATGAATAAAGTTTCATAACGAGGCTCAGATATCGGGACAAATTGAAAATATTTTGCGAGTTTTAACAAGAAAAGAGGTTTTCGTTAATTTCTGTGATTTTTTTGTTCTTAACCTATGAACAGAGCCAAAACAGTAAACTTCACCCTTCGCTGGCCATATCTCAGCAATTTTGGATAAATTTCTTGCGTCTTCGCGTGTGGCAAATTCTTACAATGAAATTTTAAGACTAGGTACTTGAAATTCAAAAGTAGCAAAACCTTATTGAGACCTACCAAAAGTGGAACACCAGAGCCTGTTCCAGTTGCCTCTGACTCGTCAAGCAGCTCACGGAGGGAGCTCACGGGCCTAGTTCCATGCTGGATGATGATTTGTCGCTCTGTATCGTACCGCCGTTTCATGTGATTCTGGCGATGCCTAAACAAAACAGATTTATTTAAAATTTCACAATACAAATAGTCTTGGTTTTCGTTTTAAAACTGATCAGCAACTTTAATTGATGGGCATTAGACAGTTTAGCGAGCCCTTGATATCGCTTAAGTTATTATTAAATAAAAGCTATCAATGAGACATTAGATATAAAGCGGTTTATGCAGTTGGTCGCGTTTATCGTCACTCCACTTGAAGTCACACTGCCAATAACATTCACCCAAAATTTAGGCCTAGTCACTTCCCTCACAGTCATAGTTTTTCAAGCAACATTTGACGCGACCACAAGCAGGGTCTACTGAATTTACATTATAAGTGAAGTTTTGCAGTTCAAGATTGGTAAAATGTATCCTTTTAGTCAGGTTCTCAGGTTCTGGAACCACGCTATCCAAACCCATAATTACACATGTAAAAAAATTGGAGCGCAGCAAAAAAACGCCTGGTACAAGTGATGACTGGGGAGAGACTCTTCGCTACAGATGAATCTTAGCCTTGAATCTTGATACTTTATATCATCACCTTCCTTTGGTTCTCTAATGTACTACGCAATTCTGTGAAGTAAGAAACTTTAAACAAAACTTGAGTGAATTTGTTGATGAATCAGCTTTGTTCCGAAGCACAGATTCGGGTCTCAGTCGAGGTCAGTGTAGACAAAAACTTTTTTTTAAAAAGCACGTGTAGATGAAAATTTTCACTGCATTTTAAATAAACTTGATTGGGCAAACTTGTGTTCACTTCACGTTAGCCCCTGTTATTTCGCTTTGCATAGCCTCTAAACCAAGCAATTTCAATGGGCCTTAATTTGCAAATCCCGTAATAGAAAACGCCCTAATCCTCTTGGCCGTTCCATTTTCGGTAACAATGCAACAAACCATATCAGTAAGTGCAATTGTAATCTTCGGTTGGTTTCATTACGGCTAAACAACCACGGCCTATTTCATTCATTCGCCGTATTTTGACAGAGCGAAAAGTGCCGCAACACTTTGATTGAAATCAAAGCAGCGAAAAAAGAATCGTCTGGGGGACACCTGCGGCTTATGGGTAAGAGATAGGAGACACCCGCTGCGCAGGTGCAAAACTACAAAGCGACTCCACTTCAATTCTGGTGTTCTCTAGTCCAAACAGCACGAGGCCTAACAATTTGATAAAGGAGCGAACATGATTGATAAATCTTTGAAGAGAAGCGGATTAATACCTGCTGAAGACTGGCACCAAAGATGAATTCGCAAAAATCCACGCATTCAACGCGAGGCCGCAGACTAATTATAACCAAAAGGCAGCAACAACAAAATAATCACTGCCCAGTTTTCCTAACAAATTTTCGTGGGGGAAGCACAAAATCTCAAAGCTTCTTTGATAGTTTGCTTGTTCATACAGCTACCCTGTAACATGTGCATTTGAAAGATCGTTTTTGAAGCTGTAGTTCTGTTGGAGACCAGATGTGTCAAAAAAAGAAAAAAAGTGTTAACAAGATGAGCTTTTGAAATATAGAAAAAAGATGAGCTTTAAATGTTAAGAAGAGCAATCCTGGTAATAAAGTCATGACACGAAACCCTTTCTCGTATTAGCGTTTTTGCTTAGAAAGACCTCTACCAAAAGCAAAAGTAAGCAACCTTTGCATGGCAAAAGAAATTGGGTGAATATTCCGAGGGCACGTATTTGCTACCCTGACTACCATACTCACTTCATATAAAATAAAAGTCTGGTTCAGTGCGCCCTGACCTCGTTCCGGTGGACTTATTTGAAAGACCTTTAATCGATTTAACAGATTGGAAACTAGGCCTACATGATATTCAATTCAAAGCTAGACCAACTCACATTCATCTGTGAAACCAGACTGTCGGATAAATAACAACGGTACTCAGTAGTCAGTGGAGTTTTTAGAAATCTTAACAAATGTATTTTACATAGTTCTGCAAAGTCGACAAGACTTTTCTGCCTAAAGATTCCAATCAAATCAGGTGTAAAACGCCACTTGGCAACAAAAACATGTGCCAAGCATGAAATTAAAGTTAGCACAATGCAGTTATAAAATGTTAATCATTAATAAATTTCATATAAAACTTAAAGTTAGTTTTTTTGTAATATTCCTCATAAATTGTGTGTACTTTCAAAGACTTCTTCCTCGTTGTGAAGGCAGCACGATTGGACACCGCGGCACCAGCACGTTGGAAGTTCATCACAGGAGACATTGCCAATACGACAAGCGAAGCCCCGTATGCCAGGGCGAAATATTAGCCATATTTACGTCTGTTTGTTGTTGTTTGTTCTTGGCGCCTTGCGGTGTTCCTTATTTACTACATTTCACTACAAGGCCTAGTTTCTCTGCAATGAAAGACACTGCCTGAAATACCAGAGATTTTCCAAGGCCAGTTTGCAATATGGTGAAGGTGTCTCACCTCTCTATAGACAATGCTTTCAATGCCGTTAACTGTTTTGTGTTATTTTATATAGAGTGAGTCTGGTACCCAAGGTATGTTTTTGCATTAAACGATGACAAAAGAGGAGAAGCCCTAACGACATTGCAAAGGCTGCAGAAGAATATTACAGGCACTTTTTCTTTTTCGGAAAAAAGCAGAAACCGGAAAGCAAAAATATAGCAGAGAAAGAGTATTTTTCATCCGACAAGAGAATTTCTCAGAGCATAAACGTAACGAAGAGTTCTGTCTACATAGGTCGGGTTTCTTGGTCTCTTTGTCAAACGCACCTTTCTTCCTTTCACGATAAGTACCTTGGTATGCTATATTTCTACTTGCCGGTGCTATCTTCTTGCGGTACCAAAGGCATATTTACCTACGATTTTGTCAAATAAAACATGAATTATGTGCGTTATTTATATCAGTTATTACTTCATCTTTGCTGCAAATGGGGACCGCCTACCCACAGGGAGATAATATTGAAAGTACAATTAACTTCCAAATACAGACAGTTTGGGCGTTGTAATGATGATTCTCGGGCCTGTGGTAATTTAGGTTGACAAGATGTGATCTCTGCTTGTTGAAAGTCGTTACAAACCAATATCAGGGTTCGTTAAAGATATTGGTTGTTCAGTGGCAAACTGAAGTAAACCATAATATTTCGTTCGAAAATGTCCAAATACTTCGTTTCTCAGAGGCTGTTTCTAGATGACAGAAACTGGCAGACAAAAATTACACATTAAGCGAACTTTTAATGGCCTAAATTGTTCATAATGCCTTCTTTATACAGTGACAATACTTTAAAGCTCAGGGTGCCTCAAGGCTCCTATTGGTACAAAAGCAAGAACAGGAAAAGCATGCAGATGACATTATCTCGCCAGCCTTAAGAGATAGCCTCTATTTACGTAAAACCATCGGTGTAGAATCACTAGTCTTACTCCGCAAAGCTCCCCAAAAGCCACATACCAGTGTACGAGAATAAGCAAACAAGACATTTGCCAGCTTTATTAATAAAAGATGTAGAGTCTTGCAACGAGAGGTGTTATGGACTATGGATACAAACAGCATAAAACATTAGCAGAGCTGGCGGTCTTTGCAGAGATAAAACTCAGGGAGATTAGTGCATTTATTCCTTCATAAATTTTATCAAATCCACATTTTATCAGAGATGAGCTTCACCGAGAACAAAAGAGAGAGAATTTGAGACTGTGTGACTTGATCGAGATAACTAGCTACTTTACCAACAGAAGGTTTGACTAAATAGCCAGTTTTTCCACCCACTGACATCTATCCTGTTTAATGAAAACACCAGGCCTAGTTACGAACGTACACAGACGATTGGAGGGACGTTGCCTCCTGCACCAAAATAGCTGGTAAAATAAGCAGAAACCTATGCTAAGCCACTCACTCAGCCAACAAAATTATTGCTAAACCAATATGGGTTTTTCGACGTAAAGATGAGATGACGCGGGAACGACTATAAAAGAAATACGGAAAAGCCATAAAGAGATGAGAGGATATATGTCAAAGGCACAATTAATGGGAAATTTTGCATCGTAGAGTAATCTGATTTACCACATGAAAACCACGTATGAAACAGAAAACGGAGAAGAATTCAAGGTCTGTGAAATGGATGGTCTCTGTCTCGCTGAAGAAACGGTTTAATAAATCCGATCTTGACTAACTTTACGAAGACTGCATTTAAAAGTCTGGTTTTCATATAAGGCTCATTGAGGTACTTTAATCTGGGTAATTACCTTCACTAACCTAATCAAAATCCTAAATATTGCGCTTTGCATGACACTGTTAATAATGGCATAGCAAAATTAATGATATTTCGCAACAAAAGTGCTAGGCTTGCTTGTTCTTTTCCTACACGTCATCCGCTCAAAAGACGGCCTCTCTTTAATAACAGTTATTTTGGTACAACGGGCGGTGATAACTTGCTGACAAAGAAACTCTAAAAGCTTATGAACACGAAGGACTTTGCATTAGCTTATAAATAACCAAATCAAGCCGCTAAAATACACTGAGCACTTTCTCTGACCTGAGCACATGGATATCAGTTCCCACATTGAATTAAGAGAGGCGCAGCGGAGAGCTGGCACGATTTGCATCCCTAAAGAGAAAATAACTCTGTCTCCAGTTTAGGAATTTCAACGACTAGGCCACTTCAACCCAGTTAAAAATTTGCAGGGCAGTCCCGTTTTTATCTCAGATGGCAACGAGAAGTGAAATCTTGCGAAGGAGATCTAAAATCGATTAATTTTTATCTTGAAACACTAGGTCACTTTATTCTAAGGATTCGATGTTGAACATAAAACTTTTCTGGCTTTTGAAATTATTTATTTCGTCGACCACTGCGATTAAGAGAGAGAGGTCATTAACGAGGGAATGTCAGCATGTGAACAAAGAAGGGCAACATTCTTGCATGCAACAGCTTAGTCCCGGATTTAGTGGTGACTGGGATGGAAATCTGTGAGCGGTGTCATTGCACCTGAGAACGGATGGCAAAATTCCACGGTAAATTACAGACTTCATTAATAACACTAGAAAGAGGGGTCGACGAAAGATAGAGCTCCACAAACGTGTTATTTTGGAATAGCTCCTTTTCAGTCAAATGTGTCAGAATTAACGAAAACAAAGCAATATTTTTTCAATATTCAGTCAGTCATTACTCGCACAACTTTACATCCTCACTGGCACTCTTGGGGCAATCGCAAGGATCGGGTAGCATCTTGTCCCATCTTGTCAGTTCCTTCTACTCAGTTCCTTTCCCTTGTCCAGCTCCTTTCCATCTTCTTTCCAGGCACATCTTCCTTCTTGCCCTTCTCCTCTTTCTTCTCCTCTTCCTTCTCATCTTCCTTCTCATCTTCCTTCTCCTCTTCCTTCTCCTCTTCCTTTTCCTTTTCCTTCTCCTCTTTCTTCTCCTTTTCCTTCTCCTCCTCCCTCTCCTCTTCCTTTTCCTTTTTCTTCTCCTCTACCTTCTCCTCTTCCTTCTCCCCTTTTCTCTCCATTTCCCTCACCTCTTCCTTGTCATCGTCTCCATCTTCCTTCCCTTTTCCTTCTCCTTTTTCTTCTCCTTTTCCTTCTCCTCTTCATTCTCCCCTTCCTTCCCCTCTTCCTTCTCCCCTTCCTTCCCCTCTTCCTTCTCCCCTTCCTTCCCCTCTTCCTTCGCCCCTTCCTTCTCCTCCTCCCTCTCCTCTTCCTTCTCCTCTTCCTTCTCCCCTTCCTTCTCCCCTTTTTTCTAATCTTCCTTCTCATCTTCCTTTCCTTTTCCTTCTCCTCTTCTCTCCTCTTCACTCCTCTTCACTCTCCTCCTCCTTCTCCTCTTCCTTTTCCTAGTACCTGAACCGCCCAAAGGCCCGTCGTTGCAATCGACGGCTTTCGCACACTCACTCTTGCCAATCCCGTGGGGTTGTTAAATAGTTGAAGTTTTATAGAAGGGCTAGGCTTACAGGTGAGAGGGCTTTTTGGTGGGGATTGAGGATTTATGAAGGAGTCGAATCCTCAGTCTGTCGAACTTCAGGACTTTGTATGTAATGCAAGATCTTATTAAACCCGAGCCAGGTGTATACCACATGATAAAAAGATGACAATGAAGACGGTATTCCTTAATGGGAATTCTTCATCCTATTCTTTAAATCTCAAACAACGTTGCCAGGAAAGAGTTATGCGCGATAATTACAGGAGAACTAATCTTGGTACAAAAACAACGTATCAAACAAGGAAAAATGTCGACCGCAACTCAACCCACAATCAAATTCCTGCTAAGGCCTTGCCAGGTACATAGTGGAGGAAATCTTCACGACAGAGTACAACAAAGCTTGAAACGATAATGGTCTATTTGTGGTTGCTCGACAATAAATTTAGGCTAGTTCAATTTCAAAAATTCCATGTTAATCACGCGACAACACCGAAATGTGAACGATAACTGACTACGAGTATTTATATGGGGAAAATTTACGAGCCGTTAGGTAACATTTCATGAGAACAAAAAACTGTGGTTCAAGCTGGTTTCATATCGAATATCAAAAAGAAACATAGATGGCTAGCTAACTGTGCATCATCTTAATGGAGGAAATACCTCGCTTCATATCACTGGCGACGATCACCCTCATTGAAAAAGAGATTAAAACATAATGGCCGACTCACCTGAAATAGAGGTAAGTAACGAGAATAATGAGCAGCATGACACAGATTGTTATCGATATGACCAACGCAATGCCATGTGGAGTATGATATTTCGATGTCGTGTTTTCTGTTGTTATTGCTGCAATAAAGGAAAGCTTTAGCTAACAAATTGGTACTGTAATACAAGCAATGGCAAGCCTAAATCATGTCGAAAAACTTATTTCCATGGTCCATTTACAGTAGGTAAAGAAAATGCAGTCATTGCCTTTTCTGCAAGCAAAGGTCCGACACCTCAAGTTTTAACGTTGCATTGACGCTGTCTTCAATGGTCCTTTAACAATATCCCCTATTTATTTAGCAGAAGTACGAAGCTGTAAAGATATATAGCCTTGTGAAAATAAAAGATCTAACAGAAGAAATCTGAGGCCTAAGTTTCCTCAAAACTCTGATTATATAAAAAACCGCTTAATGAAATGAGCAAAGGATATTTGTAGCCACCCCACAAGATGTTCACTGTAGCTTTATGCAGTTGCCTCTTTCGTCATCATCAGCACGATAGAACAATAGATATTAAGTCGTAATGCATAGGTCTGGTAAAGAATGCTTTATCCATATTTTTATACATAAAGGATAATCAATAATCTTTGCTGAGCGGAGGCGAGAAGCTTTGCAAGAAACTCAAATGCGTAAACCTACCGTTTTTGAGCAAGGCTTCGTGTAAAAATGATGCTTATTCTCAGGATGCATTAAATATATAAATGGCAAAATCTCCTCGACCTGCATAACATACGCCCATGTTTTTCCCGATATTCGAAGTTTTTCCCGATATTCGAAGTATTGCCAGCCTACACCTAAGATTTCTGGCACTTTGAAACAACGATTAGAGACAGAATGCTGACGTTTTTTGCCTTAAATTGAATTGAAAGATAAAAGATACAAAGAATTTTCTGTCAATTACAACTACAGCATTTTGCGAAGAATTAAAAAATCACGAAGAGATTAGAATTCTGACCATTTGCTACATGGTGGGGGGGAGCAAAAACAGTTAAAAAAGAAAAGATTCGTACCATTCGGGTGGAATTTAGGGTTGGTCGTTGGCGGCAGGGTTGGTTCAAGATGGCTGTTGCAATAGTCAGCATCTTTGCAGCACATCATGGTGATCGGTTTCTCATGTTTCTTGTGGCGGCATTGGAAGATGCCGCCATCGTGGGTGTCTGCAGTGCACCCATGTGTCCGCACAATTGTTTTGTTTTTGTCGTCGAAATGCAACTTGGCAAAACAGTAGCCTTCGTCGGTTGCGCATGTGTAGTTGTTGAAGTGATTGTCAGGGCAAAACTCGTCGCACTCGCATAGTAAAGCGTAAACTAGAAGAGAAGTTAACAAATAATCAGAGAAAGAGAAGTACCATAGGAAACATAAGCATTGATGGAAGAAGATATCAGCTACCCGAAATAGATAATGGAGGAAACGAATTTCAAAAAAGGTCAAACTAAAAAAAGCGTGACGCTGAAACACTATCAAACTGCGGTTTGTTTACAAAATAGTATAATTATGGTTTGTACAAGCTAGGTGTTTGCGTTGCTTAAAGGATAAACATTCAACCATCCTTTTGCCCTTTGATCTATTTGAAAAAACGAGGCTACGTCCCAATATTGCGAGGCTGAAATCCATGTCCAGTTTTACAGCCTCGAAGCTGAAATACATGTCCAGTTCCACAGCCTCGAGGCTGAAATCCATGTCCAGTTCCATAAATTTAACTTACGATTGATTCACAAAACCTATTACATATGATACTATTATATTATTGCTTAAAGGCCCTTAAACTGCATTTTGCTGAAACGCTTAAGATAATGGGCATAAAAGAAACCGACAGGCCCTTAATGGCTTATGAATTGTCTGGGTGCAGATCGAAAAGGGGGCTACTTAGGTTGGAAACAGTCGAAAATTGACGAGATGGTTTTTTTTGGGGGGGGGGGGGCTTAGTCCCCCTCCTCTAAAAAAGTGTGAGGGTTTACTCCATACACGCTTCCTTCGTTTAAACGAGTAGCCAATGCGGCATGATATATTATCGTACTTACTTGAACACCGCTTCTGAACCTAATGCAAAATCCTCGCACCAGGAAATCTCCTACGTGAAAGGCAAGGAATATTCGGGCAGAGTTCGCTTTGTCTATTTAGGAAACCTGGATTAGGACGACCCGCATCTATAATTTAAATTAAACTTAATTGGCAGCATGTATGCAGCTAAAACCCCATTCCAGACTTAGGTGGATCTCGAATTGCAGCGATGAGCCACTAACATCCTTCTTGTGCCCTCTTTGCGGGATTGGATATGAATGTAAATATGTGCTTTTACTGAACAGACGCTGGACGCCGGTTTGTAAACCAACTCCAAGGATAACTACTGATGGCTGATCGCTGTATTGAAGGCCAACAAAAGAATTATTCGTGATTTTCAATAAGGAAAGCAAATAATGACTGAATGTGCAAGAGACTTGTGGTCACGAGATCAACCAAAATAGAAAGGCGAACTTTAGTGTGAAAAGAGAAGCAAATAGACTCCCCAATGGACGAGGATGTAAGCAGCTCCTTGAATCTGACCCGAGCGAAAACACGCCCGCGCATACGTCAGAATACCATGCGATACCCGATTACTTCTATTTCAACATTACAAAAAGTACAAGTAGTATCAAAAAGAGAAATTTCGAGGCCATTTTGTGTAAAAACACAATTATAATACAGAAGAAATTTGAGCAGGCTCTGTTAGCCAAAGTTTCCCAGGTGCAATATCATCACGGGCTAAAGTGCAAGAAACCTCATGGGAACTTCGAGAATAGAGGTGAAAATATGACCAAGTGCCAAAAAGCTTAACAGGAAATTGAATTTGACTTGTTTTTTTCGTTGCACTGTGCCCTTGGTTGGAGTGGCTGAGTGATAATTAGTCTGTAATTCACTTAATAGTAGGGGATCACATAAATCATGGGTGGGGGGCACCTTACACCAATACACAAAGGAAGGAACCTCAATCGCTTGATATATAATAAAATTGCCTTTATCAGAAGCTGTTAATATGGAAAATTCAAATTAGGGTTGCCAGATTCTTCAATTTTGGCCTTTAACAGAGATGATTGCTCGGGAATTTTTTGGTCTGTTACTCAGTTTTAGCCAATTTGAATGTTTTCAGCAGAAAGTTTAAAGACATTCCTTTGTTTTATATCAACTTTAGCACCCTAAGTACAAAAAAATAACAAATTGAGAGAGCAATACTATACAGTGTTAACCAAAATATCAAATATTACCATATGTCAAATGGTTTTTTTGACAGGAGAATGTATCTCAGTTAATTGCTTGAATTTGGAAAATTACTCAATAGGCACAGGTGTTGAAAATCCCATCCACCAAACCAACCCTATTTCAAATTGACATATAATCAAATAAACATGAATGGGCTAAACAAGAGATTGTAAATGAAGTTTTCTATTCAGTCAATGAATTATCAGAAGCTTTTTGTCCAAAAGAGGATACAGTGAGAGACAGCCCAATAATTGAGGTTTACAATCTGTGATGACACAAACTTGTTTACCTTTACCTTATTTTTCCTAAAAATATAATAAATAATTTCATCCATTCAAATGAAATTGCAATAAAAGACTTTTGAAGGAACCAGTCTTTCTTATTCTTTAGCCGAAAACAAGATACCATAATTTGTGTCTCATTTATCAATAATATGCAAAATCCGGTCAATTTATGCAAAAAACTTTTTAAACAATAAGCAAATAAGGTTAATGTTACATAATAGGTTCAATAAACAAAAGTGAAAAAACCAATGTTTGCTACAATTGTAATGTATCAATGTGATAAAAATCTTTAACTTGCCAAGTTAGGTTATACTTTAACAAAACTTTACATAATATTTTTATTAAAAAATGTCATAACCAAACATAAGAAGACTTTTAGTAACTTCTGATGTTAGACTGTTTAATAACTTGTTATAATATAAATTCACTCATTTTATTAGCTATATAAGACTTTTGCATTTATCATTCATGTTTAAAGCATGTTATATTATGTTTCACAGTTGCCATAAGGCTGGATCTAGATGCCCTATTGGTCTGGGTTCCTTTTCTAATAAAGCATCAGAATCAAAGGACAATGAATTTATAATTAAAAAACAAACATTTCATGCTGCTACAACTTATCAACTTGCATATTAGGTTCAAAAAAAGGAAATAGGAATTTAGGTTTCAAAATTATTACAAACAAATCATTCAAAAATCAAAATAGATCAGGCTTAACCATCTATTTTCCAGCTTTTACAAATGCTTGTTATAAAAACAACATTTGGTGTGACTAGTTTCGAGAAAATGTGAATTTGGTTTTCTAACATACTGTGAAAATTGAGTGCAGAATTAAATTTAATTCCAAGCCCAATTGATTAATTGAGAAGTCCTGTCAATATTTCATTATAAAATATCTATTTTCCCAATTTCCTCAATTAGCTTAACAAATCATCAGTTGAATAGCCATACCATGTTTCAAATAACATATTGGAACATAAGAAATTATGTCATTGACCTTCCAAACAGGGGTTGAAAGTTAAAACAGCTGTCTGAAAAGATGCTTGGTAGATTGGAATCTCTCTTGCCATCAGACAAAACATAAGACAAAATATAATCAATAATAATTATGAAGCATCAAAATTCAAAACAAAAAATATTTAAGACTTAAAATAGTATATAGATAACCAGGGATACTCTCTTGCTATGAATCATGGAAACTTTGCTATCAAATTTAACTTTGTGTGTAGTTTCAGAACCCATAATAAGCAAATGCTGATAAAATTGAACATATTTTCTGAATATTGAATTTGTTGGTACCAACAGCCTTGTGTCATAAGTTATGAGTTATAAAAATAACTGTGAACCCTGCAATCACACACAGCCTGACAGGCATTCAAAAGACTTGTTCGTGTTCCTCTTGACTATATAAGTTAGGGGGCATTTGGTTATGGTTCTATATGAGAAAACTCGCAAAATCGTGTTTGAACTGAACTGAATTCTGTATGTTAACTCAAGTATAGTAATCTGATGCACGCAGAAAGCCTAGACTTTGCCAAAAGTTTCTTCAAATGCCAGAAGCCACAAGAATTTAACGTGAAACAACCAGACCATGATCTATGGCGTCAAATCATGAAAAAGAGATTGAAAATCACACAATAGACTCTTTGAGGAGATTAAAGAATTTGAGGAGCAAAGCGCCGTTCCGGCTATATTATGGTTTGGCCATTTCGGTTCAAAAGCAGGGAAGACGGACAAATAGTCACGCATTGATAACAACTTTAGAGTTGAGGATTCAGTATAAATTCAATAACAATTTCGTCAAGTTGTTGAATGACAACGTTTTTCACGAACATTGCATTGGTATTCGGCTTGGACAATAGGATAAATTATCAACTACATGTTCGGCATTGAGATGATTTCAAAGGAATGAATAACTTACGCAAAAATATAAACACTGTGACAGCTTACGATACACGCTTCTTTTGGTTAGTACCTAAAGTGTTGAAAGGTCTCCACTCGAAAGCAGAAAGTTGATACCTTGACTCTCGAATCGGTCAAGAGATGAAGGCTTTCGCCACGAAAACACGAAGGTCATTTTTGTTGATCTAAGAAGCTTACTGAAACTATGGAAGTCTCTCGAGCGTTTCATAAAAATAAACCAGACTTCCCATCATTACCGAAATTTAGAGATATGAAATTCATTCAGAATCTAACCAACTTGAAAACTAGAGGAATTATCAGTCATCTTCACTGAAATTTGATGCAATGGCTCGCCGTGATGGTTTTGTGAGCCTGACTTGATGCATTGGGCATGGATTAAGTGTTCTAAGAGGGAAAATCACGATGGATTGATAATAAAGTGGCATTTTATGATACGTACCTGGGTTAAACGAAGAAATCAAGGCAATTCCATAAATTTGTGCTACCAGAAACGCACAATTCCAGTCCATTTTGTTGATATAGGATTCCAGCTTCTTTCGACCATCTTACAAGTGAACTAGTGAAATGCGCCTCCTCTGCAACACACAAGCATCGGAATGATTGTAGGGGCCTGGGACTGACTACTGCGGTTCAGCTTTTGTGCACGGATGAAAAACATATTACATTTGAAACCACACGACGCTTTATGAACAAATCCTTAATTGCTAAGTGCATCATAAAGGAAACGAGGTAAAATGTGCCAGCATGCAACCGGAAAGGTTTTGAAGAGTTAATTCGAATGGGTGCGATGAAATATATAAAAACTCTCTCCAGAGAACAGAGTAACAGCATGTTTGTTTTAGAACAGGGACTGGCAACCTTTTAACTTTGGGGGCCAATGATACAACTTTTAGTACAATCGAGGAGCGTTTCAGGCCATTCAGTCATTATTTTTCCATGTAAAACTATCATGGTAATTCAACTCAGAGCTGCATCCCTCCCCTACTGGTTAAATATTTTTTCTCCCTGGATATGATGTTTCCTTCCAATCTCCCGATTTGAATAAAATATATCAGAATTTGAATTATAATTTCAAGCTTACATAGTTTTCTCTGTATGTGCTTCATTTAGGATCTATTTTGGAGCTCGGGATTGGTACTAACACGTTTTACGCAAGCTGTACAGGGCCTTTTTAATAAACCATCTAAGGGGTATTTGATTTTCAATCAGTCATAATGACAGTATTTGCCTCTTTACCTGAAAACAAAACCCTAACTTGAGACAACCAGTACGACGACGAAAAGAGACATCTTGTTTCGGTGTATTGTGATACTTCTTCTATTTCCAATTGACGATGTAATCAAGGATATAACTAATCAGTATGACGCAATCAGTATTACATAAACAGCGGGTTATAAACACTTCTGCTCTAACTAAAGTCATCTTCAGTTGAAAGGCAAACAAACAATAGGAATCGTTCGCAATGTGACTAACGTGCCCCTTCCACCTGATTTTGTTTTAAAATGGTTGCGAAGTAGTAATTTTATAGCAGTAGAGATTAAATCCAAATCCTATAGCTGTTCTTTAGCACTTTAAACTTGTTGCAATAGCCAAAAATTTTATATATATTTTACCTGAATTTATTATCTATTAAAACATATTAATTACTGATGTAAAATATTTTTATTCTTCTAAAAGTCAAAAAGATAAATGCTGCAGATGAAGAAACACATTTTCTTTTAATTTATTCAACATATTGTAAAAGAGCGAAATTACATGCTAGAATAATTATTATTTTCTAGATTCACGTCAGCTGAGTCATTAGATAAAAAAGATCTGTTCATTTGGTCGGTCAAGAAGGCAGGCACCGCGTAAAAGGAGGGATCGGGGGCTATACCTTCCACTTTATGCCATAAATGCAAACAATGTACCAACGAATCACCAATCAAGCCATTTTTTATTCGGTTTTAGTCCCCCTCGCCACTTTTTAGACTCTTACTTTTGTCGAATCTCCGCAATGTCTAGAAGGCATATACTTTTTCAGAGAAAAATACAGCCTAAATGAGTCCTGGGTCTCGATAACATACGAACATAAGGAAAACTCAAAATCTTCCATTCACAAATACCTGTTTGGCACCTTGGCTACGGATACCTTAGCTGTGGTCTGTAATGCCTCTACAAATGCTGAATCCAAAGGCACCTGCTTTGCACCTTCTTACGGTATTAAGGCAGCATATGTGCTTATACCTGAAGTTCAAACTAGAGCTTATGGTAGAGCTTTAGAGTAAAGAAATATAATTCCATGATTTTCTAATTCCGGTGTACTCGACTTAAAAATCAAGATCGACTTACTGTAAGTGATAACTTTGAATGACATAATTAATGTCTTCGGACTGAAAACATTTACTTATGCAAAGTTTTCGTGCGTTTAAAGTTGTGATATTCACTCGTCCTTGTACTTGTTGAAAGATTCAAGAAAATTTTCCAATGGAAGATGTTTTGAGGTCTCGAGAGGTATGTTGTACGCAGAACCCTTCCAAAACGCGTATTTATTCTATGCAAGTTTGTGAGTAGAGTTCGCAATAAGACATACGGTATGCTGTCCCAATAGCGGTCAGAGACTTCGTTTAAGTGGCACTGTTTAAAGTTCCAGTTTTAAGAGCTTATAGGTATCTCGAGTGCCGCGTTGCCTCTTTTCTCAAGAAGGAGCCTTTTCCACTAAAGGTTTGAAAATGATCAAAACACAATAAAAGGGGTTTATATAAAAATGCCATAACCAAGTTTTTCCCAGTTGCCCAAGTATTGATAAACGCTTTCAGATCAAAGATCCCTATAGTAAATGCCATGAGATGAGCAAGGATCCTTTTTGCTACCGAGTATTTGTCTTGGATTTGCCAGCTGATTTTCTTAAAATTGCCCAGTTTATTAGCACCAATTGCTCCACATATATGTGTAAATAATTTGTAATTGTTTTGTTTAGCAAGGAGACTGCTCTGCTTGAGCAACATATCAGCATTAAATGGATGATGCTTCAAGAAACAGTCAGCTGAATTTTGAATACCATATATGAATATATATATTAAAGTTATTGTTCTGTAGGATACAATTTCTTTGTTAATTGTTTTTCAATTATCAATTTGCAACAACATAGAAAATCAAAAAAATTTAGTACACATCCCTCAAAACCATACTCTTACGAAAAAGTATTAAAACAAAAAGTGGAGCACTTACTAGTAGGCCAACCCTTTGATTTGGCTTGCGATTCTAAAAAGCTACTTCAGGATGTATGGTCGGCGGTCGCCCAAACCCTTTTCTTATAAGCCAATTCTAGCTTATTTAGTCTTATACTCATGCTGCAACGCTTATCATGTATTGTTCATGGCAAAATCTATCCACCCTGGGTACTAGAGCCTAAATAACTGGGAGTTAAATGAAGCTGAGGCTTTCGTAGCCAGGCTAGGCAAAATCACCACGCGCTAGTAGGCAGCAAAAGCTCAAATTTCGCAAATTGACTGCGCAGGTTATGTGTTCAAATATGCTGAATTAGAAACTCGTTCATACGTATTCCCCTGTATAAAACAAACTGCGTACCATTAACTAACTACAAAGTCAATTATACAAATTAAACTCAACTATTTGACTGCGATTGAAATTTTGTATTAATTGATAAAAATCCCTCTAGTAGTGCGCTCTATCTCCATTTCAAAGAATTCAGGGCTGCCTAGGTGCGGATCATCACCTGCGTGACATTGCAATTAGTTTATGTTAACTGGCTTTATACCTAGCGAGCAGCTTGTCGAGGCACGTGTCACAAACTCTGACGGGCTTGGCTGAAGAGGGCAGCGGCATTGTGTTATCTGAACAGCTGTTGCAAAAGATTCCTCCGCAGTTACGACAGTGGTGCTGTGAATTTAATCAAAGCGCGATGAAATTCAATTTCATTTGAGAAAAATAAAACTTCAGCAGCCGTTAACATGTACAGGTAAATCACACCGATTTGCTAATAAGGTGCATTTGTGGTTCCCGATTTTCCGGCCGCGTATAGTTAAAAACAGACTGGGGCCCAATTGTTGGAACAGCTGCATTAAATACTGATAATTTTAAAATGTTGTTTCCACTCCCCCATTACAATTTCGATTAACATCAATGTTGCACGATTTTAAGTGAAAATCCAACAAGGATTGGACTAATGAAGGTGAGGTCATTGTAACAGGGGGGGAGAGAATATAGCAAGAACATTGATGATTTCGAGAGGCACTTAAACCCGGAATTTGTCCGTCTTTGAACGTGAATATTGTGGTCTACTAGGTATTTTAGACAAGGATTGTAGCTTCCTAACGTCTTTGATCCCAGACTCGTGTTCTTGGTAACAAATCTTTAAAGTCTTCGTTGATCTTCGTAGAGCACCTTTCTTTTTAATTTGAAGAAACTGCTTGGAATATAGACATAAAAAGTAAACATAAAAAGTAATAAAAACTAGATTATATCTGGTACCTTTCTCCTCGCGACAGAAAATGGTTGTTCGCACTGTTGGCAATTGACAACCGACTTGTCATCCTTCCAAACTTGATCCTTAAAAGAAAAACTTGAACCTTTAAGATCATTTTACTGTAAAATATAACCATTTAATTACTTTGCTAGAAAATAACCAGGGTCTTAGATAAGAAAATCAAATAACATCATGAATCAATGGGATTCTAGTTGAAATGCTCGCTTTCATCCAAGAGATAAAAGGAGAAGACCAATTTTGAAGAGCTATTCGTTCATTTAGGCCCCACTTATTTTAACACGCTTTTATTTGAAATAATCGTTCGCGTCCTCATTGAAATTGCTTTGTTATCGGGATTAACACCAATTCGTATTCATTTGATGCCAGCTAGAAAGACGTTTCAATGTCAAGGGCTGGACTGGTTTTTTTTGCATTTGTATTTGTTTTTACCTAGCATCCGAAGGTAGTTTTTAGGACAATTAAAAGCTTATGCTGATCGCGCAGTATCCTAGTCCTTTCTCTCGATGTGACCACACCTCGTGATTCCTATGGCTGGAATTAAGCCCAATCTCCAGTGAGAAAAAAAACTGCGAAATGCGAAAAAGTTCGCGCGAAATACGTCTTAGGCATGCGCAGTAATCTTTTGCTGGGATTTCTCGCGAAGAATTTCTCTGCGAAAAAAAGTTAAAATGAGTTTAAAGCCCAATCTCCAGTGAGAAAAAAAACTGCGAAATGCGAAAAAGTTCGCGCGAAATACGTCTTAGGCATGCGCAGTAATCTTTTGCTGGGATTTCTCGCGAAGAATTTCTCTGCGAAAAAAAGTTAAAATGAGTTTAACTTTTTTCGCTTTTCGCTTGCGAAATCCTTCAACAGCCAATCATATTCCGTATTCTTTTGTCACGCTTCCAAACTTTACATTCCAATGTCGTGAGGTCAACAAAAGCATTCAAAGGAATTTGTCGCGTGAAGTATTTCGCAGCGAAATTTCGCAAGACTTTTTCTCACTGGAGATTGGGCTTAACTTTTTTCGCTTTTCGCTTGCGAAATCCTTCAACAGCCAATCATATTCCGTATTCTTTTGTCACGCTTCCAAACTTTACATTCCAATGTCGTGAGGTCAACAAAAGCATTCAAAGGAATTTGTCGCGTGAAGTATTTCGCAGCGAAATTTCGCAAGACTTTTTCTCACTGGAGATTGGGCTTAACTTTTTTCGCTTTTCGCTTGCGAAATCCTTCAACAGCCAATCATATTCCGTATTCTTTTGTCACGCTTCCAAACTTTACATTCCAATGTCGTGAGGTCAACAAAAGCATTCAAAGGAATTTGTCGCGTGAAGTATTTCGCAGCGAAATTTCGCAAGACTTTTTCTCACTGGAGATTGGGCTTAACTTTTTTCGCTTTTCGCTTGCGAAATCCTTCAACAGCCAATCATATTCCGTATTCTTTTGTCACGCTTCCAAACTTTACATTCCAATGTCGTGAGGTCAACAAAAGCATTCAAAGGAATTTGTCGCGTGAAGTATTTCGCAGCGAAATTTCGCAAGACTTTTTCTCACTGGAGATTGGGCTTAACTTTTTTCGCTTTTCGCTTGCGAAATCCTTCAACAGCCAATCATATTCCGTATTCTTTTGTCACGCTTCCAAACTTTACATTCCAATGTCGTGAGGTCAACAAAAGCATTCAAAGGAATTTGTCGCGTGAAGTATTTCGCAGCGAAATTTCGCAAGACTTTTTCTCACTGGAGATTGGGCTTTACAGAGAGCTGGCGACTCTACTCACTGTGGGTGAAAGTTTGGTCATGCCAAGGACTCCAACCACGGACCCTTGGCTCTGTAGTCTGCGCCTCTAACAACTGAACCTAAAATTGGTTTCCTCCCCTGCAGCTTTATAGCAGATTAAAATATTTATAAGTCTGTTGCTCATGTAAAGTTTTAATGCAATAATGACAAATCAACTGATGGCAGTGAGATGCCCGTAAAAAGAAGACAAATTACCTTCATAACTGCTGTGGCTTCTTTCATGTCGTCGACGTGAAGTTGAGATCTATAGAAATTACAGAAACTTCATCAAAGCATCGTCAAACGCCAGTCAGTTCCAACATTTTATTATATTTGATTGCATTCCTCGTCTTTTCTACAGGCACGATTTCACGTGGCCAAAGTAACGTTTGTAGCCTTAAAGCATCCTAAGTTAACTTTAAGGTAAGCAATGAAGCCACTAGGTAGCTAATAAATATTTTTAGGTAACCAATGAAACCTTTAGCTAGTCTTTTGAAACCTCTGAGTGCTACCTCCAGCGTATCTTATTAGGGAATTTGGTGCCAACAAATATCTTTACTTCGAGGAAGCCATTAAGATATTGAGCAAAATTAAGAAACGTTATTCTCTCTTTAGGATATTTCTAATTTACAACGTTCCTGCTCTGAATCTGTTAAAGAATGCTTTCAATGTAACATCAAAATAAAAAGGTTACTTCCTACAGACGTCCTATTGGCATTTAAAGATTTTTACTGAGGTGGTAGAACCAGAAAGCCAGCCAATAAATGCCAATGAATATTAAAAAGAAATAGTGTACATCCACCTTAAAGAAACAGCTTGCTTTGACAAGAGGGTATATTACTAACAAAAGGAAGAAAACTTATTGAAACCAAGATATGTAACATAACCACAAAACGTTATCTTCAATTAGTGCAGAAAATGGCTGCCATATACGTGATTGTAGATATCAACATAATAATATATAATAATATATAATAATATATAATAATATATAATAATATATAATAATATATAATAATAATAATATATAATATATAGCCTTTTCATAGGGACTACAGTAAAAGAAAACTCCAAAACTTCAAGTAGATATAAAGAACTAAGGCTAAATACAACTAAATAAGCATTATATGACGACTGCAGCCGACTTACTTGGTTAGTTTATCAGCCATTTCAACCAACGTCTAAAAAATGATAACCCAAGTAACAATATTTAGGTGAGATAACTGGACTGCAGGTGCAAAATAGAAAGAAATAAAGAAAAACAATCACTTCGCTTTCATTGCCAGAGACCAAGCAAACGAACATGTTATATTTCTAGAATAAAAACTTGTCATATCTAACTTACAGACTCCTGCTCAGCGTATTTTGCTCCAATTTCTTTCAGTTGAGATTTCAGTGATACGTTTTCCTGTTCAAAGAATAAATCTCAGATCTATTTATGGCAAAATACGATTATTGTAGTGAAAACCAAAAAGATGAATTAAAGAAAACTTGATATCTAGTAATGACGAAAGGAATCGTTGAATAGTACTTAAATTTTGTTTTGAGTAAGAAAACTTCCTCCATTATATTAACCCGTTCTTTTTCAATTATTTGAAAACTTTTAACACGTTCTTCTTCCAGTACAAGATTTACTGAAGCTTCTCATCTGATACTTCCCATCAAGAATATCAAAATAATGATAGACAGTGTTCAGTTAGGGAATGTATACATAGTTGTTGATCAAATGAGGCCAATAAGAAACGCGAGCATATCATGTGCTGTTGAAGTTCTAAAATAATAATTTTACAGTCTTAGAAATTGACAGGAACATCAGATAAGCATGAATCTTTCCGTTCATTTTCGAAAAAGAAAAAACTTTAATGAAAGAAAGCTGTTGAGTTTGTGGAAAAGGTGCTTCGAAATTATTGACGAAGGAATACAGAGCATACATTTGAAGCATGAAGCAGATCAAGCAGTGATGTGAATGCGTTAACATCAAAAGAAAAATCAAAAGAAGACTTCAACTGTAAATCACACTATGATCAAACATTCTTGGCGTTAACATTATACATAAATATTAATAAATACACATCAGCGCTGACTTTTATCGTCAATAAGTAAGTCTGTCTTTGGTACCTCTTGCAGTATCTTCAGCTGAAGCAGTTCTTTCTCAAGGCTTCTAACCCGCTCTTTTTCCTGTTCTAAATCCGTTTGAATACCACTGCGCCATTCCCTCTCGATCTTTAAATTCATCTCTAACGTATGTCTGCAATCAGGAAAATAACACGAATAAGCAAATTATTATGAATAAACAAGAGCAGAATTGATAAACAGCATTTAGAGTTCATTAGGTTAGAAAGGATAGGAAGAGAGATTTAATTGTTTGTGTAAAAAATATATTAGAATTTAAATGATTTTCTGAGCTGTTATGCTCCTCGTTAATCAAATCCTGGATTACCAAGAGTCTCAAAGACAATAGAGACAGAAAGCTGACAAATTAAAGCCATTTGATTTGACTCTTATCGAGATTACATAGCTCAAGGTACATTATCACATTTACAAGAGTAAACGCAATCACTCGCTGGTGAAAAGCATAATGCCTGGGCATTTACTGATTGTAGCCAATTCCGAAGGCCTTAAAATGAGAGACAATAACAATAGAATTTAAGACTTAATAACAAATACGTCTCGGCTCCATTAAGAGCACAAGTAGAAAGGAAATAGAAACAAAGGCACCATTTGAGTTATCTGGTTGCATTATTAACATAAATTCCATAAGAAAATCATAAAGTCGAATATGATGAAACAAAGAATGAGTAACATTTTCTGTTAATAGGTATCAAATCAACATTAAAAATTTACATTACACCAGTCAGGAGTCTTACCTTTCAGACTCGATGTCTCCCATCTTAAATCCCATTTGTGAGAGTGTCTCCAGCGCCTCCGCCCTCGCAGCGTCCGCTTCGCTAATTCTTCGATGAAAAACAAGAGATTTTATAATAAATAAGACAAAAAACAGAAATCAAAATTGAGAATCAAACCAATGCCAGTTATTGCTGATGATGTCTCAACCATGTCAGTTAATATTTACAATTACTCGGATATCAGTTGATACACGTGCGTATACCAACGTTAAATTCTCTAATCAATATCCAGGAGAGAAAAACGACGATTCTTTACGACTTTTCAAGACGTCAATGTCCGCGTACCGACTTTTTAGTTCTTCGTTTTGCATCGCCAGACTTTGTACTTTCTTTGACATATTGTTCCATTCAACAGAGCGAGCTTTTAGCTCTTCCACGTTTTTCTAGAAATATTCAAAATATTTGAATCAGTACAGAATCCTTTTGTAAATACGTCACTAAAAGTGTAACAGCACTCAATAGTTGCCAAGCAAGCTTCAAATGCGCATGGTTTTTAGCAATCACTACCTTGAGTTTCTCGTTCAAGTCAATGTTCATTTTCTTGACGTCTTCCAACTGCTTTCGTAACGAAATAAGCGTGTCTTGCTTGTCATACACGTCCTTCTCGAGTAGCCGCATTGCTACCTAAAAGAACAAGAAACAGAAGTTGGTTCATTCGAGCGTGCATGAAACAAGAAATTCTTGAAGCTTAAAGAACGGAACCTTTTTGCAGACAGTGATGCTTTATCAAGAAATGAAGCAAATGAAATATCCAGAAAATGAAATATGCAAAGAACATATTAGATACCAAAAGACTGATAAAAATGTGATAAAACTATTAAGAAAGAAGGATAATATTAGTGTTAAAAAATGATATGCAAAGATATGGAAAATAACATATGCAAAATAAACCTCTTTCTCTTGATTCATTGCCAATTGAACATGTAAATCTTGCTGGAGCTCCTGCAAAATTTCGTTAAATTCGCATTTAAATTTAGGCAGCTAATTTACAAAACAACAAATGTATAAGGACGACCAATGCATTGAACAACAAATATGCTTCATCAGATCAAATATATCACAGTCATGCTATCTCATAAAACTCGAACAAAAAGGAAAATTTTCCACTTAAAACGCATTCTTCTGTTTTAGAAAGATGTGAATTTTTCCTTGCTTATATACATATAAATCTTATTTGTTTAAAAAATATTGATTTGTTTCTATTTTAAAGCTAAGTTATATAAGTTTGTAGATAACACGTGAAAGATGTGCTATTGCCTATTTTAAATCTCAAAACGATATAATGATAAGTAAAAATAAAACATCACGAAAACAGTAATACTTTCAACTTGCTGTTATTGACTGATAATGATATAGATTGATTGAAATCAAAATTGCAGCTCACCTTTCGATGGTCAGCTTCCGTCTGATACTGTCTCTTTATTTGAAGGTACATTTCATTTAGGCCAGTTCTTGACTGTTGATATGTTTCCCGTTCTATGTTTATATCTGCTTGAGCCAACTGAAAACAGACGTCCAATTACTTAAAAGGTTTAAAAAACAGCGGACATCACCTGAAAGGCACTTTGCTAACAGAATACTCTTTTTCATTTGTCAATACTTCTCCCTTAAGTCATCAAGAATGTTAATTAAACTTAAGCAAAGACTCTACACAATCACAATACAGAAGCTCTAATCTGCAGCTTTTTCATATACAACACTACTGCATTTGGCCTAACATCCCTTGCAAAACAAAGTATTGGACACATTTGATGTGAAATTAGTGAATTATATACATATGCTTAGTGAAAAATGTACCTGCAAGCGTTTAAGGTGATCATTTTGTAGTCTTTCATTTTCGCTCTTTATAATCTCTTTCTCGTCCAGGACTCCCGAATATTTTTCATTTAGCGAAGAAAGCTAAAAAGTAAAAATTACAACAAAATAATGTTTACCACCATATATTACGCTTTATTTTTTATTCTTGTCATTGGTTCTGTAGCCTACAGAACGAAACACTGTTAATTGTACGTTACATTTGACAAAATTAGACGAGGTGGCTCAAACTAAGATTCGGTTTCTTCTTAACCTGCAGATTCAAAACACTCCCATAATCGCCTTTATAAATTTTTGGCTGGCTCCAGGAGTATTTAACTTGTTTTCATTAATTTCATGCTGTCTTGATTGACTGGTTTAGACTAGTATTCATATTTACGTCATCTTGTTTGACTAGTTCATCCAGCTATAATAGCCAGTGCTGTGATGACAGCCAAACACAAATTGATTCTTCAACTCAAGCTCCTAAATTCTAGTACACTAACGTTCTATAACTCTAACAATTTTAAATCCTTATATTTTCCAAATCGTTTTACTAATCATGTCACTTGTATGATCTGTCAGCAAATTGAATCGATCTTTATGTCATGCTCATATCTTTATAGGATTTCTTACTGACATAGATCATTCAATTCACAATGGAATTCAATATTTTAATCGGATTGGTTACTAACATAGACCCATCAATTCACAATGGAATACAATGTTTTAATCGGATTGGTTACTGACTTAAACCCATCAATTCACAATGCAATGCCATGTTTAAACTACATTTGTCACTAACACAGATCTGTCAATTTTTCTTTAGCAGCTATCGCACACAGCTCCTCAATAGCCTTCCGAGCTGTTCGTTCTATAAATGCTTCTACTCAAACAACAGCCTCAAACGACGGTGATTGTAAATGTAAATCTGACCATTTTCATATACAAATTTAGCATACGAAAATGAACTGTCAAACACGATTATCTTATTCGCTTGATACTTGAAGTACCTGTGAGTCTTTAAACTAGATCATTCATACACTGACAGAATCAAGAGTTGCAAACAACGTCTAAAATAAAACTCTTTGCTGGTTATTTTGAGCAGGATATGCTTAGCCTTTCAGGGGAGGCGAACAAGCATCCGTTTGAAGGTCAAATGCATATGCGAAGTTAAGATTGATGACATTATTTTCGCATTTCCTTTCATGTGGGAATAAGCAAGTCTCCAGTAAAAAGATGAAGAGAATTAAGAGAAAAGCGTGTCTTGAGAAAATGGGAAGGAAACATATTATGCATAAATGTTGTATAATTGTTTTCATTATGTGCTGCGAAGCGCCAAGAGAAGAAAATTTCTTCTGCGAGCCCTGTACTAATGAACATGTGCATAAGGCATACTTTTCTCATTGGTTAAGACAAATTGCTAGAACAGTAGCCCAAAACAATGGGAATCTACGTAAGATCCTCGCATCCCCAATAAGATCACTAGCCATGCACAGACCTTTGGATGACGTAATAGCTTATTACCACAGATATAATCAATTGTGTTAGATGATACCACAAAATAGTCTCGTGCAGCAAAAACATTACAATAGGCCTTTTCAATTCGACGATCGAGATGTTGGGCCAGGCCTTGACGTTCCAGAAATTGAGAGAGTGAACACCAAAGCAACTGAGCTCTGATCAAGTAAAGATAGCTTAATCAAACGGATATTTCACCTGAATTAAGAAAAATGCAAAACTAAGCATGTCAAGAAAATTTCAACTCAAAAACTAGTAAAACGAGCAATTTTACAAATCATAGCGAAAAAATGTCACCTCATCTTGAATACGCTTGTTTTCTTCTTGAAGTTCATTTATTCTATTTTGAAGCTTTGAGGCTGAGTCACTAGAGATAAGAGAGAAGGGGTCACGCTTTAAATAACACAACGACGCCAGAAGCATTTGATTTCAACTTAGAAGGAAAACGATGCCACTCGTGCAGAAAAATGTTCATTCTTTCAATTGTTTCACAAATTTCTATAGCACGTTGCTTTCAAAAAATTGATAAGCTACTTGTATCCACATAAAGGTCATTTTATTAAGAATTTTACAGCATCTCTGAGCCTCTTCTTTTAAGCAGTTCAGAATATCTTCAGAATGCAAACACGATAGTTTTTACCCAGTATTTCTATCTCGGTTCGCGATTACTCAGGGATCATTTCCTAACTCAAGTCAAATGTATTTTGCTCCACTAAATCTTGGTACCAGAAAGAAGTGGTTATTGCTTCTGAACTTTTGGTAACCGGTTTGAGCAAGCAAGCAAAGATAAGATTCGGGGTGATTATAGAGTTACACTATCAACTCTAAGTTATGGCAACGACATTTTTCACTGGTGCGATCAGAGTGTTTTTCCTTCAATATCAAATCCTTGGCAAGATTTGCAATACAATCACAGTTTCAAAGGATTCGGTCAATTTATCTTTTTGGCAGCACACTCTTCCAGAGTCCAGAAAACATTACGGTCGCATGGTCATTGACCGGAGGAGGGTTTGAGAGCCAATAAAAATTTGGAGGAAGCCTTTGGTAAAATATAATTTCAAAAAATAGTTGAGACAACTTATTTTGCACTTGTTTCTTTGTTGCGCTTTTAAAACACGCGTTGAATCTGTCGTAGAGTCGAATGGTGGCACGAACAGACAAAAATTTTTAGGCCACGCCCTTTTACCGCCAGAAAACACAACTGAAAAGAGAATACTGAACCATGGTTTTGAAACTTTTCAATTTATATTATATCATGTTTCCATCGATTTCATTATTCGAAATTTAAAAAGAAATATCATTTTTTAGCTGTAATGTGATTGGCATTCTAGCAAAGTTTTATCGCATGCGATAATTTCCATCGACCCAAACACATAACGTTGTGTCGATTTGTTGCATCAGTTACCACTTCCCATTAATTGCGCCGTAGTAACTCCCCAGCCACGCCTTGTCCAAGATCATTGCTTGAAAAATTTGAGGAAGGATTTCAGGACGGGAGGAAGGTTAAGGGCTTATCTTGACTGACTTCTTCCAGATTTCTTCCAGGTTTTCATAAACCCATGTAAACGTAGATTTTTATACAGACACAGCCGAGTACTTGATACAAACTACAGTTACGCCTTGCAATTCCTCTTAATATCCTTGGCACAATCTTTCGTTACATTCAATTTCCCAACATAACCTTTGAATCAGTATGTCTAAGTTTCGGTGGATTATTTGGTTATCATCTTTATTCACTTTAGAAATTCTTTGCATTCTGATTTGTCAACGTCGACAGAAATTGCATCAAGAGATCTAAATGCGAGGAGGCTTGCCTTTTATTTTACCTGCTTCCATTGAAGTACATTTTAGCTGTTATTTTTTATTCCAACATATCTTATCTAGTGTGATTCACAAATTAGAGATCTGGTTTCAAACAAAGCCCCCCACTTCACACCCAAATCAACATTCCTTGATTGCATTGTTCTTTCACTCGGGCTATTCCTCTTTTCAAACCTCGCTTTTACTAACCATGTTCTTCTTCCTCCTTTCATACTTGTTATCTTTGATCTTTTTCATCTATTTCTCTATTTCTGCTTGTGTTCCTTCTTCTCTTTCTCCTTTTCAGGAGACTAAGCTTCCTGCCAATCAGCTTTGTGCACTTTTCCACTCACTCTACTCAGATGATTCCTGTGAAGTTTGTTTCATCCCTTCCCTTTTTTGACAAATGGCGATCAATATTTCCTAGTCCCATGTTCCTCTCTTGCTCCAATAACAACAAAAACAAAAAGCTCCTTTAGTGGTTAAAGTTTGCAACTGCACCCAGCACACTTGAGACAAATAACTGCTGCACCACTCCTACCTTTTAAAAACTCTGGATAAATTGACGCGTTCAAGACAAAAAAAGGAAAAAAGATTTATGTTAAAGAAATAACTTACTTAAGACTGCGATTGAGCTCTTCTAAGTAAGCTTTCTGATCAAGAATTATTTCTAACTTTTGATCAGTGCCTCCGCTAAATGAAAATATAGAAAGAATTACATCGAAAGCAGGAAAAGTGAATTCAAACAATTCCGTAATAGGAATTTTTATAATAACACTGGCTTAAACAAACATTTCCTTTTTAGAATAATGCTTTAGCAGTTCATCGCTAATTCTGATTGACAATAGGCCTGTTTCTAACTAAGCAATAAAACAATACAATAAATTTCCTTCGTTCGTCAAACAAAAAACAATAATATCAACACAGTATTTTGCAAAGAACCATAATTGCCTTTATGAAGAAACCTTGAAATTTTGTAATATGAAGGACATTTTTTAATATGGTAGGACAATTGAATAAACGTTGATAATGATTAGGCTTTTTTAGTCTAGTGCATCATAAAACCGGGACTACATTACTTACCCGTTGCCATCTTCAAAAGTTTTTTCAAGATAGTTTCCATCACGCAGATATAAACTCATATCTATTATACCAGTCTGAAAAATAAATTACATCATAATGAGAGTATCTTCATTGACAAATATAGCTGCTTTATCAGAATAAAGGGAAATGATGATGGTGTTTCTTGGCAAAACAGTCCACAATCTAACTAAAACAACTCAAAATGTTTGTAATCTTTGTGTTTTACGTCAGATCACAAATTGAATCAACTAATCACTCTTCAATGTTGCATGCAGTTCTAATCATTCCCAAACATACAATCATCTGATCATCTAAAAGTGCTGGATATTTCAAGACGTTTGAAGCCACAAACAATTGAAAAGGATTCATAGAACAGGGACCAAAAATTGTGTGCAAGTGTTTCCAATTTTTTAAAATTGGTCTTGTTGCCTTAATGTGTTTCACTAGAAAGAAGCATTTTGTAATGGAAGGGGCAAAATCTTTGCCGCGTATGTAGATCAATTGTATCAGTGGATAAAAAATTTCCATGGCATGTTTTGATACTCAAAACTTTCTAAGGCTTATTTTGTTTATGGGAAAACTGCAAGTCAAGAAAAGTTCTTGTGGTTTATTTTTTTGTTAAGGAATGCTTTCAAAAAAGAATAAATAGAGAGTAGCTTTTTGTCTTTAGACAAAACAAGCTCAAACCTGAGTAAGGTGTAAAAAAACGGTTCCTTTTTTGGTTTGAGCCTCCTTAGATAGCCCTGGCACTAAACCCATAAAGCTCAAGAATTTCGAAGTTCAAAGGAAACAAAGTAAAATTGGTTTAATTTTCAAGACAACAGTTTTACTTCAGACCCTCAAGATATGTAAGAAACATTGTTACTTACAGCCGTATCTAGGTTTTCTCCTTTTAAATCAAAGTTGCAATCAATAACATTAAGACCAACAAGAAGGCCACTAATGACAATGCTCTCCTCGTTGAGCATCATTGAATACTGTTCATACCACTCTCTAAAAAGCAAAGAAATGAATAAGATTTAAACTGCTAAAAAAGATTGAATATTGATCGGTATCACAAAAAATTGATAAAACGCATTCAGTTCTAATTTTTCAAAGGTTGCCCAGACATCAAAAAGTGGTAACTAGGTATGGATAATTGAAAGGCAAGATAATAAGTCAGGAAACTTTTAATAATCTAAGCTTTTGTATCATGTTGCCTTTAAAGAAACAATTTAGATAGCTGCTTTAATGATCACTCACTTCAAATCATTCTTGTCTTCAATAAATGTCTGGACCTGCTCTGCTAACACTTTTTGCATCAATGCCAACCTTAACCAAGCTCTGCCTTTTCCTATATTTGTCCTTATAACAAAATATCAAAGATAAAAACCCATAACAAAAAAGAAAAACCTGACCATGGGCCACACCAAGAAATATAAGCATGCTGATTTTAAGAATGTTAAAAAGAAAACACATATCAAAAAATGGTAAATAAAGAAAAGTACTGAATGTGGCTGTAATCTAAAATTTCCAGCAGATGTTCCTATTACATCCAGACAGAGAAACAAGATCTAACAAATTCCTTGAGTGCATTGTCCAACAATTCACTCTCAGACAAGTTGTATGGGGCAAAATATTAGTAAGTTTTCAAAAAGTTTTATGTTGAAAATCATTTCCATTAATATTGCATTCCATATCATTTTGCATTGTTCTTGCTTGACATTTATATTGTTATTATCAACATAGAAATATATCTAGCATAAAGATTATCTATTTTTCTAAAAATCAGTTTGTGGTTTTAAAGAAATAAGGATCATCAACGCTTTACTTGATTAAAGGCAAATTTCTAATGCTTGTCATCATATCTTTAAGTGTTGTCAGTTTATGCTCCATAGATTCAAGAAGTCCCCAGAAATCTTTTCTTGTGCCAAGAAGACTTCGTTTCCCTGCAAAGAAACAAACAAACAAATTGACAAATGATTTATTTATTTGTTAGATAGTCAATAGGGTTGTGTATGTGTGTTGTAAGTCAAGTCGTGATTTTTATTGTATCAATTTTTATGTAAAAAAATTTTATGTACAGAATTCTTGTGTTTAAAAATTTTTAAGACCTTTTGCTTGAAACGTTAAATTGCAAAACAACAGATTGAAACATTACTGTCAATTCAGACCAATAACCAACAACATTAACAAAGAGCAAATGGCATTATTAGATACGTTTAATACATAATATCAAAAGACATAATAAAAAAAACAAGAATCCATAGCATTGTTTGATTTTCAAATTTCTATGAACATGTTAAATATTCTTTTAAACCATTTCTAAATATATAATTTGGTAAATAGAAAAATATTTCACTTCACTTGATACTTTCGCTTCCCTCGTGGAACAGCGCAATGCGAAATGAAAACTTATTGTCCGGGCAAAAAGAAAGCTAAAGCACAACATCTCAGTAGCTTACCCTTCAAGCCATGTCTAAATACATGCTCCATCACAACAAAGAATTGATGAAGTGGAGTGAAATCATCACTCAAAGTTCGACCATTTTTTAGGGAAGCGTCAATCAATGTTTTGATGCAAATTTTCGCAATGTTCAACAGATTACTTCGCTCTATCTTCCACTTCGGATCTAAATCCAGTTGCTGCTGTATAGAGGATGACATAGTCCTTTCTCTAGCTGATGAAACCAGCATTGTATCTGTACTTTGATCAAGCAAATGGTTACTTTTGTCTCCTACATTTTGAGTTGCCATTTTGATTGTTGTTAAAGTTCTATCTTCCTTTTGATCAAATCGAGGTTGAGTCATGTGACAAACAGCCACAGTGTGACGTCATAAACATATACTTTCAATGTTTTCTGCAACTTAAATAAAAGAACCCCTTGAAGTACATTTTAAATGCAGAAGCAGTCACATTGACTGAAATATAGCAAGCTGAAGAACTGAGTTAAGCTATCAGAAACATCTGACCAAGACCAAGTTACAGTGATTTGATTGAGAAAGCTTTTGTGCTCGTCAGGCCATAGGCCAGCAGGGATTTTCTAAGTATGCTAAAGCCAAAAAAACTAAACAGATGGTCTTGTCGTGATGTTGCGAACAAAAGTCCTAGGCACTTATTGAATTTTTCGACTTTTGAACATTGTGCTTTTGAGATGTGGGCTTAAAAGAAGAGGACTATTACCAAGGGATATAGTGGTGTAAGTTTAACAAAGGGGGTTCTACAGACCTAAGGAATATACATGGTTAGGTTATGATTAATATATACTATGATACAATTGATACAAAATCTTCTTCATAATAGGTTATGTCATTATGGAATTAAGATGCAAAATATATTTAACATAACTCAGAATCTAAAAACTCTGTCTTCAGTTGAATCATCGAAATTTTCTTGAATTATAGAATTTCTGGTTCACCTTTCAATTGCTATTTAAGCAAGAGGACAATTGTTTTTATCATTGTCTCTGCTAGCAAATTTTAAATCTCAAGACCCTTCTAGCTTCTCGGCCCTAGCCTGTGTTCCGGACCCAAGACCTCTACTTTCAAGTTAGGGGTCTGGAGCACAGTCTATTCTACCCTGGACTCGTAAAGCATGGAATTGTCAATAGAAGTAAAGTGCCAGATGAATGGAAGATCTAGGTCGGTCATTCTTAAGTCCGGCCCGCAGCAAGTTTTATCCGGCCCGCTGCGTGCTTTTATCTTGCAAATAATTTTGGCTCACACTTTCAAAACTTGAAATTTGATTTAGTTTGTATAATTTGTCTGCTCTGATATCTTTTTTCTCTGCAGTAAATGATATTATGCGTTCCCTTGACTACTCATTGGCAGAAAAGGGGGTATGGAAATGGGAAATGCTTTATTTAACCATATGAACTGAACGTTTTGTGTAGCGACATGATTTCCAAAAAACCATCATCAATAATTCAAGGGGTCGTTGAAATCACCCCTTCATCCGCTCTCTGCGTTCCCGGGCCCGAGGCCAGATTTTTTCTTTAGTTCATATAGTTCGGGGTTCTTATGTATTTTTTACTCGCGATAGTTCTTAAATTGATTATTTGCTGCCTTGTTAATATTTTGCAAGGCCCTTCCTTTTCCTGTCAACATTGAAATAGATGAAACTATAGATTCCAGTTACAAAGAAACTTTAGGAATATTACCTTGGATTTTCTCCCATTAAATTCTATTTTAGTTGCACTTTCTGACCAACCATAGATTAACCAAATCTAAAAATTTTCTTGCCGACAACCATGATGGCGGCCTTTTTTTTCCAAAAACAGAGTCAATATAAAATTAAATTGTCCCCAATTTAAAACATTTTTTGCCGTCTCTTGATCTGATTTCAAAAGCATCAAGTCAACTTGACGAATATTATTGTCCTAACTTGAAAATAGCCCCTTGGCTGCAAACACGCTCTTCTGACTCAATCTGGTACCCAAAACATTTTGGGTTTATGAACATTGCTACAGTTAGCAGCTATAAGAGCTCCGCCCCCCCCCCCTCCCAAAAAAGTTATCCTTGGCCTCGGGTCTGTGATAAATTTTTGTGTAATCCCAATGGCTTTTGAATGAATATTATTTTGATCGAAGGATTCCTAAAAATGGGCTTAAAACACTTTTGAAACTTATAAAGCATATCAAGATTTCAAGCTTTAGGTTATCAAAAATGATATTTTGGTTTAATTTTTGATTGCCATGTACTTAGATAATGAGCAAACCAGAATTTAAGATAACAAGTTATTAACGTCAATTTACTTTGTGCCAGCAACGAAACTTTAGAATTAAAGTGCACTGCTAAATTGACTTCTCAGTTTTAATTTAATCACCAAAAAAGCTTTAAGCAGTTTACTTCAAATTTCAACATTTTTCGTTCAGTTTTTTTCAAAATAGCGACACTTCATGGTCATCTTCCATAGATACTTTTGAAAATATTTTACAAACTTGTTCTGCAGCAGTGCTTCAAAGTTTCGCTGAACTTTTCTGCTTTGCTGATTTTCAAAACAGACAAACCAATCGTTAAATTTTTTTTAACCGAAAATGGAGGAAATGGTGGAAGCATTTTTCCACCACAAACTATCTTTCCAAGCCTTCACCTAATGAATCTGATTTTGAAATTATTTGGCTTAGGCCCGTGACCACCGTAAGCCGCCATTTTGACCTTCCGTTTCCATACTTTTGGGACCCCGCGTACCTGAACACTTCGCCCGTTCTTGTTTGCCTGCTATGTATACAAAGCTAATATGATCCCTAAATGCCAAAAACATTTGAGATTTTTGAAAAAATGTGATTTGTCATACATAATTAGAAATCAAAGTTAAAAAAAGATATATTTCACCCTCTGCATTGAATAAGGGACAGTAGATTTAAATTGGCCTTCTTCTTATCATTATTATCACAATAAAAATTTTTGCCGTCTTAAAAGACCTCCTGGATTTAAACATCACTCAATTATTTCTTTTTAATCTCTATTTAGTTCCTATTTGCTAGAAGAAAAAAATTAAGTTGGTATTTACAGAAAAATCCGATCAAAAAGGTATCAATTTTGAATATTCATTAAAAGCTGCCATTTTGAACGGCATTCTAAAGTAACATAGCAACATGCAAACAATTACGCCAGATATTACGTCAAATTAATCACAAGTATAAAACGACAAAAAACCGTTAGGATTTCTGTTGAGATCTTTTCAACTTGAAAACACGACGCTAGTTTGCATCGCTGATACTTGTACAAATCTCACGATTCAAAACGCTAAGAAATCGGTAATCGATAAAGCTGTTTTGATCAAAATATCAACGGACTTGGCAATCATTCGAATTTAGTTGAAAATAAGCCACTCATCGAATTATTACATCGAAACTGCAGTCAAGAAACAATGGTAAGTCCATTTGTCGAATAACGCACTCTACGCTTTCAGAAGAAGATTTTAAAAGGGTCCTATATTTCCTACCAAATCAAGCTTAATCAATCAAACAACAATTTTATAGTATTCATGTACCCAGCCTTTAAAAATAAATTTTGATAAAAACAATGAAGGATAAAGGCAAGGGTTATTTGTTTCCAATTTTTGTTGAACGAAAAAACATTCAAGAAATTAATATTGAAGAAAAACAAATTAGAAACAAATGGAACACGGCTTAAAAACGAATCGATCAAGTCATTTTCTTATTTTTACAACAAGAGCTATAATTCCTAGCGATTAGGCCTTAAATTGTAGCAGACGTAGACACGAACATTGTTATTGTTGCCAGGGGCAATCTCTATGGGCAACAGCAATAAGAGGCTTCAGCCTCGACTAGAATTAAATAACCACTTCAATTCATGTTGTGATAGAATTTATGTCGATCAAAACGATTACATCTTTCTTTGTTTCCTTGAAACTTTAGCAAAATTAATGACCCTGCCATTGCTATTTTGAAATTGGGCTCTAACCATTTATGAGTACGGGTCTGTCATTCTAAAACATTCATAACTTCAAATGACAAAAGTCGGGGTTGTTTCCCCTTCAAAATCACATTTAAGTCTTTCATGGCAAAATAACATGAAGCATATTTTGAGAATTGTGCAATATCACTGATGAAATATTTTCATTGCAGACTACAGTTGAGTTTTCTAGTCCTCTTGCTGAAAAGTACGAGTTCTTCTTGCAAAATATCAGTGAGTATTAATACCTCATCATTTATTCCACTGATAACGATGTTTTTTACAAAGAAATACTAAATTTTCATCAATGTATCATTCCGAAATCATCAAATGCTCAACTCATCGTTTGTCTCAACAGAGCAAGAGGTGAAACAATGCAATTGAGCTTCAACTTATCTTGCTTATTGAACAACATAAAAGAAAGGCTACCTAAATCTACGAGCAAGCTCTTTTTCTCGCCTTTTTGCAGATGCCTTGCTAAAACCAATCCTGTCAATTGCCTTGAAATTTTCTCCATTCATTTTTTTCTAAAGTTATGTAGAAAGACGCTCTAGTATCTGTTGTATAATGCTTCTTGCAGATGCCCTGTTTTCGATCATTAAACACATGACGGACATCGAGTCGCCAAGAAAGAAGATTCAGGAAAAGCTTCTCGATGCTGACTACCGAATGTTCTCCTTCACACAGGTAGTAAAACTTACCTTCACACTATCAAGTGAATTTACATCCCTTTTTTGAGCTAAATGAAGAAATAAAAATAAAATTATTTCCTTTTACTAAACTAAGTATCATTTTCTGAATTCTCTTTTTTCAGATAAAAACCCAAGTAAAGGCCTGTCTTTGTGCTCTTCAGGATCTTCATTTGATGGTAAGTTTAGATTCTATACCATCATTAAATGTTAACAATCGATGTAATTCAGAAATTGCATTTTAGAAAATAATTCTTTGGCTAATCTGACATTGATCCACAACTTATGTGGATACCTTCTAAGTTCTAACATCATTTTCTCTATACCATTTTAGGCAGATGACTCAGCTGTTTCGCCTTTTACGAAGAAATTTGCCAACTTATTTCAAAATATCCTGACGTCCTGGGACACATTCTATTACAGCATTGCTGTCGTTGACAAGGTAAAATGTCATTTTTTAGCAGAATCTTCATTCTTATATGAAATTTTCAATTCCAGGGCAGAGGCAATAGCTTTAGTACATGTTTATATGCAAAAAGCAAGCTTTGTGTAAATGCTAATTTCAAAGATTTGTCAATTCATTTTTGCTTCGATGCAATAAATGATTGAAAAATCGACCTTATTTTCGCAGGGTCCAGGCAAAATCGATCTGTCAAACAACATCAGAATCTTCTACATGCTGACGAAATTTGATATGGCGGAGTTCGCCAAAAACATAGAAAGGCAGAGGAAGCGGATGGAGTTAGCCCTTTTTAAGTCTCAGACTAATCTGGTTGATGGTTCTTTTGAGGATACCCAGCTAACTAGAGAGAGCTTCAAGCTCAAAAACTTGAAATTCGAAGAACTCTTATTCAAAGAAAACAATGCTTGCTATGACAATGACGAAGTAGATTTAGAGACTGTAGAAGGATTTCTTGATGATAGTTTCGAATACGTCCCTAAACAAGCAAGTGACCCTAAGTACTATCATCCTAAGAAACCTAGCTCTTACGTAACTTATGACGTCACATATAGCAAAGAGCAAAGTGTTAATGATAGTTTCTTGGAAGAACAAAAAAGGTCACATAAAGTTGAAGATGTTTATAATGTAAAATATGATGATGCTTTGAATAGCATGGATGACGCAATAGCAGAAGCCCCATTGAAGTGTACTTCTAGAATTTCACTTCATAGCTCATTTGAGGACATAGACGTTTTTATTGAATCCGTTTCTAGTCCTTCGTTGAGCAACGCAAATATTTCAAATCGAGCTCCAATTTGCTCGAATAATTTCTTTGAAAAGAGTTATTCAGCTGACGTAACTCCAAATCAGGGATTGAAAAGGAAACGAAACGAACTTCTGTGTGACGTAACAAACAGATTTAATTCGTTTCCATGCCCCAACAGTGTCTTGCCTACTGCAAAAAATGTCTCTCTGTTTTGCCATGATGGCAACATAGATTGTTATCAGCAGACTTCGAAAAGAGTCAAATTGAGTAGCGCAACGCACAATTTTACTCTCTACGAAAAGGCAGTTGAAAATGAGCCTATTGAGAGAAGTAGATTTAAGGGGATGAAAGATCTAGGTAGACGGTTGAAGAAAATGAAATCGCGTATAGTTAAAAACTTCAAAGACAATAGAAGAAATAATACTGTATTTCCGAGTGGAAAGCTATTAAAAAAGCTTCGATAAGTTTGTTCTATTGAAAAACTTATCTTAGAAACAATTAGATATAACTTTACACTAATGCACAATTGTTTAAAAAGTAGATTGTTATATATAAGTTATATTTGCTAGGAGAGAATTGATTATTCAAACATTTGTTATCTATTTGTTGTTCATTCTCCAAGGCATTTGCCATTACACTGAAATTATCACAGTTCTGATTAATGAGTTTTCATGTGTCATTTGACATTCACATTAAACTAGACTCGGCAAACCCTGGCGTAAAAATCCATCACAAGCAACGAGCAAATGTACAAGATGCTGAGCTTCTCATCAACCATCTACTACAGAACTACAACATTTTAAAGGAATATTATGTGACTTTGGACAAATGCAAATATAATAAGGAATATGGGACTTGTAGATCTATAATACTGCTAAACAGCCCAATAATCTAACTTTAACGATTTTTAAGCAAGTAGATGCTGAAGATCTTATTCAAATTAATAAAATTTATGGTTTAGAAATGATGAAGAGTTTGCACACGTAGGGAATATCTCAGGATGATAATTGTGTACTGATGTCTCTTGATAAAAGCAAAGATCTTCGACAAATATGTCTCTAATGCTTGCCAAAGGCATTTTCCAAGGGTTTGATTGATTTATTAGATTTTCATTCTTTATACCTTTTAAAGTAATACCATTTTAGGTAACTGTATTTTCATTTCGTGTCGAGAAGCATCTTGTACTAAATGAAAGTAATCCCGCACATTCTATGCTGTACGACAAAGGTTTAAAATGTCAAAACTCAATGACTAAACAGCGGATCGTAGTCTGTTCCTTTAATCATGTAGAGTGAATGGCGAGTCCAAAACACTTCCTGCTGCGATCATAGCTATAAAATGAACTGACGAGTTCTTCTCGAGACTGCCTTGCTATATTGCAGCACGAAGACTATATACTAAAAAAACTACTTTCACGACCCTGCTCTGTCGTGATAAGAGATTGCTCCTTGTCCTGGACACTATTATTTGCGAGGCTTCATTAAAATATATTTAACAAGCAGTGTGAATCTACTGTTGGATTTTAAAATGTGTTAAGAAAAATCCATGAAAAGGATCCTCCATGTACAATGCTGAAATTCAAAAGAAAGGAGCAGTCATTTTTAGAAAAAGAAAATGTTTAAAAAAATTTGGGTACCCCTTACAAATTTCATCGGATTCTAATCGTTCTATCACGAAAATGAATCTATCATTTTATCCCACAAAGGATTCGAATATTATTTCAAAGTCTTAAAACGATCACCACAGTAAAGGATCAAAAAGATGACAATCAAATTAGGTTTATTACAAGCGAGCATCCTCTCTCCTTGTTGATTTATTATTGCAAAAATAACGTCGTTCAAATTGGTCTGTGAATTTTGAATCAAATTCTTGAGATTCTTCAAACTTGCCGAAATTGGGCAATCAACAGAGTAATGGAAGAAAAGAAAAAACTGGCTTTGATTTCAGCTGAACTATAACATAACACAACAATGTAAAATACTATTTGTTAACTGTTGCTTTTAAGCAAATACAAAAAACCTCAAATGATGCTATGCTGAAATGAAATGTTAATCTTCCAGATCGTAAGAGACTAACCTGACAAAAATGAATAAACTGTAAAAAAACAAATTTCACAATGAGGTTGAATCCTAAAAACTGTGACGTGGATAAATACTGTAGATGTACTTGTACAAAGACAACCTTTACCCGTTTTTTTGCCTGTTATGGAGCTAATATGACACCCTAATGGAAAAAACATTAGAAATTTAGGGAAAAGTGTGGTTTCTCATTTATGATTACCAATGAAATTTTAGAAGAGAGATTTTTTACCTTCCAAATTAAATAAGTTACATTAGATTTGAGAAGTTGGTCTTCTTCTCATGATTGTTATCATAATAAAGTTTTTGCCGTCTTAAAGGACCCCCATAACTTTAACGTTATTGAACCATTTCTATTTTTATTCTCCCCATTTAGTTGCTATTTGCTAGATAATCGATTATTTTGTATTTACGGAAAGATCTGATTTAAGAAAGTTTCAACTTGAAATTTCAACAATGCTGCCATTTTGAACGGCATTTTAAAGTAACAAAGCAACATGCAAACAATTACGCCAGATATTACGTCAAATTAATCAGAAGTATAAAACAACAAAAAACCGTTAGGATTTCTGTTGAGATCTTTTCAACTTGAAAACACGACGCTAGTTTGCATCGCTGATACTTGTATAAATCTCACGATTTAAAACGCTAAGAAATCGGTAATCGATAAAGCTGTTTTGATAAAAATATCACCGGACTTGGCAATCATTCGAATTTAGTTGAAACTAAGCCGTTCATCGAATTATTACATCGAAACTGCAGTCAAGAAACAATGGTAAGCCCATTTGTCGAATAACGCACTCTACGCTTTCAGAAGAGGATTTTAAAGGTTCCTATATTTCCTACCAAATCAAGCTTGATCAATCAAACAACATTTTTATAGTATTCATGTACCCAGCTTTAGAAATAAATTTTGATAGAAACGATGATTTTGAAAAAACGATGAATAAAGGATAAAGGCAAGGGCTATTTGTTTCCAATTTTTGTTGAATGAAAACATTCAAGCAATTAATATAACGAATGTGTTGTTGGAGGAAAACAAATTGGAAACAAATGGAACAAGGCTTGAACCCTAATTGATGAAATCATTTTCTTATTCTTGCAACAAAAGCTATAATTCCTAGCGATTAGGCCTTAAATTGTAGCAGACGTAGACACGATAATTGTTATTGTTGCCAGGGGCAATCTCTATGGGCAACAGCAATAAGAGGCTTCAGCCTCGACTAGAATTAAATAACCAATACAATTCATGTTGCGATAGAATTTATGTCGATCAAAACGATTACATCTTTCTTTGTTTCCTTGAAACTTTAGCAAAATTAATGACCCTGCCATTGCTATTTTGAAATTGGGCTCTAACCATTTAGGAGTACGGGTCTGTCATTCTAAAACATTCATAACTTCAAATGACAAAAGTCGGGGTTGTTTCCCCTTCAAAATCACATTTAAGTCTTTCATGGCAAAATAACATGAAGCATATTTTGAGAATTGTGCAATATCACTGACGAAATATTTTCATTGCAGACTACAGTTGAGTTTTCTAGTCCTCTTGCTGAAAAGTACGAGTTCTTCTTGCAAAATATCAGTGAGTAATCATGCCTCATCATTTTTTCCACTGACAACGATGTTTTTTTCACAAAGAAATACTAAATTTTCATCAATGTATCATTCCGAAATCATCAAATGCTAAACTCATCGTTTGTCTCAACATAGCAAGAGACGAAACAATGCAATTAAGCTTCAACTTTACCTTGCTTAATTGAACAACACAAAAGAAAGGTTACCTAAATCTACCAGCAAGCTCTTTTTCTCGCCTTTTTGCAGATGCCTTGCTAAAACCAGTCCTGTAAATTGCCTTGAAATTTTCTCCATTCATTTTATTCTAAAGTTATGTAGAAAGACGCTCTAGTATCGGTTTTATAATGCTTCTTGCAGATGCCCTGTTTTCGATCATTAAACACATGACGGACATCGAGTCGCCAAGAAAGAAGATTCAGGAAAAGCTTCTTGATGCTGACTACCGAATGTTCTCCTTCACACAGGTAGTAAAACTTACCTTCACACTATCAATTGAATTTACATCCCTTCTTTTGAGCTAAATGAAGAAATAAAAATAGAATTGTTTCCTTTTACCAAACTAAGTATCAATTTCTGAATTCTCTGTTTGCAGATAAAGACCCAAGTAAAGGCCTGTCTTTGTGCTCTTCAGGATCTTCATTTGATGGTAAGTTTAGATTCTATACCACCCTTAAATGTTAACAATCGATGTAATTCAGGAATTGCATTTTAAAAAATAATTCTTTGTCTAGTCTAACATTGATCCACAATTTATGTGGATACCTTCTAAGTTCTAACATCATTTTCTCTATACCATTTTAGGCAGATGACTCAGCTGTTTCGCCTTTTACGAAGAAATTTGCCAACTTATTTCAAAATATCCTGACATCCTGGGACACATTCTATTACAGCATTGCTGTCGTTGACAAGGTAAAATGTCATTTTTTAGCAGAATCTTCATTCTTATATGAAATTTTCAATTCCAGGACAGAGGCAATAGCTTTAGTACATGTTTATATGCAAAAAGCAAGCTTTGTGTAAATGCTAATTTCAAAGATTTGTCAATTCATTTTTGTTTCTGATGCAATAGATAATTGAAAAATCGACCTTATTTTCGCAGGGTCCAGGCAAAATAGATCTGTCAAACAACATCAGAATCTTCTACATGCTGACGAAATTTGATATGGAGGAGTTCGCCAAAAACATAGAAAGGCAAAGGAAGCGGATGGAGTTAGCCCTTTCAAAGTCTCAGACCAATCTGGTTGATGGTTCTTTGAAGGATACCCAGCTAACTAGAGAGAGCTTCAAACTCAAAAACTTGAAATTCGAAGAACTCTTATTCAAAGAAAACAATGCTTGCTATGACAATGACGAAGTAGATTTAGAGACTGTAGAAGGATTTCTTGATGATAGTTTCGAATACGTCCCTAAACAAGCAAGTGACCCTAAGTACTATCATCCTAAGAAACCTAGCTCTTCGTTGAGCAACGCAAATATTTCAAATCGAGCTCCAATTTACTCGAATAATTTATTTGAAAAGAGTTATTCAGCTGACGTAACTCTAAATCGGGGATTGAAAAGGAAACGACACGAACTTCTATGTGACGTAACAAACAGATTTAATTCGTTTCCATGCCCCAACAGTGTCTTGCATACTGCAAATAATGTCTCTCTGTTTTGCCATGATGGCAACATAGATTGTTATCACCAGACTTTGAAAAGAGTCAAATTGAGTAGCGCGACGCACAATGTTACTCTCTACGAAAAGGCAGTTGAAAATGAGCCTATTAAGAGAAGTAGATTTAAGGGGATGAAAGATCTAGGTAGACGGTTGAAGAAAATGAAATCGCGTATTGTTAAAAACTTCAAACACGCTAAAAGAAGTAATACTGTATTTCCGACTGGAAAGTTATTAAAAAAGCTTCGATAAGTTTGCTTTATTGAAAATCTTATCTTCGAAACAATTAGATGTAACTTTACGCTAATGCACAATTGTTTAAAAAGTAGATTCTTATTTTCAAGTTATATATGCTAGGAGAAAATTGATTATTCAGATATTTGTTATCTATTTGTTGTCATTCTCCAAGGCTTTGCTATAACATTGAAATTATCACAGTCCTGATGACTGGCTTTTCATGTGTCATTTGACATTCACATCAAACTAGACTTGGCAAACCCGGGCGTAAAAATCCATCACAAGCAACGAGCAAATGTACAAGATGCTGAGCTTCTCATCAACCATCTACTACAGAACTACAACATTTTAAAGGAATATTATGTGACTTTGGACAAATGCAAATATAATAAGGAACAAGGGACTTGTAGATCTATAATACTGTTAAACAGCACAATGATTTAATTTTAACGTTTTATAAGCAAGTAGTTGCTGAAGATCTTATTGAAATTAATAAAATTTATGGTATATAAATGATGAAGAGTTTACACATGTAGAGAATATCACAGGATAACAATTGTGTACTGATGCCTCTTGATAAAGACGAAGCTCTGCGACAACTATGCCTCTAACGCTTGCCAAAAGCATTTTCCAAGGCTTTAATCGATTTATTAGATTTCCATCCTTTATACTTTTAAAAGTAATACCATTCTAGGTAACTGTATTTTCATTTCGTGTCGATAAGTATCTTGTACTAAATGAAAGTAATCCCGCACATTCTAAGCTGTACGACAAAGGTTTAAAATGTCAAAACTCAATGACTAAACAACGGACCGTAGTCTGTTCCTTTAATCATGTAGAGTGAATGGCGAGTCCAAAACACTTCCTGCTGCGATCATAGCTATAAAATGAACTGACGAGTTCTTCTCGAGACTGCCTTGCTATATTGCAGCACGAAGACTATATACTAAAAAACTATTTTCACGATTCTGCTCTGTCGTGATAAGAGATTGCTCCTTGTCCTGAACACTATTATTTGCGAGGCTTCATTAAAATATATTTAACAAGCAGTGTGAAGCTACTATTGGATATTAAATTGTGTTAAGAAAAATCCATGAAAAGGATCCTCCATGTACAATGCTGAAATTCGAAAAAAAGGGACAGTCTCTTTTAGAAAAAGAAAATGCTTGAAAAAATTGGGGAACCCCTTACAAATTTCATCGGATCCTTCTCTCATGAAAAAGAATAGATCATTTTTATCGCACAATGGATTTGAATATTATTTCAAAGTCTTAAAACGATCACCACAGTAAAGGATCAAAAAGATGACAATCAAATTAGGTGTATTACAAGCGTGCATCCTCTCTTCTTGTCGATTCTATATTGCGAAAATAACGTTGGTCAAATTGGTCTGCGGATTTTGAATCAAATTCTTGAGATTCTTCAAACTTGCCGAAATTGGGCAATCAACAGAGTAATGGAAAAAAAGAAAAAACTGGCTTTGATTTCAGCTGAACTATAACATAACACAACAATGTAAAATAATATTTGTTAACTGTTGCTTTTAAACAAATACAAAAAACCTCAAATGATGCTATGCTGAAATGAAATGTTAATCTCCCAGATCGTAAGAGACTAACCTGATTAAAATGAAACAACTGGAAAAACAAATTTCACAATGTGGTTGGATGCTATAAAATGTGACGTGGATGAATACTGTACAATGTACATGGATTAAATATGCAACGCGAAGATATCAAAGACTGTCTCAAATATTAATAAAAATATTTCTAGCATTTCTATACTATTTCTAAGGCAACAAAACAAGATTAACTGCAGTAATTTACAACATAATATGAACAAAACATTTTTAGCTGTAGCAAATAACAGAACAATTACAAAATATACAAAGCTATTTTTAAAATTTATTTTGCGCGAAAACAAATTTCTGCTTACATTCATTACTAGACGCAATATTATTACTTTATGCTGCTTTGAAATGCTTGTTAGGACAGCAAATCGTCAACAAATTGTGGCGGGTCTTGGGATGCAGGCTTCTCTTCGCTTGCAACAAGCACCTTCTCCTCCACAATGTCATTATCATTTTTATCCGGTACAGACGCAGAGGCGTTGCTTTCTGCGCATGTCTCGGCTTTTTGTTCCTCAGAAGCTTCTTGATCCGCTTCAATGCTGGTGTCCAGGTCCTTTGTTTCTGCCGATTCATTCATCTCTATAATCGCAAAGCTATCGCCTGGATCTTTTATGACGCTTAAAAGCTCTTCAGACTATGAATAAAATAAACAAAAAATTAACAACGTGCATTTCAACGAGAAAAACATTGGACCTTGATCAGCTAGGACCTTGATCAAGTCGAGCACCAGTACTGGAATGTAAAGTTAAATAAACAAGCAAAGCTGGCTCTTATAGCCAAAACTAGACCTAATACTTGCTCTGCTTCACTGAAGACTTAATTCATGCTCCTCGCAGTTGTGTTTCCATTGCGTGGCTTTGGTTCTTCAAACAATCAATATGCGATCATGTATCAAAAGTCAAGCAGTTCCTCTTACTGGATCCATGTTTTCGGCAGATAAAATAAAATAAAAAAATGACTCTAGAAGGACGCACAACGGTCAGACTTATAAAGGAATCAATGGATCGATTGACAATTGCATTAATCCACTTACCGGACTTTGCGATCTCAGTTTTATCGAGCTGAAGAAAGGATGATCGAGCGCTTCTTGAAGGCTCATTCTTTTTGTTTTGTCTTCAGCTAAAAGGCCCATCAGCACATCACAGACAGCATCATCCTGAAATGGACAAATGATGCACAACAAATGTCAATTAGGAATGTCAATTAGGAAACAGAAAACATACGATATAAACATGAAACCAAGGGTGCTACTACAATAACTAACTTTTGACGGTGACAATAGTGTCCTGAGCTTGAAGACTTTCTTTGGCTTCAACGGCCAGTGTGGGCAAGTATCGTTGAAAGCCAGAGTATCAGCGACTTCTTTAAGAGCAGATCACAATCAAACAAAACAAAAACTTCCAAGTTTAAAGGAATTTCTTTGCATTTTCTTCTAAATGTTCATTATGCCTAGAGTTTAGTGCAAGACCAAGAAGAACATCACACTGAAGAGCCAAGTTCCCAAAAGTAGGCTTGATGTATGCGATCTACGTAAAATACATAACTACGAGGAGTTAAACAATACCTTTGGTATGCGTTCAAGCATTTGCAACGGTGTTCCAATGTGCTGCGTTGTAGGAAAATGAGCCTGTGAAGAGAATTTAAATTTAATCTTAGAAACCTGGACAAAACCTGGCTGGATAGAACAATCCAGATAAATCAGAGGATAAAAAACATTTTAAAATCAACAAATCAAGAGCTGTCAAAGATGAATGCAATCGTCGTTTGGGTCTGTGAAGAGACAGCAATGCAACAGGGTTGTGTAAAGACAGCAACAACTTATTAACACAAACTAGGTCGATCGAAGCAACCATGGGAATATCAAATATTTAGGTTTGAGAGCATTCTAGTGCACAGAAAAATATTAGGTGCTTACCCAGAACATGAGTAATCCAAAACAGTAAGCGTCCAGTTCCATTGAAGCCGGTTCCACATTTGCATTGAAATTCGGGTAACAAGAATCTTTGTCTGACCGGTCCGCAAGTTCTTTAAATCGTTGAGACTGCGAGATACACAAATAAAGTGGTTAGGAGGCGTCCACAATTTAGGGCTGACACAGCGCGATGAAGCGTTTCAAGGACATTTCCAGACTCAGTATCAGGTAAAGCAGAAATTTTCATCACGTTTCAGAGTCATCATTCATCATTGTCTGGAAAGTTTATATCTTTGTAAAGGATAAAACGTAAACAAATGTAGCAAAGTATAAAATTTATCGCGATGTAAAGAGAACTCGCCTTTGGTGTCTCATACAGAGCAATTGATCATCAAAGATTGTGGATTATAAAAAGCTATCAGCTTAACCACTGTTTGCCAAATTATCTAAGGATAAACAAAAAACTGTTGGCATTGTTTCTACAAATGATATTTTTTATAAAAAACGTACCTCGTCTTTTGAAAAGTTTGGCTCCTTTAAAACTGCAGTGACGATATTAGAATCCTGCATCAAAACTCGAGTTGGTGAAACTGAGCCATGGATGCATCCTTGGTCATGAATGGCAACCAATGCGGTAAGAATACTGTGGAATATCGGAACGATCTCCTAAAACAAAAAGATGAACACGTGCACAGAACTTGTTATATAGGGTCGATCCTACTTAGGCTAATCCTGGTTTGATCAACTGTCCGATGCTTGGTAAACTGTCCACAAATTATCACAATTGGCAGTAAAGATTGATGCCTCGATTTAGCAATGATTCAGGGATATCAAGATTAATTTAAAGCACCATGTAAAATGCAAATTTTTGAGGTAACAGTACATATATATATATATCAAGCTACTGATTTTGCTCTCTAGCCTTCGCAGACATTGAAAAATAACGCAAAATGAATCAATGAGGAGTTTTTTTTTTGACTTTTAATCTGAGTTTTACTTAATTGCAAAGTTTATCAAAATAGTAGATCAAATCATCGCCAGAATAAGTTCACATCCTCACACCAAAATTTCTGACGCAAAAAGAGTAGAATGAAGTTGATGAAACTAGTATAGAAAATTCATTGCTACCTCTGGTCCTGGTTTTTGAGCTACAAAATCATTCAAATTTCCATAACCAAAGTAAGGTGTTTGCAAGTAAGCCTTTCGACCTGCCTGAAAACAAATAAAAATTGCAGCAAAACCCGTGTTTAGCGAAAACGAATTTTAAGAAGTTCAAATCAGGAAAAATTGAAAAAGTGACAGAACTGGAGCGAGTCAAGCAGAATTAACAGTTTGCAAAATCTGAAAATATGAAACATGTCATGATGATATTGTGACGATTATATGAATAACTTCGCTTTTAAAAATATTCAAGACCGTGTTTTTCAAAGCAAAAAAAGTCAGAGAAGAAATAACGAGTTTAGGGGATGCACTGGTTTGGAGCAACTGAACCACTGGCCAGAGAACAGAAAAAATTGACACATTTGTAAGAATCAAGCATATAAGAAACACAAGGCTCCAATGTGCTTATAAATTAAGAAATTGAGGCTGTTTTCACTTGAGAAATTCTGTTGGAAAACAAAGCAACATTATCGTTCCCACTATAGCTCACGTACGGTTTTACAAGTCATTGTACTTTCAAGCCATTGTACTTTCGAAAAATGTTTTCAAAAGATCAGACGACTTTTAAGCAAAAAGTTTTTAGATGAAAAATAGTTGATATGGCTGAATAATAACTAATAAAAACGTGCATGTGATTCCAGACCAGCTCAGCACGAAACATTTCGCATATAATCATCGCACTTCCATTGTAAGCTGATGGACTTCGTAAAAACATATTGTCATATATCAAATATCAGGACCCAAATGTTAAAATTCTTTATAACATATCCAAACGATCTAAATAAAAACCTTGTCTCACCTTATCGAAAAACAAAGCATCAAGTTGAACCGAATGCGCATGCTCTACCTTTCCATATGCAAACATTCTAGACTTTATTACATCTTTCGTTAACTCCCAATTCAAACAGTATTCCTGACAAAAAACAATCAGAGCATAAAATTTAAAAGGTATGTACTCTTTTTATAATCAATAACTGAGACTCTAGGACCCAAATATTTACAAAACAAGCTTGTCTCTTTCTTAAAATTCCACTAAAACCTGGCAAGGCACTTACACAAGACACTTGTTGCGAATCAATGACTCTAAATTTGTCTTTGATTATTGCCGTAATATAATTCTTTTAAAGAACTAGAAAACTTCTTCCGCTTACAGCCATAGCTAATAAAATCTACATTAGAAAAAGGCGAAGAACTCATCGTTCCCAAAACTCAATAAAATTCTAAAAATCCAGTCTAAAGGCGTGGTTTAGGCGTGGCAACAAGAACACACGGTTAGTCTTACAGCTGTATTTGAGAGCACTTAGCAAGGTTCATGATCAAATTCTGTAGCACCGTTATTACGAACGAACGACAAGAAACAGCAATGTGTGTGAAAATGACAAACCTTTAATACGCAATCCTTCTGGTTGAATTTGGTTTTGAATACGACCGGCTGTGCTGATGCGGACGAAATCAGCGGCAGAGAATGATGATCATAATGCTCAAGTTCGCGTGTTTGTAGAAGGCCGTTGCTTTCCTGCCAAAATAAACGAGTCCGTTTGAAAGATTGGCATTGCACCACAAAAAATGATTCACAGAGTAGCAGAATTGTTTTTGCGACCCGGCTTCAGTATCAGGTAAAGCAAAGTTTTCGTCACAACAGTCAGCAACCCTAACATTTCATCATTGACCGGGGATTCAAGAACTTTCGACCAATCGCTCTCAATACAAACTAAAGAACAAAAATGTGTTCACATACCATAAACGAGGTGATGCCAAGTTCTGGATGTCGAACTTTAAGCTCTGGGAAATGTCGCTCTGTAACTTGGCTCAAATCATGCTGTGAAATAAAAAAGACACTATGATAAAAACAAGCATATGACTAATTTCAGATGCTTCGAAAGTTTTTCGATTAACTTCAAGATGTTTGACAATTTAATAACAGAAGCACCATAGAAAAATCTAGAATCTAAAGAAAAGGACTTTGTACAACAGTGCTTGCAAATGTTAATATATATATATATATATATAACTAAACATTCTCATTTTTAAGAGATCAATTGAACGAAGCTAGAAAATCGACTGCTCTTTCATAAAAATTAGCGTTAGCCAGCCATTTTGAACAATTACAATTGGACATTGACTAAAAAGACCCACCAATAATCTCTTCTCCTCGACAAACATGCTGTGAATCTGATTTCTGAGTAATTCAATTTCATCCTCTATCTACAATAACAGTCAAAACATAATGATTGTCAAAATAGGAAAACTGAAAATTAGAAACAATGATGATAATGGTAAATATGCCAATATTTGAAAGAGGATCCTTATTGTTTGGCACTGAAAAAGTTTCACCTTATATTATTATGTATATCATCATCATTATTGGTATGAAAGGCTCCGGTCGTCACAACACCTCAAGAGGTAACCAATGAAAAGATGCTCTGACTACAATAGTATCTGTTACATACCAACATGCATCAATTAAGCATATATATACTAAGTCGTTAAGTTCCCTTGGTCGATCAATACAATCTGGACTTAGAAAAAACAAGTCAAAAATGGCGGCAACAGAATACACTTACTTTTGCGAGCTGATCACTCTCATCTGAATCCTAGAAAAGAAGTTTCGATGAGACAAACAATTCACACGCAAATACAGAGAACAAAGCAACGTATAGAGAAGCATGGATCCCACTTGAGTTAACCACCCCACTTGAGTGGGCTAGCCCACTTCATGTAAACAGGGGTAGATTTCCTTCATAGCAGCCGTTCACCGTTAATTGAAACAAAAAATAAGAAATAAAAAAGGAAAGGAACCTCTTCACAATCCTTGCGGTCTGCTTGCTTGTGTCGGAACTTTGATTTTAAGCTTTTCAGGGAAGCCTTTGTCTCTTTGAGTTTAGAAATATCTGGTTTGGTTGCTATCCACTTTTCAATCTCAATCTACAATGGCAATGCAAAGAAAAATTATCAGGAGATGAAAGGAATGAGGAGAGAACAAAATGAGAGACAACTACTTGGGTTGAGAACGCGACCGAAGAAGAATTTTAGTCTTGGCTAAAAAGAGCAAATTGAGGACTCACCTTTTTACCTTCATAACTGTCAATAAGTCTCCCACTAAAACAAAAAAGTACATAAATAAAGCGAAGGAGAAGATATCGTTGCCAAAAATGAGTATTGACAAATGAATTCTAATATTGAAAGGGAAAAACTAGATAGAAGAATATTTTTCTAGACAAATGAATCTGAAAGATACAATGAAGAAACAAGAAAAGTGAGAAAAGAAGACAAAATGAACGGAGGACAAAGCAGGGCAATGGCCCTAGAAATCAACCCGAGAGCTGTAGCCTGAGAAATTACCTAAGCGTTTCTATATCTTCAAGTTCTCCATTTATACAATGAATGAGCGATGAGACCAAATTTGAAATCATGCTTTTTCCCTCTGTGTCAATGTTCAATTCCTGGGAAAAATCAAGATTCCAATGTAAAATCGCTTCAGAATTCTTCTTACAAAATTAACAAATAGAAACATAATCTAGTAACATTAATTTATTACATTTTTCGAAAACTCATTCAATATTTTGGAATTTGGGTGCACTGTAAAACCACCACTCTATTGTGATATTACACAATCATTTATATTTTTCACTGGGCCATTATTAAAAAGAGTAAGTTGAAGCATAAGAACAGTAAAACTGTGATCAGCTAACTAAATGAGGAAAATGACCGAAGACGGTGCTGTTATAGAGAAATAAGGCAAATTGTATTGTTTTGTATTGTACGATTCTTTTGATTCTAGTTGTTATCATAGTTAATAAACGCTTATTCAGACTGACAGGAACCATTCTCATAGGTTTGATACGGTATTTACTGCAAATAGAAAATGTGCATATGTTTTCATGGAACCAATTTTTAATCAATCTTTTTCAGTTCTATTGAATTTTGCTGATTTGGTTACAACTGGAAGTGAGTTCCAGATTTTTGGCCTTTTGATGTAGTTTGCTTTGATACCACGATTGAATGAATGCACAGGATGCACGACTGAAAGGGAGGGGGTGGCTTGATCATTTAAAGATTTTCCAGTTATTTGTCTCTCCAAACGTTCTAGTTTATTATTACCTTTAACTTGGAGCTCTCTGCTGCCACCGCTTGCGAATACTCTTGCAACAGTTCGTCAACATCCCCCTGCTCCGCAGCCTCATTTCCAATGTCGACCAAAATCGGTTGAGCTTTTATGCTCAGTTTCTGGGATAAAAGAAAACGAAGGGATGAAAAATAGCAATGGAAAGATACGAAAATATAAATGACTTCAACGACATGAAAGACATGAAATATAAGTGGGAGCTAGATTAAAAGATATTTAAATATATAAAACATGAAAGATATAAAAATATTTCATGATTTTGTTAAGGGATCTTTTAATCTTAATTACTGCTATCTTTGAGGGAAAAATTTTTGTTTGAAATTGTTGCTTTATGAACAGGATTAGAATGTCATAACACTCAACCACAGACAAAAAGCAAGCAGGCCATTTACCATTTTTACAATCTCCAGGGTATTTGCCAGGGCCAGGCAGCAATGGTCCGCATTCCGTTGAATCTCCCTAACGTCGTCAATTTTGTCAGCCTTGGAATGAAGGGAACAACCATAAGAGAGAAGAACGCAAGAAAGAAACGAAAGAAAACGAAAGAAAATGACGACAGTCGTTGAATTATAAATTTACCAACAGCTATAAATTGTATGCATTTCCTGGATAAAGATCACGTTACAGTGCATTCTCGCTTGACAATGGTGAGGACATCAAGTCAGATAACAATTCTATACAGAAATAGTACAAACATGACAATGTAGAAGGTGTTTACTACACTTACACGCACCACAGCATGCAAATGCGAAAAGCCCTTCGTTCATATGCCCTTTCGCATTCCATTACAAAACAACCGATTGGTTCTGCAACATTATACAAAAGGGAACTACGCAACAACAACACCTGAAGCATGATTTCCATTGGAATCACGTGACAAAAAAGCAGAGAAAGTGGCTGTATGTACTCACTTTCCATTTTTCGTAGGCTTGCATTGCATCCGTCACACTTTGAGCTTGTCCTGGAATTTAAAGTACTTTAATATCACTTAAGTATCCAGAAGTGGAGAGAACATATCATGTCACAAAACAACAACCTGGCTAGCGAAGAATATCATGTACGAAAATTTGAAGTGGAAAGCAAGTCAGTTCGAAGAGAGGCCTAACCAACAAACTTTACTATCACTAAGCTTAAATCATCTTTGCTTTCAATTCCACCAGAACCTATTCTGGAAATTCCGTTTATCCGTACAGTGAATAGCATTCATACTGCAAGATTTTTCATAATATAAAAAACAGCCTTGTTAATGAAACAAACATTGGATTTAGCAAAGTCATTGAATCCTTGTAGTCAAAACCAGACGTGATTTGCAGTTTAATAAATTTTTCGGCCTGCAGATTTTTAAAGTTAAAACCTTATGAAAAGATGTTTTATTGTCACTAAGTAGGGACTTGGTTTGATTCTACCAAATGAATTTGACGTCTGCCTCACTTGGCACTTACGTAAGGTAGGGGTGCCGTGTTCCATAAAATTACTTATTATCCAAACGAACTTTGATTTATCCTATCCAGAACGCAGAAGTTGCATAAAAAGAAATGTTTTCACTAACCTTCATTAGACAAAAACGATGTGAACTCTCGTTCAATGTCATCCAAAAGATACTTTGGGGTAAAAGAAAGAAAGGGTTAAATACTGTCTTCTCATATCAGTAAGAAGCTTCTGTATATGAAAATGTAAGCAAAACATAGGTTTCTTGCAGAATCAGGTCTTAAAGAACAGCCAGTTGCTAAGAGCAGGCGAGTTGCTAAGATAGTATCCTATACAGCTGGACACCAAAGACATTTAATGTAAAGGTAAATTCCAAAGGTTGCTTTTTGAGGCACAACTTCCAGCAAATTGTATGAAATGAGAGGAAAACGAGAGTTACATAATCAACACTTTTGTGGCTCAGCAAATGTTTTGTTATCAGCAACAACAACTCAGAGAGATTCCCATTTGTTGTCATCACAGCCACACATTGATTATCAGGATTTTCTCGTGTTTAAAGAAGTCTCCCCACATTAAGAAATATAAAGACACGTGCAAAAATTCAAAACGTATAACCACAAATACCGCTAGATCTCCACGCCTTTCGTCAAAGTCCAAGCTCCTCGTTTCTGTCAGAAACGCATCAATTTCGTGTAAATATTTTTCTCTTTTCTGATCTCTTGCTTGAACGAGGCTGTCCAGTCCATCCTTTGTAACAAACATAGATTAAAACTGTTTGGAAATGCAACAATTTTACCAAGAAATAAAACTTCCAGTCAACCTCGTATTCAGTTTTGCAAAATCAATATACGTAAATATAAAATATCAGTAACTAATTATAACAAATATACTTTAGCAGCATGGAAGCTTACCCTAGATCAATCTTTTTCAATCCTTTGTTACAACGAAACGCTAATTAATTCACTTAATTATCAATTAATAACAGTTGTTTCTGTACAAATAAAATAGTTGTTTCAGAGAGCGTTGATCTGTCCAATTCTATGATTCAAGCCAATAGAAAGGTTACACTTTAACAAGCCCTGGGCCTTTAAAAACATACATGGACTCGTTCTTACCGCACCAGTGCAGCTTTTAAGACACGTTTGGCTTGATGATAGGTCTTCCTCAGCACTAAGAAGCTATAAGAGATAAACAATGAACAATGAATCCTATGAAATGATTAAAGATAAAAACGAAATGAGCAATCATATTTATATCTCGTACGAGAAGATGTAACGATCTATTTTATCAAAAACGAACCTTTTCGTAAGAAGAAATCTTGCTTAGTTTTATGGATTTGACGTCTTCAGTTAACAACTGAACAGCTTTCTTCAATGTAGGGTGCAAGGTCCCTTCCAAATGCAAATCATCCCGCAGGCTCTTCAAATCATTCACTTTCTGAATCATTTTCAAAAACTGCTCATTTACGACTGCGTTTGACATTGATCTCAGCTTTGAGTCAGCCAACGCCACTGACTGTTCCAACAGGCTGTTCTTCTGTTTCAGTGACCTGATATCCCCTTGCAGCTTTTCTTCGGCAGCCTTGCTCTTTTTGAGTTGCGCAGTCAAATCCTTGGAGAACAATTGAGTTCCTGTTAGCTATCTCAATCATAAGGGTGAAATACAGGAAGGAAATTGGCTTTAAACATTTACATGGAGCCCGGGGTCTCAGCAAAATTAATTTGCGTGTGAATGTTTGGAAAACTAATCAAAACATCAGTTTATGTGGTCGTATCAGAAAAATTCAGAGAGATTCCCACAGCTGAAATATGTCATCAGTTCCAACATAAAATCGTTTAAGCGTGTTGCAAAATAACGATATAAAAATGGAGATATGCTACTTCTTAAAACAAACTTCGAGTTGACTTTCAGTATAATATGAAAATGATTTCTTGAAAAATTTAACAAAAAAATCGCTAAATCGATTATTACGAGGCAGAGAGCAAAGAAACGCAAATTTTAACAAAGACATTTGAAAATTCTCAACGAAGACATACTGCTAGTTGATTCTTAAGTTCATCGCTTTGTTTATCGTGGATACCATTGGGAATCGGGTTGGTGATCCTTGGGGATCTGAAGACAAAGGGTCATTGTTGATGACTTCTAAGCTTAAAGGTTCTGGGAAGAGCCATTGCAAAATCTCAGGTGAAAAAGAACGATTCAGAAAGCAGTGTAAGATTCTCATCAGAGAAAATCAGAGAGATTCCCACAGCTGGTATCTTCATCATTATCGTTTATTTACTTGTGTCAAAATTAACAAAAAACTTGACTCTGTATTTTAAAATGAATATCATTTGATACAGTAGAATAATTCAATTAACTACATTTCTTTTTATCTGTTTCCTCATTAAAACATTGAAATTTAACAGCATCAGGTACGAGAAAACTTCAAAATATTAGAGGACGAAATATCATTACTGAGGCATATACATAAATCTTCGACTCTTTCAAGAGACAGAAAATGCAGTCTAGGTTAAAGAACCAATTCAAACACACACAAAATTTACCTCAAAGGCTGCAGGACCTTCTCTTTTGGCGGCTTCTAAAAAAATCAAACTTGCAGAATAAAAAGCTGAAATAGTCCACACTCTTGAGACAAAGCTAACAATAACATGATCAATAGGTGGCTCAGCAAATGTCTTGTTATCAGCAACAAAAACTCAGAGAGATTCCCATTTGTTGTCATCACAGCCACAATCTATGTTCTATATACAAATAACTACGTCCTCCACAGTTAAGATATGCCCTCGCGAAGTATGAATGACTTATAGAGTTAACAAAAAATAGCCTTTGGAAAAGTATATCCAAAAACAAACATTCAACTCAAATATCAAATGAGGATGAAAGGTAAAACTTTGGGCATACAAACATAAATACAAAGGTATAATGTCATTATAATATGCAAAATGATTTCCAGTTGTAAGTGGCCTACAGTGAACTTTTGGGATGCTATGCAATGACTACCTTTTCAGAAGCAACAGCATGGCCACTAATGATTAGATTCTCAATTATGTCTTCATTTGTGGCAACAAGCGTTGCCTTCGTAACCTCATTGCTACCTAGGGTTTGCAGAAAAAACAACACTCACATTGGGAAAAAGCAAATTGGAAAAAGGGAATGAAATTGTTCACAAATATAGCACTTACAAGGGTTAAAAATCAAAAGCAACTTCAAGGTTATGTTGAGGGATAGAATGTAGCAAAATTTGAGCAAGTAGCAGATGTTTTCATTGATATATTCAAAGTTTCCTTTGCCAAAAAAAAATTGTTTGCACTCTATGTGAATAAAATTAAAAATTTATAGCATAAGAGTAAACAACATTTCACATGTACCAAAAAAATTTTTCTCTCAAAAATGCATGCTAGGAACCAAGTTCTCTTTAAAATTTATAATTTACACCAGGTTTATAATTTAAAAATGTCACCAAGGGACTTTTGTGAACCAAACCTCAACACCAACAGAGCCAGGATAATATCTTTCTGATTGGGCACCCTAGCCAGCCAGGACAGAGAAGAGTCTCCTAGGTCAGAGTACCTATAAATCACTTAATTATAATGGTTTGATAAAAGATTAATGTCTTGGACTAACCTGACTCAATCAAGAGGTTCACCATCTTGTCAAAGACATAATCTCGCATATGATCCAAGCCCTATCAAGATAATCATATACATCGTGGTTAGTTACAAATCATCCACCATGTTTTTAAATTGCTGACATAAAAGACATTGAACAAAATCAGATCATATTCTCCTAAATAAACATCAGACTCACTTTCTTGAATTCCTCTGAATTTTCATCTTCATTGATTGGTTTTATCCTCAAGTTGTACTCTTCTGCGCAGGGCGGCATGTGTGCAAGGGATGACGTCAGCTCCACTAAACTTGCCTCATCGACAACCTCACAGTTGCCATAATCAATGTAACTGATTTTTACCTAAAGAAAATATTGGATGAACTGGAAATTTGAATGTTGTTGAGTAGAGATATCCAAGCTATAGCTGAATTAACGTTGTAAATATGAACCTAAATTTTCCAAATACGTTGGATAGCACTATTTGCCACCATACCACAAAATGCTACCAGCAACAAAAATTGAGATGTACGAGAATGATATATTTCATATATCACAGCAATTGTATACCAAATGCGTCGTTACAGAAATGACAAAGAGATATAAATGAACACCTTGAGTATTGATGTCTAAAATACAACATTTAAAAACTGCAATGTGACTCAAAAATGAATTGATGTAGAAGTTTTAGCATTTATCTCTTTAAAATACTTTTCAATAAATACCTTAGAATCAGTGAGTCTTTCATGAACTTTGCATCGATACCATTGATCATCAACAGAAAACTTGCAGCCAAAAATCTTGAAATCAAAAACAAAGGGAAATTTAATTAAATACTACACTATATAACTAGCTTGAGGAGTCATGGAAGTTTCTCCATCTCAAAATCAGAGAAGCATTTATATCATAACTCACATCCCATTTTTGACATCACATCAACATCACAAACTACTGGACATCCCATTTTTGAGACTTGAATAATTATGACTTATATCAAGATAAAGGACATCTTGACTATATCAATGAACAGAAATGAGCATTGGCCAGCAGAGCAGTGTGGCCAAATGAAAGCCAGGTGGTGTTTCGAAACATCTTGAGAGTTGACAAATGAATTGACTTTTGATTCCCAATTATTTTTCCGTTTCACATATATAATTAAGTATATCAGAAGCAAAAAAATAAATCAATTTTTAAAAGCAATAGCAAAACTCACTTTCAAGTAAACATAAATTGCACCCAGGAAAGATGGAACTAACACAGGCCTTGGGAAGCAGAATGAAAGGAAAAGGATACAACAATAATGAGAAGAAATCTAAGGATGTAAGAGTGATTAGCCACAACAAACAGTTCAAAGATTCACCTTAGAATATGGAGGCTGACCAGTGACTTTGTGTGCCATCCTGCATTCACTTTGAAGTTCTTCCGATAACCTGTTTATTCTCCTGGCATTTTCTTCTGATACTGGCTGAGATAAAAAATTAACATTTATAGATGTAAAGTACTCGCTCTTATTGAGGTAAGCTCTGAAACTTAAATATTCAAAATAAATTGTTAAAATTTCAGTACATCTTTAGAAAAAACGAGAGAAAGTAGAAAAGAGCTTTACCTGTGCCCAGATCTTTGAAAGATGATCAACATGAACAATGATAACTTTTTCCTGTAAAAATCAGCATCAATGCCTCAATATTGCTGCATTTGCAATTATAAACTGAAATGTTAATAGAAAATAAAAACAGAATTATCTTTAAAATGTATTTAAATTTAATCTTGTGTAAAATTTCAGCAAGGAAAGTAGTGCTTTAATGGATCAGCCTTTTTTGTTCCTATTGAAAAACTTTCAAAATCATTTTGCAAGCAAAGTGGTTATTTCATTTCAATGCTATGGATTCTGTCTATGTTAAAACATATGAACCTGAAGATTGTGTATACAGTATATTTCCTTTCTTGAAATATTTTCCTTAGGAGGCTGATAGGTATCCTATTCCTTAATTAAACTTAATTTTGATGTAAATTTTGAACAAAGCTTACCTCAGTTAGTTTCTTAAAACCAGATGAAGCCAGGCTTGGATTACTTTGTTTGCCTAAAGGAAATTATAATATATATATATATATAAAATATATAATATATAAAGTTCAATTCATTTCAAAATCACTGTGTTGACAATGGATAGGAAAATGAACTGCTACAGAAATATCACATCACATTACCTAATTAACAAAATACCATGAGATAGTTATTGACTGGTAGTATGTGGAACAAATCAAAATTTATATTGATAAAGATACAAACTCACTTGCAGAATCAGCACTCTCATCCCAAACACTATTGTTGTATGAAACTTCATTTGGACTGCCAAATCCATTCTTTGGGAAGGACTCATTATTGACAAATCCAGTTCCTCCAAAGCCCTTAAAACCTGTGCTACTTCCCTTTGTTACACCTGGTGATTTGAACCCACCCAAACTACTACTGCTACCACCACTCTCAGAGCCACTAGAAAAACAGAGAGAAATAATTTAATTGATAAATGAGGAAACTTGCATTTGAAACTATAAAATTCTATTTTGAATTTTTTGAAAACAGTTTGTAATTTACTATTAACCTAAAAAGAAAAATGTTTAATAAAGTGATCTACAAAATTTGCAGAAAACAAAAACCAGTTCACTGCATCAAACTACAATGTATTTGTTCTCTTTCTTGTAGTTCATATAATAGTTCTCCTTGGACCTTTTTGACCTGCCATCAAATTGACCAGATTCCATTAAAGTGCAAATTTTTTTTGAACAAGATGCAAGTGACAATTAGGGGCATCATAGCATTTCACACACAGAATAGACTGAAAAATGCCAGCCAAGCTGGATAAATAAAATCATTTTTGTGTAGCATATTTTTAAAAGCCTGACCCTTACCTGGTTGATCCTTCCTTTTTACGATAGTTAACCTACAACAAAATTAAATTCATTTAATGTTATTTCAGTTTCAATAAAAATGGATGTTGGAACACAGAGAATGAATTTTCAAACAGACCTAGCCCCTGAGCAACAACAGTTTTCACAATTAATCAATGAAGGTTACAAGTAATCAATGTTATATACAGGGGTAGACATTTGGTCAAATATGGGGGGGGGGGCAAGCCCATTGTTTTCTCCATGTCACATTCCCCCTTTGTTTTAGAACAAAAGACCATTAACCTCCAAGGTATTTGGGGTTGACTGCTCCCTTGCCCCCAGGTGTCCACCACTGGTTACATACATAAGACCTTTCTATAACATAGAATTTAACATTAAGCTGGAGGGGGGTTGGGGTTGGTTGTAAAATCTCAACATGGTCTGTCCAAGATTGTAGATAGTTAATCTCAGGAAAAACTGCCATTGAATGCTTTAAAAAAATGCTGAAGCTATTAATGGCAACACTAAGGCTTTTTTCCAAGAAGATTTGTTATTACATAAAATTAGATGGAATCCATGCTTAAAAATAAATACAACTGAATAAAAGTGAAAGATTTTGAAATCACCAGAATTTTGCTGTCTCCAAGCTGATGATTATTCATGTAACGCACAGCACAAAGAGCATCTGATTCTGTGGCAAACTTTATGAAGCTGAAAATATAAATGGATGTGATGCTTTCAAGGAAAAGCAAAACAACAGTGAAGTGATAAGTCTGCAAAACAACAGTGTTTATCAAGTCAAAAACAAAACATCTTAAGCAAATAGCTGGCATGATTTTCTGGTAGCTGACATTCCTTAATCTAGACATACTGCGTGATTAAATTGAACACAATGAAGGAAAGAATTAAAATATTACAAAGAAACTTACGCATAGTTTAGAGTGTGATCTCCTTTTCCTGGTTTCACACTGACACCTTTGACTGTGCCAATAGCATCAAACAGTTGTCTTAGCTTAGGCTAGAAGTCAAATTAACAAGCTAACAGTGGACATCATTCATTCTATTCCAGTTGGCATTTCATTGTCAAAATTTAATGCCAACTGTCAATGTTGCATTCAAGATAAGCTCTGAGCATGATTTAAATCAGTGGCAGACACCTTTGGGGGCAAGGGGGGGGGCGACCTCCCCCAATCCTTTAGAGGAAAATGATCTTTTCTCATAAAACAATGGGAAATGTGACGTCATCTTATTAAAACAATAGGCTTGCCTCCCAATATGTTACCAAGTGTCCATCCTTGATTTAGATATCACAACAGGATAATTTTGCCAAAGGATCAGTTGACAAAATATTTTGAAAACAGTTTTGATATGTTCTGACCAGCAGGTAATTACATTATGAAGTAAAAAATTGGTTTACACTTTGCCTTTGCAAAGGGCATACAAAAGACCGTTCAAAACATGAAAGCTGGCGAAGGAAAAGTGGCTGGATACAAACCGTACTAAAACATGATAGAAATGTAAAAACAACAGCTCATTCACCTCAGCAAAGGCTTGCTCTTGTCAAAGGTGGTCTTGTTTTGGACAACTGAGCTTGTTCAACCGAAAATTTGGATGCAAAAAGGGAGGTAAATTGAGGGGTTTTAGTTAGACTATCTTAGTTCTTTAGTATATCTCTATATATATATCTGCTGTAATTTATGACATGATTTCTTTGAACAATTTACTAAACAAAATTTTCAAGCTTCTCTACTTGTAACTTATCAAAACTGCTAATAACACTGTAAGGATGGGTGGCTGTAATAAAAAAAGACTCTATTAGGGTATCAATGAAAAGGCATTCCCTGGGCTAAAAAGGCATTTAATGGCTTAAAATAAATATATGTATTTGTAGAAACTGAAATCACATCAGTTTGTGCTTGTGGTAAAATTATGTTTGAATCCATATTTATATAAATAAATTCTTTAGGATGCATGTTGAGATCAAACCACAATTAAAATTTGGGACCAGACCATTATCATTAAGGCAAGTATTTAGAAAAGCCACAAAAGATTACAGAGAATAACCATGACGCCCTGCATTTACTGCTTGTGGGACAAGACCTGGGCACAGGTCTGTACTCTCAAAATCAGGCCTCTCAGTTTGAGGCATGTGATTGCCTTTGTGTATCCTACTTAAAGGCCTGGTGGGTATTATTGCTCCTAACTTTCAAAAAAATTTAAGTGAAAATTGAGAACATCAACAAACAAAATTGAGAGCATCATTTTAAATTCAGTGTGGCAAAAAATCAACATTTCAATGGAATGATATGCTTTTATGATATGTTCATGATATACTCTGCTGGTTAACAATTTCCATTGACAACCAAATTTTAATGAGATATCTACAGCAAATACTGAGTCTTTTCTACCCTTTGGTACCACCACAAATTGGTGTACATCATAATTCTTATGAGTAACAACTAACACTCTTTGTCATATAAGGCCTAATCTACACTATTGAAATGTTGTTGATGTCTTTTTCCTGGCATTGAAGATTCTAATAAGGAGTTTCACTTTCTAACTAGTGATTCAATTGCAACAATCAATTTAAGTTTATTGATATTGTGCTTCTGTCCAAGGAAGCAAGGCATTGTCAAGCACACTGACAATTTTCCAAAGTGCAGAGCCAAAAAAATGGTTCTCTCAGGCCTGGTCATCAGACTTTTTTAGGGGAGCAGTAAGCAGCTCTCCTAGTAATTTCCAGGTGAGATATTTGTAGATGAATATGAATAGAAACAAAGGAAAAATTGATTTTAAGAAGAGCAATTTAGGAGAGCAATATTTAGCACCCAATATGGTCACCTGCTGTGCCACAAAGGCAGGGCAAGGGAAGTCAGTGGGCCAAGGAGGGTAAATAACACCTTCCACAAGAGATTTCTTACCAAAAAGAACTTGTAGCGATGTAGTTTATAATCAGTTCTATCTAAATCTTGCATATATCCGCCAGTTATTTTGAAAAGTTGCAGTTATTGTGATTATAGCATTTTGTGCAAACTTAGACCATTGATGTTGCCATGGAGACTTAACCTTGCTCATCTTGAGCTCCTCTCCAACATAGAGGAGAGCCTGGAGGGGAGCAAGAGCTGTGGTTCTCCTCAAACAGCTAGACCTGCTCTCTATGATGGTTTATTAACATACAGATAGAAAACTTTACTGCTAGCATGTCATATGTCTATGTTCATTATGTGTCTTAGTGTGTGAATTTATGTCTGGCTCACACCTTTCAGCCTGTCTATACAGTTTGGTCAGGCATATAAAAAGGTTCTTCCATATCCCATGTACTTTTCACACAGACCAATGTAATGTTCCTGGGCAAAATACTTTACAGTCTGGTTTGAGCCCATTCGACTATCAAGAAACACGGTACCCCCAATTCACCCCTTCCATTCTAGAGACAGACTTGAATTGGGAAACATTCATTAAAGCAAAGAAAAATTAAACAGTTCATTACATGAAAAAGCTTTGGTAGGGGGGACTTGATCAAATTTGAGAAAAAACAATTAAGAACAATTTTGATGGCACAGAATGTTTTTTATTAAAACTTTTCCTTTTTTCGCCTAATTAAAAAACCATTTGGCAAAAAATCACCCAGTTTTCAAAGTATCACTAACCTCATCATAGTCTGCAGGAATTCGTGCAACATAAACATCATACGACTGCTCAGAACCAACTTTGTTGGCCATTGCTGCAATAGAAAGTTTCAGAGTTTCCTTATTTAAATTCGGAGACTAATTTTAGTTTTCGGTGGAAGGTAAATTTAAATATCAATCTGTAACTTTGAAGCAAGCCTACGCGGGGTACTGTTTGGGTGTTATAGCTTTATGTTGTATATTGCAAAAGCCATTTTTTATCTTGCATTACAAAATGATCTATGCTTCGATTATCCCCGCAGTTCAAATTGATTCTCTATCTACGAACGTTGGCAGAAAGGGGCCTACATTTACAATGGCATCCCAAGAATTAACACATCACACCATCTAATTGACAGTAAACTAGTACACTGTTTAGAAAATCAGTTCAGCATCTGCCAACTTACTGAAATACTAACTTAAATAAAGTAAAAAAATGAAGTTCGTACCGTTTCACACACGCTACTCCCCAGGCATCTCTGAATACCATGTGCCTGACCAAAGAGGTGGCCCACATGGTTGTTACGCATGCGTAGTTGTGCGAGGCATACAAGCTAGGCCCAGGCCTTCGTTAACCAAAGCACGTACAAGGGAAATTTGACCCGACGACGGATCGTCCCGCAAGCAACTTTCTACTGGCCCGCATTTCTTGCAGGGGCGTCGCCAAAGGGAGTGCGATACCCTGTTTGTACTCAGCCTGTAACATTTTGCAACAATTATAACGTATTAAAATTTCTGTAGCAGTTGAACTTTCAAAGCATGGCTAGCACTAAAGTATGAACTTTGAAACAGACACGCATGAAAGCAAAATATAAGAGTATTTATATTTTAACCACACTCTTTAAGAGTGACACACGCTCTTGGCTGAGATATGGCCGCTTGAGCACAAGCTCATGCCCCATCAAACCTCTGTAATTTGGTCTTGGTTCATGACTTTATGAACCAGGCCAGAATAACAGTAATCCGTTAGCAAACTTGAAATCTTTCATTGGCCATATCTCGCCCAATTTGGAACATACTAACTAATTTTGCACATTGAGAGGTATTTTATGCCGTTCTTTCAGATTATGCGGCCAAATTTAAGAAATTCTAAACATAGGTCTTCGGTACTCTATTGTATTTACTGTGTTTTTTGTCCCATATACGTCATGGCGTCGCAAACCCCGAGATGGTCTATTAAGGCAAAATTAAGTAACTTTTTGGTACCACACGTAATCAAAAAGAGGTCCAAAAAATAAATAACTTTGAGGTCTTGAGGCGTATATTCCTTATAAAAATGTTTTCGACGTTACAAGAATAAGTCTTGGAGTCAACCTGCAAATGATCTTTATTTGGGAAGCACATGGAAACACTTAATATCATCAAGTACAAAGATTTATATCTAAAGGAATATGGTGTTACAGATACTTTGGTTTGAACAGAGCCATTGCCGTGCCGAATTTCCGTTACTGTCACTCTGTATCGGAAATTGTTTTGCATGCCTTGAAAAACCTGCAGAATTACGCTGATAGCAGTCACACTGCTGCTTTGAAGCACTTCAAATCTTTAAATAACCTCTTCACATCTTTGAAACTCACCTACTGTGAAAAAATTTTGATCAGGCTCAAATAATAGAGGAAACACTTACAAAAATCCTCTAGACCTTTCAGAGACCAAATTCAAGATGCACATTCAAGCATTTTACATTGTTGTTTTTTTCCTTCTCAGAGCTTAGTTTTTTTATTTTACCTTTTGTAATTATTTCCTTTTAGATACAATATTAAATTTTGTATGTTTTTGCCAAGGCTTCCTTTAGAAGGATTTTTGTAGACGGATCTGCCGTTTATAACGAATACAGAATGTCTGTTTACAGAAAGAGAGCAGCCCTAAGAATAAGGATCAGACCCATAGCACTGACTAGCCGATCATTTAACAGAAGGTATCTAGCTCACCTGCTAAGTGATTACACCTTGAAAATCAATCAATTGTAACATCTTCATCGCTAGTCTCGAGAGACAAATCAATCAAAATCACTTCTTAAATCATTAGAACCAACCAACGAATCAAATGAATCATAGTTTAATCGACTCAGAGCGAATTGACTTAAAAACGAATAAACAATTGGAAAAAGGTACGTACGGTTTCCTAGCAGTATTTGAAACGGGTTCGTAAGTGTCAATTGTGAACAAAAAGCTAGACAAAAATAAAACATTAGAAGCGATGGTGCTCAGATTGAATGCAACAGGTCAATCTGAATTAATAACGTACAGGTATTCAAACATCCCTATGAAAAAGCTTGGTGTGCTTATGAATTCAGATCAATTCTACAGCAATAGATGAAACGCAAAAGCGAAATATCTACGCCGCTTTAGATGCTGTTGTTTGGGTCCTTTTCAGCCCGAGTCGTTTTGGAAAAGCAGCTTGGAGTTTTGCTGACGGAAAGAAGTAAGTTCATTAAGAGTGGTTATAAATAGAAAAATTATTATGCAAAGAAGTTTATCTAGAGTCAGGCAAAATAAAACGATTATTTGCAACGTAAAATGTCTTGGTGGGCATAAAAGACCATTTTCGTCTCCGGCATTTAATGAAATTAGTTTAATTTCAACATTCAGTTTTCAAATTTGGTTTTGGTATTTTCAAAGCTATCGCCTTTTCAAAGCTGGTATTATAAAAATATCAAAATTAAATCATTTACGCCTATTTAGGCCAATTGTTATCCTCAGTTATGTTTAATAAGATTGTGAACAATTTTTTTGCGGTACAGAATTTGAAAATGGTATTGAAATGTATTAAAACCTGTTCTCAGTTTCAGCCCAGGGGCGCTAAGGACATCAGATGAGGAAAAAGGTTTTGCTTATAGACTTTATATAATGAAAGGATAAATCTAACTCAAATGATTCCAACTTAGCTTAAACGAGTGGACAAAAGTTAATCGAAGTATACGACACAAAAGGCCCTTAGTTTGTGCAAAAATATCAGAAGCATAAGAAACAAATTGGGATTTACACGTTTAGGACATTTCCATTTGAACATGGTACGCTAAAAATTGGGCATTTATTCGTCTATCAATTTGTTTCAGGAAAACTTGAAGATGGGAATCAGAGCTGTGAAAGATAAAAAAGATAAAGAAGCGAAACAGAAAACTAGAAAAGTTGTAGTTGAATTCTTGGTGCATTTTTTGTTTACAATTGTGAGGTACGGTATTCAGAGTGCAGTCTTCATCGATGGGCTAGCTTTTGACTCCCGAATTCGATTAAACCTAGGCCAAGTGTCGTTGCAACATGGCATCAACACAACAAAAACTGTATATTATTGCACAAAACATTGGTGGAAAGCAGATTATATCTCTCAACAAATAAACTTCTATCGTGGAGTTACATATACATACGGATTTGTTGTTGTGCTCTCGGCCATAATTGCCATTATACATAATTTTGTTTGGCTACTCTTATTATGCCGGACTCAGAAGGACCCTGATTATCCTGAAACAGATGGAAAGAATCTAGTCAAGTTTGTACGGATAAAATTGTGCTTCATAGAAAACATTGTGCATGACATACCACTATCGGTGTTGGCAATTAGTGTGTTCGTGTCTCGTGTTGGTGCAAACGGTTTAGCTTGCCTCTTGTGCACTGTCAGAACTGATTGTACTGAAAAGGAACAACTTCTTCGCATGATCTCCCCCGCAGCTGCAGCCGTCGCGGCGTCACTTTGCGTCATCAGCCTTACCACAGCATGGAGAGGCATAAGCGTCTTCTTTAAATGGAGCTACACCAAGGAATGCCCACTTGTCACGGTTCGCGGCTGTGCGTCAGTATTCGCTGGACTTATTTATGCAGTCTTAATCTTAACACCCGCCTTTTTTGCTATCAAATATCAACTCTTTTCGTTGGCTGTTGTAGCTAAAAGCGTCGGTGAACTCGTTGGACTGGTCGATAAACTCCTGATTGTAGGAGTCATTGCTTGGGTTCTCGTTCTCTCTGTCTTGTGTTGTTGTCCTTTAATCAGGGCTATCAGTTAACAGCCAGATTGCTCACTTAATACCACAAAAGGTATGAAAATATATGCATCATTGGCGGGATTTATCCGTATTCATAATAACATTTATAGTGACTGATGGAAATAGAGGTAAAGATTTACAAAACCTAATCTAGAAATTGGGTAGATAAGTCATTCTTCATGCAACAAGTGTTTCCTTCGGGTAATAATGGACGCTTATGAGAAACATTCCATTTATTCAAAAGGATCGTTTTTACTACATTTGACGTTCGGTGGAAAGTTTAACATTCAAGAATTGAAAACATTCCTCAATGAAATGCAGCCTTCTAATAGGCATTATTGTAAAGTGTCTTATAAAAAAGATGCCATAAAAACGAATGTATATATATTTGAAATGCATGTTTGTCATTCAACTCTATGCATTGTTTCCATAAATACAGAATACATAGGTCAACAGTGTCTCTATACGAAATAGTAAGTGTATCTGTAAAATGCGTGTATACGAGTAGCGTCTTGGAGCTGATGAATCTCCTTTAAATGAATGACTGCAGTAAAACATTAAAATCCAGGTATAAAATCTACTTCTGGCAATTGTAAAAAGTTTTACTTTTTTATCTTTCTTGCCATTCCCATCCATTTTGCATACGTTTCAGAGTCCATTATTGCTTGAATGCTTAAAGTGTTACCCTTCTCATAATCGGTGTTCAGCACCGTTGCATGATGATGCAGCCAACTAAAAGAAGCAAATGACACGCCGGGCACAAAATATACAAAAGCAGCTTTAACAGATTGTAGCAAATAGGAAAGCATAAACCATTTAATGTAGAGCTTCCTTAACTGCAGATGGCTTTTAGGGTTGTCTTTTCACCAGTTATCATCACCACATTATACATCTTTATTCCTAAGCAGTTACTCATATACACATTAATATCCTATAGTTATTCTAATACAGCATAAAATTCAATACAAGACAAAGCATTTCAACTTCAGGCACCAGGGATCTGCTCATGAAACAGACAGGAAGAGCCTTGTGAAAGGGGTAACAAAAATTTATCCCAATGACCTGCTTTTTATCTCTATTTCATAAAGGCACTTTTAAACTCCACTACCCCAATTAGCTGAAGACAGGGGGTGGCTGTCCCTACGGCCCCCATGCTGTATGCATTCTTGCCAGATACAATGCCAACAGTTTCACTTCCACAAATCACAATCAAATACAAAAGAAACATTTAGTTATAAGAAACTGATTATTGATAAATTATCCAAATTAAGCGTGTGGTTCTATCAATGGCCTTCTTCTTCATATTTCAATACCTTGAAAAAGGCTAAGCTTGGCTTTATGGTAATAGATCAGATCAGATCAAACCAGACATCAGATCAATTCTCTGATGAAGCACTGTATGCCGGGGCAAAATATCAGTATTCGTTTAATTTAATTAATTTCGAAAATTCATCTCATTGGATTATCGTCGTCGTTTTGCTTTGGTTTTGGATTTTATTATCAGATCAATATAATGGGAGAAAACCCTACCTTAAGAGTGGTCCTTGTGGGTCAACTTCAAGTGAATATATCCTCCTTTCTGTGGCATCAAAAACTTTGTTTTCAACAACAAATTTTAAGTCCTCTATTCCATTTCCCTTTAATGCAGACACAGGGACACTATCATTGTCCTCATCTGGTAGTGAATTTGCTCCTTGCCTGAGGGAACAATAAGTAAAGCTGCTAAGTTTTCAAAATGTAATTAACATCGAAAAATGTCAAATGGTATTTCTGAGTCGAGCATAGTGGAGACATTGTGCATGCAGAACAAAAAAACATATATTTGATCAGGCCTTCCACGGAAAGGTGTGCGATCGCACTCGCAAGCGCTGGTACATGCCTCCCCGCACTGATAAGTGCATTTATTTGCACGCCTGTTTTATAATTATTCGACTTTTTTACCAAGGCGCTGGAAACTAACAAGGTGACAAAAAACAAGAAATTGTGTTTCAGCGGTCTTGTCCACCGTACTGGGTCATCGTAATCATTTTGAAGAGCTGTTGTGACGACACTTGTATGAAATAAAACACGGACCAAATTACCATAGCATAAAGGCTAGTAGCAGTCCGGTAAATTTCACTCTTACCTCTAGGGCTACAGAAATAATTATTATATGAAAATTGGCATTCATTTACTAGTCCAGTGCTCGTAAAAACTAACTCGAGTTTTACTATAGACATGTCTTAGCATATACATGTTTCTAAAATACCATTTTCGAATAGTAAATTAAGTTTAATTTTTTTACAAATGGCTTCCAGTTTTGACTAGACTTTGAATAAAACACAACTTGTGTGGTATTTCCTCTGATCTACACTCTTAACTTTTGTGTCTTCAGCAAAGAAAAGTAAAGGAGTCACAAAAGAGCTCTCCACACTCCTGAATGTTCAATGGTTACACTTGAAAACAGAACGACAAGGCTCTGGATTTAAAGAGAGGGAAATCTGTAATATAACTGCTCTGGTTCAAGAGTTTGCACTGAAAAGTTTCGTGCCGTTTTCAAATCGTGCTTTCTTTCAAAATTGTTTTCATATCTCTTTTGATGAAACACGCTTGAAAGTGGGGAGTAAACATATTTTAAGGGTTTAATGAAGGCTGCCGCCATGGCTGGTGGCAAGAGGGATTGCCCTGAAACTGCATCTAAAATATTTTCAACATCAGTTTAGACTTTGTAAAGACCCCATTGCCACCAGAAATATTAATTTTTGCGTATAAGAACTGAAGAAATGACTTAAGAATCCATGTACCATGTTATTAAACCTTTGTAGAAAACACCAATAGCACTCCATCACACGTCTATGACAGCCTAGGGGTACAGAATGCCACGCTTGTGCTAATTTATTCCCAGGAAGGCCTGTATCCTTAAAAACAACTTTAGCATTACCTTGCTAGAGAAATTTTAAAATAAAATGCTTTTACTAATGTTCTCTAACAGCATTTTTGATACAGATAAATTTCACATTTTGAAATGCTTTGTGTATTGGCAAGAGTTACCCTAGAACTGAAAGTTTTCCAATCTATATTTTTCAAATGCCTGAGAAAAAGCCTCTTATGTTTACAATGGTTTATATTTATTTTCAATGCAAAATATCCATACTGCGGGTTATACTTATAATACGCTATCAGTACAATACAAAGATGCAAAAACCATTGGTTCTCTATATTCAATACCTTAAATCAGCTTTATTATGAACCTCCACCATGTTTTGCAATAAGTTGGCATCAACCTCAAGATTTTGCAGTACCTGCATGACACTCTGCTTCTGCAGCTCATATTCTGGATTTGTCATATCACGCACATGCACAAGCAATGTCTATTAAAGATAAATGCCTTAAGTCACATAATTACACCTTTGAGACATTTTAATAATAAGACAGTTTCAAGCATACAGTAAGAAATTATGCACCTTCAGGTAAACAAAGATCTGCTCCCAGAAACAGTATAACATATCATATTTGAATATAAAAATTGTTTCGAAAAAAGAACAAACAAGACACAAAAAACACTCACAAATACTTTGATTGACCAATTCAGTTTTCATTGGACACTGTGGTTCTCATTGTTAAAGATGTGAAAAGAATTCTTCAGTTCAGAGGTATTGCTATCTAACCTACTAATGACTGGAAAAGCTATGGGTAAAATCCCCAAAGAGGCCTCTCTGAAATCTTATTTCCTTTAGAATTGGCTTGGAAATGACAATCCTTATTGAGTTTGAATTAAAATTTATGGTAAGGCAGACTCTTCCATCTTTTAGCAACCCACTACAAATATCTTAATATTTATTACAAAAAAGAAAACTTACAGAGTTTTTAACATCTTCAAGTGTGGCTGAAAATGACTGAATAAGCTCATGTGGTAGATCCGATATAAAACCAACTGTATCAATATATATAACCCCAAGACCACAGGGTAGTTTTCCTCTATGAGCAGTTGTATCAAGTGTAGCAAATAGCCTGTCTTCAGGCTCTAGTTTTGCATCTCCAGACAGCGCCCTTGCTAATGTTGTTTTACCTGGAAAGAAAAACAAAGCCTGATAAGAAATTAAAATAATGTGGGAAATCAGCCTCTTATTAGGTAAAAACTGATGCATGTTCTTGCTTGGAGGAAAATCAATTTTCAGAGATGGTTTTAGAGAGCCACCACTATCTACCAAAGGGATTAGGCAAATGATAACAGTTTTACAGTTTGTTGAAGGTATTTTGAGGACACAAAGAAGCTTTGCTCATCAGGCAATGTTTTTTACCTTCCTCTTGACAGGCCAGAGCTGGTGACTATCCTTCCTAAACCCTAAGATCTGCAGTCCATAACCATTACCACTTGCCAAAACCATAACTATCTATTAAAGGGTTTGGCAAACGAGGGTAGGATGCATGTCATCCAATCAATCAAGGATTCTTATCATTTCAATGATTAAGCTGCAAGGTATTGCTACACTGGCAACATTCCACTTGGAGTTGTCAGTGACAGGAAACAGGACTAGCTGTGTGACTTCTAGAAGGAGAGTAGTTTAATCTCCTTATAAAAGGCAAGAAGGTGACTTTGAAATTGTTAAGTATTTTTTCCAACAAGTTTTTTTCTGACAGTTATACATTCTTGGAGCTACAGTTTACCCTTATTACATGGAGAAAGTATAACAGAATGAGAACTATGTTAACATCGCCAAGTTTGAAAAAGCATCTTGTTCGGTTAAATGAAAACTTCATCACAAAAAACAAAAGAAAAATAAAAAAAATTAGCAAATTCTCACTAACTCAATAAGAGTCTCTCTTTTCTTCTTTGTAAATCATTGGACAGATTCTCCTTCCTTTGCTGAGAAGTGAAGGTTTTCATGACCACAGACACCCAAAATGGGGGATTGGGGCCTTTTTAAAAAATTGGATATATGGCAAAACTGCCCCATTTCAAATTGTTAACAATAGAGGGCCAAACCCACATTTGAAATGGTCATATCCATCACTAAAAACATGGCATTTTCAAAACAAGGTTTGTCAACTTGATTTTGACATAAATCACATTTAATCTGCCATGTAATAATTCATTTGCTTCACATACTAGACAGAACACAAGGCATACAATTATTCTATCATGCTGACTTCTAGGTGGGTGGCTCATGGCTTGCCTAAAGCACATAATAGGGCCCAACAAAGTTGTGGCTGATCAAGTCAGGCAAAATGTTTGCATAGAAGCTTGGTGTTTTCCATCATAAGTGGAATGCCAAGAATGACACCCTAACCAACACTTGAGAATGTCAAAAATTGATCATTATGTATCTCAAGTTGCTGTCAGATATACAATTTGCTCCCTAGATAATGTTACTTTGAACATATCAAGATAAAAGTACATAAATAAAATAAACTCTGTACTTGAAAACAACTAATATTGAATAAAAAGTCCTAAATACAAACAAAACACTACCTGCATTTGTGTAACCTATCAATGCAATCTGTGGCACATGCTTATTAACTCTCTCTGTCCTATTCTGCTTTCTTTGGTTTTCAATATGCCTCAGCTCTTTTCGAATCTTTGCTTCTTTTTCATTCAACAGCCTTCTTTTCATTTCCAGATGAGTCTCCCCACTTCCTCCAACTGACATTGTACCTCCCCGCTGTTGGTCATAAGTAACATTGTCCGAAGATAAATGCCACCTAAAACCACAATTCACATGAATGCTTATCAAAATTCTAATCATAAAGAAAAATGTCAGACAAAGAATGGTAAAAAAACCAAGTATCTAAGACAGAATTTCTTGATAGATATGTTTTTAGCAAGATAGATTGCAGATAGATTGGACAGTTTCACAAGACAGCAGTAGACTTTTCAAAATTAATGCAAGCTACATTTTAATCACCTTTTTTGACTTTGCTTTTGGCACTTCAGAATAACATACAAAACAGGTACAGCATTATCATCAAAAAAGTATTAAACACTTGAATCATTTACATATAAACCAGCTATCTGCAAATAATTCCTATTGCCAACTTTTTCATTAAGGAAATTAAGCAACTTTTGTGATGCGGATTCCAATCATCCTATTGCATTTTCTCTACAGATATCATTGCAAGAAGATTCAAGAAAATCAGTCCTTACAGACATGTCTTTTGATAACTTCTCAGCGCTAATGCAGTTTCGCACCTCTTTTAAGTTGATCCTTACCTGGGTAAACCCTATCCTTATGTATTCAACCACACTCTGAGAGGTGCAAAACTGCAATAGCACCAACTTCTTGTTGCCTTCAACTGAAATTCTCTGTAGATTAGTAGATTAGTTGACAAAAATTCCCTTTTCTCAAACCATGATCATGTTATAAATATAATCTACTTTTAACTGACATGCTGCATGGTTTTTTTACATTAGGCTCAATCTTAATCAAGCATTTACCTCTCGTATATTAGTTCAGCAAGTTTGACTTGCAACTTTGCTTCTTTTGTTTTTGCCCTTTCCTTGAATATTTCCAAAACAATTTTGTACCTGTCGTACACTGAACACTTAAAAGCTTCCTCCAAATGACTTGTTTGCCTGCGACTAAGCTTTCCAACATTGATAAAAACGCCTGTCAATTTATTACTGTGCCTTAACTGCCCGATTTTATTTTGCAACTCTTTTAGTTTTCCTGATCCGAAATAATGTTTTGCATTGATCTCATGCATTGACTCAATCTGCCCTTCCTGGACTTTCCAGTTGGTAACAGTTTGGACAAGGGCTGCAGCCTCGTCAAGGCGGCTGTTTACAGCCTTACTGAGAAACCGCCCTTTGCCCCATTTGAAATCTGGCTGAATGATAAAGACATGCTCTTCCTTAAGCGATCTTTTAAAAGTGTCTTCAAAGATGTCCAGCTCGGCCACTCCTTTTCCCAGTGTCTCCTCCTGAGTTTGGCTTGTGGGTAGATCGTTAATTCCATCGCTGTTTGAAGAAAACCTTCGAAGGTATACAGCATTCTGTCTTCTAGTGTAATTGTTATTGCTACTCGTGCATCCAAAAATACCAAGTTTATGAAGGCTTATCAGCTGTAGCCTTTGACGAGCTTGTCTAGCGCCATGAAGAAGAAAGGGAAGAGGTAACATTGTAGAGATGAACTGGCCTAAATGTGACGCGAGTTTGTTGTGGTTGTTGTTGCTGTAGCTGTAGGCCGCTGCGAATGAGGTGGCCGCTGTCGCACGTTTTTTTTTCGTCAACTTAAAAAATTGGAAACCCATTTCTTTTTCCTTTTTCTTGGTTTTTCCACTTTTTCATTAAAAGCACATTCATAAGTTAGGTATAAAACTAATCTCTAACTTAGACAAATGCATCCTCATTAATAAAACATGCAATGCAACAACAATCGACATTGCAAAATCATTTATCCTCCAGGGGTGATGTCTTAACTCCTTGCTTTTTTGACCTTGCTTTTTATATTTCACAAAAACATAGGAAACAAGTATAACTTTATCATCACAAAAGAAACCAAACGCTCGAGTCGTTAACATATGGCCCAGCTATTTGCAGATAATTAATATCGCCAACTATTTCGACGAGGAAATTAAGCAACTGGTTTGCTAGTCCCTTGATTGAACATCCAGGTAGCAGAGCTGTCATGTGCTAGGATTTTCATGGGCCCTAGCATGTTGCCCTATTTGGCACTTCCATGTAAACAAAAAGTCTTTTACTTCTTGGAATAGCACGTTGAAAAAAGTTATAAAGACCTATCTTCATGCATCCACGTTAACAGATGAATAGTTACTTTGTTTTCTTTTCTTGCAACTCCATGAAAATCGCTGCTGAACAATGTCCACTGATAATAGACCAACAGTAATGAGATGAATACTTTCCTTCGAAGAGGATTTTTAAGAAACTGTAAATAAATTGCAAAGCTGGTGTTTTCTTTGATTTTCATAATTCTCCGAGTTTTTAAGTAGTCCAACTATTCAAATTGAAACTTCAAGGTTGTTTAATTTTTAATGGTATCTTGGAATGATTGATGGGGAGCATAAAAGAAGCTATGTCTGCCAAAAATCAAGATTAAAACCCCCAACAGGGCTGTTTAATTGTCCGTTTACTGCATGCATCATTCCAAAAATTCTCCATAGAACGTAATGCAATTACGTCTGTGTGGCAAAGATGACACCATAGAAAGAGAGAATTTGTCTTTTCGGCTCATATTTTCCTATTTTGTGCAATCAATTTCCAATTTTCGACATCTAGTTGAACAATTCCATTAATTAACAATAGTTTCCGATTTCCTATATCCTGCTATTGGCTTACCGTTATGTCGATGATCTATTTGAATAGGCAACATCCAGTCACGAGGAAGCTATTCTAAAAGGAGTAATTACTTAACCAACTCTTGTTTGACTAAGGTGGAGGTGATCTAAAAAATGATAAAGTCCATTAATGAGAGGTAACACGTAAATCGTTCAATTACGGTACGATAACAAAGAAAATCAATTTTTATTGACCAAGACAGCATGCCGTTAATTTCCTAGGCAGGTGCGTACCAAAATCGCTCTATTGCATCTGCTGCACTCAAGTGTATGTTGTCTTTCGCGAACTGAATCTATTCATTCATTTCATACATTGCATTGAAAAGGCATTACACTCCTTATCGAGACCTGTCAGTTTTACTTCGCTATCAACATTTTTGGAGGCAGCGCTGTGAAGATATAAGCCAGTTTGTGATCCGTAGCTGATTTTCAGATTTTTTGCTCTTTTCAGTTTGCAAGAACCAATTGTAAAAGGTATGATATGAAATTGAAAATACGAATCAACGAGAAATGCAAATCAATCATAACTAAGCCATTTGTGGAGGGAATGACATGCCTTTGCTTAGCAAATGAAGGATCTCAGACCTTAAGTTGCATTTATCGATCATCAAAGCCATTTGGTTTGAATTCTGATTCTTTAAATTTGCGTTTTGCTTTTGTTATTGGAAAGAAAACTTTTCTAACAGATTGGAGTTGCTAAGTATAATTTTGTTTTCAAAATTTCTCTCTATTTAAACTTTATTCATAACCCAATCTACTCTCATCAATTATACTGGCAAACTACCAGTTAGCAATAAAGTGTTTTTGTGTTTGTAGGAAAAAACTTGCCTCGTTCTCGTTTCACCGGGAATGGGCCATCTGCACTAAGTCCATTTGCAATTACAAGTGGCCTCAATGCAAACCGCTCAGTAAATTTCATAATATAAACCACGGTCAATTTCTTAGACGGTCCACTTTCATCTACACAAGACTATTTTCTTTTCAATTATTGATGAGATAAAAGAAAGAGACGGACAGATATTTCGTAGCTGATTTCAGGCAAAATGAGCGGAGAGATGGGAACAAGTTTGGTTTCCGATTCGCGTGGACAAACTCCTGCTAAATCGTACGACAGAAAAGCTCAAACAACTAGGTTTTATGGTGTCGGCTTTTTGAGAGGTAAAATGAAAGATCAAGATATTCAAGCATATCTTGACAACAAAGAAAGTGGTACCAGCATATTGTGCGACACATATGGAATGTCTTTGTGTATGCTGCTTGCCTTGTCTATAATAGCGGTAACATTGGGTATGTCTTTGGCACTGGCTGGTCATTTTACACCTAAGAAAAGACTTGAAAGTCTTGTTGGAGGAAACCAAGCTGGTCATGAGAATATTCAGACTGTCTTGCGGTATAACCACATGCTAGAGTCATTCGTCCTCTCCGGAATAGTTTTATTGGCCATAGGAATAATCCTTTTTGTTGTGTTAATGGTGGCCCCGTTCTGTTCAAACTACGATGTTTCTATCAAGACCAAAGAAGGCTACAATTTGGCGCCTTATTCTGATGTCGAAGAAAAAGTTGTAACAGAGAAGAAGATGGAAGGAAATCACATATCGGTTGCCATGGAAAAGACCGATTCTTCACCTGCTAGAATTTTTGCAACAATGCATCAACAACTAAAGCCGACAGATGACCAAGGGGATTATGATTTACCATAAAATCTTCATTGCATCGTTGGCAGCTAATAGGTATTTCCTGCAATTAACCATCCAATAGAATTCATTTTAATGGGTTTATTTGTGCAGTGCGCAAGTATAGGGTTAATGTACTGACGAGTTGTCTAATGATAGAATACCTCTTGGTAACAAGCAACCTACAAAGTTCTGAATGTCTTTATAAACGCTCGCTAAGATAATAACAAAATAACCAAAGTTTGATTGGTGTACATTTCTATAACCAGATTTGAATTAAGTATCAACGAGTGAAAAGATAGGATTGAAACAAGGATTTCTTTTGTGTCTTTATTTGCAACAAAGATACGCACCGCTAGAAGTAATTCCACTCCAGCACCTGTTTTTTGATATTTCAAACCAGCATGCGCGTTTTGAAAGAGATTGCACGCTGTTTAACAGTTTCATGGAAATAATCCGCCATTAATAATTAAACAGTATACTAGACATCATAAATTATTCTTCAATCCTTTTCTTAAGCAGTAGGGTAGGTTTGAGGGTTGAGATTTGACAAAAAATAGCGATCAGTGTAACACTTCCATTGCATTTAGTTACATTAACAGATTGAAACGACGCTCAGAAGAGTTAGTCAATAATCTATCAATGACACGAAGAAAATCTTGAGTAAAAATTATTTGAAGCACCAGATTTTCATGACGAAGTTCCTTTTGTGCTTATTTCTAATCAAAAATGATGTCCAATAGATTTAATTCTAGAATTCCAAAAAATCGATACCGTAATGAGGGGGAATTGGGGAGCATCAGAACTTTGCAAACCCGGACGGAAGTTTGAAAAAACCCGGAGCCTGGACTAAAATTTTGAAAAGTAAATATTCGAAACCCGAAATCTCGCACGTTTTCAAGAAAAAGACCCAAAACCAAGTGAGCAAAATTTGTGAGACCCGAAACCTGTTAGATTCTAAAGAACTCTTCTGTGCTATGCTCAGAATTTGTCGTTAAAGAATATCTTCACGCATTTTCAATATGAAACTGTCTATAGGGAGCCGAACATACGATGACCCAAAATTTAGAAGAATACGTAGTGAACAACCTCGTCCTTAAAATAGTCTGCCTGAAAATCAATTTTTTAACGATAGGATGTAAAAGATTCTTTTCGATCTATTTCCTGTTCAAACGAGATTAAATGTTATCTTGTACGCTTTTTCTAAGACTATTCTCTGTTTTTGAAGAAATCTTTAAGAAGCCAAATGTGAACGAATAAAAAAATTAAAATCTGAGTACTTACTCTGATCTTAGTTTTTTATAAAAATTCCGTGCATATTGCCAAAAAATTGTCAATTGAGTCAGCTGAATAAGTCGTTGACAACTCTGATCTCACTCCTGTTTTCTATTTCAAAATTAAAGCGATTACCGATTCATAATTTTATCCTCAAAACTAACATTTTCCCTAGGATTGATACTTAGGCCAAAGTCAAATATTAATTTATATATGTAAGTAGCCAAGAATGTAAGGATTCAGTTTATTTTAGGGCTAAAAAGTTAGTATTGTTTTTGAAGAAGTAAATAAGTATATTAGGGTAGGTTTGTTGGAGGCTTTTGCACAACCGGAATGTATATTGGCAGTTGTCTTGAGAAATTGACTATGCTTTGTATTTTCATGCAGTACGATATTAGGCCGGTTCTTCGTATTATAGTCGCAAAGCGTGCCGGTTGCGCAAAAGCCTTTGATGTTTAAGATACTCGTCAAATTTTAAATGGGACTAGAAAATGTATTAGAGTCGGGGTAGTATGTAGATATAGTTATGAAATAAAATTGTCTAATGCCGTTTAATGATTATACAGATTAAACTGGTTATTTGTAAATTTGGGACTTTATAAACAAACATTTTTTGTTCCGTAACATGAAAATAAGAAATATATTTTTTTTTTATCATTGGAATCTGTTGGTATTGATATGACGCAATAGGATCTTGGCAAAATGGCTTTTTAAGTTAATTCGGAAGCAAAAAGCCTCCCTTAAATGCATATTACTTATTTAACAGAAATATTCTAAATCGATAGCAATTTCTAATCCTACTTGCATATACAGTTTAAGTATCAATACAAACTTCTGACAAAGCACTTGTTCATATTAATAAAAACTCACGCTTTGTTAGAATTGATAGAAAAGCAGGAGGATTCTAACATGCATCTCCGAGTTGCCTGAGGATCGCATTAAGCATGAAACTTGGATTTGTAACTTTAATTGCGATATCATCCACAAATAATTAATCTTTCATCTAGAAACAGATCATTACTTAAGTCCTTGAAAAATCGATAGGAAATGACTGAAAAAGACATATCGTGGTATAGAATGAGCAAAATCATGTTGACTCACTTGCGAGAAAACGTAACACAATGTCGCGATTTCTGCCACCCCCTTTCCAAATCTAACCACCCTGGACGAATGGTAAGGCAGAAGAAGGTAAAAGAAAACGAAAGATAGCTGGCAAAATCTGAGGGTTTAAGGTGTTAAAGCTTTTAAAATAGCTTGGATTACCTGTTAAGACGAGAAGAATGGGATCTAGAGAAACAAATTTATTGAAATCCTTTAATTTCGTAATAAATTTTCTCCTTTAGAGAAATTAAGGGAAACTTGCAGAGCTACTATGTGCGGGTTTTTTCACCCCATGCCTAGCTAAATTCATGATATTTGCTGGTTGAGGATAAGGAAATACGCAAACTAACCTCATGTCATATGTCTTGATAACTTGGACGGTGTAAGGTTTCTGCTCCTAACAGAATTCAGATTTTGTTTGCATTATCTATTGGTCTTTTAAGTTATGAAAATACATTCTCGCAATTTCTGATGTTTCGGCACTCAAGTTTGTCAGAGCAATTTATGCAATTTCGACAAAGAGGCGATCATTGACTCCAGAACACAAGGTTTTAACGAGTAGCGAATGTTTTTTGTCAAAAATATCCCTGCTTTTAGACCTTTGATCGCAAGATCGTCCAGTTTATTTTGCTATTTTTATCATCTGGCCACCGCAAACACAATTTTGGTTTGATATAAAGACGGGAAATCTTATCCGCGCTGATCTGTAAAATAAAAATTGCATAAAGGTCTACAGTTATTCGCTCACTTGCTGCCTCGTTTTGAAAAGAATTCGAGCGGGTCTCATTGTTAGAAGCCCACAAAACTTTAAGTATGAAAAATTTCTTAGTTTTGATTAGAATTGAGAATTCAATGTTTTTCAAAAGTTTCTTAAATTTTGAGTGGTAGAAAGTTGTTAAAATGCAAGAAATTCACTTCGAAGTTATTTTGCCGAATAGAGACCATCTACTGGCCGGAACATATGGCTTGCCAATGAAAAGAATTTGATGGTTAAATAGGGAAATATTACTCCCATAAAAATTTATAATATCTACAGTTGGAGTTGATATATTGAGTTTGATAGACGATGTTAATTCAAACAATAATGACCAAATGAGGATAAAAAGGCATATATTATCGTTTAGAGATTGGCGATGGCGATAAATGGAGGAACCGAAAGGCTTAATCTAAACTGACTTGTGCTGTCAAATTTCATTTTCGGTTTTCAACCTTTTCATTGACAGTTGGCATAAATAATCTTTAAAGAAGTTAAAAGTGAAAGCGTGTACAACTTTTTAAGTCTCTGATGAGAAGTGTGTTTCCGTCGCTATGAAATTTCTATTTCTCATAGAATGTCCGTCCAAAGACAGAGGCCAATAAAACGAGAGAAACAATGCTGAACGGTTAAGGAAATGCAGAACACATTTATTTATTTTGCTATGGTGACTTAAGATCAGCCCATCCTGTTTACCATTTTATAAACAAAGTTAAGACCTCTCTTATACAAAAACATGGAAGCTTTAAAAATATTTTGCTACTTCTTTCATCACTTTTTACATATCCAGAATCTCTTTTCATTATTTCTAAAATGTTGTGGTCATAAATATTTTCCTGTAGAACAACGATGATCAAAATGACTTTGAGTTAAGCTTGGACATCAAGTTATGTCCAGCAATCAAAGTAATTAGTTTTAACGATTAGGTTGCTGGATGTTGTCGGAGGTTACTTCGCAGGGCTTTGTCCATGACTCTATCAGTCAACCGTGCTCAAAGCTCTATCACGACCTTCTTTGCCTAAGACTCTGAAATTAGCTATCCGCGATTATGCAAAACACAATAATACAGAATTTTAGTTATCGTGATATTGGTAGAAGTGGACCTTTAAAGCCTCTTCTGTCTCCTAAATTGAAGGGCGAAGGTTTCATAGCGGATGTCCTGCAAACCTCAGTTGAAAATTAATCACTATTTCATGACACATCAGAATGTTTGATCCATTTGATCTAATATAAAGGCGAACATGCGTTGGTTCAACAGTAGCATAACTGGACAATGGGCGTCCTGGTGATGTCGTTTTCTGTGTTTGGGATTTGATCGTGAGCAGGGTTTATTAATATTGTTGCCGATTTTGTTGATTAAGATTTTGATTGCGATTGGTGGTGCTGAATATGATTTGCAGAAATAATGATGATGACTGAGCTAATCCAGTCAAGGGCCCATAGGTTTTGTGATTGATTGATTGATTGTGATTAGGATTGACAAGACTGTGATTGGGATTCAGTACCACCAGGATTCACATTATGATTAGATTCAATATGACTAGGGTTTATCATGATTGATTATGTCTTGGTTTCATTAAGGTTACCATCGAAGACAATGAGAGCTGGTTGCGTTCAGAGTTGAAGGTACTATTGCATAACATTTTTCACATTTTAGTCAGATCGTAAATGTAAGAGCAACTCAACGTCAAAACGTCACAAATTCTCAAACACAATTATTTTTACATCAAAGCAGACAATCAAGTTGATACAACTTGGATAATCAAAGCAGTAAACAATGCACACTTTTGAAAAAACTTGTTATGAGAATGGTTTGTAATTGCAAACGCTTTTAGTCTATCCAAAATCAAGTCTTGTATGACAGAAGTGACAAGACAAGGCTTTATCAGCTAGCTTAAATTTACTGCAAATGATTGGAAAACACAAGATAAGGGGATTATGATGTAGCTAATAAGTGTTGCGTTGCTTTGACGGAACACGACAAAATTTGATAGTTGCAGGATTTAATGAATTGCTTTGGAGGTAGCTTTTATCAAAAGGTGGCTTTCAAGGTTTTGGCTGGCCTAAGTTGCAATGATGAAAAGGAATTCGAAATTCTTCACCTTCGAATTTGACCGATTCTAAACAATGTCTACCACAGACAAGTAAACATGAAAGTAAGTATGAACTTAAGCTTGTAATGACGAAGTGATTTGAAGAAAGCAATGTTGTACATTAACTTTTAATCATGAAATTTGTGAGCCTTTAAAATATGTTGTAAATTGTTTTTTTAAACGAACCATAAAGGAAACCTAAGCGTGACTTGATTGGTTTTTTTGTGAACGGATAGTAATGGCTCTCAGCATTTCTAAATTGTTGATCATCAGCCCAAGTTTGCGACTAAAATGGCCTGTTGACCTCTGCTGCATTTTGGTTAAGTTGCTACAGCTGCATGATTTCTTGGCGATGATTGTCCATATTAACAATAATAATGCTTGTATTTACATATTGGTGGCTAAAGTAATTAACTATTTAGGTACACAACAAAAAGTAGGATGAAAACATCGCAATAGAAAAGGAGACAGATACATCGGTACGAAGAAGGTTGATAAACAGCTGTCAATCAAAGTCAAGAATAATTAACCATACGTTTGTCGGAAATACTACAAAGAAAGAGACATTGAAATGCATGATTAAAATACTATTAGTGAATGATATGATTAGGGCTTTGTCCCTACATAATAAAACCACTTTGATCTCCTAGTATGTAAATACCCGAAGAAAGAAGGACCAAAGAATGTTATAGTCGGAATCAAGTATTTGGATTAATATCGAAGAGAAGGCAGAACTGACAGGTTCGAGTAAATCAGACCTTAACTAGAAACGCCACTGAAGTGTTGCCTTTTTATCAATGGAGTTAATCAGTGTCCGAAGGAAGCTGGAGCTGGTTTTTGTCGCCATTTTGCTATTCTATATGGGAAGTTACATAAATGGAGCTCGCAGAACGAAGGTACAGTAAACAAATACGCTTTGCAACTTTGTTTGTGAAATTCTAATCACAAATCAAACTGCTCCCACAAGTAAGATACAAATCTTGGTTGTTTCAAAATTTCTCATGTTTACATCTACAAAGCATCCTTGTTCTTTCAGCAAAAATTGTGTCGTTTCCTTAACAAAATTCAAAGTAAATTTTTTAGTATAAGAGAGATCGATATGAACATCCAGTGAAAATCAAATCTGCGCCAAGATCTGATTTGTGCAACTTGCTTTTCTGCTTTACCGGGAAGTTAATATCAAACAAACAATTTTTTTATGTTCAAATATCAAGCGCTTGATCAAAATCAATGAATCATTGCAGTAGGTTTAGATAAAATGTCTAGACCAAAGGATCGTATAAGATAAAGAAGCTGCTCTATCTTGATTGGGATTTCCAGAAAACCCTTGCAATCAACGTGTGTCGAAGTTTCCAATTTTAATGCGAGTGTCTTTCTTGGGGTTCTGCATTAATATTCTATCTGCCTGAATTGTATTTACTGTGAATTTTTGGTATTCTTTGTAGGCCTCTTTATTTGTTTTTTTTTCTGTCACTGTCTAGAGTAGCTAAAAGCATGAAAAAGTTTCGTAACAAAATTAAAAGCTAACTGAAAAGCTAGCTGGCGATTCTTGTCTCGAAGTCTTGACATTTATCGACCTTGTATCGCGAGTTCCTTATGTTTGGTCTTTTTCGCCATAATTTAAAGTCGTTAAGAAAATCTGTTGTTTTTTCCTTGTTAAGAACAATCTGTATATTTTTATCTCTGGTTCGGCGTTGGAGTTTCACAAACCACTGTGGGTGATTTCAATGCGCAATACCTAAAAGCAAGAAATTTATTATGGGAAAGATTTGCCTTACATGTCCGAACATGAAGACCCACTGTATTGAACTAGCAACAGAGAAGAGGAAACGTCAATGACACACGAACACCCCTGGCTTAAGTTTCCAATACGAGGACTTCATAGGCCTCCATAGAATCGAATTTCCGTGAAACACCATGAGCCCAAGTATTTTAATTACGCTGACACGAAAAAAAGAAGCGCATTTGGTCAAGTTTTGATCCCATCAAATAGAATTTGTTATCAAGATAATGTCGGTTCATAATTGGTATTCTCGTTTCGATTGTCCTCGCTGATCAAGATAGCTTTAAATCATTCTGATTCGTAAGGCGATCCTCTTCTTAAAATCTTTCATTTGGGGTGGTTTAGCTGCAAACTGAGGATTTGTCAGATCACTTCAATCCTACCTGGTTATATTGGTAATGACTGAAAAGTATATGATTATCAGAAAGGAATTTCGTCTTGACTCAACAACAGGGAGAAATTTAACATCTCTTTATTGCTCTTCTTTTAGGTCCGTCTGAGAGGCCCGCCAGGAATGCCCGGTCTCCCGGGACCCAAGGTAAAATATCTTCCGAACTATTTGCATTAGAGAACCTACAAGAATCTTGAGTCTGCTATCAATGATTATTTTGAGCCAGGCCTTTGAATCAAGGCTTTTGAATATATATTGTCAATGATAAATTCTGTTTCAGGCCGTTGAATCACTTAGTGTCGTCTGCTAACGCTTTGTGGTTTAAAAGCCAACCCTGGGTAAAAATTTATATTGCCACTACCGGGTCACCCAACATTTTCTGTATACCCCTCAGGACCCCCTTATAAGTGTATCTAGCAAGCTTGAGCAAGAAAATATGGTTAAGTTGGTATTGATCATGAACCCTAGTAAAATTGTAACAATTTTGATTTACATTCGATGGAGCGATTTGAAGCTTTAATTTGTGAGGATCTCATCTGAAAGAAGCTAAGAAAGGCTCAACTATAAGCAACTCACAACCTCCTATACTATTTGCAGGAAAGAAATAATGTTAGAATTAATATAATAATCAATAGATTCCCAAGTGATGACGTCACGAAAATGTAATTCTAGAATTTCAATCCCATAATCTGAAAGTGCATCAAGAAATACTGTTTAATTTGCAAAATCAGTTAAGGGTATAACGAATTGCCTTAGATATGGTCACGAGGGAGGAAGCTCTTGTCCCATCAAACCTGGGTAATTTGGTTTTGGTTCATAACTTTATGACCCTATCATATGGTCATATCGCACCCGATCATTTTTGACACATTGAACTGATTTTGTATATAAAGGATTATTTCACGGTGTTCAGTCAAAGTTGTGCTCATAAAAACGCCAATGTATTGTTTGCCTTCAAGAAAATACGTCGTACTAAAAATCGGCTTGAGGTTTCTTTCCTTTAACCAACAGAAGCGTAGTATAATGTCCAGGACCTTTAATGAAAATAACAGTTCTTTGTCGGCTTTCCAATTAAACCAAGCTTTCTCGCTATATTCAATTGCGGGAAATTCATACTATCGACCCGCAAGTTAAAATTGGTATCTTTTTACCAGTAAATTCATTCTGTCAACACATGAGATGCTCTGCCTTTCGCTTTCGAGTTCAGTTACTCATTATGTTGGTTATCTTTGCTTATGTTCAATTACTTAAAATAGACATACCTGGTGCAACTATATTTAAGAAGGGCAGCTGTCTCTCCATGGCCAATGTCTCCTGTTCTTTTCACAGTAAAAAGCAAGATTAAAAATACGATAATGAGAACAGGAAACCAACATTAGATTGGAATTTGGGTCAAAATTAAATAAAAATAATCATTTTGTTAGCGGTTTCTTTTCCGAATCAATTCTTTCAAGCTAACATCAAAATTTTCCATTACATGTTATCAAAGTTGCTTGAGAAAGGAGTTATTGTAAATATCTTTAACAACAAAAGTTTAAATCGATTAATCAGCCAACCGAATCACAAAATTCTCGCTCTCAACCATAAACAGAACAGGGACAAAAGGGAATAGGGGCAAAAGGGGCTTGAGTCAATATCTTATATTGCCACTGTGAAGGCAGCATCTAATTTTTATTGATATTTCAATTTATTCTATTCATAATTTAGGGCAAACGTGGGTGGATAGGGCAACCTGGTAGGCCCGGAAAAGTCGGAGAAGTAAGTTCTTTTTATTACATTTTTTATTACATTTTTTTATTACATTTTTTATTACATTTTTTTATTTCGCAGCCTATTATTAGTCTTATGCTTTCGTTAATTTCAGATGTAATCCGTAAAGATCATGTAAGGAATTCAATTTGAAACTTATCTTCACTTTGACGTCGAATCTCTGTGTTTTTGCTTTTACCTGTGATTGGTAACAGCATCAAATTTTCATAATATTTCAAGCTTAAATTCTGTAATTAGCTGAGGAAGCATTTCATTTTATACCCCACAGCCTGGTCCATCTGGGCGGCGAGGCACTCAAGGAATCCAAGGAATAGAAGGTCTAAAAGGTTATCAGGTTTGTGTGATTAAGCTTTTCTTCCAAGTTCAGCGTTAATCGCATTGAAGGTGACGACTCACAGAATTGTGAAAGCCACCATTACAATCACTCCTACCTTTCTCATAATAGCCCTACTATGTTTAACTGTGACTGTCAGTGATGCAAAACCCCTCGAGTCATTTTTGGACCTCTCGAGTCATTTTTGGGTTCAAATCGTGGAGAGCGCAAAGTGTCAGAGAAACGTGAAACAAAAGTCAAATGATTAGAAACATGTTCATTTTGTGTGGTCAGCTGCAGCCAGAGCACAGCATTGCATATGTCCTTGGGTATAGATTGATAATCGTTGTCTAAGTGCGCCAAGTCCTCCATTTGACGTCTCCTGTGCAGGGTTAAATAACGGAGACTGCCAGGGAACAAGGTTTTAACAAACCTGATCTGAATTATAAAACCTGGAAACACCCTTTAGCTATAATTAATCCCAGGTAAAAAGTAAGAAATGACGTAGCTGCGGCTATCAAAACAAAACCAAGAAACCATAGTTAGTATTTGGGCATAACATTAGAAAAAAGTGTCTGTGTTTATAAAACATGGTTAAGAAAATATGCGCAAAAGTATTAATGTGCTTAGTGACAGCTACAAAAACTCGTTTTACAAAACCTTGAATTTTAAAATCAAACTTGTGTATAAATCGAGCTGATGTTCAATTTTTCTTGTGCTGACATTGTATTGTATCCATGCACTTCAGCAGATGAATACTGGGAACACTGCTTTAGGTATACCAATTTATAATGCTTTGTTTATTTCCTCCTTACAATATGATTTTATTGTTTGGGGACAAAAGTTTGATTCACATATTGAGTCATTATTCAAATTACAAAAAAGAGCTGTTAGAGCTATATCACATCAAGAATTCCTTGCTCATTCTCTTCCTATTTTTAAAAACTCAAAATTACTTAGAATCTCAGATGTTTGAAAACTGAAACTATTGTCTTTTGTTTATGAATCAATCAATAAGCTAACTCCAATGTATTTCCATAACTTCTTTTTTCCAAATACATCTATTCACTGTCACGCCACAAGGCAATCAACACGTGGTGATCTCTCTCTGACTATGACAAATACTTCACAGTACGGCTTGAAATCAACTTGATATATGGGGGCAAAATTATGGAACAATCTACCTTTAGAAATGAGAGCTACCTCTTCTAAATTCTCATTCAAAAAATATTTGAAAAATTATCTTCTAGAAACTATTTGAAAGTCAGTGAGCTTTGCAAAATTTCTTGTTTAGTCCGTAAAGTGATTTAATTTAATTCAACGAGACATAATTATAGATGAACATATAGATCACTGAAACAAAAGGAGGGCCTTCGTCTCGTTAGTTAACCTACTTTGAAGGCTCCTCCTTAAGAATTCTGCTTCGATTTGTCTTTCAAATAACGTTATTGCTGTTGTTGCGTTCTTTAGTTGATTTGTTTATAATTTATATAACTAACTAACTTTTTAGAACTGTAGTAGAGTCTGAATTAAATCAAAATAAAATAAAATAAAATCAAATCAAATCAAATACCAAAGTTTTTTCAGGCTTTTAAATGTCATTGTTGCAATGTTTATCTGCATGTTTCCAAGTATGCTGGGTATACCTAACTAGACAAGAAGCCTTTATAAGGAGATTCTTTCTCAATAGCCAGGTATCGAAGAAAGAGCACCTCTGTTTTCAAAGATGATTAACGAAACTGACATAGCTGCTTTTAGGCCTTAAATCAGCTCAGGGCCAAGGGTGCATGATAACAACATGTCTATCATTGATAATTATTGGTATTAACAGGAATGGTATTCCAGAACTTTGCTCCAAAGTTGCACACAGAGTTGAAACCGTATTGTAGAGTATTTTTCAGAGCTGCGTAAGTATCAATCTCGGAAAATTGTCTTGTAAACTTACGCAAAGAAGGATCTCTATACCAGGCTTCTTTAGCTACTGTATTTTGAAACCATTCATTGTTTGCTCTTTTATTTTGTATATTTGTTTTCTTTAAATCTAGTGTTTATGACTTGCCTTTTTTAGGGACAAATTGGAGCAGATGGTAGAGCCGGACCAGCTGGACCACCGTTTTCATGTTCCAAGTACTACAAGCAAATAGACTGTGCCGTTGGTCTTACTGGCTACTCAGGACCCCATGGGCCTTCAGGGGACAAGGGAAAGCTTGGTCCAAGAGGTCACAAAGGGGAAATGGGACACGAGGGTTCAGTTGGCAGGAAGGGTAAAAGAGGTCGCTCGGGACGACCAGGATCCAGAGGGCTGCTGACAGAAATTGAATGCAGAACAGGGCGAACCAGATTCATGAAGCCAATGCGATTCAAAAAGGGAAGACATTCCTTTGGGTGTAATGAGACGAATATTGAATTCTTAAAGGGCTTCGAGATTGAAGCAAATGGTGAAAAAATAAGATACAAATATAGATGCTGTTGGTTTATAAATGTTTTTAGGTAACGCAAAGAGATCCTGCAAAGTAATTCTCAAGCCATGCGAGATTCAGTATTTCAAACGACGGTCTACTCGATAAAATATAATCCAACTTCTTCTGTCCGTTTGCAATATTATGTTGTAGGCTGTGTTTTTGTCCTTGTCTCTAACCTATAACTCGTTTTATTTTGTCATTAGGATTGGACATCCCTATACGGTAGCAGGAATCTGAAGGTTTTCACTTAAATTTAATGAGTGAAGTTCGGGGAACATGTTTGCTTTTTTAATACATAAACCGATATTTTTATTATATAAAGCAATTTTTCTAGTATACCATGTCATAAATATATTTTGTCTCTGCCTATTCTGAAATAAGACGTAGATAATCATGTCCGATGATAGCCATTTTCTTTCAAATCTCTTGAATTGCACTGGATTTTCAAACGAATGGGGCTTAAATTAGGCCACAACTCTGACTTCCTCAAAATAATGATTTTAGTGGCACTGAGTCCAGCCACCATCAATTAACTTATGCTTCACAATTTAACAAACTATAGCTCTGCGTGCATCTGCTATTGGTCATATTCAAACATTTCCTCGCTCATTTTCCTTAGGGTTCTACGCCACGCAAAAAGAAAGTGAAATGGTCGGTTTTATTGGTAGCAGGGCCTAGGACCTGTGCATACGGGTGCCTTTGAAATATGATACGTAAAATGTCACATGCAGTCCAGCAGTTCCCGCATGTGATCAGGCCTTTCTTCGAATCCATGCAATTCTTCGGATTTAAGGACAAAATAAATAGAATCAGCCTTGTAAGGCCAAACAGACTCCCCTATAAAGAGGTACACTTTTCAACCGAATTGGATTAAGGCCAGAACATTGTGGTTTAGAGCAGCGATACGTTGGTCGAGTTTCGTTTAATCCTTTACTTATCGTTGGTTTTCTATATCCCATTCAATTAAAGGTAAGGTAACTCCACTGTGACATCGTATAGAAGTAAAGATTTCACTAGCGAGACACTAATTGTCCCATAAATTGTCCCTAATGTATCGTCGGAGCACAGAATGGGCGGTCGCAAGCAATGTAACTTTACACTGGGTATATTGTGTTTGTGTGATCAATATTTACTGCCTTGAGAGCACAAAAGAAGGGAAAACTCTTTCATAAAAATGCTTTTGTTAACAATTGGATAACACAGGTGTCACGAAACCTGCAAACTTTGTATCGATACAACTAAGATATTTATTGATTATAGAGGGCAACGAAAAGCACTCTTTCTTTATTAAACTATTAATTACTGTACATACTCTCATTTTATAATAACGATAATATTATCTACACATTCTATGGATAATCCTTCTAAGAGTAAAAGTCGATTAGATTATCAGATCCTGAATAATTTCATACAATGGCGTGGATAATATGTTGGGATAACGTTATCTTGGGTCTATACAATAAAGGTGTTCTGGGTTGACGAGGTGACCCCGAGGAAGGTAAAGATTCAAAAATTGTTTGAGGGAATCCAGGGTTGTTACACTCTGAAATCTTAAGGCATCAACTTCAGAAAGATAGATTCATCCGATGTTTAGTAGCTGTTTAAGCGTAGAAAAATTAACCAAGAACAGACTTAACGTAAGGCTTTTGCAGCTTGCATATCTCCACAAATGGAGTGTCTCCACAAATGTCCGTTCTGAAGTTTGACTGATATTCAATATTAGCCCGCTTTTGCATTATTTTAGAATTTTAAGACATTTCTTATGGTTGGAAATATTAATAAGAAGTACCGGCTTTGCAAACCTCTGGGCAAAATATCATTTTTGAAAACAAAAACCCTTGATTCTTCGGCTTGGCTGTGGTAAAAAAGATTTTTATTGTTTTGGGAAATTTTTCTCTTAATTAACTTTAATCAAAGTAAAATATTCAATCAAAATATTTATCAAAAACATAATGCATCAAGTAAATATAATTGTGGATTGAATCTTCCCTCGATGTTTGTCATCCTTTGACTTGCCACAATGCCTCAGCTATCCAGTTCATCGCATTCTTCTATTCTCAAAGATCCGTAGGCAACGAGTGCAAAATCTTCGCTCATTAATGAGTTTTTAGAATTTTCTCTTTCATTTTCAAGTGCACTTGCCATTTCAGTTATAAGCAATTGTTGATATTCAATTTTCTTCAATGCTTTTCGATATTTTCGCGAAATTTCTTTCAATTTTTCAAGAAATCTTTTGTTCTTTTTGAGTTCGTCTTGCAGTAGTGCTCTCATCGATTCAACATCAGAAATTCTTCCTGGCTCTTTTCGTGAGCAATGCAACATTCTATCGACTTCCTCGTCTGGGATCACATCATATTCTAATATCAAAAGTTCAGGGTCGATTTCAGCTCCTGCAGAATCTCTTCCAATCATATTGGCACCTGGAATCTGCACCTAGGAAATAATCTGTGCACTTATAAAAACTCATAAACCGTTGCAATTTTCATCTTAAAAACAACATCGAAAACAGCGTTTTTTGACAGCCTACTAAAAATAAACTTTAAGGACCTATCTAAAAACGAAATGCGGCAGCATCCGTCTAAGTGCATGCTGCAACACTGGTGGATATCCGGTAATAGACTAAACAAACATTGGTTAAATTTGTAAACTGCTTGAAGCCTGCCCTTGCGATACATTAAAATGCTTTGCGCAAAAGATCCTGTTGGCAAGATAGCGTAAACAAAAGTTACCTTCCAGATATTGTTGTTGCGAGGTACCTGCAGTGATCACCGAACCTGCCAAACGGACTTCTTCCCTTTCCACTGCTTGAAACTGTCTGTCACGAGCCCACTTCAAAATGCGACTGGATCATGAAAGGATGAAAAAGCTCGAAGAATTCTGAAAATTTCTTTTCACAGTACGTATATTATTTAGAAGTCTACTTAGCATTCATGTGGCCAAACCGAACTTCGTAGCAAACGACTGCATTGTCCATGAAAATTTGATTGTCAATGAAAACATCACGCCACCACGACCACGAGTCGCATGATCTCAAACAGCCAATCAGCGCGCTTATCTGCCAAACATGACAAGTGGCTGAGTCGGGGAGGAATGATTTTCTTACTCAATCTTTTCTTTTCATAAATTTCATAAAAAAAATTAAAAAGCATTAGAATCTTGGTAATTTAGAATAACCCAAATCAATGGCAAAAATGTGAGAAGTGTAAGTTCAAAGGGAGCCTTCTCCTCCGCCACGGATCCCACATCACATCACACACCTTCATGCTTAGATTCAAATGCTGCCTTAGGATGCAATATCTGAAAACTATGTTTTCAAATCATCATAATCTTCTGCTATAGATTTTCCAGCATAAACTTTACCCATACTATGCTTTACCCAGCTACATCATTACAGTATACTTTTACTGTTTTGTTGCTTCATGCTTTTTCTTTATCAAATGCAACTGTCAAAGACGTAGTAAGCTGTTGTAATTCCTAGCAAAATATAAGATAAATTCGCAAAAGAATACACTAAATCAGACAGCGGACAGCGAGAAGATAACTTCATCCTAAATACAATGCAAAAATTCATCCTTAATACAATAAAAATGTTCATGTAGAGATGCAGGAATGGAAACGAGATCAAATCATAATTGAAACTTTTTTGAATCAAGTTAAAGATCTAGAAAAACATATAATGCATATAGTATTTAATAAAGATTAAAATACTCTCTCAACTTTATGCTACTCTCAAACAAAATAAAGAACATATAAAATTGTATCGTTTTGTAGTTTAAAAGTTTCAGAATTCTATTCATGCTGAAAGTTTTCAAGTTGTCGATCCAAGAATATAAAGAAAGTCGATTATTTTCAATTGTGAAAACTCTGAAAAACACAATTGTTTTTAAGTCTTGGAAGAAAATTAATTCCACATTTAGAAGTTCGAAGGATTATTTTCCGGATGTAAGTATCTGCTAAAACTGAAAGGCCAAATACTAGCCAAGGACGTAAATCAAATAATTTTTGGGGGGAATGCAAAATGGACCAATTCTTAAAAATCAATCTAAGCAGGAAAACAAAATGAACATGTATGCAGAATACCTTTGAGGAAATGGCGTGAACCTCCGCACTTAGGTGCATAAATTCTCTTTCCTTATGTATACCAGGCCTAGCCGAAAACAGCTTTTCATAACATTTTTTTTATTTGCACCCTGTAATTCTTTTGCCATCAGAATATAAGCATACGAAGTGTATTTGAATTCAATAAGCAATGAAATTCATAAATATGTCTGAAGTGTTTCTGTACTTGAAAATTGTTCTTGCTGCTGTAAATACACTACAAGGACAAAAGTATTGCAACACCCAAGTCAAAATGGCATTTAAAAAATGTGAAGTTCTGTAATCTTATAACTTTACGCTGAAACATCCCCCTCCAAAATAAACATAATCATGCTGAACAAGGAATCTAATTTTTTGAAATTTTTTGAGGATTTCGAAATTCAAATAACTAAAATATTAACATAAGAAATGATACAGTTTTAAGAAAAATATCTGCAGTGATAAAATCAAAATATTAACAGGATAAGGAGTGAGTAGTTGTGATAAAACTTCGTGCAACTGGTATTTCGATTCTAAAGATTTCGAAACTTTATATAGAAAATGATAGCAAAATGGGGAGAGTTTAGGAAACAACAAATTTTTTAGCCCCGAAATTCTCCAATACAACTTGGGCAATTTTATGGGTACAGTTAGGCCCATATAAATTGGTAAATCGTCAATTAGCAATGTGCGAGTTAATGCAGTGAGATGATTGAATTTGCAGATTTATTTGCGCACCATTGGCTGATGCAACAAAAGTTATAACTTAATGCGCGATCCGCCAACAAGGATCGTTTGACCAAGGTAAATTTTGGATCGTTTGACCAGGGCTTTAATCGCTTTCGCGGGTGTTGTAACCCCTTTTGTCCTCGTAGCATATTTCTATGATTTGCCCAATCAGCATGCAATTCAAAGTTACCCTTTCCATCCTTGTTTATTACAGAATAAACGGCTCAGCGCTCTATGCCCAAACATGTACTTTGCACTGAATTCTTTGCACAATTAGTTCTGATCAAGGGTGCATGGTCTCTAAATGGATTTTATAGCCATGTCTGCTTTTACCGAAGATAAGTTTTACTATATCCAACGTGTGTCATTATTTTTATAATTGTCTAAATTACCGTGAAATCTGTACCATTCTTGGCACTTACTAATGTTTCGGGAAAAATATTCGTGCCTTTTTTATTCGTTTTGGCCCCCCCTGCTCAAACCTGCGTCCGGCGGCCCTGGAAACTATGCCTTCACAAAACTAAAGGGGCTCAACCCCGCCCCGACCAGAACTTTTTGATGAGCAATATTGCCAGCCTCGTACAAAGAGTCTTCATCAGCCCGCAGAATGAGGCTATTTCATTCCAAGAATTCGTTGATCGTCTCTGCAGGTTGTTTACACGATATAATTATGTGTAAACAGGTGTCACAATATCTTGATGCTTGGCACATGCCTTGTTTGAATACCTGCGGATCAAGTAAAGATCAGTAGATATCGGCAAAACAATCTCAATTTGCTTGTCTCTCCGTTTACTTCTGGCCTACACGTCAAAGAAGCCTAATTATCGGAGGCAGCGTTAAAAAATTCATCTCAGAGATGGATCGAAATTGGCTTTTAAAAGTAATATTGTTAATGTACATGCTTACTGGAGGGGTAGCCAATGGTATTGGGGACCTTGCAAAAATACTTGCAGCTTTATCTGGGCAGGCTGAGTGTTCTTTCAAATGTCCCAACGGTGAGTTCACATATATTGCTTGCTGCGTTGCTTACATTATTGCAAATTGCCCTCAAAACTGTGTGGCATTGGTTTTCTTCCACGTAACATACTACTCGTATTATGTCAGCTTAAATAATCAAATTTGTCACTATATACTGTATCAAATATTTTAACATTGTCTGAAAAGGGCCCCGTTCAAAAAATGTTATCAAATACCTAGAAAGTTAGACAAAGTTATTTTCTTTTTTATGATAGAAATGGAAAAACCCATTCCAAATAGAAAACATGTTCCAACCAGCAATGGATGTGGTTCACATGGCCTAAAGGTTTGTTTTTCTCAATTATCCTTAACGTTACAGTAATTTCTTCATGCCAGATAGTAGGTTGCTTAAGCGATGACGTTATGATAAAACATTATGAATTGGACTTATATGAAAACACTGTTCAATATTTCCAAAATTTGCCAAGCAATAACCCCAAGGGCCATGAACTATTTGAATCACCATGATTAAGTCATAGTAGCAAATAATGTGTAACAGCTTTCATCCATATTATCATTTATCAATGATGACTAAACATCAAGTAAATATCTTCTACAAGTCATAAACATCCACCACATATTTCTACTCCACAAATTTGTTTAATGACGCAAAAGTAAATATCCAAATTAATGTCTTAAATTTTTACCCAAGCTTGATACGTCAGAGATGCCTGGGTTCACTGAATGCTGTGACATACACGACAAATGCTATGATACTTGCAATGCTGACCGTAAGCAGTGTGATGAGGATTTCAAGTCATGTCTTAGCAATGTTTGCCTTTTTGAGGGATTATCAGAGAAGAAATCAAAGAAGTTAATGAAACAATGCCAATCTTCAGTTGATTTGATGTATGCAACAACATCAACTTTAGGTTGTACTGCATATATACAGTCCCAGGCTAATGCATGCCTTTGTAATGGAAAGAAGTTAAGTAAAAAAGAAATAAAGAGATTATTAAACCCTAATGATGAACTTTAGAATTCAATAAATTAGCCCCTTAATAAAAATTAACATATTGTAATTTGTTGAGTTTCACTAGATAAAAAATCCTTCTCAATACTCATGTTTTAGCTTCTAGATAATTAAAGAATTTCCAAACAAAATGAGCTCACAAACACTGAAGAATTGACAAATAAAATGATGATAGTTTTTATCTTTCAAGACATTAGAGAAATAAACAATGAGTACAGTACATCAATTTTCTTTCTGTTTTAGATAATAAGCAAATTGTTTAAGTTATATTCAATCTCTGAATTCATGTTTGTATGCAACACTTAGAGTTTATGAAGAGGCAGACTATGTAGTTATTTATTAATATGGAAAAACCTTTCAATAGATTACTTTGACAGTGAAAGTTTAATGACATGCTAAACAGGATTTCATGAACTTCTTCCATTGAGTTGAAAACTAATTTTTGTATAAATATAGGGGCAACATTGACTGTGGTTTGAGCATCAGAACCAATTTAGAATTTCTGCCATTTTTAACAATATTTATTAGCCCCATAAATGGATAAAAAATACTGTTTATGGTCATGTGTTTTCATTGCTTTTTCTTAGCAGATAATATGGATGTAAGTGTTGCTGATCCAGCTAAATATAATTCTTGTAGTGTTTATTACTGTTTCTGCTAACTGGGAGGCAACAAGAGAAATACAAAACGTCCTATTGGTTAAAATTAATGCTTGAAAATAATTCAAACTTGTTTGATCTGCAATAATGATGATAAATTTTACTTTTAATTTCATATATTTACCTATTTGTGTTTACAAACACAACATTTAGTACAACACAATAAAAACGAAAGCAAAATGATGAAAAATATACTTCTATATATGCAAAAAATATGAAAAATTTAACAAGAAAATAAAACAACTTCATGTAATGAATTGAACTGAAATTATGACTGAGATAATATGGTATGCTAAATAAAATGCATGTTATATGGCCTTTTAAGCACACAAACTTTATGATTATATAACAGCTGCCTATAAGCCCAACCCACCCTCTCTATGATGTAAAGGTTTAAATTCCTATAACTATATTTACAATCTGACAGTAAGCAATGATAAGTTGCATTGAATGTATTGTCACTCTCTATACATTTGGCGCATTTACCACTCTCTATACAATCGAAACTTGCTCTTCAATTTCTAGAAGCAAAAATTGACAAAATAACATGGGCAAAAATAGATTGAAGAGAGCTTAGATACTTTTTAGATTCATTTTAAAGATTGCAAAGATCTGCTTGATTTCATGGATTGTTTATTTTGGAAGTACTTTGACATAAAATATTAAGCTCAAAGAAGGTTGCAAAAAAGAGCAATTTCCACAATATAATAAAATTTTAAATATTCTACAATATACACAACAGACCTAAAAGTCAGAGAAAAACGTTGAATTTATTTTCTAAAGGTCATTAGCTACTTTAGGACATTTTGGCATATAAGAAATGTACAGAATATATGAAAAAGATGAAAAAACATTGCATGGCCTCCAAAATACAACAAACATATCATTAATAACTGAATAGTTTGACCAGGGATGTAGAAAATACCTACCATCCATGTCAGGTGGCCGTAGCTTTTCAGGCTTATTTTGCCGTGAAGGTTCATGCTCTAGAGAAATAAAAAAGACATCTCATTGCATAAAATGTCCATTTGCAGCCTTTGAAAAATAATTTTTTCTTCATTTAGATACTCCAATAAGATTCATTTACAACGGCTTCATGAATTTTGCAGCCAAACTTAAAATTGTATGGTATAGAGGTAGACAGTGCAACAAAGTATATCTTAGGGCAAAGGATGTGTAGCAGAATGTAAAAGCATTAGCAAATTCGCCTGATGCTCTTCTACAAAAGTTGCAAAAAATTATATATGACAATAATAATCTTTTAAATCTCCTCAGATGGGGTACAGAGGTTTGAAAACCAACTTACCCAGGGCTTAAATCCTCACTATAAACATAAATTTTCACAATGGAGATTCCTAAGCTGTTGGTCACTACCTTCCTGCAAATTTAGCTCTAAACTTAAGCAGATTTTAAAGAATATCATTTCATTTATATTGCCTCTAAACAGAATAACAAGAAAACCACTAACAAACCTCTTTTTTCTGATGGTGTAGGTGAATATTGTTTTTTTGATTGTTCTTGTGTGCTACTTGGTTTACTTGGTGTAGGAGACATATTCAAAGGCCTTCTCTTTGGTAATGATGATAGTTCTGTAAAACAGCAGAAATAATCGATTCTGTAGGAAGTAAATTGCAGGAAAAGCAACAGACTTATTTTTCATACAGCACTGGAGCTTTATAAAACAATGGGTATACTAAACTGAATGGAAAATGAGAAGTTGAAATAAGGGGGTAGAATGGAAGTTAGAGAGACTTAAATGTGAACTATATCGACAAGCTAATTGACTTGGTATTAGCTGGGCAATGTCAAGGCATGCATTTAGGTTGCAGCAATTTTGCAAAGCTGGTCACAATTTCAGTTTTGCTGGTTAGAATTATAGAATTCTCATAAAGAAATATCTTGAAGCACAGTAAACTAGTGCATCCAATAAATCACAATATGATCGAAGTTGTATTCATATACCTGCACAGAGAAAACAAAAAAGATAGCATAATATAGATAAAAATCTTTTTACTACAAAACATTAATCAATTTACAAAAGTAATAACTTAAAGATAATCAATTATTTGTAAGTTAATACCTTTAAACTCTCTTACTGCTATCAATTATGAAAAAGCTTTGTATGTTTGATCTTGCAGTAACTGAAATATTCAATCATCAAATGCATTTCATATACTTTATAGAGTGAGAACTTACGTGTGGATCCTGTCGGTTGCTCGCATGCTTTTGATAGTCTGTCTATTTCATTTTCATCTGTTGCAACATTTGATAAGTCCTCTAGATACTGTCGCATTTTTCGAGACATCAAGGCCTTACAAAACATAAGTTAATTGTTACCTCAAATTTTTGGAAATTTTCAATGACAATCAATATTTGAGGTAAAAATTTTTTTATAGAGGTAAGAATTTTCAATAAAACAGTATTTTGCAGCAGCCAATTCTTTTAGGTTTACAAATGGAACTTCTGTGGATGGCATTTGCAAAACAGGTTCAAACCATTGCCAAGATTTTTTGAGAGAAAATTGCCTTAATAAATGCCATTTATGATGGAGACACAAAGCACAGACATTGCTCAACATCTAAATAGGGAGACAATCATAGTCATAGAATTATAAAAGAAGTAAAACTGAACTTAATGTCCCAAAATAAGTTGCAAAACTGGCAATATGCTCAATTTTAACACACAAATTATTCTTCTATAAAGCGCTAACTAAAAGTAACTCATTGCAGCATGGTTTCTTATTACTACAACTAACTCATTGCAGCACTGTTCAATGCAGCATGGCAAACAGCACTACTTCTCTACTTTTTTAAACTGCCTTCATTTGCATCATCATTTAAAAAGAGAATCTTACCAGTTTCAGCACTGTGAGATTTGGTGTTGTTTTGTTTTGCTTAAGAGCTAAATTCACATCTAATTTTATATTTTACAAAAATTTAGGCTGCAATAAAAAGAGTCACAAGTTAATTGTTTTAAGGTACCTCTTCATATGCCTTTTTGGGGTTGTTCATGGAGCTGCTTGTTCGTCTGTGTTTTCGAGTCATTGTGTTCTGTCCAGTCATCACACTGACTACTGACTGAGCAATGCTCGGTGGAGCACCATTGCTTGTTTGTGTGACATCATCCATCTTACCAGGGTCCTAAATAAAACAAACTCCCATTTTCACTAATAAGCATCAACCATCAAGCAGACAAAGGCAATTAAACAAATTTGAGTTAAACCAGTTCTTCCTCTGTGCTAATTGCTTTCACAATTTGAATAAATGAAATAAAAAAACTTACATATCCTATAGCACAATACTTGCAGACTTTTCTAACTTCTCTTGCAATCATCCGCAATTTTTCAAAGTTGACCTAAAATAAATTTCAGAATTTCAACAAACAAGACAAGATGGGATAAAAGAACTCTAAAAACTGTACAATGTGAATAATTATCTAAAAGCAATACCAGGTGAAGTTAAGTCAAATTTAATGAAGTCAAGCAGTATAAAAAGGGCTCTAGTTTCATTAGGAAAATCATTTGGTAGGGAATCTAACACCTTCAATTCCTTTCTCCTGCAAAATGCCTTACAGAACCTGAATTGTTTAACCTTAGATTGTCATAAAGACTCAAAAATACTGTCAAAAAATACTGTCAAAAAATACAGTCAAAAATACTGTCAAAAAATACTGTCAAAAAATACTGTCAAAAAATACTGTCAAAAAATATACATAAACTAAAAAATCGATTTGATGTAAAAGCTTGAATATTTTGTCCTACTTTTGCCAGTTGTCAAATTCATGATTCATAACCATCAATGTAATTCTCATGGAAGATGTTGCAGCAAAACATTGTTTTTGATTTATAATCCAATTTTTACCAATTTTTTCTTATGAAGAAATATCAAACTTGAATTAGCAATTAAGGCTTCCATATAAGGAAATACAAGAAAGCAGAAAACTGCTGAAAATTTCACAGTTGAGGTAGTTTTTCAAGTTTACACAAGCGGTGCTAAGCTCACAGCCCAAAGGCTAAATCCAGCCATCTTATAGAATTAAATGTGGCCTATGAAATAATTTCATGCGTCTATCATCAATAGCCCTTTGTTACACAGAGTTGAAACCACTTATTTCACAAAGTCTTCTGTTCTTGATAGTTTTGGTTAAATTAATTCGTTGTCATTGAACTCTATTGAAACATTTAGAGTAGTCTAGACATAAGTACTTGCAACACAGTTAATTTTGGGTAGTTCACTGTATTCTATGTGGAATCCCCACTTTTGCCATTACATTATCACCTATTCTTTGATATGCTCTGACAAATTGTAGAGTAAGGAATGCTAGATAAAAACAAAAACAATTATAGTTGACCCTTAACAAGTCGACTAGAGCTGAAGTCGAACTTTCGTTTGCTCAAACTTTCCGTCTCTCCCATGGTTTTGCTACGGTTCTTGTACAGAAATAGCCCTGTAAAATTCGAGCTCCTCATGTTATGGCTGCTCAAGTTGAACAAAATGGGCAAAATCGAAGTCAATGCGACCAAACAAAGCTATCAAGCAATTTGGATTGACTATTTCTGGCAAAAATCACAAACAGAGGAAACTAATTACAGTTATTATATAAACTAATAACATGTTCCTTGTTCCTTCCAACATAAGAAACAAAGCTGCCCCTCAAAGAGAACAGCCTCCTCGACCTTGTAGGTCTAGAAACAACGCTAAAACAAGTGATTCTGCCATCGGACAACATCTGTACGGGTGAACATCTTTTGGGAAACCCGGATTGTGCAAAACTCTATAATGATGACATGTTTCATATAATTGGAAGAGCCAGGTCTTCTTTTCATCTAGCAGTTAATGAATTGATCTACATACAAGCAAAAACGCTGCTATTGTGTAGACAGAAGGAGTTCGTTTTTTCTCTTGGACTCCACTGGTAATTTTTCTATAGGCACGCGGTACTGATTGGATAACTATAGCGGTCATGTGCTCGCCTTATTCAGATTAGCCTATTTCGATCTACAATTGGGTACATACTCTTCATCTTGTGCTTTCTGAACACTGTTCTGATGTTTTATACTCTGAGGAGTGTCAGACGAAAAAGCTTTAAGTTAGAATGTTGTGCAATGTTTGCTTTTTTCAAAGCCATTTTCAAGTCATTATATCGCCAAAAAGTGATATCATTTATCCTGTCTTTTCTCAAAACGGACATAAAATTAAATGACCCTTGAACTTGCATAGAACTTGCATTCAACCCCCATTATACAGATTTATTGCGCATCCTTTTTTGCTTCTTTTAAGATCTGCTTTCAGAAAATGTAGTCGTTTCAAATTGTCTGCTACTGCTCTTTTTGGCTGGATCTTTCGACTGATCAGGGTCCAATGGTATAAAGGGGTGCAGATCAAATATAAGCTGCTGACTACTCTGAAATCTACTTATAAATACTCTGAAATCTTTTACAAAAGGAGGTTGAAATACACAGGGGCCGGAAACTTCTCAAGAAAACTATATACAAGGGGTTGGAACAGGAGAGGGTGGTTTTGGAATGAATGGGGGTTCAGAATAAGAGGAGGATGGAGGAAAACGGGGTTGCGTGCTAGAAAATCAAGATGTTTATCAAATGATATGTTATGTTTATCAAATGGTACAGCAAATGATATGTTTACAGACCCCAAAACTTTCCGCCTTAATCATATATTGCTTCGTCATTTGGGAAGGAAACAAAATGATAAGCCGGGTGCCTCGTTTTATTAATTTCTTTTTGACCACAACAAATTTTCACCCTTATATAGTTGAGCGAACAACTCACTCTTGTCTACAAAAATCTGGATTCTTTGGCTTTTAGTTTCAACAGATTTCAAATACCAAAGCGATTTTGCCAGCCCAGTGATTTTTAAATTATTGCGACCAAAAAGATACTGTAGAAAGTTGGTATCATATTGTCTTGATCGTCCAAAACACTTAAAAAGAAAAAAGACATTGCTTGTCTAATGATTTTAAAATAGTCTATGAATATACCTCGAAGTGCGAGAAAGATGTTGAGTTTTATTTTTAGAATACATGCTACAGTCTACACTTCTAACTTAAACAAAGAAACAATAACAATTCGGCACCTTTAAACAACAAGATAAAACTACTATAGTCTGTCTCATGTGGTTACATGCCAAGAGAATAGTTTGTAATCAGAATGACATTCAGTTTGTGGGACATTTGCCTCTCGTTACATTGATTTTGTAGAGAGGGTTAAAATGTGTGTACCTCTCATATTACACCCCAGTATGTCTATTCATACAACTTTGAAAATGATCAATAAACTTGAATCTCTCAAAATAAGTCCAACTCAAGTGCCTACTGGAATAAAAATGAAAATATCAATGCGAAATTCATAACTTACCAATCCATCAACGTAAGTTTCATTTCCAAGGTGCAGAAATGTCAAATCTTTTTTTATGATTGGAAAGAAAGGAATCTGCAAGCAAAGATGAATTAAGAAAAATAAGTGCAAGGAAGGAGAGCAAATTACAAATTTCGAAATTCAACTACTAAGATAGAGTTTTCTTTGTTGCATTTTGTATGTTCCTTGCTCGCTTAGCAACTCGTTTAGCAAAGGTGAGATTTAATTCAATTTACCAAATGGTTAATGGTTGTCAGGGAGTATCCATGCTTAGCTTGATTAAAAAAACTTTGGGCTAAACAGCATATTGCCTACAGAAAGAGTTAGGAGATTTTAGAAAACATACAAAAAACAAGAGGGGTTATTGCCAATAGCAGAAGGTGTGGTTTGCGTGTTATTTTCAAATTGAAAATGGTGGGTTTGATACATAGGTGATACATTAACATAGGGTTTGATACAATCATGGCTTACCAGAGGAGGGTATGCCCGTTCACCATTAAACAAATTGCGATATCTGGACATATTTCTTGATGGATCCATCAGTAATTTCAAATCCTGAAAAACAGCAACATTGATTAATTATGTTGTCAAAATATGTAAAAATACATAAAAATCTGTAAAAAGACTAGAACAATACTTTGATATCCAAATTTCATAACCATAGAAGAATACCAAATAAATGTCTTAAGGCTTATATTTCAAGTGACTTAAAGCAAACTTTGTTGGTTAATTAAACAAGCATTCAAGTCATGCCTTCACAATGCCGTTGTCTGCTAAGGATATTAATAAAATGCCACTTTATTCCAACAAATCATATCAAATACCTCAAAGATTTTGATGTACTTTGCAGGAACCTTCTCCCAAGTTGTCTTGAGTCTTCGAACAGACGAGTGGTCAAGTCCACTAAAAAATGGATACACATCATGTACAAAAAACACTACTTTTCACATAAAATTAACTTAAAAATATTTGTATTTTGTTCCAGTAACAAATGAAGGCAAGAACAGACTTGAAGTAAGATAAAAACGCTTTTCTCTAGACAAGCTTTAAAGTAGGCAACATGGGTCAATGAAACTTTCTCTCGAAGAGAACATCCTCTTCGGTTTTTGTAGATCCAAAAAACAAATACTAAACACGCGATTCTGCATGTTTTAAAAGTTGCAATTCTTTTTACAATGTTTTAAAGAATTTCCAAATTATTTCCAATTGCTGCAATTTGACATGCAGCAATTTGAAATTATTCGTTAAGGTAAAAAAGGGTAACCTTTGAGTAACGGAAACAAAGAAGACAAAAAGTTTGAAAATATGATGAATAATTCATTTCACTTGATCTGTATGTGTGACCTACCTCAAAAGAGCAAACATAGAGTTGTAGTTTTTGAAATCATTGCAAAGCTCTGAAAAAGATTGGAAAAGTTCTTGCTAACAGATTTCAGTGTAGAATAGGCAAGGGTTGCATTGCCAAGAATAGATGGACTTCACTGTGTATATACTTGCAAACATATTCATTGAATCTTACTGCATTGTTTGCATTGCATGGTAATGTTTTGTATCTAATTATATTGTATTGAATTGTATAGTATTGTATAGCATTGCCAAGAAACATTGTAAAGTATTTCAAATAATTGTATAGAATTGTATAGTATTGCAAAGAATTGTATAGTATTGTATTGTACTGTATTTGCTAAAATAGCTGGGTAGATTCTCTATCCATTTACTTCCATTAAATCCATTAAGACCCCGTTGACACTATAAAAAAATTGTTCGGGTTGATTTGGGTTTACACTGTGCTTCACAAATTTTGTCCACTTTGCCCCTCCGTTCACACTGTTCCGGATAACTGTAGTCACATGACCTAAATCATGTACAGAACGCCCAAAATGAAGTCTTCTCTGGGCAACAAAATTCCCGCCAACGTAAAAAGACTTCATTCTCTCTTCAGAATCATCTGCTTCTCTTTTAGACCAAATCCAAAGAAGTCAATACAAATTAGGCCTAGTTTGTTTTAATAGTTTGTTCTTGAAACAAAATGGCACTGAACTAGCAACGCACAAAATGCCACTTTTAACACGAGTATTTATCGACAACAAGGCAGCCAAGATGGCGAAAGGTGTTGATTGGGAGACAGTGAAAACTAAATTGAATGAAAAAATCGCCTTCGAGCAAGATACGATTTGGATCAAATTTATCCGGAAAAAAGCGTTTACACTGTTCCACATAGCTATCCGAACTAATTAAATCCACTTTCCTAGGTGAACTAATTTTGTTCGGATAGCTGCTTTCAAATTCGTGCGGATAGCGTGGGTATAGTCACCTAGCTACATGCTTGTTGGAATGTTGAAAGACGAATAAAGTTATCTGCTTTACAAAGGCCCTTACTTGCAACTTTGATGAATCTTTTTATCATTTTCACTCTCTTCACAATGTTTGTTTCACTGCAAATTTCTCTCATCACCCAGAACATTTCCGTATTGGCAGTCTGCAAAATATACACAACAATAAAAGCAGTTATACTAATAGCAGTTAAGACTGAAAGAAGAGACCTGCTATGAATTTAACGTGACATGTACAGAACTGAAGGTAAACACACCAGCTTAGATAAGAACTCACCTTTTCGAATTTACCAAGGTTGCTAAATTTTCCAAAGCTTTTTGAATCAAACAGGTTGTATATATATTCTCTCGAATCTATGCTTCTAAACAAATTGAAATCCTGCAAAGATATGATAAGAAAGTTACAACTAGCAAGGTTACCTTGAAAAAACTGAAAGATTCTTACACTACTACATTGGAGGTAAATTGGACCTTAAACTTTATAAAAACATTGCTTGAAAGACAAAGGAAACTATTAGATGTATTCAAAGAGATCTATTCTGAATATGAAGAACTGCATAATTGATACTTATAATGATCTCTAATAGTGTTGAATTAAGATAACTTATATAAAGAAAGTAAACTTAATAAAAATCAAAACAATGAGAGACTGTAAAGCATCATCATAAGCAGAAACAAAGCAGTTATTCGTTGAGTAGCATGAAGACAAATGGACAAATGCTGACAGAGGTACCTGTAACGTGAGTTCCCTTGCTACATCAAGTGGTGACAGTTGAAGAAACGTTGTTGTTCCCTCACGGGCAATGTCCTGGACAATGAAAGCAAAAGTGAGCAATTAAAAATTCGCTTCAAAGCTAGCTGAAAAAGTAGCTCATAAAATACAGTAATAGCATTCACAATTCCTTCTTATTGCACAAACAGCAGTCCTAATTCTAAAGGAGGCTTTGAATTCAGTAATCTTCATGCGTCTGTTTAGAGAGGCCTCGTTTCGCAAACATGAGTTTGTTTGAGAGACTCAAGCACCTGTTTGAGAGACCAAGATTCTTTAAAGGTATTTCTATTCCCTAAAACCAGGAATGTGACTTTTTTGCAAGATGATTTCATCTACTTCTCTTCGTCATTTAACCTGATCTACACCCTATCAGTTAAGGAATTTGGACCAACACCATCTCCAAGAGAAACATCGCTAAAACACAATGAATAGGACTAGCTTCTGGTTATCAGGTGACACAGAGAGTAGAGGATGCAAAACATAGAAGAACGATCCATGCACTTTTACAGCATGTTGACAGAGAATGAAAGAACAATGGGATGGTGGTGCGCATTTTGTCAATTTAGAAATGGATCACAATCTATGCACATCTTACACAATTTGCTGCAGTTATGAATAGATTACATGGGGATTCCCTCTCGCTGCTCTCGGGCAAACGTCAAAGAAGATCACACGTGCATACGCTATGAGAGTAGGTCCATTGGACACAGATTTCAAAGAGAATTACGAAGACTTGGGATCACTATTCAATTAAATGGTTTGTAGCAAAGCCAATTGAGAAGTTCAGTATTCGAATAAGACTCCGAGATCACCGTTAATTCAATTGGCTGATTAAACGAAACCACGGCAGTTTTAAATTGAATAAACGAAATCGGTATTAACAGACGGATTTCAAAGGATCGAAAAATTTGAAAATACTAGCAATTTTTAGATACTTTTAAATTGAATAGATATAATATTTGACAAAACAAGTCTGTGCCACTGGAAATTTGCTCGAGCTGTCCAAAATACTTCTACATATGTAAACCGGCCATTGCAGTACGTAGTATAGGTGCATGTAGTTATGAAGGGTTGATGTAAGGATTGAGCACTCATTGCGCACTAAGGCCCGTTTCAAACATCAAACTTCTCATGTGGCGAGAATTGAGCATTGTGCACTAACTTCCTGCAGTAACACACCAGGGTCCCCAATGCCACGACAAAATTGTTCATGTTATGTGCACAGAAAGTTGCAACGGTTGAATATCAATTGAAATACCTGAGCAACTTCGTTTGTAACACCGCCATCTGATAACGTATTTTTGATGAAGTACCTTGAGAAAAAGGCCGAAGAATAAATGAAAATCACGAATTGAACCGGGTACTAAAAGAACCTATGAAAACATTTTAAAAAAATCTTGTTTTTTGTAATGACAAGACTTGCAAAATATTTCTAAAAACGTTGTTGTCTACTACTTCATTCGGCCTGACAATGCTAATGATACAAATCAAAGTTAAACTTAGAAGAATCTATTCAACAACAGCAAAAAACCTAGATCGAAGGCCGATGCGATTGGCGAGATCCGTAGCCAGGTTTGTTAACCTCTTCTGCCTGATGACGCCATCCTCAGTGACAGTTACCTCACACAAGAAATACGGATGCCTAAAATAAATAAACCAGGATAAATAAACCAGGATAACATAGCAACGATTCTCGAGTTATTCGTTGATTTGCATACGTCACAAGTGGGGATCCCGGCACAACAAACCCAGGTCTTGGCAATAAAACTCGCCTTAAAATCTATTGTTTAAGTGCTGTTCAGGTAAGGATAACGAATATTTACCCTGTCGTAATAACGTTTGGAAATATCTTTACCATTACTACATAAAACATTATTTACCAATGCCACTTGCTCAATATTGAGACAGATGTTTTGACGTCTCTAGAATAATGGACAATAGACAAAACCAACATCTCTTAACTTATGATATAGTCTAGCTTTGTCCCAAGAAAGAAATTAAAAAGATTTGTTTTCATGATTTTGAAATTCATTTCTTACCAACAAGAGTTTCAAGTGCATTGCCCCTAAACTTAAAAGCGTATTCAAGTTGACAAAATTACCTCGTATTTAAGAGCGAAAGCTAGCGTAACACGTGGCATCTAGTTTAACTGTTGAACAGAGCACAAAAAGATTTGCTGAGATCCTTAGTAACTCACCCTCGTGTGTCGGTAATTCCGAACTGTCCAACTGCTTCGATGACAACTTCTTGAGCAGTAGTTTCCTGTACACAATCATAAATTACATTAAATTACCCAGATTAAAGCCATGGACTAGAACTTGTTCGCATAAAACTGCGAGTCATTTTGACTGTTTTGAATCTTCTTCTAGATATAACCAGTTTTCTAGGGCAAGTTCTCTCACGGGCTGCCCCGCCCTAAAAAATTACTTCAAACCAAAAAAAGACTTTCTGCATACGTGACAATTATTTCTGCAGATTATAGAACACTTAAATTCGAATTCAGGGTCGTTCAGGCATCACTTTTCCTTGGGGTACTGTTGCTAAGATAGAGTACGATGGAATATAGGATATCAATGTATTATGGATGGAAGAAAGGCGTACTGACCAGACTGCAAATGGAAGGGTGGATTAATGGCACCGTGCCAGTACTTCTCTGTCTTAAATTATGCTACCTAAGACGATCTAGACATCAGCAGCCCAAAAAACAAAATAAGCGTTTTTTGTAGTAAAGTTCAAGCCGTTGAAATAAGACACATAACACCAACTTAGAAATAACAACAGCCAAATGGGGAAGGGGGTATTCTCCCTAACCCCTAAGTATTTTCCCTAACCACAAAGCAACATTGCCGACAAACAGGACTTTTTAATTTGCTAGTTCGAAAAATAGCATTGTACACAAAACATGAATAGGTTTTTTCTCTTCTCGGGGGCACAAATCAAGACTTTCGTTTTCAAACAGTTGTTTGAATACCAGTATCTAAAGTAAAGGACGCGGCCAACTCTTGACATTGTGACAGTTTATGAGCCGATTTATCTGCAGTCTTTCAATGAAAGCTGACGAATTTTAAATATAGAGACATCATATGCAAGATAAGTATTTAGCTTCATATCTGGTAGGCATACTTGAACGCTCTCCACAATTAGCAAAAAGCCACAGCCAAAACATTTGCGTTCCTAGTGCTTCCTTTTAATAATAACTTGCTGTCGATTGAGGATCTAAGCAGCTAATGAGTTGAGCCCACAAGATCTTTTTATAGAATCCCTGACCTTGACCATCTTGAGACTCCCACAGCTGTGAAACCAGGCTACTTTATTGTTTAAAAAGAACATTAACAAAGGAAAGATGATCCTTGCGACCAGTTGTTTATCTTGACCTTCCAGACTGAATGAGTTGAGGGGGTTAATGAAGTGGTATGGAGGTTTACGATGAAAAAAATTACGATTAAGACCTTGGCAAGCGCTATTATTAAAATCTACAGTCAAGGAAAGAGATAAAGATAATTTTGTTCTTATTTTACTTACTGTCTCGGGCCAACAAGAGGTTTCCTGACGAGCTACTGAAACAGAGTTTAGTCGTCCAACCCCTATAGCCACGTTCTATGTACCCCTGCTTGCGACATTAACAGAAAATCTAGGCACAGCGTAAAATTACTCGATTTGCATCTCTATCCTCTCCTTTCAACTTTAATCCCCTCCATATTTTCATATATTTTCTTTTTTATCCAAACATTATCAAAAATGATCCACGTCTCAAACTTTTTTTGCTCTTATATAAAATCCTATCAATTCAGGAAATGCAGTTAATAGCTTTTTTGAGCGGGTTTCTAGAGTCGCTCATTTCGATAAATATTGATATTTGAAATTTTCATTTTACTGTCAAAGTTCAGAGTTTTTTGCAGCAAGAAAAATATACAACGAGGAAAATCAAATCAGAACAAATAAACAAAAAGAGGGACAAGAACTAATAAGAAGCACAGAAAAACCATCGAGGGCCGCATTTACAAAAACCTTTTTCACGGTCTTCTTAAAACAGAAATTATAAGAACTTTTTTAGGTATTGCACAGTTAAGCAAAATGAGGCAATAAGATTAAGAGGAGGCAATAAGATTAAGAGGAGTCAATCTCTGTGACCGTGCTTGATAAAAAACTGACGGCAGATCAAATTAGAGAACGCTCATGCAAGAAATAGGCTCATATTTTTAGTGCACAGGGTTTACTCAGTAGGGATACATAAAAGATAATTTTACAATGCAAAACAATTAAGCTCATTAGAGGACACCTGTAGGTTAATATCAGAATTTTCCAAGGGAATGGAAGGACATCAGCACTGGCCATATCATCTAACATATATATATATATATATAAAGCAATTCTAATAACTTCAAAGGTTATTCTTTCAGTTGTTATAAAGGTCTACTCAATCAGTTGTAATTAAGAAAAAATGGCTATTGGGAAATAAAGACTTGCTAAGAATGTGTGACAACCATAACAGGAAAGGAGACATCATGAGAGAGTTTTCAGAAAGTGCGCCACAACTCAATGATCAATTGACAATTAAATCGATATTCACTCCAAAGCTCCACTAAACAAGTATTTTAAAAAGTAAAAAAAGAATGAATGAATGAATGTAATAGAAGTTTTAAAACTCCTCTAGTCGAGCCAAGAACGTATGCAAATAAGACACAACGCTAAAAAGGGACATAGACAGGAGAAAGTTTCCATTTTGAGATCTCTGAGGGTTAGCACACAAAAATATTAAATAGGTAGCAAGAAATAACACTTACCGTGTTGATAATGAAATATTTAAAGGCCTGGTCGAGAGCTCTGTGGACTTTGATAACCTGGCAATCTTCAACGAGGCTGTCATTCATGTCGCTCTCTGCGATACGAGACTGATTCCGAAAGGGTATTCTGTCCGCATCAAGGTCGATTCTGTTCAGCTCTTGGTTACTTCTGCAACGCACAAGAGTACCTCGATCACAACAAAGCCCGCTCAGAGTATATGACTAATGGTAATGTAATTTTTCCGATCGGCGCTAATCTCGGGTAGCCACGACTTTCCTCTTCATATGGTGGAGGTTCCTAAGAATACGAACTAATTCGCAGGCAGAAAATATCGGATTTGTCGCCTTATCAACCACCAGAGGCAGCAATGATGTAGAATTAACTTCATTATCTGCAAAACCGCAAGGATAATTGGGCTGGACAGAGCCTACTTCAAGCAAGACCTGAACATATACTCGCAAAACTCATTCACGATCGCCATGATTGTAGTTGATAACAAACAGCATGTACACCTTTACACAGTACAACCTTCACATTACGGGAGTCAGAGTTACTATCACTAAAGGATGTGTACGTTTTCTTGGGTTTATTTATGAGGGGCTAGGGTCAAAGGGAATACATTTTTAGACGAAACTGTTTGCTGGCTTTTTGACGTGTTCAGTTGTTATAAAAGTGTATGTCCATGGGGGGAGGGAAGGGGGGGGGGGTCTTACCTTAACTATATGAGTCAAAACTACTGCAAGGATGTGCAAAATGTTGCTAAAAAATTATTAGAAAAAGGTCACTAGAAATTTCAACACCGAGTCAACCACCAAATCCTTACGCGCTCAATATGCTGCACAGAATAGTTAAAGAATATGTATGATGTTTAATTTGACAAGTTTTACTTTTAGAGAAATTTTAGCGATAAAGGGTCTTGCAAATAATACGACGGAAGAAAAATCAAGATTTTAATTCTTGTGAGGCATCATGCCCCTGGAGTGACGAATATGGCAGAGAGAAACCTATACTATACCAAACCAAAAAAGGCAAATGGTATTGCCAATCAAAAAGGCATCGGAATTCGATCATTTTCTTCGTTGCAAATGGCCTATTGATCCCACTGGTCTTCTTTATTTCAAGCTCTACAAGCACATAGCAGGCAAAAATCAATTAAACAACTATTACTACCAACAGAGGCTGCCACAATAAGGTTTCACTTAAACTATCACATTGCCGTTGGCTCGATTGCCTTATCCCAAACAAAATTGTTACAGGAAACCTAGCGCCAGCCTTTTTCCAACATTCTTAAACAAATCCCTTCTAATGGCATATTATCGGGCTACCCATAATCATCAAACCTCCTTTTACTGTTGTCGGAAATCGTGCGATGGTTTTTAACGACCTTTTGATTACATCACAGTGTTAAAATGCGACGAAGGATGTTCTCAGTGTGAAAATCTTCCACAAAACACTCCATGGAAATTGCTACAATTGACAAAAGAAAAAACACCGCAAGCACTTAACTTCTAACTTCTAAATTTTCAAATCAAGCACGAGCAGTGTTCCGTGTACCTGACTTGAAAGAACCTCGATACCAAGGTTTTAGATCTACGAACAGCAAAAATTTCCGAGCCTCAATTCAACAATAGTGAAAATTTCTTTTATAGAAACTGTAGAGGAATCTATTGCTGTTAATCAATGTTGCAAAAAATAGGCAAAAGCAAGTTAAATCAATCCCAGATTGGTTTCAAACAGAGAGCAGCCTATTTCGTGACTTGCTAGTATTGTTTAAGACTTACCCTGACTTTGGAAGAATACTGAACATTGCCTTCTTTCTTATGTCCTTGTGAGTTCTTGCGTTAACTCGGCCGGGGTAAGTCCCACTCACGTGAAGATCTACTAGCTAGAAACGAAAGACAACCAATATCTCAACTAAATCACATACTGCTCAAGGTTTAAAATATCTCCAACAGATCATGCAGTGCTATCATTTGCACAAATTTTTCAAGCAAATTTCCACTATTTTCATACTCGAATAGCCAAATATCAAGAAAATTTGATATTTCAGACAAAACAACTTCGGCTATCCACGAAAAAGATAGAAAAGCGATCCACAAATACTCCAGAAGACTTGAAAAGAAAGTCGTTTATTTAAAAAACACTCACTTTCATTTGTTGGGCTTTTTTGTCGTTGAAATCTAGAGAAATTGAGAAAACAGCTAAAAACAAATTAGCAATTGAAATCAAACATATCACACTTAAAAGAGCACAATAGGTGGTTGAGATGGGCTGTACACATCGAGATTTCCCCTTTAACAAGACCTTTGAGAGTTACAGAAAGGCAGAAAATTCACCGGTTGAAATGTTCAAAAAAATATGAAATTCTCTGTAGTTTTGGACATCATATAAAATTTATACCATTCTGTGTCCACAATGAAAGGAATTCCTGTACAAAGAAACTAATATCTTTTCCAGCTCTTGCCAGAATCAAATTTTAGGTTAACAAAAATTGGTTCTGCCTTTCCGTTATGAAAAAGGCTCTTAAATCGAACAAGTACCATATCCAAAGATAAAGCGAATATAAAATGCAGTTTGAAAAAACATCGCAAAATTGGACTTTAGATCGTTAGAATATGCTATTGCAGTGACTTATCAACACTAAATAACGATCAATGTAGATAAATTGTACCAGGAAAATTTTTTAAAATAATTAACGACGTTTCGAGCATAGCCCGTTATCAATGATATCAAGTGATAACGGGCTATGCTCGAAACGTCGTTAATTATTTTAAAAAATTTTTCCTGGTACAATTTATCTACATTGATCGTTATTTAAAATCATCATATTGTACCGCACGCATTTTAGTATACTTATCAACACTATCAAGAAAACCCTTAAAGGAGCTGCAAAGAAACTGTGCAATTAGAACACACAAACGACATGACCCAACCTGAATTGCTGTTTTTATCCGGAGGTTTTTGTCGATCACAAGTATCCGAAGTACTTCGTGTAACACCATGTGTCCTGTCCTACCGACGGAAAGTGAAGTAAAGCATGGGTCTTCAATATGGCAGCGTAGTGATAACAACATGTCGTCAGATATAACAAACCACAGGCCAAAGAGTTCAGAAAAACACTAGAAGTCTTCAATGATTTTCAATGATCAGAAAAACACATGATTCTCAATGATCAGAAGAACACATGATTTTCAATGATCAGAAGAACACATGATTTTCAATGATCAGAAAAACACATGATTCTCAATGATAATAAAAACACATGATTTTTAATGATCAGAAAAACATGATTTTCAATGATCAGAAAACACATGATTTTCAATGATCAGAAAACACATGATTTTCAATGATCAGAAAAACACATGATTCTCAATGATCAGAAGAACACATGATTTTCAATGATCAGAAGAACACATGATTTTCAATGATCAGAAAAACACATGATTCTCAATGATAATAAAAACACATGATTTTTAATGATCAGAAAAACATGATTTTCAATGATCAGAAAACACATGATTTTCAATGATCAGAAAACACATGATTTTCAATGATCAGAAAAACACATGATTCTCAATGATCAGAAGAACACATGATTTTCAATGATCAGAAGAACACATGATTTTCAATGATCAGAAAAACACATGATTCTCAATGATAATAAAAACACATGATTTTTAATGATCAGAAAAACATGATTTTCAATGATCAGAAAACACATGATTTTCAATGATCAGAAAAACATGATTTTCAATGATCAGAAACACACATGATTTTCAATGATCAGAAAAACATGATTTTCAATGATCAGAAACACACATGATTTTCAATGATAATAAAAACACATGATTTTTAATGATCACAAAAATACACAATTTTCAATGGAAATTGCCGGCTTCCCCCTTCGTTTGCATAGCAGCGAGTCTATCATATCTAAATAAGGTGAGTTAAGGGTCGGCAGGGGTTTTTCTTAAATATCAACTAAGTCCCTTTAAAAAAATATTGAATACTCACTGCTTTATAATTGTATTGAAATTTTGAGCAGGGAATTAGAACTGTCTCGTTCAACACATCATGACGTGTACATGAAAAATATAATTAACAGAATTGAATTTACTCGAAATTGAGGCTTTTTGAAGAATTTGTCCTCGTTGTTTTCCTGCATCTTCTTTTTGTGCCAGTTATCCACAACTCGCTTGTAACCCATAATGTTGTTCTTCACCACAAGTGAGAGGTGAAAATGGCTTTTGAAGGTATCAAGGGCCTATAAAATGATAAAAAAAATAAAATTAATCACGCTGAAGACACAGCCATGGAAGGCAAATCGTCTTTGCAAATTGTTAATTCAAAAAGCGTTCTAAGGTGTCACATCATCTCTGCGACAATAAATTCTCGCTGGAGTAATGTGCATCTCGTTTCAATTGGATTTAGAACAAACGAAAGCGATAAATTTTAATTAGAATTAAGGACAGACAGACCAGGCTTATACAAATCCTTAACAGTCAAAATGATACAATGCATCTGGACTGTGTTACTAGCAAATATTTTATACATTTACAATGGAAATATTTCCGATACACGGGGAAATGCATATATATATAGTGTTTATAAGAGCTGTGAAATATTTTTACGAAAAATCCAGCAAAAATCAGTAAAAGATAAAATCATAGCAGGTCGACCTATGTTCATTACCGTTTGAAGTTTGACGTTCTCGAGGCTCTGTCCATTGACCTCAAGGATCTGAAATATAATATAAAGTTTACTACTTGTTTCAATAACTGTAGTAACTGAGTAACTAAGGGAGACTTTCTAAGGCAAACAACCAAACCAATGTGTACCTAGAACCATATATAGTTATTGAAATTCGATGATATCCTTCAGTTTTTAGATTTGCTTTGGTTATGTAAAAAACATTAAATCACGGATCGCCAACAACCAAATCAATGGTAGCAAACAACAACAGCAACAACAACGAAGGGAAAGCATATCACCATCAGAATAGTTGGTAGGTTAGTTTTTAGAACAACGAGTGGCTGCGACCATCGAGCAGTGTCTGGTCCTTTTTCTTGATGTGAGCACACCTCGTGATTCCTACACCTGGAATTACAGGGAACCAGTGACTCTCCTAATTCTAAGTCAAAGTCTGCTCAGTGACAGTGACTCGAACCATCAATGACCCTTGAATCTGTAGTCCGTGCCAAGCTGCTACAAGATATCCAAACACAGCGACAGAAAATCGCATAGATTATCATAAGGAGACATCAACAAAAGCTGGAGAGCTGTTTTACCTGATCACCTTTCTTCAGGCCGGACACTTCTGCCTTCGAATCGATATCAACCTAAAGATTAAAGAATCACCACTGAAAGATTTGATTTTGTCATTTAACACAAAGACTTAATGGGCAACTGTCTATTAGAAAACAAGATACGAAACTGTCACAGATAGACAAAACAATATATTTCGAAAACATTTTTCATCAAATTGGTACCAAAAGTGATGGAGGTGACTTGTGTCACATGGAAAGTACGGCTTGGTCGTTTTTAAAGTATCTAGATCTGGAAGTAAATTGCTTGACCATTCTACAAATCAAAAAAGGTCATTTTCATGAATAAGTTCTGTCTCAAATCTGAACGCTTCAGCTTTTCTAAAGGTTTCTTGACAATCTACATTTAATTATGAATTGATACCATATAAGACGACCATTAAATGTACCTTTGAAACAAAAATTCCGGCCCCTATTTCCGAACCACCCATAATGGAGAAGTCAAACTTGGCATCCTTGTATGGGCGATCCTAAAATTAAATGGAAATGATTATCCAAGATACGATTATAGCAAAGATTACATTTTCGAAGAAAGCAAAGTAGAAGGGGAAGTAACAGGGGACATAATGAGAAAAAATAATGAGGGAAAATAACGAGGAAAAATAACGAAGAAAAATAACGAGGAAAAAATAACGAGGAAAAATAATGAGGAAAAATAACGAGGAAAAATAACGAGGAAATATAACAAAGAAAAATAGCGAGGAAATATAACGAGGAAATATAACGAGGAATGTAACGAAGAAAAATAACGAGGAAAAATAACGAGGCAAAATAATGAGGAAAAATAACGAGGAAAAATAACGAGGAAAAATAGCGAAGAAAAATAACGAGGCAAAATAACGAGGCAAAATAACGAAGAAAAATAACGAGGCAAAATAACGAGGAAAAATAATGAGGAAAAATAACGAAGAAAAATAACGAGGCAAAATAACGAGGCAAAATAACGAAGAAAAATAACGAGGCAAAATAACGAGGAAAAACAACGAGGAAAAATAACGAGGAAATATAACGAGGAAAAATAACGAGGAAAAATAACGAGGCAATATAACGAGGAACAATAACGAGGCAAAATAACGAGGAAAAATAACGAGGAAAAATAACGAGGGAAACGTACAAGTGTGAGTGTTCTACTGGTTGACTTCATGGAACGAGCCATGTTTAAAAGCTGGAGTTGCCCAATCATTTTCTAAAATCGAAAGAAATAACAATAAACACCAGTGATGAAAAAAACTTCTTATCTAGCTACAGTCTAGGTTAAGTTGGGTAGATGTTTCCCTGCTAGGATCTCTTGCTAGTGAATTTTTCAGCCTCACTATGGCCAATTAATCTGGCCAAGGATTATGCCATGAAGAACAAAACTCACAGAAACAAAAAGGTCTGCGATCTTCAACGAAAAGAAAGAAAACTACCCTCACACAATCACTACGCTAATTTTGTGAGAATTCAGCTCATCGATATCTCCTTTCTTGCTATCTACTTACTTTTAATCAACACATGATACTATATTACTGACAAGAATACAAACCTTAGCTTCGAGGTAGTATTCAAATCTTTCAATGCAGCGCTCCATAAAAGAATCATTTTCGAAATCACAATAATGGTTGTTCACCCACAACAACATGACTCGTGTGACCTTAACGAAATGCAATTGACATCAGAATTTAAGTGAGAATATAAGTAGGGTAAAAAGCAAATAAATTATCTCAAAAAGGAAAATTAGATCAGAAAACGAAAGCAAACAATCATCATAAATGGATTAATATGAAAACTGAAAATGAAACATTATCTCCTCAATCATACCTTGTCTTTTAGTTGTTCCCGGTCAAACCATTTTACAAGTTTGGATGCGAGTTCATGCGGTTTGAAATTGAATATGACGTAAGTAAGCAAGTAGTCCTCGACGTACGTAGGGTCGATGGTAGAATGGTCCTCCATTAGGTGGTCAAGCAAACGATCAGGCATACCCTGGTAAGAAGAGACGGAGGAGCTTCATGATCTATTTTCAAAACTCGTGCTAACTTTTTTTGTCAGACAAGTGGGCCTACACCTGGAGATAACTGCCCTTTGATTGCCCTTTGGCAGTTCTGACGAAGAAGCAAAAGTTGGCCGAATTTCCGATGCATGTTGCAAGCCACTTTTGATTACAATATTGTTCCAGAAAAAAAACAGAAAAAACTTCGCTGTTTTTGAATAACCTGTTTGGTTGGCCAACCATTTCATATAGAACATTGAGTGCAAACCCTGAGAGGCACAAAAATGAGTAAAACAGCCTTCAAGGGGTCTGAAGTTAAACATTAATTGGAATCTTCTTTATGAAGACCCAAACAGAAAAAGTACAAAAAACTTACTTTGATGACCACTTGGCCCTCTCTGCTTCCACCATCAGTTGTGCGGTGTTCAGTAACCAAAACAACTTCACCTTCCTCTTCGACCCTGACAGTTTTTTCTTCTTCGTGAGTGAATATTCGCCAGTAGTCTTCGCGAGCAATGCAAACGAACTAAAATCAATATTCAATGACAACCTCAATAAAAGATGACAATAACAAAGTCCCCCAAGAATACCGTCAGAGTCTAGAAAAAAGTTTTGCCCTCCTTGATCAAAATAAGGTTGTTTAGGCATATTTACTGGATTTTTTCGTCTTCAACGACCTTTCTAGAGATATTCAGTAAAGGAACCACTTGTCTTCCTGGCCTATAACTACAATATGGCCCATTTCATACACACAAAAAGCAATAACTGTTAGACTAACCATGTAGAGCGTTAACATTGCTGGAACGCACTGCTAGGCTCAAAATATGACTTTTCAGCTATTAACACAAACAATATTTCATCTCTCAAAGCCTCTATAACATCTGCTTTCGTATTCCTACCATGTATAACGTTGACATAAACTACTCTATCTTAAACCCAAAATATATTTTCACAACTAAATAACAACAATTTCTGTATGTTAACAAAGTGTCTCTACGTGTGATACTCAATGACCAACACACACCTGACAATCGTCAACTCGCGTCCTCATCACACCATGATGATAGACCTTTTCCGGTTTGGTATTTACACCAAAACAGTCTCCCAAATGCATCGTCATGGGCACTTTGCCTTTTTCGAATATCTCTACAGAGCCATTCAAAATGACGGACCAGGAGTCCATCTACAAAGTGAATTTTAAGTGGGTTACGTAAAGCGATTCATGAATAAATCATAACGAATCTTGATATCAAAGTGGAGAGTGGTAATTCATTGCCAAAGTACAAACAAAAAGTTAAAGTTTCGTTGCCTTCAGCATAAAAGAGAAAATAGATTAATATTTTCGATATAATCCTGTCGGTAGCTCTATTGGTATGCGCCATGCTCAATTCATTTTGCTAAAACCACCTTGTCAAGGTATCTTTCACTCTAACTTTAAACGAAGTCCACAGTACCTCTTCACCATCAATCATTACTTCTGATCCAGCCTTCTCCACAACAGCAAACACCATATAGGCACACATCTCCCGCCGTACGTTGTATGAAACCTTGCTAAATGCCTTGATGAAAAAGAAGCATATTTCTTATCTATAGAAGCGTAGTCGGTAATAATTCAATAAAAAGACATCGATTTCATTCCGTATAGAATCTGTCTTCGTTGTATGTTGAATGAAATGATCCGCCTTTTTTACCAAAATCGCTAATCGCAAAATAGCAACGCACTTTTTCACTACAAAAATGACCACGGGCACAAAAACAACGAATGAACTTATTTCAAGCTATGATGACAGACTGTAACACGTTAACTCAAACTGGCAACTTAGCTGCGGCAAAATAAATAGGGTTAAGTATTTGAAACGAAAAGATGCAGAGTACAAAATATGTAAAACGAAATGGGAATGTAAAAAAGATGCAAAAATGTGTGACTGGAAAGGATGCCTTATGCTTAAATCATATGAAGTTGACAAAGAATCTAAAGCAGAGGGAGGAGATTTATTGTGGTTTTCATGCGCACAAAAGCTTTGAATGATACAAGTTGATAAAGAAAAATGCTACAAAAGTTCCGCTCATCAAATACAGTAAGGAATTGGGAAAACTTTATTAGATTATTTGAAATAATAAGCATTTGCAGAGATTTTCAAAGGATGACTAAAAACGTACCGGGAGATGCTGCACAAAGTCCATCAAGATATCTACAAAGAAAAAATACTCTTAGCGAAGCAAAAGCAAGTAAAATTTATGAGGACAGCCTTGAGGTTTCATTAATGCGCAAGATAAATAATCAGCCGACAAAGTATATACTTAGATATCAAATGTACAAAAAGGTGGTAGAAAACATTTTCAAATATTAGTCCTTTTCATTGTTCCCTGAGGTTGTAATTTAAGCAAAAGTGCAAATTCCTTACTTGGGGCTTAAAAATGAAACATATGGTAATTGAAAAATAGTTCCAAACTTGACGGGCAAAACAAAGTTTTAACTCACTAATATCATTTTCTGTTCTTTCTGAGGGATCTTTCTCTAAGCAGTCCCTTACAATGTCTCGAACAGCAGCAGACTAAAAATTGACGTTTTAAAAACAGTTTAACGAAGACTGGTTGGACAATAATCGCTTGTCACGAAGATGAAAATTTAGAGTTAAAGAGGCCATATGTTATAGGGACTAAATCTTTACAAATTTAAATAATTACAACAGGAAAATTTAAAATTCCGATAAAAAATTTTGATAAAAATTGTGACCAACTCATTTTGAAATATAATCTTGATGGCAATTAAATGCAGCAAATGATACATGTATGTGAAAGTATAATCTAGCACTTTTTATCGTCTACAAAAACTAAATTGAAGAAATTAGATAAAATTAACAGATTTTCCAATAAAAATACAAAATTCCTTGATTGCCTTTCCATTGAAAGCGACAAAAACGTTCGATTATTATTCACAGTGACGCCTCGTGTAAAAAAATATGGATGCATCAAGTAATGGGCAAGTTATGGCACCATATGACACCATCGCCATGATACCATCGTCAATTTACAGTGATACTTGTCTAGTATAATGCCAGTTGAAGACAATAACAATAAAGTGGATTTCCTGACATAGCAGCAGGTTTCTCAGAGTTTATAATTCAAAAAAGGTGTTCGAATTTTGAACGATATTACTTGCCTCGCTGGCTGAACTGATATCCTCTTCGTCATCAGAATCCACAGAGTCGACTACATGAAAAACATCAATGTAAAAATATGATGCATAAAAATTAGCATCTTCTCTTGAGTTAGGAATAATTAGGGCAGAGCGCTTTTTAGCTATGGAGAAAATATCCATCCAAGTTTTGTTTGAGATAGCAACCTCTACACATTCCATTTATTTATTTTGAGGAAAAATGCACTGTTCCAGCCATTCTATTATTTTTCATAAGGAAATGTGAACTCTTGTGTACAACTAACATCCAAGAAAAAACTTTGACTAAAAGGACTCACCCATTGTTTCTTTTAGGCCTGAAAGGTTTAGGTCTATCTCCCTATCACGTGGGTCGTATTGCTCTGATTTGTGTGCGCTTCCTCTGTAGTCCATTTCTGTATAGCCGGAATCACTACTTGAAACCTTGCTCGAGTGTCTGTCGTGGCCCTGAAAGTGGGGGAGTTGAATGAGGGATGGAGGCAGTATTCAGTAAATTACTGCAGATGAAGGCAGGTAAGCAGATGAAGTTCTATGACTGAGAAATCAACAAAGGCAGTCGGGTAGAATACTAGAAGAACAGAAGCTTGTGCCAATCGCTAATACCTCAAAATCTTCTTCTTTGCTTTCCTTGAATTTAACTTCATCGGCATCGAGAGCAAGCAAGCTTTCCAGGTCTTGCATCGAATATGAGTTGCGCTGGTACGGCTTAAACATCTTTTCGTTTGGATAGTCGATCTGTTATCAAGAAGAGGCAATACTGGGTAAGGGATCAAACTTAAAATGGCGTCAAGAGAAGTTTTTGCTGGAAGAAAGAAGTTCCTTCTTGGCATACATAAATACATTTGAATTGGGAGCATGTATATTTTCTACGCCAGCCCCCACTCCCGGCTGTAAGTGCGTTAGTATATAACCGGCACCTTAACAAGGGCCTTCAATAAAATAGACTGTGTCAATCAGCTAGGATCATGGATACAACCGTAAATCGTAAGTACCCGGACTAGTGAGTATTCTATATTTTTACAACAATAATTTCTCAGCAGCTGAAATATTCTTCGATGTTAAGATACACGTGATAATCAGTTATCCTGTAAGAATTCCACGTGGCAGAATTCCTCGAAAACTAGAAGAGCTGAACAGAGTCCTTGATGCACAAACTTGCCTAATTGCAGGATATCTATTCTTTGCAAATTTCCAGCTTTGATTTTCAAAGCTAAAATCATCTAAATTAATGCCAAGAACAATCAGCTTTTGATTTTGTTAAATAGGGAATCATCTTTTCCTTCTCAAATAACTGCTACAAAATAACAAAGACCTTTCAAATGAAATTAGCACTAATTAGACGGCTAAATTAGAACTCACCACAATCATTTCTGACTTTTCAAGAATGAGACAGTCGAAGCCTCTTTTTCCCTGCACTGATTGCTTGCCAAAGCTTTTAAAAACAATTGAAAAGTGAAGTCATATGATCAAGACGAATAATTAACAGAAATCAGAAAGAGTAAGGCGCCCTTCTTGCCAACTATAGGCAGAGACTTAGCACATTTACCTATGTAGATACCATAAACAGATTGTTTAAAAAGCAACGAGTCTGAGCAAGTGAAAAGTAAGACTTTGGAGAAATTGTTTTGTCACGATTTCACGGTCTTCGGTACGTTGTGCTAAATTAACCAATGCAGTTTTACCGTCGCTTGTACCAACCAAAGCTCTTGATCAGGGTATTCAACATTGAAACTATGGTCACTTTTGAGCTGTTAAAGGGTTTGTATGTTCGCTAATAGTTATATATTTAAATCAAGCTATACTAATGCTGCCTTAATCTACCCAATGCTTTGACGTTTAATTAATTGTGTAAAACTACTAAACAGCCATTTTTCTTGATTGAAAGTTTTTAAAAAGGATTTCACTTAAATCTTGCAAATCTTGCAAAATGGCATGAATGATGATTTGCTCTGATCGAATCAAACAATTTGAAAACCAGATAGGCCTTATCACTTGAACCAAACCTCAATAAATGCACATCCTTCAGCAATGGCTGTTCAATACGAATTCCCACGTATGCTTACAACCGACCTTCCTTTTCCGTTAGGTCGATTCAATGAATGAATTTCTTGTTAATTTGAGTCAACCTCGTTCTGTGTTTACAACCAAGAGCAATGCCAAATGCAGTGCTAATTATGCGATGATAACATTCCATTTAGAAAGGGATCACAAAACGTGCAAAGTGAAATGATTTGATTCGTTAGTTTGATTTCAGGGCCTCCAAAGAAAGCGTGTGCTAGCTACACTCAAACTTTTTGTAAAACAAACAAGACTCTTGGGAAATCTCTCGTTGGCAGTGTAAAACTTGCCCTTGCCCCATTTCAAGCCTGACCTCGGATTTGCTATGCTGGCTTCCTCATTCAATCAAGTTTTAAGGCTTGCTTTCATTATAAAGGCCCCTTTTATCTTAAAGGGCTCTGACTGCAGCCGTTTCACAACAGAGGTCATAAAATATCATTCTTTATCCGTTTTCAAGAGAGGATGAAAAACAATCACCAAGAACGCTCATACCATGTTTATAACATGTTATCTTTTCGCTACACATTATGTAATTTATAGTTCATTGCTGACGTAGTTGCCAGTTTCATTTCAAATCTCGGCGAATTTCTGGTAAATCAAATATGTACCTTATCACTGTTGATCAGTTTTGAAGTCACAAAACATCGCATGAGACTAAAACTTGGCAAGTCGATACTCACCTACTTCCTGGTAAATACATACATCCGTCAAGAAAAACTGAGCCACTAAGCAAAATGTACCAGCAAAAGCTCCAGTCATCTGACCTGTTCGTGGTGCAACAGAAAATGCTGACATTATCATTCAGTATGACTAAACCGTTAGGACAACAAAAAGTCAGAAAGGTAACCATTTTCTTGCATATATAATCCTTAAGACATTTTTACTCGTTTCGAGAGGAACATCAGATCATGGCCAGAAAATGATTAAATTCATCATTAAAAAAGCAGGTCAAGGAATGTAAACATCAAGAATAACAGTTAAGTTTTCATGAGAAAATCTAAATTCATTTCCAACAATGCTATGCTCTGTCGTGCCTTGAGTTATATTATGTTTTAAAACCTTTTTCATACAATGTCGCTAACGTACGCATGAAAATGCAGAGCAAAGCTGGTTGTAGGTCGTAAAAATCTTGTTTAGATCAGAAAAGTTTTTTGATCGACAATGTCAATATGAGCAAATGTATAAGCCATTTACAAAACTTCCTTTCTTTTGAACCATAACGAAACCATAAATAATTGGGAGATCTTATCGAACATGGAGAAGTTGGGAAACAGAAAATACATAGAAAGCATAACAATGAGATTAGTATCTTTACTTTGAGAAAACACAAAGAGTAAGGTGAAGCGTTGAAAATGGCAAAAATTAAACAATACACATTCTACATACTTCAGAGAAAAAATATGGCTTAGAGTTTTTGATCAATGTTCTGAAGATTTTACTCTTAAGAGCATCAGACAAAAAACCTTTAGTGCCTCATAAATGTTTGCTTTTTTCAAAGTCATTTCTAAATTCTCTACTGCCAAAAAAGTCTTAAATTCTATGAATTTAACAGTTCTCAGAATCAGAGACAGCCCAGTCATGCCTTGATAAAAGTTTTGTATCGAATATTCCATTTTTATAACATTGCCTTCTTTACTGGAAGACAAAAATTTACGTAATGAGGTAAACATTTGTTATGTCATTTTTAACCATTGTTTATCTTTACAAAATGGTACACCAAGGTAAATAAAACTGCAATTGACTGCAACTACGATTGAGCCTGGCAGTGTGATACAAGTTTTAGCGAGGTCTACTGTATTAGGGATGCCAATTTAGCTGAGTTATAAATGTAGAAAGGTATCTTTTAATTGAATGAGGAACAAAGATCTTGAATCATTTATTGGCATCCCGACCATACACATTTGATTAGAACAGAAAACAAGACAATGGGTGTGATATGATGATTGGTTAGATATAGGTATACCATGGTATGTTACATTTCAATGTGTTGAAGAGGATGAGTGAGTTGCAATACTGTGAGTTTCATGTTTAGTTTATTAGGTAGAGAGACAATGAAAGCACAATTATCATTTACAAATAATGCTTACATGTACAGCAATTCATTTGAGTCATGAACTTCATATCTGGCTTTCAAAGCCATGGCTCTGCAAGCAAAAGATAAATCAAATTCAAAAACAGTAGAAATGTAGGAAGGGTGATATAAAACAGGCAGCCAGACAAGATGAATCTTACCTCAATGATTGATTACAATGAGCTATGATATCTGCTTTGTTTCATGTAAAGAGTTTCTTAACAGGCTTCTTCTTCAAGATTGCTCAGTCACTTAATATATAATGAAATTTCAAATAGCGCTCAAAAGACTCAATAAAGACTCTACATACCTTATGGTAGAGTCTGATAATTTGGAATTTGCCTGCATCTTACGCAAGTGACGATAGATAAGTTCCACATCCTGAAGGTAAAAGCAATGTTAGAGTGAACTGACAAATATATCAACATAAAATTTTGCATGTGTCTCAGGAGTATTTACTGTTTGACAAAGAATATTTTCATATCCATTTAACAGAATCCAAGCAAATAACTCACCTTGGCACTTCTGTGTTGAGGTGGAATTAACAGGCTGCTTTTGAAACACAGAAAATTTGATTGTGCATCTGAAGACATCTCTAGAACTCTTTAGCCAAGAATCCAAATCTTCATTTTTGGTTTAAAATGGCAGCTATAGGGGTGAAAATAGTTTGTAATTTAACATATTTCAGTAATCAAAGGGAGTAAAACAAATTATGTATCTACATAGGACAAACACTAAACAGAAGTTGTTAATCCTTTCCAGTAGTGAGGGCATTTCAAGTGATGGGTAGTAACAGTTCTAGAGGTGGCTTTTTTGCCTATGTTCTTCTGCATGTTGTTTCTCATTTGCTAAACAATGTCTTTTATAATACAAAGAACCATCAATGTCTGATAACCATAGTACAGAGAAAGAGAAGTTGAGGAAAAAGCATACCTTGACTGAAAAATTCCCAATTTTTCTCAATTGATGATATTATTTCTCATCCTTGTCTCGAGTTAACCAACTTTTTACTGTAAAATTGACAGCAAAGATAAAAAGAGTTTGCAAATATACCAACACCTGCATGCAGTTCAAAAACCAAAATTCAATTATTCAATTTTACACAGCTCAGGATTACAGAGAATTTGTTGCTGATCTGTGAAAGGAATTTAATTCATATAAATGAAATTTTATGTTCTTACTTTTCTATGTTCTTGCTTTTCTAAAAGGCCTATTTCAAAGTAAGACTGCAAATGTGGCAAAATCTCTTGAGACTGCATTGCAGATTTGATTAATTTCTTATTTAACAAGATCCTCCCCCCCCCTCCCCCCCCCACATCAATGTTGAAGTGATGGTATGAAATTGATATGTCCCAATTTTCTTGCAAACAACTTATAACATGCCAAACTTTCATTTTGGTGACAAGGAATTTTGACCACAATTGTGGGCATAAATACTTCCAAGGGAACAGAATTTGATTAACGGTTTGAAATTTTATATTCAAGAGTGAGACAAACAGCTTCTGTCTGTTTCGAAATGTTTGCTTTTTCAAAGCCCTTTTTAAGTTCTGTATAGCCAAAAAAGCTATTTGAAAAATTAAACCAATCAATCAGAACTACTGATCTAAAAAACTTGATCAAGCTTCAACATCAACTGCATTCATTACAGCTGGTACAATCCATGTTGGGACCATCAAGGTGATTGAGACCAGTTGCTTATGGTACCATGCTTGAATTCAGTTTGCTTTTGTTAAGATTAATAGACATTAGGATTCTGGCAATTAGGTTTAGTTCCATGAGATTTTTTAGATTTCTAGTAATTGGAAAAGTCTGTGAAATTTGCTTTTATTAGCAGGTTTCTTAACAGGCATTCCTATATCAACCATAAGGGGCAGCTGGGAGATATGGATACTCAAGCCCCCTGTTTGCAGCCAACTTTATCCCAGCTTCCCTAATTCCAATAATGTTTCCAACAAATGTTTTGTCTTCTTATTAGATCTTTAAAACAGTAAATAGTAGGGCACTAATATTATTTAGGGTATATATGTTTTATATATCATATAGGCCCTAAAAAAATTTGAGGTGGGTGCAATGTTTTCTACTTTCTAAGGTGGTAGTTTTGTTCATCATTGTTATTAAGCAGTTGCTTAGGGCTGCTTGGTGTAACAAAATGTGTGCTGAATTTGCCCATTACAACTGCAGATATTGTAAATCTATTTTGTAACGAGGGATGCTCAACACAGGCTACATAAGAGCAATATACTGGCTAAAACAGTGTTTTTTAGGTCAAAGCACAAAACATTCTGCTGAGTTAGTAATACATATTATGTGGACGTACCATTGAGGACACTAGTCTCATTGGTCATATTTCAGCACCTGATTTGGATCTAAATAGCCTTGCAACTGTATTAAAATTTCCATCAACTTTTCAGCCAAAGGAAGTAGCTCAATTGTAGAGAAACATTTTGATTTAGCTCTTGATAAAATAGAATCCACTATGATGCATATAATCTGCATCTAATTTTGTAAGCTTTAGTTGGGCCCATAGACCTGTGTTGAAAGCATAGAATTGATGAAAGCAACACAACTTAAGATACATTCTTATAAGATACATTCTTATAAGATTACAGGTAACACAACTTAAGATACATTCTTATAAGATACATTCTTATAAGATTACAGGTAACACAACTTTAGATACATTCTTATAAGAACAGTTTCGAAAAGACCATGAGACAGAGATTCTCTGGTACAATAATTTTTGTGAACAACTGGAAGCGGAAACATCCATCCAAAAGACATTTCAGAGGCTGCATCATTAAATATATTTAAGAACAAGCTTGATAATCATATTGGAATTTTGAGGCACTCAACCGAAATTGACTCCTTTTATTAGAAAATAAATAATTTGTCCAGAATTTTGTACATTTCACTTTTTATAATTTAAGGTTTCCTAACTTATTAGCCATCCTTCATAACTTACTTACCAAAGCAGTCAAACTGCTCGCTTTGGCAACTTTGGCAATGATAACATATTTAGGCCTACCATATGTCAAATATGCAAAAAGTTACGATAAACAACTGAAAACGCAATTAAATCTACATATTTACACTTCTCGACACAATGCAGTCAATTTTTAATGCGTATTCTAGCCTCTCATAAAACTACTAATTTATATTGTATTGTGTGCCAAAATCAATCTAGGCCTGAACGACCATCTTGTAAATTTGTTGATTGTAGGTAAACAAAAAACATTTACTCGGGCCTTTCATTTTTGTCAGGCTAGGGCGGATAAGAATATGACCCTGTTTTGTGAAAATCAAGTACATCTTTAAAATCAAGGGCGGGGAGACTGTTTGGTTGGCTGGAGGTAGGTGCTATCATCTTAGGCCAGCCCCAGAAAAGAATATAAACTGTGAATTACCTGGTATTCAGAATGGGCTTCTGGCGCTTCCTTCTTCCAAATAGAAAGCCTTTCAGCATGGAGATCAATTTCACTCTCCGAGCAACTTCCCTGAATATGCTTCCTTGATTTCTACCAGTTCCTCAACTGCGATGTACTGATATAATTTCCTTTCAGTTCAGAACAACTTTCGGCTCATGTACTTGATGTGAATGATTTCAGATATACACACCTTCGCAGAGGATATCCTTGATTGGGGAGGCTCGTACTGAAGTCACTGGTCAGGAAGAGAAGTTGAAGGGCGGACATTTCATGTTTTAACTGCCTATACGATAAAAACGATAAATTGAAAGAAAAAAATGCCACTGAAAAATGATAATGCTATCAGATCTGCAAACACATAATTCAACTATACTTACAGTGTTAAAAAGGTTGATTTCCTCCTTACAGTGTTAAAAAGGCTTTGTGCAATGGCCAGGAAATCCGCGGGAACGCTACATACACACTCATTTCTTTTTATAAGAACAATTTTATAAGAACACGACGTCTACACATTGGCATTGACACTGGTTGCACATTATAAAACTTGCAACTATACAAACATTGAAAAACAGTAAATAGAAAGTTTGGATAAATAGTTCCTTGACTTAACGGCAGATTTGGTGCCACAATGGCAAGGACCAAAAATTCAAAGTGGGGAGGGGGTGGGGGGCTCGAGCCAGAGGCGCCTGAAGCTTCATGATGCGGCGGGGGCAACTTAGGATGTCAAAGTTTGAGACAAGTCAGGAATCCTCATTTAACCAGTGGTGAAGCTTGGTTGTAGGAAATAGTCCAGGTCCTGCTCAGGGAGAGAAGGTCGGAGGTCTGGGGCAGCCCCCAAGAAAATCATGAATCGGAACACCCTAAAGACTCTCTGAATGGGGGCAACGCCCATGAAACCACATTGGATTCAAGATTACAATTCAATTTCATTCTTTGAATTTTTTTCAACTTTACATCAACCAGCAAAGGAGGCTTAGTACCTAGACCGCTGGGTCTCAAAACACAAGGCGTGTGGGGAAAATATAAAATTCTTTCCTACTTGATTTTTAATAGACTAACAAATAAACTCCTGTAGTTATTCTCTGCATTGAAATATTCAAACTTATCTACACACTTCAGGACCAGATTTTTTGATAAACACATTTCACGGCTAGATTTACTTTAGGAATTAAGTACATGTCTTGTTCATTTTTCTTTGAAATTGGTTATTCTTGTAGATAAAGGACTCCTTAGGAATTAGCATTGCTGGCTAGGTTATTACTACACATTCTGTCTATGACAGTCTTCTCTGTCTGATTAACATTTGTAAACAGCCATCGAGCATAAACCAAGCACCTTCAATAGCTTCCAAAATTAGGTGGGATGGGCTAACATTTGCGCTTGTGAACCCCAACATATAACAAACGGTGTCCCTCATAACCGTGTGTTAGGTCCTTTTCTTTTTCTTCTGTACCTTAATGATTTGCCTTCATATTCTTCAATTTCATATTTTCGTTGGCGATTCGAGCATTTCTTCTCAAGGAAAAAGCAAAAATCTCAAACCCATGATAAACAGTAAACTTAAAAACGATTCTACAGAGCTCTCAACCAAAATATTATCACTCAATGTAGATAAAATAGAATTTATAACGTTTCCATCAACGAAAAAAATCGAAAAAAATGGTAGCTAACAGGCTAAGCTTAGCAACACACCAAACATATCAACATGAAAATTTCAGCATATCAAGGTTCTGGAGTATTGGCAGGAATGAGGCATCGTGTACCATTAGATGAACAATGACAATCCGTCTTGTCAATTCGGGAAGTGCCTCTAGATGAGTACCCTGGGTACCAGACTCACTATATATAAAATAAAATAGACTCTCTATTTTATTTCATATATAGTGAGTCTGGTACCCAGGGTACTAGATGAGCTACCAGCAGGTCGAAAGGTCAAAGAGACAGCTAGAATTATGAACCCTGCTGGTTATACAACTAATAAAAAAACCACTGTTTACTAAACTTGGTATCTTCAACATCGAAAATTTCCATGAACTAGAAACGGTAGAATCTACCTACGATATTGCCAACAACAATTAGTAGGGCCGCCAAGAGGGGGCAAGGTGGCGGATCCTCACCCCTTCTCAAATAGAATTTACCGAAAATTACCATTAGGAGCGTTACGACCAAAGCAGCTATGCAAACAATCTTCTGGTGGTACAAAACTTGAAAATGGTTTTGAAAAAACAGACATTTGAGTAAACTAAAGCTTTTCGTCTGATAATCTTCAGAGTTTAAAACGTCAGAACATAGACCGAAAACTCTACGCTAGGAAATATATATATACACAGTTGTGGATCAAAATAGGCCAATCAGAAACGCGAGCACATGACTGTTGAGGTTAACCAATCAGTGCCGCTTGCCTTTAGAACAAGAACAAGTTCAAGGTAAAATATAAAACAAGTTGCATATGAAATTTAATTCCTAATCTCCTACGTCACCTTTAAGAAAACCATTACAAGGGAGAGGGGAAGCTGAATTTGACCTTGAAAATTAACGTTAAAGTTCCAAGACTTTTGACAGGGATTGTAGATATTGTGAGATTTACATTGTAGGCAACCTTTACAGTCATCTGTTCGCTTTTCTCATTGGCCCTTTTCGATCCACAACTGTGTATATATTTCCTAGCTTTGAGTTTTAGACGTTATATATGTTCTGACGTTTTATACTTTGAAGAGATTCAGACGAAAGCTTTCCATTCTTTCAAAGCGGTTTTTATACTATATCAAAGCAAAGCAACGTGGCTATTTGCTAGCACCAGGATGACTACACAATGATTTTGCATCATTTGCAGCAGCCAGTGTCAGAGGACGGGAATTATGTGGGGCTTTATGCATTCGGAAAATTGATTTGCAAAAATTTCATATTCAATCTAGACAAGTGAGCATTCAGCATAAAATCAGACAGATAATTAGCATAAAATCTTTTCTTAATGACTCTTCTGATGCAATTGCTAAGAGGCCAACGACCATTCGTGAGCGGTTTCTTCTCTACGTTTTTCAAATGCTTTGGCCCAAGAAGACAAAGTAGGATCGATTTGGAGCCCTGAGAAGGTTTTATAAAACAAGGTCTTATTGTAATGCAAAGCCCAGGAAACATGACAGCCACAAGGTCGAAGATTATGAGAAAAGATGTTACTGAGAAGATTCAGGACTTAAGAGTATTGTCATAGTTGTCCGGTGGACGGATAAAGACTTCCTGGATCCTGGTCTTTGCGCTATCAAGAACCGACAGATTAGATATGACACAATAATATTTCTCTTCGAGTACTTCCATTCCCAAAGAAAAAAAGCCGCAGATCCCCCAGTCCCCGTTTCTGGCTGTCTTTCTTCTTCTGGTCATCAATGAATTGGATCACCTTCATTTCATCTGTATCATCTAGTCATATGGATCATCTTCGCCGACGGTATCTGACGTGAAATGCGTCTAAATGCGAAATGAACAAGCGTCTAAAATTTATTATTTGGACTTCAAAATAGCGACTCGCTACAATAATCGAACTCGGTCAAAATGACGCTTCTAAAATTTGTAAGTCTTTAATATCATCAACCGTAACCAAAGATTCTTAATTTCGAGCATTTTGCTAAAACCCCAGCCATTTCATTCTACTGCATTGTAGAAGCTGTACCAAAGTATCTCTTAATTTGTTATTACAACAAATTTTTAATGTCATCAAATCATAATATTGTTCAAAGCTGTGCTTTCGCTTGTCTGCTATCATGGAAAATCCATCCACAACATTTTTAAGTTTGAAGAACTATCAAAAGTACTCCATTACTCCATTACTACACAACGAGCAACGAGACAGGAAAACTGGGTAAAAAACTTTCATATTTCTAAAAACTTGAATAGCCTAGTAATTAAGAAATAGTCAACAACACAAGGTTAAACTGGACGTAATTTTATACCAAGGTACATAAAATCTAATGCCTGAAAAACGCAAAACTACAAAATATAATCTTTTCAAAAGGACATGGATGATGATTTGAAAGAATTTTGCAAAAAAGGTTAGGGTGAAAAATATGATAATACTTTGAAAAGGCAACCAACTAAAAACCTTTCTCAATGGGTAATGCATTATTTTCAAAAACCTTATCTCCAAGATGTTTCAAGGCCAGCTTACATGAAAATCTGTCACATGATAAGCTCTTTACCATTTCATGACAATTTACATAAAAAAACAAAAACTTTTAAGCAATGCCATGATTTTACATACATACATCTAATGATGCTTCAATGCCTATTACATAAACGTTGCTGTCCTTCATCTAACTATCCATATATGTTGCAAATCTAATTTTGTCGAAAAACTTTGAGAGACAACAGCTGCAAAATAGTCCGGTACTGATATTGCAAAAAATGGTACACCTAAAAGTTATGGGGTAATGTCACCTTTTGTTCTCTGCAAATAGATTTCTTACTAGGGTGACTTGCAATATACCTACAAGCATAATAAGAAGACATGATACAAAAGAAAACCAATTCACTCTTGAAATGTTGCTGTCCAGGATGTACATGTGTCTTCCTGATTTTGCTCGATAAACTCCTTGCAAATTGCTTACTGTGTCCATTTGCTTGCGAAGTGCCTCGGTAACTTGCTGAAAATATATATCTCATAAATTAACTGGGAATACAAGATCAAGTAAAAAGTAGCTGCATGACAAATCATTGAATGTATTGTATGCATAGGTTTCATTGTATGGCATATAGAACAGAGATATATTGCAATTCGGAAAAGGTTGATGTTATGTCATTTTATTCAAAATTTTGAGAACTTTAATTAAAGGGAGAGTGCTGGACTTTAAGAATTTTAGGAGAACACAAGTCAATCAAATTAATAAACAATAAGATATCCTCACTGTCAGTGTCCTTTAAAGGAAAAAGATGCCCTGAACAATGCTTCTTAAGACCTGGGAAGACATTGAACCACTTGCTTTTGCTAGAGTTCATTTATTTGCACAAATTTTTAGTGAAAACAAGAGTCTTTAAAGCATTTATGCTGACACTTGTGTTTAAAGCATTCTTGCATTTTGAGAATCAGGTATGAAAGTATTTAAAGTTTTCCCCACATCCCTTGCATATTGAGAACCTGCTATCTAGATACTATATTCAGGTTGAAAAAGAATATTGCAATGCTTCTGCTTGAACCATTATCCCCTGATTACTTCTTTCTTTATAGAGACTAAAATGGCTTCCTTTCACTGGCAATGGAAAACAAAACACTTTCATAGGTGCTGAAGAACACAGACTCACCACAATCTTATCATAGGTTTCACTACTGGTTGAATTGTCATCTTTAAGCACAGTGTTCAATTCCTGATACATCTGTACATTGTCATCAAATAGACCAAGGTCAAAATAGATAACTTTTTCAGCAAACATGCTATTTTTATTGTCAAAACAAAAGTCATGCACTCCATCTTCAGTGACATCTATAGTTTTTTCCACAGAAGTGGTGTCAAATTCTTCAGCGAGAACTTTTCCAGAAGGTGCTATGATTCTATAAGTTGCTTTCAAATCACCACCTTTCATCACCTAAAGAGAAAATATAAATTGTTTTAATAAATGAAAAAGATTCTGCATTAAAATCTTCATAATTTCAATGTTTTTCAAGTCTTATGGCATAAGCCAAAAGTTGTATGTTCTTTTTATGCTTGTGATACAATTTTTTTACAAATGCTCTTTTAAAACAAATTGAAATATCTTGTATAACACTACATTCAAATCCAAGCAAGAGTATTGGCTTACAGGTGAGTTTAGCTTGTTAGTTATCATTACCTCTGTATGTGATGAAATATTGAAACTGAAACTGAAATATAAGTAATATAATTTAAAACTGGAATATAATTTGAAACTGAAAGATGCTGGTTTCTGCAATTGAGTAAAATATCATGTTCTAAGTAGATTGAGTTTTTGACGGAGGCTTTTTTAGTGAACCTTTGTGAATAGCAAATGAACAAAAATACAGCTTTCTTATGGCTTTGTCTTTGTTTTATAATCAAACTTCTATTTGCAAAACACAGCAGTAGCTTGACAGGTATGGACAATGCAAAGCTTCAAACAATCGATTTAGGTAAGCTATTGAAAAGAACTCCCAATGAAAAAATAAAATTAGGGAAAGGATTATGAAAATTGAAGTCATCTTATACATTACTGTAACTATCATCTAGGACTTGACCTAAAATCACAAAGCCCATTTTCAAAGAGATTTTTTGCCATTGGGGGTGGGGGGGAGGTCTTCTGCCCCTCTTGCCTTCCCTTGCTATTCAAAGGTTATAAGCGAAAAAACCTAGAAAAAAGTCATTGAAAACTTTTACAAAACATCCTTATTTTATGGAAAGACATAAGAAAACACCCAAAACACCATAGTCAGGGCCTGCGCCACAGGAGGGCCGGGGGGGCCATGGCCCCCACTTTTCTTATGCTAACTATATGCAACAAATCCTTCCTTTAGATATTAAATAAGTAACCCCCTTTTTTGCCCCCCTCCTTTAGAATCGGTGGTGTGGGCCTTGATAGTTATTAATTTAAAGCCTGGGGTTTTCTGTAGCTTTATAGTATTACGGTAAACTAGGCTTTGGGTCGAAGCGGATTGTTTCTGGGCGGCTACCATAAATGCCTCAAATTTCGCTTGTTGTTTGCACAAGATCTGAAAACTTCGCTTCTGCTAAAGCAAAGAAAGTAAGCTGATAGAGTAGTGGAACAATTTAAAAAAATTAACAAGCGGTTTACTGACGCAAAAGGGTAGAATACCTCCATTTCAAAATCGAGAACGGTTCCGTTTGCGATGGAGTGATGAAAACAATCAACTTTTCCTGGTCCAATAATGTAAGAGACACCATCTTCCATACATGATAGCTGATCAAATAATACATTAACAAAAAGAAGCTTTAATAAAAAGAAAATCATTTCCTTTTATCGACTCCTCGAACACTCCTACAATTTTCAGTTATGTGTAGTCTCGCTTTAGAATAAGGCGACATTGACTGAAATCGAATACAAAATGAATTGAATACAAATTCAATTCAATTCTTTCCCAAGCTGGTAGCTTCTGGATTTGAAACTGAAACATATTTTTCCTAACAAAGCTGAACAGACAGTAGCTCAAGGCTGAAGTTGTCCTTTTAAAACCCTTTCCACAAATAATTAGGAAGAACAGCTGTACTTACTCTGCGAGAAGAATTCTAAGAACCCAAGGTTTTTAGATATGGTAGATTGATAATTTCCCATAAATTACACCTTTTACTCTGAGAATCTGAGAAATGTTGGACCAAAAGTGTGGAAGCACAATAATTAAAACCTGCATATTAATGGCCCTAGGCCAGGAGAACTCTGTGCAACTAAACTAAAAGGTACTTGAAGCTTTATTTAAAGTAATGCCTAAAATAAATCAAGGAATGAAATTCTGGAATGACATTCCTCTGGAAATGCAATCCAAAACTTAGCATAATTTTGTTAAAGCTTGAAAAAGTGGATTCAAAACTGACTCTTGTTTGAAAACAGTTCTCGAAACTGGATTCGGAAAAGATTTGGCGATTCATGAATTAATGAGCATGGCATTTTCCCCTTTTCCTTTTACATTTCTTTTTTTAATCGTCTTTCTTCTCCTTTCTTTTATTTTCAAATTTTGTAACTTCTTTCGAAACTTAGTTTAATCTTCATCTTAAAATTTGTCTTAATGTTGTAATATTTCGCAATTCATCGTAATTCTATATGCATGCTGTGTTACAGGGTAAATAACTCGAAAACTCATCTGAGTTCTTTTTATTTGCCCTAAGCTCTTTTAATTGTAAGCAGTGGTGGCCTGGCAGGGGAAGGCAGGGGGGCAGGGGGCCAGGGCCTCCAGCTAACTTTTTATAGGGGCGCCACAGCTTGTATAGGGGGCCGAAAAAAGTTTGATATGACGGACTTGTCTGGTTTTTAGGTCTCTAGGAGGTCAGCAGAGACAAATAAGACGCTTAAAATTCAAAACTTTATTGGGGTGCAAGCCCCTATACCCATAGAACAGTCTCTTTTCAGGGCACGTCTTTGTGCTATTAGTACTGTATTATCCAGACAAAACATTTGTACTGTTTGCATGGACTCCAAAATTAATCAATTTATTAGAGAAGTGTCAGAAAACTTACTGTTAAATTCTTTTGTGTGGAGGGCACACAGCACTCATGGGGCATACAGACATATTCCGAAGACAGTCTGTGTTAAGGGTATCCGGACGCATGCCCCACTCTCTTCTAGAGTTTCTAGGGAAAACTTTGAATTTCAATAAGTCTCTTTGGCTTTGCTGGCCTTTCGAGACCTAATTAACGGACAATTCGGTTGTTTAATTGCTTCATCCTAGATTAGTCCGTCCGCTATCTCAAGTCACTTCCACGAACGAATAGTTTTAGGTGGACAAATGTTGGACAAATAGACAGTAAGATAACAAGAAATAGCGCTAAAAAGTGCATTCAATGCTAAAACATAAAAAAACTGACTCTTATTATGTTTCTTTAAAAAGGACAAATTAAACAGATTACTTTTAATTCAAAACATTGACTTCATATTTCTCCGGGACGCCGGGGAAGGGGGTGCAGGGGGCGCAGGGGGTCAACTGCCCCTGTTGCCTTTTGATAGGATGAGCAAGGGGGGTCAGAGTGCCCTTTTCATCAAAGTGCCCTTGAAGCCGGCCATTTCTAATAATCAGGTAGATTATATCAAATTCTGGTTGTAGTGCCAAATTCATGACGACATTTCTCAAAATTTCTTATGCCAATATTCAAAGTACCTACAGAAGATCTAAATGAAATGGCAGATATTAAGGAATTAGTAGAAGTTGAGAATTATCTTTCGAATACCCTTTCACTCAAGCCTGCCCCCTTGCCCTTGGTCGTTCCGGCGTCGCTGCTGGTTCTACCCAGTAGATTCTTCAGATTTCTTTTCAAGGGCCATACATTGTTTTGACAAGAAAGTTGGGTCGGGCCTATTTTTCTGAACGGTTGCGTTTTGTTTGGTCTTTAATAATATTTCTTTAAAGTTTGATGGAATATTTACTTCATTTTCTACCAAATTGCATAGTCTTATAATCTTTTCTAGCATCTTTCACTTGCGTAATAGTGAATTCAAAGAAATGTTAGAAATCGCATTTCCTAGCCTTAGGAGTAACTGGAATAGGACCGACTCTTTCCATTATTTGTTACCCCGACACCCCCGTAATTTGCCCCCTGACTGTAAGTTGTATTATATGTATATTTTGGGCTTGTTTAAGTGCCCAAAAGTACAAGTTTAGCAAAACAAAGGAACACATTTTATCTGGCGCTTTGGATTCCCCTCCAAGGTGCCAAATGACCACAACAGTCACAAAGAGAACAAAACTCTCATTTTACCACATCGTAAGGGTAACTCTTGGAATTTCCACAAACATGTTCTTAACACATTTTCATTTTGTTTATCTACTTTGATGGCTTCGAAGAGACAGTCACTTTAGTCTGTGAGTCGGTCCAACTTATCCTGACACATTCATGAAAAATTGCTATATTGGGGCCCAGTGCTCACGTGGGCTCAGACTATCCTTGACATACAAGGTTAAAAAATATAAGAGCATTACCAGACTGCCAATCTTTTCAGAAAAAGACAATAATGTTAGTTATGAAGGGCGCCATTTTTGCTGCTGGCCCCTCCAGGCGAAAAAAGCCAGGCCGCCACTAATTGTAAGTAATCTGGTAATCATGTAACCTGTAATCAAAAGATTAAATGTATTAAATTGAATTGATTTGACAAATAGCTCAGCTCAAACAACGTTACCTATTTGCCTTTTGTTTATCTAGCTATGAAAAAAATTAGCTCGCAGCACAGCTCTAAACTTTTTGCAAATATTTCAAGAAAATTTGGGTATGACAGGAGCAGTGCGTCCTTCGCACCCCTGATTTCTGAAATAGTAAAGTTTTGCAAAGTTTTAGAATAACCACTATCATATAGCTCGTGATGAAACCTTTTTTTAGATTTTAAAAGTACCCGAAATAAGATGGGGGAGAAAAATAAATGAAACACGGATTAATAAAAAACATTAACGGTGAAATATCGACAGAAGAACTATCAACTAAAAATAAAAAGTTAAGCAATTTTTTACAGTTAAGATATAACTTTGTTACATCTGATCTTAACTTTTTCGGAAATCAAGTGCTTTAACAAAAATTTGAAAAACCTTCAAACTGGGCTTGTCAAAATGAGTTTAAATAGAATTTATAATGGTGTCGATATTTTCTCTTTTTTAAAAGGAATGGATTGTCCAAATGATCAAACTCTGAAGTTTTCTTGATGATACTTTTTAAGAACAAATCTGCCCATACTTTTTTTCTCATATCCTCAAAAAGCTCTTTCCAGCTGTTTCTTTTCCTTCAACAGCTGATTTCTCTCTTTTTGTAATGTTTCTGAGAAAATTTTCATTAACAAATAGACCCTGTGTACCAAGTTTAGGCAATGGAAAAATTGCAACTCCGTCAATTTGTGCTGGCACCAAGTTATTAAGAACTAGGTTTCTCGATCTATTTGCTAAGCCAAGGCTGTTACTCGTTGTAAAACTTAGAGAATGACAGATTTCTTCGATCTAATTCCCATATTCAATCTTATGTATGTCTTTTATGGTAAAGACATAGCAACCAAGGTAAAGCTACAGACACATTTAGGAGAATACTAGGCAAAGTTACTTACAGAATCATATACTACATTTATTTCCACTTTTGCCTAACATTGTTCTTTAGCTCTGCAGAAAAGTGGGAGGGGGGCATGCCCTGCACCTCTCTCATATACCAGCTCTCTATGTAAAAATATATTTGATGTTTAAAACAGAATTATGTTTCATCCTTGCTTATTCATGATTGATAAAAAAGCTTGTTTTGGTTGTACTGGGTTTTACTCATTACAGTGGAATGCGATTCTTCTAATAACGTACATTTTTCGAATCAGACATCACAAACACCTAGTTTGGAAATGGAAGCATACGCATTGGATTCAAATGAAACACCAGGAAAACACAATACTGCAGAAAGTCAACAGATTTGGTTCATTTCAATCAACTTTGGAAGCAAAAACAAGCGAGGAAGATCTCTTGCAGGTATGTCTCTATGTATCTTTATTGATGTAAAAATAAATGTTTCCTGATTAGCGACAGTTGTGTAAATGAAAGTAAATGATGAATTTCAATATTTAACAAGACAGGTGTAAAGGTAAGCAGCTGTGTGGCAAAATGTGCTTGGCAGACATTGGAAGACAGTCAGGAAGTGCTTTCAAACAGTTAAGTGTAGATTGCGAAACATAAAAGGGTTGGACATATGAAGATCAGATTGAAGCAGATGTTGTTAACCGCGAAACGCCTGGGAAAGAAAGACAATAAGATATTATTCAAAGATGTAATCCCTTCTGAACTGGAAAAATGAAAGGCCCTTAGAAGATTTATATAAGGAGAACAGTTTTCATTGGCTTTGAAAGAGGTTTCTGTTGAAACAATAAACAGAAGATTAAGGAAGATCTGATCATTTCAAATGCAGATGGATCTTCACATGACATATTTGATCTGCATTCTTGCATTTGGTGTAGCTGGTTTACTTACAAATATATTTCTTGTCCTGACAGTTTGCCTGAGAGTTGCTAAGAGGTCAGCATTTCACAGCACATTAATCAGTCTAAGTTTTGCAGATATGTTTGCATCGGTAGGGTCGGCCATCTTTGCTTCGGTGTATATTGCTGATCCAAAATGGCAGAATCGCTCAAGCAGATTTGTTTCTAACATATCTTTACTTAGTATTTACTTTTCAAATTTGTCGTCTTTTATGCATCTTGTTTTCATAGCGATTCAAAGAGCAATTGCTACAATTTACCCATTGAAATTTAAGCAAATTTTGTTTGGCTTTCGTTTCTTTTTTGTTTTGATCTTGGTCTGGTTTTTCTCTGCAATCCTGATCTCATTGCTGGTTTTCAAAGTGCTAAGCCTGGGTGCCATTGGATACTTTGGCATGGCAGCCTTCGTTGCTATACTTATTCTCTATGTCATAATCTGCTATCAAGTGATCAAGCAACGCAAAAGCATTTCATCCACGTCACGCAGTGGAGTGCAACAATCAAGCTTCGTGGTGCTGTTTCACTCTTTGGCAGTTACCATAACGTTTGTCGTTTGCGTTGTGCCGGCTGCAATATACGCAGCATTACAATTTCCAGGCGGCTCTCCAGCATTTGCAGCCGTAACAAGCTTGCTCGTCATCAATCCACTTCTTGACCCTTTGGTCTATTTCTTTGTTAGCCATTATCGATCAAAAAGACGGATGTCTTCTCAAGCTGCAACTCCAAATCAGCGACCAAACCCATCTTCATAAAGGCAACTATTTACAGCATATGATGAATTCTATACCACCAGAGTGTTGATGAGACCTAGAGAGCTTTGCAGTCAAAATGCATCTTTTCATTAAAACCTATGACACTTAATTATTCATCTTTATTCGAATATATACTAGAAATCTATTTTGTTGCATTGTTGAGTATTAGTAATTTTAAACATTGTCTTTTAGCTCGACCACTTACATTAGCTTAAAATCTGTGTCTTAAAATGAAAGATCTTAGACTCAAGTGACAAAAACTACTGAAACTAAGCTTTGTTTTCAACTTATCAACAATCACCAAACCATTGTTGTATTCATTAATACCGCAATCATACATCAAACGATACTGTCGCACTCTTATTGCAATGATATTGCACAATTCATCATAGCTTTATACAAAAGCGCTTGGTATCTTTGTGTTATAATTAATCTCTCCTTTTAACATAGACTATAATTTTAAGTATCATTAGAATTTGGTAAAGAAAAGTCTTTCAGGCATTACATACAACAAGCATTCAGCCAACACTATTTGATTCACGCGTTTTCAATAGTTGGATCCGACTGCACAATCTGTTGAGTATAACACGACTATTAGACATTATTTAGGCATCAGATGTAGACAACTTTGTTTTCTTTACAATTTCAAGCTGAGTAAATTGAAGAGCAATCGACAGGACAAAGTGGTAAAAAATTGTCACATCCACGCAACTGTGGACAAAATGAAGCTAAAATTGCATTCAACTGACACCCAATTTACGCTGGTCATTAATGTAAGGACCTTCCATGTTGCAAGTATTAGCTCACCTTGACCTTCATGATATGCAGGGCCGGAGGAAGGTTCATACGGTGCAGTGGGAAGGGCAATACAAGAGTCAGGACAAGACAACAGACATGGCAAATTACCAACATTGATATGTCTTATGATGGCTACTACGTATGTGATGGGTCTATACGTATTATCACGTCTGAGTATCTTGAATACTTTTTGCACTCTTTTTTTAATATTTTCTAAAGTATCTAGCATTTGAAGTGAGTTTGTGCAAGAGCCCCCCTTGTTATTTTGATAGCACTACACCACTGACACTGATGTGTTCATTGTTACAGAAAAGAAATAGAGCAATAGATGCAGAATGGTTTTTCCTTGTTCCGAAGATCGAGTTCTTTGAGGTTTGCAGAACGTTCTACTTGTTTATGTTCCGAAGTATAGAATGAGAATGAGTGTAGAATAAAACCATACCAATTTTCGATAACTTATTTACAAAAAGGAACACAAGTAGAACATAGCTATGAAACTCGTCAAAACACAAATCAAATTCTTACTATATCAGCTTAGGAACAGACTGTCGGAGGGATTCATGCTTTTAATAGCGTAAATATTTCGAATCCACTACACGCTTTTCTTAATAAGAACATCCTTTAAGCCCTGGCAAAACGACTAAACATTTTACTATACATTTCATTCACTCAATATTTTTTAGCGAAGTTTAGCGAGGGTGGCAAAATGTGACTAAACTTTTTATTAAACTTTGCTCAACATTTTTGAACTGTGATCTGTGTAGGACGCTTTGGGGTTGTAGGGGATTTCGCATTGGAATTTACTTTATGTTTGTTTTGCTGTATGTTAGCAAAAAAGACTTCAAGTACAAGAAATTGATAAAAATAAGAATTTGATGAAACGAAGGGAAAAGAAAATACTTTTTAGCACATTGGTAACAAAGTTGACTGTTGAAGAAGACACAGTAGCGTACAAGAGAATAAAGCAAATTTCTCATGAAGGCATTCTAGAGGGCAGAAATTTTGGGTCACGTAGAGACAGGAAAACAGAGAAAACCCCTGGAAAAAGTTTGGGTTCACACAGCTAAAGCGCCTGCGCTAGCACAACAAATATTTAATTGGTGGCGAACGGCTAAACAATTGCTAAACAACACTAAACATTTTTGACCAGAATCAAACTTTGCTCAACAACATTCAACGCGACTAAACAGCACAAAACAGGGTGGCAAAACGAATAGAATTTCCACTAAACTTTTCACCAAATAAAATTTGAGTGAAATTTTTAGTAAAATGTTTAGTCGTTTTGCCAGGGCTTCATTAAAAACAGCAGGCTGATATTTGCTCAAAAACAAGAATAACTTTGAAACAAGGCAGGCTGAAATTCAACAAAACTCAAGAGATAAAATATCAGCAAAAATTGAAAAAATGAGAGAATAGCAACACAAAAACAGACAGCAATGAGCAAAATAGCATTAATTACTTTAACAAGCACATGTTTTTTGTCCGATACTACTGTACACAGGGACTTCCATAACAAAATAAGAAACAAAATAAAAAACACGTTAGGCTGAAAATATATGCGAAAAAATAAAAAACGTTAGGCTGAAAGCGGAGCCACGTTTTCTAATAAAAAAGCGTGTACCCTTTAACCTTTGAAATCAAACTTTAACCTATCACAACATCGTTCAGCAAATGCCTACATAAATGGCTTATTCAAAGTCACTGAAATGATAACTAATTACCTAATTTGTTTTGGTACTGAAATGACGACCTCACACTCCAAGAAATTTTACATCAAAAACATACGATGCAAGAATCAAACCCTAAGGATTCCATCATCATGAAAAGCAGATTAAAGGAATAACTGAACAGTTACCCTAGGAGATCATAAATCCTGCTACCAGGACTTTACTAAATCCACTGCAGTGAATAAAATGGAGATGAAATGGCCAAAAAGATTGTAAAAAGCATTCCCCTTTGTAAAAAGAAAGAAGGCTGTGTGTGCTGAAAACCGCTTCCCAAAACTTTCTATAAAATGCTCGTCTGCAAAAGCAATCAAAGTAAGAAGCAACCAATCTGTGTAGTGTAGACATCCTCAACTTGTAAAACACTTAAGCAAGTGCATCCCACAAACTGCTATTGGTTCCCCTGCAATGGAAATACAAAGAGCGACTCTTTGAAGTAATTGAGAAGGTTTGGGTGGCAACAAAAGTAGCTTTTGGTTGTTGCAGAATCTGAATACCCCCTCCAAATTTGCTACACCAGATCTCATAGAATAGGAACGTCACAAATTGAAGCTCTTCAAGCCAACCACGAGGCAGCAAACAAAAGGAAATGCTTTCTGCTACACCAAGCAGTGACAAGAAATAGCAGTGGCATCACTTAATATGTTCTTCTCTCAAGATCTTCGAAGGTAGATATCCCAATTCCTTGTCCTCAATGAAGTTCTAAACCTTGCAGTCTACATAGACAGTGGCAGTGGTAAGAATTCAAAGATCTTAGCATTAGTTTTATGTGATCTTTCTACGCTAGAAAAGGCAACTTTCCTAGGCTTGCATTCTTACAGTGGAAATGATTATGGAACTAGCGAAAAGTACACAAGAGTTCTTGTCTACATTTGCAGAGCTTGGTTTGTCAGCTGATGTCCAAGAAAATGTTATTGCATCACTGATTGTTGTCTGTCGCTTGTTTGGTAAAAGACAACACACCTGTAGAGATGACGCCTACCGAGAAATCTTCTCGAGAAGTTTCGCAAAGGACGAGAAAGTTACAATTTTACTTGTGCTCAAGGGGGTTTTCGAAGTCCCATATCCAGACAAAATGGGTGAGCCATCCTTAATTTCCCTTTTTTACCTCTAGAACGGAACCTTTTTTCAAGAGTTTTGTCACACCCCCATTTCCTCCCCTAGCGTTGGCCCTGGTGGCTAGAATTTAGTTTCAAGACAAAGCATCAACTTATATCATGCACCAATCTCACTTTTATTTCAACTAGAGTGAGTCTTATACCTAGGTTTATCCGTTGATTGGCATTTGGAAGCTTACCCGGAAGATGCAATGACGGTAAAACTGTAATTAGTTTAGTTGAAGTTTCTGATTAAGAAAATTACGATTAGATGTGAGAGACTGGGTATATTTATTTGAAAAATTATAAAATTTCTTTCCATTTTTCACTGGAATACGTAGAACGGACATGATACCATCTCGGAAATTTTCGGCCTTGCCATTCCCCAAAGAATTGGAATTGACCCATATGGCAACAAACAATTTTTTACTAATATAAGTGCTTTTATAGTGCTTACAGGTCATAAAAATCAATTATACAGTCAAATAGAAGAAGCCATCCTTAAAAAGACTGAAACTCCCATATCTCGGAAAAGCCCCCCAAACGGCCTGATCAACACTCAGATTCGAAATCTACACCAAAAACTACTTTAGAAAACTTAGGTCTCGTAAAGTCTCCTTCTAGGTGGTAATGCTCCTCCCTCAGCCACTGGACTAGGCAGATGGAAAAACGACATCACTACATGAAGTACTAACTCTGCAAATGTGTTTGAAATCAGTGCGCACAGGTTGTTGATGGACTTTTGCAAAGGCTTGTGCTGCTGAGTCAACGAAAATAAGCATTATTCACAAAGGCAAAGTAGCAATTTAACAGCAACAAGGCCTGCATCATGACAGAAGACGAAAAAGCCGGTGTTGAGACAAGGAAGATGAAGAGGCAACGTTCTAGGACATCGTCTGGATCAAAACCAGAGGACGCCGTTGAGCCAGGTGTTGACGAGAAGGTTCGGCTTTGCTCTTGATAATCGTTATTATACATAATTTCAGAGTTTTGTAAGCCAACAGTGACAAAACTATTATCAATATCTCTAGTATTGAAATGATATCATGTTCTTGTGACTAAGGCATATGACTTTTGTCCAGGTTATTTGCATTGTGGATACAAGGAAATGTGGATACAAGAACAAGTTGATGTTTTCAACTTTCTCTTCCTAAGCAAGCACGATATCGATTGGTTTTCAATGAATTTTCGTTGAAATATCCAAGTTTGATTGTTGATGGATTGTAAACCGGGTGAAGTAATGTAGTTCCTAGCAGGCGCTCTTTTTGAGAAGCAATTTGTCTGCAAATTTATGCCCTGTCCACACCACCAGTTCATTCACGTGAAACTGAATTTGGCCGAACAAAACTGAACACAATGATTTACAACTGTTAGTATGTCCACAATTTGAATTTCAGCCACAAATTGTCATGCAGAGAAGTCAGTTTCTTTGTTGCTAAGATTCGGGAAGACTTCAACACTAGCTTTTCTTTGAAGACTAGCATTCTAGTGATTGGAGACCAAAGTTTGGTTTTGGTGCCAGTGTTTGGGAAATATCCTCAAACAAATCCTTTGATTTAAATTTTAAGGAAAAAAGGAAAATGGTAAACAGTTGTGAAGTAATGAGGGTGTGAATTTCCCTTCTTAATTGATAAGAAATGACCCCCCCCCCTCCTGCTGTAAGAAATGATGTTACAGAGTATGCTAAGCTACAAAAGTTATCAGGCCATGCCCCCCCCACTTTTCTGCAGAACTGAAGAACAATTTTAGGCAAAAGTGGAAATAAATGTAGTATATGATTCTGTAAGCAACTTTGCCTAGCATTCTCTTAAATGTGTCCTTAGCTTTCTTTACCTTGGTTGCTATGTCTTTACCATAGAAGACATACATAAAATTGAATACGGAAATTAGATCGAAGAAATCAGTCATTGTCTAAGTTTTACAACTGCTTGGCTTAGCAAATAGACCGAGAAACCTAGTCCAGAATAACTTGCTGCCAGCACAAATTGACGGAGTTTCGTTTTTTCCATTCCCTAAACTTGGCACACAGGGTCTATTTGTTATTGAAAATTTTCTCAAAAACATTATAAAAAGAGAAAAATCAGCTGTTGAAGGGAAAGAAACAGCTGGAAAGAATTTTTTTGAGGATATGTGAAATAAAGTATGGGCAGATTTGTTCTTAAAAAGTATCATTAAGAAAACTTCAGAGTTTGATCATTTGGATAATCCATTCCTTTTAAAAAAGAGAAAATATCTACATAATTATAAATTCTATTTAAACTCATTTTGACAAGCCCAGTTTGAAGGTTTTTCAAATTTTTGTTAAAGCACTTGATTTCTGAAAAAGTTAAGATCAGATGTTAAATCTTAACTGTACATAATAGCTTAACTTTTTATTTCTAGTTGATAGTTCTTCTGTTGATATTTCAACGTTAATGTTTTTTATTAATCCATGTTTCATTTATTTTTCTCCCCCATCTTATTTCAGGTACTTTTAAAATTTAAAAAAACGGTTTCATCACAAGCTGTATGATAGTGGTTATTCTAAAACTTTGCAAAACTTTTCTATTTCAAGTCAACATCACAATAGACTCAACTATGCGACACCTTCAGTCAAAATTCATTTCTGGCCATCCCTAAGACACCATAATTCTAAAATAAAGGAACTAAAAGTTAAAAATTCCCTATTTAGAATTATCAACTTTAGAAGTTGAAGAGTTAAGCATTGTTTTTAGATTTATGTACATTAAATGATAATTGATAAAGGGATAAAGGAACATTAAAAAGAATATAAAGGGCTTAAAGATTTGTACAAGGATTGAGACCGCAGTTGAAAGGAACAAAAATCAATTATGATCCAATGCATTATTGATTGACAGTGCTTTATACAACTGAAATTGGTATCCAATCTAATAAACTGTAAAAACCAGCATTTACCAAATAAAGTGATTAAAGAAAACCTCACTTTGTAGCTAACAAATTATAGAAGATGATCAATTCGTAAGAACACATAAGATAATGCAAAGATTGTTTTTTTTGGATTGACAATCTTACCTTTGCACAAACATTTATTTAAGGTTAACATGTAAACGGTGAAAAGCATGGCAACTTTTGTCTGTACTTGCTGTGGAAGTAAAGTTTTGAGACTTTGAAAATTGCTTCTTTTCTGATATCCTGCTTCTTTTCTGGTCTGCTGCGCACAAACAAGGTTTGACGTTAATTGGCAGTTCTTCTCGGGGGCTTGTTGCCCTGGCTGGTTGGACCGTTGTAGTGGAGGTGGAAGTAAAAGAAACATCTTCAGTGTTTGTCATCAGTATAAACAAGCAAATCTTGTTCTATGTTACAACATGCTCGCACACTTGCACAATTTTATGGCACCATGGCTTTTGCTGAAGACATACCCAAATATTTTTGCCCTCGTCTTGTTTGGTGCAAAAGTTTCGTTCCCACAAAGTACATAATTTCTACACAGATCGACCTCCATGCATTTAGGAAATCACTTAATGATTATGTTTGTTGCATAAGTGCCTCTTATGCAAACTGTAATTGAAGATTGTATAAAAAAATTGGAGAAAGTAGGATACCTGGTTACTTTAGCAGTAAACTGCTCAAATACCAACAGAAGAGTGCTTTATAAAGTCCCAGTTTTGAAACTTTGTGTGATAGAAATTGGTTCCCTAAATAGACCTGTATTTTATCATTTCAAATTTCCAATTCCCTTGAATTTATCTTCATTGAATACCCCCTGTTCCTATGGCTTAGCCAATGAACATAGTGACCATTTCCCCCTGCACTACTCTCATCATCAAACCCTTGTTGATATCATCAGCCTTGTTTATAGTCCAAATTCAGGTTTTTCTTTAATTGTATATTCTTTAATTATATTATTCAAAAGTGAAAATTATCAGTTTTATTCATTTACAGAATTTGGTGATCCTGTGTCTTTTCTTGTTATGGCTTACAGAATTTTAGATTGTGAAATATAGCAAATAAATTATGGAAAAGAGTTTTGTTTTTTGCTGTTGACAATATAAAGCAAGTTTGAGTATAGGGATTTATAAATAAAAAATTTTGTACAGGCTAACCTTTTATTTGCCCTATGGGTCATTCCATGTCAAAGAGGGACAAAATAAGCAACTTTGTCACCCATCCCCTCAGAATTTGCTGATTTTTTGTGTAAATATGGGTAAATATAGATATTACAAAGCAATGTTGAATGATAGAAAGTAAGAACATTTTATTGTTGTTGATTGCCAAGAGTGCCAGAAAATAATTTGAGAAAAGAGCAACTATACAAAGAGTTTGGCTGTGAGAATAGGTCCAAAATGTTTATGAGTTGAATGAAACAGAATTAAATGAAAAGTTTGTATTTGTCATTCTAAATTGCTATAGGGATGGTTCATCTAGGCAACAGCTCATTGCATTCATTATCAGGCTTTTCCTTGCACTTTTCTGATATTTTCTGACATGCTGGTTTGACTAAGGAAACCAGTCAAACTGAGCTATGAAAACTTGTAAAATTGCCTTATCCAGTTCACCTTGTCAAATTATTACTCAGTAAGGTCTTATTTTTTGGGAGGATGAACTTGCTATACCTTTAGGTAAAATTTATTGCAGCACAAACTATGTATATTTGCATAACATGATAATAAAGGTTACTTTTTACTGATCTTTAATAAAGTGCTTGATCCCATAATGAAAAAGCGGTGCATGCTATTTAAGCAGAGCAAGACTGTTTGAATTGTTTAATTAGGCGACAATATTTGTATTTATGTTTAATAAACTGTATCAATCAGATTTTCTTTTCTAGAATGCAAATGGAGATAAGAATGGAGACAAGAACGGAGCTAAAGAAGAGATATTTGGAAACATGAATCCAAAGTAAGATTCATATCATTGAATTGCAATGAAGTTTTATAGTTATTCATTATTTACTATTCAGGCCTTGCAAGGAAAGGTGCTTGAGTGGATGTACAAAGTTTTTTGTCTTGTTGTCAATTGCATTTGCGTTATGAAACAGAGGAGACAGACAACAATGATAAAGGACCAAGCATTTTAATTAGCTGAATAACTCTGAACTCACTTAAAAAAATGTACAATTTCTAAGGCTGTTCAAAGCATTTGACCCATTCAACATGGTTTGACAGAAAACACATATTTGTTTGGTCGAAGTGTAACAGTGTGTTTATTACTGTAACTCTAGTAAATTTAGCCATACATTTTTCCTAGGAGCTTGGTTGAGCACCTATTAAGTTTAAGGTGCTTAGTTTATCAAGTGCCTGCATCTTTGTTCCTCACAAGGCCTGCTGTAATGGTAATTTTCTCAACCTCTCCCCATCCTAGAGTTATCATTTCAGAGTATATTTGAGACATTCCAAAACATCCCTCATATTGTGTGGTGTTTGTGTGTCAGATTGCAAGCATCAAATGTTGATTTATCATGACAGAAATTTTTGCCAAACTCTCAAAAGGTAACCAAAAATTGGTTTATCAAATTTATATAAGCTTCTCTCTTATTTAGATGGAAAAATTGGTGGGTACGGTCAGTTTTCACGTTACTGATGATTGGTGGATTTGCTGTTATAATCACACTGGGTCCTTTAGCAATTTTAATTCTGGTGGGTAATATTATATCAAATGCTTGATTATGCTAATAATATACCAAAGATTTTCCTTGCTCTTAAAGCTTGAATTTCAGTTGATCATTATACTCTACAAAGCAACATGGATATTAATGTATTTCTAATATTTCATTTCATTTTTTCTTACAATTAGATTTCCTGTGAAATATAGAAGTTCCCAGCAGAATTTTGAAAATTATTTTAAAAACAATCTTTGCACTTGTGGAAGAAAGTTATTTATTTTTAACTGACTTTTTTGTTTCTAGATCTTTGCAATCCAAGTTAAATGCTACCACGAGATAATCTCAATTGGTCATATTCAATATAAAAAGTTCAACCTTCCATGGTTCCGTACTCTGAGCTGGTAAATATTCAAATTTTTTGTTGTTCATATGAAACAGCATTTTCTATATAGGTTGATGAAGAAAAATTCTTTGCTAATTCAGTGACTTTGTGCCATATCATCTACTTATGACTGAAATTGTGAACAGTAACCTTTCTGTGCAATTTGAAAATCAAGATTTGAAGCTGACTTCTTCGCAACTTAAATTCAGCAAACAAAGACAGAAGTTAATTGGTAAAACTTTTATATTATTAATGCCCAAATTCCCATTGCCATTGCTCCAACTTGTTTAAGAACAAGCTTATACAAAATGATATCTCCGTCTTCACTGCTGCAAATATCATGAATTTGTATATCATCCATTCACAGCAGTTAATTATAATTATCAAAACACACAGAATTTACAAAATTTTAAAAATATTTACTGGCTGTTTATGTCTTAAAGACAAATACTTTTGCCATGAGGTTTTTATTATTCAGGTCTTTTGCTCTAAGAAGTCAGTTTGTATGAAATCGTGACATGGTTTAATTTAAAAAGACACATTTGTGCCCAAAAATCAACCTTCTAAAGACAGATGCCATTTATGTGAAATATTTCATCAATGAGAAGTTTCTAATGAATTTGCTTCTATTTACAAGGTACTTTCTTCTATGTTCCAATTATTTCTTTTATGGGGAAATGGTTGCTGAATATTTCCATGGCTTCTCTTTCAAGCAGGTAAGGTTGAACCAGGTAAGGTCACAACAATTCGGTTTAGTAGGACTTTCCAACCAAGTAACAGAATTCTCAAAGTTTTATTATCTTTACATGTGCTTTTAGAAGCAAATTTTGTAACTTCTAATAGATTTTCCACCACTAGAGCTGAGATTCAAATGTCTTAGATTTCTTAAAAAGCTAGATGTAGTACTTAAATAAGAGGTGAATATTCTTTATTAATCTAATTGTTTTGTTTATCTGCCTGTCATCAAGGTATTTTTAATAAAATTCATTTCAGTAATATTGTAATACCTTTTCTAATGATGCCAAGCTAGTAATTCCAAGTTTAAGCTGATACTGCTTGATGAATTTCAAGCCTAATTTTTCGCATTTTTCACAGGAACTCTTCAGGTGGCTCTTCCAGCACCATAGGCTCATCTCATTTAGCCTTTATACAGTAGGCAAGTGTATTTATCAGATCAGTTTTAATAAGAAATATACTTAGTTTGTGTATTTAGTTTGCAATTAACAAAAAGCCTGTTCCTATAACTTTGGAAGCATGAGATTTCAGGAAACTGCATCTTTCCATCTTTTTTTCTTGATAAAGGCTAATAGCACCAAAGATTGATTATAATTGGAAAATCAATGTTCCGTTATCATTCTTTATGTATTCTTTTTTGTTTTAAATTCAGTTTACACTGTGTATCATTTCATGCAATGATATGTATATTGGCAGCGGGGCAGCTAGACCGTTGAGACTAGAGAGAGGATGGTAGAGGTTCCTGTAAGGTTATTTTCAAAATGATGACAAAATTAAGATAATTTAGTTTCTATGTTGCAGACTCCCCCAATCAGTTTTACTGACCAGCAAACATTTTTAGTGACCATTTGTGTCACACCCCACGTGGTACACTCCCAAAAGATATGTCTTCTATATTGCTTCTTCATTCAGTTTTGACTGTTTGTCTCTCATTTCGAATGTTTTCAGGAATTATGATGTTTGTTTTGAGTTTACGAAAAAACTACTACAAGACACAGTTTGCTCTGGTAAGTGCTTCAAGAAAGAATACTGTTGGATATACTGTAATTTATGAATTATGATTGAGAAAATATAATGTGAGACCAAACTGTTTCATGTCAAACACTGAACAAAAACTGAATGCATCAGATCATTGCAAGAGATGTTAACACTGCATTGTTTTTATACTCTGTTTATGTCAATAACTGGTTTATAGTAGTATAAAAAATTTCAAAAGACAATCATGGTCTTTTGTTCTAAAGCAATGGACAAATGTGATGTCATAGGTGTCGGCCACTGGTTTTCATCTTAATGAAAAGGAACTTGTCTTCAGAGATATGATGCGTTTACACCATTTTGCATTTTCAAAAGATTCCATTCTCAAGAATTTTAAAATTTTTGTATTTTTTGATAACAGATTCACCTTTTCCACATAGATGGGATACTGCAAAATATTGGGTTTTTCTTGGAAGAACCACTTTACCTTGAAAAGTCTTTTTAAAATTAAATTGGCCAAATGGGGCCTTTGGCGCAATCTTGATTACTTTGCAAGACTGAAAGGCTTTTAAACTTTGGTTTTTATTCCTGTTTACTGTTCGTCAAAAAAATTGCCATGCAATATTACTAAGTGCCAAGATAGGTTTTAAAATGTTGGGCATGCATAAGAAATTGGTGGGAGGGGGGAAGCCCCCTGCTATCTCAACCTTTGAATGTCTCTGCCTTGTGTAACGGTTACGTTACACAGGTAACGGTTATAATAGCAGATATTACTTGAAAAACATCTTACCATTCGATATGGCAATCAAAGGATACATAAATACTACTTATATATCTACTATATTATTTTCTGAAGTTTATTGCTCAAATTTTCTAAAAATATATTTTTCTTTCTGCTGCATTTTGCATATGATCTGCAGAAGTTATTAAAAACTATTGAGCCCCCCTTCAAACCAGCCCCCCCATCCTTAAAATGTCCGCCCCTTAGAAGAGTTATAGATTTTGTGGACTTACGTTTTTGTTGATGTTTTTAGCTGGTTGTATTTTTGCAATTTCATTCTTTAATTTTTAATATGCCTATTTTTGTTATAACTGGTTATTCTAAATTTTTTCCCAAGTTTGGTTGGTACCAGATTACGTTGGGCATTATCCTTGTGCCTTCACACCTGATCATTCAAAATTTTTTCCAAGGATCTATATGGTAATAAGCATTTACTTTCTTTTTCTCTATAACTGATTCCTGACGGTAAACATTTAGCGCAAAATTTGAGTTTTTTCTCTTTTCGAAAGAAAGTGCATTGCAAACAACAGTAGAACCTTTTTTATTTTATCTGTTACCTCACTGTTCTTATACATCTATCCTGCATTTCTAGGTTTTACCTTCCCGTTTCAATGGTAATTTGCAATGATATTTGGGCTTACATTTTTGGTGAGTTCATCATGATGATAAAACCTACACGATTTAGTCTTTTTTTAAATTACGAGATATTTTGTTAGTTTGATCTTGCATCCATTAATTTTGACTTCTGTATTTCAAATGCTTTTTAGAATTCCACTTTCACAAGCTGCAAAGCAGTTTAATTTAGTTTCGCGAACATTTCTTCTTTTGGAAATTTTTACAACTATTATCAGTAATTTAACTTTTTATCTTGAAGGTTTTTTCTTTGGCAAGACTAGATTAATCAAGGTAAGTCAATGTCGAGTCATTCCATTCCAAGTCATCAAAAGATTGAATTTTTTAATGCCAGCTCTTCTCTCTCTCTCTCTCTCTCTCTCTCTCTCTCTCTCTCTCTCTCTCTCTCTCTCTCTCTCTCTCTCTCTCTCTCTCTCTCTCTCTCTCTCTCTCTCTCTCTCTCTCTCTCTCTCTCTCTCACTCTCACTCTCTCACTCTCTCACTCTCTCACTTCCTCTCTCTCTCTCTCTCACTCTCTCCCTCTCTCGCTCTCTCGCTCTCTCGCTCTATGTGCCATATCCTTTCAAGACGTGGGGGATCATGGCTTTCCACAGCTTTCTTTCCTTTGTTCTTTTTAGCAGCTTTTGTTCTTTTGTTCCCCCTCTTTGTCCTTCAGGTACATGGTCTGCCATCTATGTGCTCAAACTAGTAAAGTACTTTATCAGTGGTCTTTCTCTGCTTTTCTTCCCTCTAGTGCTTCCTGTGGGAATTAAATTCTCCAAGCTTTCTTTCCTCATAACATGCCCCAAAATTTCCAACTACCACTTTCTAACTGTTGGCAGCAGTTTCCTTTCAGTTCCTATTTTCTTTACAACTTCTTCATTTGTAACATGGTCTGTCCATGGCATCTTTAACATGTGCCGGTAAAGCCACATTTCAGCTGCTTCAAGTTTGCTCCTCATATGTGCTGAAATTGTCCAGCATTCACTTGCTGATAGAAGATTGGTTGTTACATAGCAGTCCAACACTCTTTTCCTTGTTTGAATTGTCTTCTTTCGATTTGTCAGTACCTTACTTAATTTTTGGAAAACGTCTTTTGCCATACCAATGTGTCTCTGGATTTCTGTGTCACACCTTCCGTCCTCAGTCAACATGCTTCCCAGAAAGCTAAACTTTTTACCTGCTTGATTTTGATGTCACCAATTTTTAATTGACACTTTGGGCTATCTTTTCTACTCACGACCATGCATTCTGTCTTTTTGCAATTGATAGTGAGCCCTTTATTTTCGCTTTCCTCAACTATCTTGCCTAATAATTCTTTTGATTTTTCTTCTGAATCTGCTATCAACACTGTGTCATCTGCATAGCGTATGTTATTGATGTTCTGCCCACCTATAACAAGCCCTGGTAAATCTTCTAGTTCTCTCAGAATCATTTTGCTGTATACGTTAAACAAATCAGGTGAAAAAACGCATCCCTGTGGCAGTCTTCTCTCTGTTCTGGTATACTCACTTAGATCATTGTCTATTCGCATACATGCTGTTTGTTCCCAATACAAGTTGCGAACTGTTCGTATGTCTTTGCCATGTAAATCAAGCTATAAAAGCTGGCATTGAATCATGTTGATGATCCTGAATGGATGACCCTGTTGCTATGATATCAAAGAGAAGATTTTGGATGTCAACTTTTAGCTCCTTTGGTCCATATCTTTGTAATGAAATAAGTCACTTCTGCTGCTTTTTTATTTCTCTACTAGCAAATTTTTTGGAAACATAAAGATAAAAACAGAACAATTGCCTGATGATAACATTTAGTGTGAAGATGCCCCTACTTGCTTTTATACACCAATGCATTGTGCAACTCTATCTATATGGCATCAAGCATTTCGAAGTAGGCTGGTAAACTGGAATCATAAATCCGCAGTGTTGCATAACTTATATATTATGGTTACAGAGCTGGGCTTGCTGATCTCCATAGTTCAATGATGACATCCATATTAATGTATTTGTAGAGTTTTTGACCAAGGCTATTAATGTCAATACTTCACCATTTACCAAGATTAGTTTGACTTTGTGTTTGATAATTTATGTCTGCAAAATTTTAGCTGTTTGTTTTATGTTCTATAAGCCTTTGTGGTCTTTTATGATTCACCGGATGAGCTGTTATGACCATTGGTCTGAATTATTTTTAAAGTTACCAAGATACAAAGCATGTTTATAAGGTTGTCTGATAGGCCCCTTGCCCAGTTGTTATCTCAACAGTGTTAGAATGAATTTTTGTTTAAAAAGTTTTATTAAAACATATTTCTTTGATGTTTCAGCTGTCACCTAAAAAGACATGGGAAGGCTTCATTGGAGGATTCTTAGCAACAGTTTTCTTTGGATTGATTGTATGTATGATTTCTATGTGATGCTTGCACTTCTTTATTCTAAACATTCACTTTTTAAAAGATCCCATTTGGAAATGATCATCAAATGCAACCAAATGTTTGCACACTCCTTCAACAGATAGCAACATTATTTCAAATATTTATTTCAAATATTTATTACAATTTTGTGTTGGTTTGAGTGCAGTACCCTGTATAGCATTGATCAATATAAAGGTTGAATATAAGTCTTCAAGTTGGTATCAACAACATGTGCTCAACACAACCTTATATGTGTACTCAATGTAAGTCATTACCTTTTGGTTGTGTTGAAAGTTTTTTGCCATTCTTTTTTCCTGCTTAATGTTCCTTTTTCCCTTTTACGAGGGTCACTCCAAAATTATTGAGATATTCAAAAACCGCAAGAGGCATCGTGTTCAAATTTTCACAGTTTCTCAAAATACTCTCCACTGGCTTCCACACAAAGTCTCATACGATAAAACCACATATCAAAACAATGGGCCCATTGTTCCGTGGCCAGGTCAGAAACAGCCTCGTTGAAGGCACTAACTGCATCATCAGCGGTATCAAACTTTGTTCCGCGAATTTTTTCTTTCACCGCTGGAAAGAGAAAGAAGCCACAAGGTGCCAAATCAGGTGAATAAGGCGGGTGGGTCATCAACTGAACTGAATTTTCGGACAGAAAGTCGATGGTCAAAGCAGCTGTGTGAGCGGAAGCGTTGTCATGGTGCCAAAGTAGACACCATGACAACGCTATCTCAAGCGGTTACTGAATATCTCAATAATTTTGGAGTGACCCTTAAGAGTCTAAATTTTCAAAATTTTGTTTTAGGCATGTGAGATAATGAGCAAGTTCAAATACTTTCATTGCCCAGTTCAGGTAATTAATACATGATAATTTTGTGCTTTTCTTTGTCTTTTATCAGTTGTTATGTTTGATCTGAAAATAATGTGTAAAGTAAATTAGAAGCCCTAAGACAATCCATAGTTTTTTGGGTTTGACCAGTCTTTGTCCAAATCAGGCCATTATGATTCCAGACCCCCAAAACAATACAAGGGAATATTATGTCATAAGTTAAAGGAATGGATGGTCAAGGAAGGTCGTTTTTCCTATGGGTTGAACGAAAGTGGCTCCTTCATTTTTGCGATTTTGAATCCAGTCATAATGTGTTTTTCCGGTATATGATGTTGAAAGAATTGATGCTGCCAAATTATTCTTTTTATGAGGTAATATTAAGTTATTTTGGATAATTTGCTTATGTTAGTTTCCAATTTTTTCTTTAATCAGAAAACCTCCGAAATTTAAACTGCACAATGATATTTAGCCTCTTAATCTATGTTCTGATGTTTTATGTTCTGAAGAGTGTGAGATGAAAAGCTTTAGCATACTTTAATGTCTGTTTTTTCAATTTTTAAGTTTTGTTCTACCAAAAGATTGTTTCCATATTCAGCTTTTTTTATTTAATTTTTCAAAATTGGAATTAAACCCTGTTTAGATCTATGCCACAAAAAGAAAACAATGTGGCTTGAATTGATTTCTTTGCTGTGACCTAGAATAGAGAGTTTCTGCAGTTCCATTCTCAAACTGCTTTCAATTTTCCACTTTATTTTGAGATTAGTAACAGTGAAAATTTTCTTAAACTGAAATCTTATTAATTTTTTAGTATCTGAGCTCCAGTGGTGTGTTCAAGATAGATTGTGAGAGGTCACCAATTTTTGAACTCACCCACTACTTCACAATTCCTAACGCAGCTTTACAAGTTTTCAACAAGTGCCCTGCAATTTTGAAGACAGGAACATCAGCATTTCTTTCCTTAGTAAGTGAAAAATATCATCATTTCTTTGTAGACTATACAAACAAAATTATGTTATAATTAGGATATTTAATATCTAAGTAAACATTTTTTGTTTAAACTATTGGTCACAAAATAAATTCTATTTTTGCATCATAGATGACATCTGATTTTGTAACTCTTATGTCTTTTACAAGTTTTAAATATTTCTTTCCATTTTTGAAATCAGATGATTTTATTAGACTGACCTAGAGCTTATCTTTATCTTTATGGGGTCCTTGAAACCAATGCCCTTAACAAAACCTCACACAAGCCTCTTGTGTGGTGGCATTTCATCAACAACATTTTTATGATTTGGAAACACGAACAAGACAAACTCACCGACTTCATCGATAGACTAAACAACACCCATCCCACTATCAAATTCACCATAGCACTCCCGCACACCCCAAACACACCAAAAGGTCCATTCCGTACAGTCTTGCTCTACAACTATGGCAGATCTGCTTTGAAGATAAAACGTTTAAATTTCGCACGAGACAACTACTGGAATGATTGACAAAGTGGGATCACTAACCCAAACAGACAAGCAAACAAATACAGAAGGTTTTCAAAAAAACTGCCTCAAGACTGCTTCAAGACCACCAAACGACGCACAAATCATCGCTCGCCATTTGTTGTCACCTACCACCCAGCTGTGCCACAACTATCCCCCATACTGAAACAAAACCTTGACATACTACAAAACTCTTACACATGCAAAGAAGCCTTCCCCAACACACCCATACTTAGTTACCGCAGACTGAAGAACCTCTGGGATTTTCTGGTTCGTGCCAAAATAAAAAGTGCCACACCCAGTGATCCCAGAGGCTCTTACAAATGCCACTCGTTATGTAACTGTTTAACATGCCAACAGATCACAGACTGAAATACAACATTTAACTTTTCTAACACTGACAAAAAGTACGACATAAAACAATTACTGGACTGCAACTCCACCAACGTCATATACGCATTACAGTGCAAACGCTGTATACATAAATGAAGCAAAAACTGCCAGTACATCAGACAAACTAGTAGACAACTTAAAGACAGATTTAACGAACACCGACGAGACATTATCAACAAAAAAGATGACAAGTCTGGAGTTGCTGAACATTTCTGCAGCCCAGCACACACCGTCAATGAGCTTGCCATTACCCCATTACTTAGACTTAATGACAAACAAGAGAGTGTTTGTCAAGCTAAAGAGCAATATCTCATTGGCCTGGCTAACACCCTCACCCCCAACAGTATGAACAAAACCACCGATTATTAACTTTGCAACGCAACTTATCACTTATCACACCGTCCTCACAACTTACACTATGTTTTCCTACCACTATAATCATTATCACCACCATTACTACCATCAACATTCCATTACTCTCAGTTCCATCACAATTATTATTATTGTTATTGTTGGTATTTTTTACGCATATTTATAGTCATCATTATCATCCCATTACATCAATTTCTACAGCACCACCCACCACCCTTCCCTCCCCCACTTCCATCATCCCATTTTTTCTCCACTGCACTGCATTCACACCATTCAACATCCACCAATCCGGCATCACCATCTCACATTTCAAATTCATTCACTCAATCATTTCATTTACTCTGATGAAGCCCTGTATGCCGGGGCGAAATATTAGTATTCATTTGATTTAATTTGTCCTGTTTATCCTGTGGTCCTTCCTTCTCACACACTTATCTTTATAGATGGGATTTCAACTTCAAGATGGGGAAATATGGATGAATCCTATGGCCTGGCATGCTATTGTACTAGCCTGCTTCTCATCCCTGATTGCACCATTTGGAGGCTTCTTTGCCAGTGGATTCAAGCGGGCTTTTAAAGTGAAGGTGATGTTTGTTTTTGCTACCTTTTTTCTGTATATTCATTTATGGATTTTAACGAAAGGTGGCACATTTATCGCACAAGGTTTATATCTTAGCCACCTATCATTGTTACTAACAGCATCAGCCACAACATTAGTTAGATCACCTAAAAAACTAAGCTATTTGAGTAATCAAAAATGCTAAGTAAGGCAAGAAATGCTGAAGGTCTATCCTATAATGAAAGAGCTGATTTTGATGCTTCTTTGATATAAGCCTGAAAATATGTATTTTTTAACAAATAACTGTACACAAATGTGTTTAATCTATTTTCCTACTCATACCTTCACAAGCGTGTGTGCTTTTTATAGGAAAACCTTTGTCACATTTTTCTGTATTAGGATTTTAATATGTTTCCATATTCTTCCATTAAAACTTTTTGCCCTAGATCTGAAGCCAATTTTTTTAGATGTTTATGCATCAATCTTTTTCCCTTTTTCAAGCAGATAGGTACCAGCAAATTTCAGCTTCTCATTTTTTCAGGGAGTCGTGTTTTGTTGGTCAACTTTGTTCAATTTATTCAAGGCAAGGCCTGTTCTTAATAGTCTTCTGTCTGGATTTGTAATGCATTGCATTTTATTTAGGACTTTGGCGATACCATTCCCGGACATGGTGGAATTATGGATAGATTTGACTGCCAATACTTGATGGCCACATTTGTCAATGTTTACATTGCAAGCTTTATACGGTAAGCTTTGTTTGTATTTTTCTTGTTTAGAGGATATGAATAGCATAAGGTTTTTTAGTAAAAAATGCCTTGATGTTGTTCACAAAACTTGAAAAACTCCTCAATTAATTGGTCCTATTGCCAATTATCAAGCAAGGAACAAGTGAAACAACCCAGTAACAAGCAGAACAACCCAGTAACAAACCAGTATCAACCTAGGAGCAAGCAGAACAACCCAGTAACAAGCAGGCATGTGGATTAATTGTTTAGTAATAAACACTTGGACGCATTTGTAATCCAACTCTCTAAAGTTTGTGTGGGCTTACAACTATACTGTCAAGAGGCAGTCAATCACTTTTGTTATATAAATTTCTTTTGTTGTTATTATGCAATCATTTCCTCTTCTCTTCAGACAACTGTACCTTTTGTGATGTTTATCATGTTATCATGTTTATCATATGGACATGTTTATCAGAAAACCTGTTGTTGTTTTCCCTTGAATCAAACACTGACAAGGCAAGACAAGGGCTGGTAGGCTAGTACAACAAAAGCCCAAATTGATTTTCCTGTAAGGTCTTATAGGAGACGGGGATGGTAGTTCTTTACAAGGGGATGTGTGGATAATATTTAGAGTATATCAATGTCACCCAAGGGGCAAAAGCAATGTTAGTGCATAATGCAATTTTCATAGTACTTTTAGTGAATTTATCATTGTTTTAATGATCAAAGAATCAAATTGAAATTGATCATGAAAATGAAAATTGTTTTGAAATATATTCTGGCACATACAGATTTATGATATCCGCCAATGCTGGAAATTTTAGGAGAGTATGGTATTCAGCTTCAATTTTGTGAATGCACATATCACATTTTCTTAAACATTGATCGGTATATTTTCAACTTCCCACTTTGACTGCAAGATTCTAATTTGACATGCATGCGCATGACCAATGATAATTCGCAAAAAAATTGCTTGGAGTGTGCATGACATTAAGAAAAATGTCGCCTTGTCTTCTTAGAGACAATATTCCATGATAATGACACTGATGTGCCTACAAGAAAAAATTGTGGCCTGTGCTGGGATAAAATTTGTGAATTTCAGGAATAAGATCCAGGAAACTGATGGTTTGCCTAGAAATAATTTTACTAAGGTGGAAAGTCAATCTCTTCTCTAATCAGTTATGGAGGCCCTTAGACACAAATGACACTCGAGGCTGCTGAGAGCGGGGCAAGGGGGCATCAAATGTAGCAAAAGTTTGCCAAAATAAAGTAAAAGGTTTTCAACGATTGCAAGAAATGGCTGGAAGAAATGTTCTGAAATGCATTTTGAGTTAATCTGAAGGGCATGGTCGCAAAAAGTTTCAGGGGCATGGTTGCAAAAAGTTTTGTCTTCCTGTATTGCTCCAGGGCTCCTGAAAACTCCTAAACCTAAGGCCTTATCTCAGGAAAATATATTAATAAATTTAATGTCAAAAGAGGATGAAGACATGATTGACAGCCTCTTTATAGCATCTGCGCTTGCCCACACAAACTTTAGAGAGTTGAATTACAAACACCCCCATCCATGTGTTATTTGCAAAACAATTAATTGACATTTTCCCTTGCTACTGTGTTAATCGGCTTGTTACAGGGTTGTTACTGGGTTGTTCCTTTTATTCCTCGTTTTAGAATTGGCGTTAGTCCTGTATCAACTGTTCTAAGCAATATTTATTGTTTACAAAATTTATTAGCCTTTGTTATCTGTTACTACTTTTGTTTACAATGCTTTGCTTTAAAAAGGTATGAAAAGGCACTTTCAAGTAAACACCCAAAAACATAGTATGAATAGCTAAAATGCAAATTTTGAAAAGGCAAATAGATGATAAGATTTTTTTCAGTCATTTTACGAAGTAATGTGGACACCAATATAACAGAACTTTTGCTGACAATGGATTTGGAATGGAAGCCAATATTTTGCTGTGTGAAAGTTGTCTCAGTCATCACTAGCTCAATATATGTGCCATGAAAATGGCAACCTATAAGAAAAACATTGTTAGACTAGAACTGTTTCCAATGTATTTCCGGAGCTGCTTATTTTATCTTCAATTTTTAGAGCCAGTAATCCCAACAAGCTATTAAAACAGATTATGATGCTACAACATGAAGATCAGGTTGCTGTCTTTAGGACATTGCATGAAAGTCTTGTAAAGCGTGGATTGCTGAGTGGATAGAGAAATTAGAGACAATACCTAAAGTATGCATATATTATATAAACTGCAAATAAAGAATGATAAAATTGCTTGCACCAATTTTGCGCACATAAAGAAGAGAAGTGTCATTCTTTGCTTTCTGTCACAGTGCATTCCATGAAGACCCTACACCCGAATTACAAGATAGCAGTTGAGTTCAGAAAAAGATAAAAAATAGAAAAAGATTACACCATTAGGCAAAAACATCATCATGTGTTTGCTATGCTGACAAGGAGCATAACCCACACCACAGACCTCCAGGCCTAAGCATGAACATGGAATGCACAATTGACATATGTAGTTGCTACTTGTTATATACCTTATATTTGCATATCGATGACATATCAATGATGAGCACGTATCAGTTTGAATTGTCATAGAGTTCCTAGTACATATAAAACCAACAATTTACATTTAAACTAATTGGCACATTTTTTTAAAACTATATTTTTGTTTTAACTTTTATTACAATTCAAAACTAGAAATTTTAATTCAACAACAATATGATCTTTTCTTAGATAATTATTTGTTTTTGTTTTATGAAAATATGTCTTCCATATTCAAGGCCTCCTGCCAATGACTGAGAATTCCCATATGATATCCTGTGATTTTTGTAGCCAATTTAATGCAAATCTTGGTCTCTTTTAAATCATTTGTAGATACTAAAGATTATTCTAGCATCTTAAAATAGCAATTTCTGTTTTTATTTATGATTTGATCTCTCTTCTTAACTAGCCAAGTACCCACTGGAACAAACACAACCTTAGAGAAGATTTGATGAGCCCCACCCAGTTTTTGAAGGGAAGAAAACCAGATCTTGCCCTTATCATAGTTATTTTCCAATTATTTTATTCAACCGAAAAACAAGATATTTAGTAGCCAATAACATTTACTTGTAAGACTCTTTCATAACAGTAGTACTAATAAGTTTAGCAGTTTGTGAATAAATGTGTGCATGATCAACAGGTGAATAAATCAATTTAGATAAAACAGATATGGTACAATGAGAACGAAAAATGTGATCAAAATTAACACAGGATTGCCAAATGCTACCTATTCTAGCTAAATTGTAAGCTTAGCATCAAGTAGAATGAAAAATCATCAATACAGTACAGCTTCCCTAAAGTTCTTAGGGGAAGGGAATTCTTTTCCCCAAACAAGCTATCAATGTGTGACCTTAAAATTTCAGTTCAGAATATTTATACTGGCACAACTTCACATGCAAGAACAACTTGAAACACTACCAGGCTTGCTTTTGCAACTCTATTGTTTACCTTTTTAAAGACTCTACTCATTTCTTTCTGCCAGGACTAAATAAATTCAGCTAACATATGCTCTTGTAGAAGCTATGTATCAATTATAATATTCAAAATGTCAAGTTTTTAAAATTTTATGAGTATTGTATCTCAGAAGTACAACATTGTATAAATCACTGCATTTTATTTCTAGTTTTATTTAATTAATGGCTGCTGATAGCTGCAAATTTATTAATTCCAATCTTTTCATAATTTTTGTGACCATGTGCATCTGCGGTGGAAACCAAACAGACAATCTTGTTTATTTCTGACAGAAATTCCACTTTGTCAGCTAAGAATTTCAAAAAATTAATATATTTGAATAACGACTTTGTAATTGGAAAGAGATGTATTTTGATGTTAGTGACCTGCTGAAGAGTTATGCTCGAAACATAAAAAATTATATTTCTTTCAAAAGTTGAAAGACATTTTTGTAATATATTATTTTTTGGGTATTATTCATCAACACAAAACTACATTGATTGTCAAGCGTTTTATAGGTTAATATTTTTTGCCCTAGAGTTCTGAATTGTCTGGAAAATTTTATGTTTATTGGCACAAGTCTAGATCCAAAGAATATATTTTATTGCTGAAATATATTTGGATGACAATCGATTTCCAAAACAGTATTGTTAATTTTGTTTTACACGAAACATGTTTTCTTCCTAAATTTTTAAGATGAACAAAGAGGGGCAAAAGTTGTTACTTAGGGAGGCAATGGATAAATAGTAGAAATACAAAAGATAGAAATGCACCAACATAATGATAACAAATGGATTCAAAATTACATTTCTAGTTTTGCCATCTTGCAATCTAATTCTAACTCTGATCATTGCTCGCATTATATATTAAATTCTACCTACAAAGAAGTAATTATGTCAAAAATACATTTTGTTTTCCTTCACGAAAAGTGGACTGGTGAAATGTATGGAGAATGGTGAATTTTTTTAATCACTAGAATTGTGCACAACTCATCTGTTGGTTTGTTGCCATATAATGGTTTTTTATATTATTCTATCGAAAACTTTGAATGCATGTGATGTGCAGACCACAGTAGTTTCTTAAAATACAAACTCAACAAGATGTGGTTTTAAAATGCAATGAGAGTAAGGCTACTACTTTAATATGTACTTTAAAATGTGTGTATACAAGGGGATGCGGTTGAAGCATATTGTTATACAGTTATGCAATGCCTCGCACCATATTTTTCATGGAATGACTTGGCCTTTTCGAACTGCCTCTGCTACCTTTGAATTTGCTTTGTTTTCTGCATAACTCTTATAAACTTGTATAATGAATTCATTATCTACCCTGGCTGGCTGAAAACTTGGATGCTCTTGCACATTCTTCCACCAAAGATGAAAGTGTTTATATTCATCATTTTCTGGTACTTCGAAACCTCTAAAATGTTTAAGGGCACCAAACCGCTCTACATGCGGTGCCAGCATTATGTCCACCATGCCAAAGTTTCCACCGAAGAAAAATGGACCACTTGGATACTGTTGTAGAGCTTCATCTAATATTTTTATTGAACTCAACAGTTTAACTTTGGCTGCCTCCCTTTCCTCATCACTTTCCTTTAAAAGTACTTCATAGAAAACTGAAGCCACGTTTTTGTTGATAAAATCGCACCATGTTCGCGCAATTGCTCTATCAGCAGGGATTCTAGGAAGCAGTGATTTCTCATTGCTTGACCACATTTCTTCAATATACTGCAAGATTATGTAGGAATCATTAATGCAGTTGCCTTGATCTTTCATTGCTGGTACAAGGCCTTTGCTGTTCACTTCAAATAAGCTTGTTGGCTTGTTCTTGAGATCAACCTCAACTGCCTCGAATTGGACACCCAGCTCATGCAAACCAATGACAGCCCTTTCAGCAAAGGGGCACTCTTTGGCAGTCCATAATTTTGGAGGACTTTTATCTTCTGGGCAAACATTTCTGATTGCACTGGATAGTTCCATCTGCAATGCAAGAACAACCTCATCAACAATCAAAGCAAGTCAAATTGGTACATCAAAGGGATGTCAAAACAAATTGATACTAGATACTAGTGAAGGTGACTTCTGTCACTTATAACCAACCTCAGAAACAAAAGATCTAGAACACAGAGGTTCAGAGAAATTTGGTCACGGAGATGGGATACTTTCAGTGGTGCTTCTATAAAGTTGAATTCACATTTCATAAATGTATGAAGTGTGCCTGATGTTGGAGTTCTCAGATGTCTACAGAATTCCTGTGCCTCATTTATCAAGACGATCAACAATTTAAACAGGTCAGATTTAAAAACTACTTGGTAAAACAATTCTTGAGGTAAGTCTGGTCTGGATTGAATTTATTTTCAGAAAGAAAATGTTAAATGGCAGTCTTGGAGCAGTTTTGAAAAATAGTTAGGATGCTTTCTTTTTTCTTGACAAAATGGTGTCAGGTACAAGGGTAAGGCAGTCTCACCCCAACTCACAGTGTGGTGACATGATAGGTATAGGAAAGCAATAATTTTGTAAGAAGCACAGGGCCCCCATTTTTTGCAAAACAATACAACTTTTCACAAAATCTTTGCTTTGAGTATTAAATTTTCCCTTGCCCCTCCCTCTTTCCAACCTGTGCCGGAGCCCATGAAGCAAAAAATAAATAATTTGATGTTGCTGGTAGCAGCTTGACTGTGTTAGCAAAATATCTGCATTAGGCTTTCTGATCATCTTCTACTTCTATGTCTACATCGAGACTGAGCAGGACCGAGTATCGGTATAATGCTCAGAGTGCAAAAGATAAAAGATTAATGGATAAAAAGTGCTAGAAGATGCCACTGATCAATGATTAAATTGAACATTTACATGTCAAATGAGAAGCTGTAATTTTGTTTGTCGTCAAGACTGAATAACAAAGGGATTGAAATTAAAGGGAACATTTAGGGGGCATTGTGGTAATTGATTGGTCAGTGGCATCTATGAATGAATGCAGGTGCAAATTAATGAAAAAAGTTACATGTTAGAATTGAATGCTTATTGTATTGTATCTTACAGTAAAAAAAATCTAAAATACAGTTAAAGGTAATCCTTTGACCTGTCTGTGTACATGCGTTCTTGGAATTACAACGTTTACGTTCTTCAGTTCAATTTTTTCTGAAGCTTCCTCTTGAATGTGTCTCTTCTTTAAGTTGCCTGTATGTTCCAACATCTGATAGTTCTTGGGAAAAATGAATACAAATATGTGTTGGTATAAGCGCCAATATTGATAAACTGCCGGTGACTTCTTCCTTGAAGCTGTATTGGTGTCTGTAAGATGGAATGTTAACAGCAATATTATAATTTGCTGCCTTATGGAAATGACCTGACCTTGCAATATAGCTAGCTAGATCTAGTTGATTCCATTTATCAAGATGCCTTGGGAGATCTTCGATGGAGCTAACAACTTTTGTTTCAAAGCTGTGCCTTTTCCTGAATCCATACTGAAAAGGAACAAGGATATGACTACCCTCAAGATGATCCATGATTTGCTTGTAAATAATGTGCTAAAGAAATTTGCACTTGACACATTTTAATGATACAGGCCTGTAGTTAGCTTGTTCCGTTTTTAGCCCCTTGAAAATTGTAACAATGTTTTCACATTGCCAATCCTTTAGTACAGAGCCAGTGTCAATTGATTTCTGGAACAACATTGCAAACACAGGGGCAATAACGTCTGCATAGTCTCTTAATATTCTAGCTGGTAAGAGATCTGGCCCTATTGCTTTCTTAGTTTTTAAGCCAGCAAGAAGATTATGAACACCTTTCACTGTTACTGTGATGTCTCTCATGATCTTGTGAGAGCTATATCCTTTGCAGGGGATGTTGCTTTTGCAAGGTCTTGTAAATACTGACTCATACTGTGCTGACAAAGCTGCTGCCTTTTCATATCCTGTTGTGACTAATTTACCTGTATGATTTAGCCCTTGAATGCTTACTGTATCTTTTATTAGGGATTTTATATAACTCCAAAAGCACCTCATTCCTGTTTTCTGTTCAGCTCCTTCATCACTTTCTTCAAACAATTTGTTGATGTAGTCATTATATGCTGCTTATTAATTTCTGTGTTTGTTGATACTCTCCCCATGCTTTTTCACTTCCTGACCTTTTTGCTCTGTTGTATTTTCTCTGTTTTTTCTTTACAAATCTCTGAATTCTTTTGCTCATCCACGGAAGCTCTTTTCCAGGTTTCAGAAATTTTGTTGGTATTACTGTTCACTAATTTCATGATGGTCAATTTCAATTTCATATGTTTCATATGTCTGCGGATGCTGATTTTTGCATACCACTTACAGTATAATAATATCTTAGCTTTTCAAGGTTCTTTTGTACCTTATATCTTTGAATCTTAAATTAAATCAGATATTTTAGAACTATAAGTATCTTGGTTAAATGTAAGATTTCTCTAACAAATGAGGTATATAGAGATTTAAAAACTTGTCTTACACCACACTCAGGGCCGCCAAGAGGTTTCAGAAAGTGGTTTATTCCGAAAATGAATAATGTTTGCTAGAGAAGTCACGCTGTGGAAGACAATAAAAGCTATCCATAAAGTTGGGTTCTTAAATTCCTGCCTTCATTCAAACAGTGATCAATCTTCATGTCATAATCAAACCAAATAAAAATGGCAAATTTTCTGCGCCCCCGAAATTCGATATAATTCATGTTGTAAGAAAAATAATTCAAGTCAACCCTTTTTGCATAGCACTCTAGCAGAGTTGGAGCCACTATGGCGGGACAGCAAATGATCAGCCGGAAAATTTATCTATTAAGAAAAATTGCAAAAAAAGAGACCTTCAGTCATGCTCATGCTCAGACCATATATGATTGCTTTGGCACAATTATCGTGAAAATCTCTTTATAGAGTGGACAGAGAGCCTTCTGTGAGCAGTTAGGGTCTGAAATTTTGTTGTGTGTAGTTGAGCGGCAGTGCTGCTTATTGACTAACAAAAGGACTTATCGCCTTTTATTGTTGCATTGTGTTCAATAGATAGCTATAAGGAAAGAACCTTTGGTATACTTTTGTTACATGTTTTTCAGGTGTTTAGAACGTTGTTTGTTTGTTTGATGTTGTTCAGTTTTTATGTTGGATGCTACTATTAAATTGTGTTCCTTGCTATCCGCTGTTTTTACTGTGAACTCGACATAAACGCAAAACGAATCACTGGACTATTTAAACACTTCCTCAAAGATACAACAAATTTCTGAAAATTATTCAACGCCTCTCCTTCAAATTTGCTCTGGACCCGCCCTTGTAGTTGGGTTTGGACACAGAATGTTGGGTCTTGAGTTTCTTTCATGTGTCTGTTTGTTTTTTTCTCTTTAATGTTCTTATTGTAATTTTGGATTTAATAATTGAATTTTAAACAACTTACTTAAATGACGTAACGTGTAATTAATTGATTTGCTGAAAAAATGTTTTTGAGTTTGAGTAGAATGTGGTTTGGAGTTTCAAACTTGCATGTGTTGTGCCGCAATGTTTACTTCCGCAACATGAAATCCTTTGCTGTCGAACGTCTGCAGGATGTGGCCTAAGCTAAAGACATGTTTTGATTAGATATTTTAAAACAAAGCAGCTTCGAGCGCAGATAAGACTTTTTTAAAAGCTAAAAATGAAGAGAGGCAGGTTACGCCACGGCCTTACCTCGGTGTATTGGTTTCAGTTGGACCTTGGTCTGTCTGGTCTGCTAAATAACCGAACGCAATGTAACAAAATGCCCGGCAATCAAGTATGAAATCGAGACAAACAGAGAGAGCAATGCATTGATTTGCATAAATTATTTATTTCAAATCATATAAAATTTCATTCACAACATCGTAAAACAACACTGCTCTACAGTTGCCCTGGTTCAGAAAAGTGCAATTGAAACCACAGTTTATCGAATACTAAAACCAAACTAAAACTAAAACATGTCAACGAGTGGGTTGATGCTAATAAACTTGCTTTGAATGTCGACAAAACTAACTTGCTCATTTTTCATTCAACGCAAAAACCTCTCCATGAGAATATTACTATAAGATTTGGTAAGCAAAATGCAAAAAAGTCAAGCATGTCTTGGTCTCCTTTTGGATGAAAATCTGTCCTGGAAGCATCACTTAAGTGAACTGTCCAGCAAACTAGCAAGAACATGTGGTATATTCTTTAAGACACGATCTTCTTTCAGTGGCGGAAATTATGGGGGTTTGGGGGGGGGGGCTCGGGCCCCCCAATCAGCGACGTTGTCGGAAAATTCGGGCTCTCGTTGGATAATTGACAACCGTTTAACGTGTCAAAATTACTCCAAGAAAGCGTTCTGAAAAGGAACTTTAAGCTAATCTAAGGGGCGTAATTGCCAAATTTTCTGCTCGCTTCGCTCGCAGATGATCCACGTTTCCTTTTTTGCTCCAGGGGCCTTTAAGACCTCTCTGTGCCCTTTTTGCAAAATTTGAACATAGCATAGCTGACAAAATATTAGCCATTACCAAATAATAATCAAACAATATATGACCAAAATCAAAACTGCTTGTGAATTGTGTATTTAATTTCAATTCCATAAAGATCAGCCAAAATTTCTATCGGATTCTTCTGAACAAAAGTTATTTTCAAACGTATTTCTCACTGACGAAAATAAGATAAAATGCATAAAATGAACGTACGACTTGTCAAAAGTGTTATCGGTCTACCTCTTGTATCATCAATTGCCTTAGATGAGATATCAATCTTGATATCTAAAATCATAAATGTATTGTTCCTCTTGCTACTTAATTATGGCGTGGTCAGCAAAGATTTCTAAAGAGTCCCGTCAAAAAATCAACTATTTTTATCAAAATGTGCAGTTTCTTTGAAATTATACATGGTCCGTGATGTTATCTTGTCGGAAAATCGTAGATCTGGCCCCCCAAATGAAAGCCTGAATTTCCGCCACTGTCTTCTTTTAACAAATTTATTGGTTTCTTTGCATCACTCCTTATTTGTTTCTTTTCTTCATTATGGAATTGCTGTTTGGGGACTTACTTTTGATGCTTACATCAAACCAAAAGTCCTACTTCAAAAGAAAGTTGTACGAGCTATTCCTTTTAAAAATGTTTCTGCACCTTCTAATCCTATTTTTTCACTCTCCAGCTTCTCAAGCTACAGGAACTCTTTGAAATGAAACTCCTGGCTTTGGTCTATGAATCTGTTAATAAGCTTTCCCCACCCTGTTTTCATGATTTCTCAACATGATACAAGACAGGCACGCAGAGGTGACATTTTTATGGCACGTAAAAACACTCTGCAATATGGTTTGAAATCTATAAGGTATGCAGGTGCAAAATCATGGAACATTTCTTCATATGTTATTAAACAAACTGCAACAGTAATGAATTTCCGGCAACAACTAAAGCTCCCCTTCTTCGTTACCAATTACCAGCCAAAGGACTTCTAATATCCATCCAACACTTGCCGTCATACTTAAAATACGATATGATTGAATAAATGCAATTTCCGTTTATCATCAATAAATCTGTCAATTTTTGTTCTTAACCAAGGGGGTGCCCTCTCCTTGATTAGTTTACCCATTGAGAGAGTTTCTCCTTTCAAGAAATTCCTTCCATACAAATCCCCTTATAAACCTGATAACTTTGTAATCTATTGTAACTAGTTAGTTATAACTATATAACTAGTTGTAACTATTCTAACTGAAACTTGGTTTCCTGGCGTAATCTGAAGTGCTAGATAAAGTGAAATGTATACCCAGTTTTAAAACTTCACCAAAGGCTTTATTTGGACTGAGGTACTTATACCTAGTCCATTGCTGGCTATCGCACAAACATTTTATGACTAGGCAAGCTCTCCTCCTTGGTGGTGATGGTCTGTGACGCAGGCTAATTACGCCAGGAAACCAAGTTTCAGTTAGAATAGTTACAAAGTTACAGTGCAAGACCCAATATAGGACTGGGTACAAGAACCATAGTTTAAAAATTGTTTTTGTGAAATTTTTAAAGCTTTTTTGCATCCCATTTTATCCAGCACGTCAAATAACGGCAGAAAAAAGTTTCAGCTTTTTAACTTGCAATGTTAAGAAGGTTGTAGTGCTATATCAGAAAGAGGACTGGGTACCAGTATCCAAGTCCAAAAATAGCTTTTGGGGGCTTTTTTGAAGCTTGATATGAACTTCATCTTATTCAGCATATCGGATTGTGTACGGCTTATTGTAATTTGCGAAATTTCGCCGAAATTTCGTACGAAATTTCGTTACATGAAATCCACCTTTTATACCTGAAATCGAAGCACAAACCAATTGAAAGTGATATATAAACCTTACATTCCTTGTCTACCATCATAAGAACGCATATTTAAGGCATTAAAGCGACATGTTTCTTCTCAGTCTCCAGCGGTAGAGGCCATGCATTCCGAGCCCGTCCCAAAGAAGACGGGGGTTTAGTACATAGTATCTGGTTAGCGAGACACAACGTCAATGCCGCTGTGACTGCAACAGAGGAGACAAAGTGTAATGAACAATTAGGCTGTCATTTGCGAATGCAACCTTTCAATCGTTCCAAAATTATCAACAAAGTATTTACGAGAGGTCTGTCCAAAATAAATTTTTGCAGTGGAAAACAGCTTAAGTCATATTGTATGCTTATTTTAGTTAGAATTAGGATCCAAAAGATTACCATGATCCACGGGAGAATCAAATATAGCAAAATCCTCGCTTTAAACTGCGTTTTAAAAAATTAGTAATTTGCGAAATTTCGCAAAATACAGTTTTTTTACAACTACTCAAATGGGGCCGTATCAACATAAATCACGTCAGTAGGGTATGATGTGTCTACAAAATGAAGGAACAAGTCGCCATTGCCATTAACAATGTATGCCCTGTTGCTGTTTAGTCCTGCTTTAGAGATTTTAGGTTTGACTCTCGGCCCTTAGGAAATCGACCAAATTTTCATGTGATAAAGATCATATCATTTTGGAAAAGAATAGAAAACGACTTTACGATCAAAAGGGAACACAATTACAGCAAAATCCTCGCTTTAAACTGCGTTTTAAAAAATTAGTGATTTGCGAAATTTCGCAAAATACAGTTTTTTTACAACTACTCTAATGGGGCCGTATCAACATAAATCACGTCAATAGGGTATGATGTGTCTACAAAATGAAGGAACAAGTCGCCATTGCCATTAACAATGTATGCCCTGTTGCTGTTTAGTCCTGCTTTAGAGATTTTAGGTTTGACTCTCGGCCCTTAGGAAATCGACCAAATTTTCATGTGATAAAGGTCATATCATTTTGGAAAAGAATAGAAAACGACTTTACGATCAAAAGGGAACACAATTACAGCAAAATCCTCGCTTTAAACTGCGTTTTAAAAAATTAGTAATTTGCGAAATTTCGCAAAATACAGTTTTTTTACAACTACTCTAATGGGGCCGTATCAACATAAATCACGTCAGTAGGGTATGATGTGTCTACAAAATGAAGGAACAAGTCGCCATTGCCATTAACAATGTATGCCCTGTTGCTGTTTAGTCCTGCTTTAGAGATTTTAGGTTTGACTCTCGGCCCTTAGGAAATCGACCAAATTTTCATGTGATAAAGGTCATATCATTTTGGAAAAGAATAGAAAACGACTTTACGATCAAAAGGGAACACAATTACAGCAAAATCCTCGCTTTAAACTGCGTTTTAAAAAATTAGTAATTTGCGAAATTTCGCAAAATACAGTTTTTTTACAACTACTCAAATGGGGCCATATCAACATAAACGATATATGACTATAAGATATATACATTGTTAATGGCAATGGCGACTTGTTCCTTCATTTTGTAGACACATCATACCCTAGTGACGTGATTTATGTTGATACGGCCCCATTAGAGTAGTTGTAAAAAAACTGTATTTTGCGAAATTTCGCAAATTACTAATTTTTTAAAACGCAGTTTAAAGCGAGGAGTTTGCTGTAATTGTGTTCCTTTTTGATCGTAAAGTCGTTTTCTATTCTGTTCCAAGATGATATGACCTTTATCACATGAAAATTTGGTCGATTTCCTAAGGGCCGAGAGTCAAACCTAAAATCTCTAAAGCAGGACTAAACAGCAACAGGGCATACATTGTTAATGGCAATGGCGACTTGTTCCTTCATTTTGTAGACACATCATACCCTACTGACGTGATTTATGTTGATACGGCCCCATTTGAGTAGTTGTAAAAAAACTGTATTTTGCGAAATTTCGCAAATTACTAATTTTTTAAAACGCAGTCTAAAGCGAGGATTTTGCTGTAATTGTGTTCCCTTTTGATCGTAAAGTCGTTTTCTATTCTTTTCCAAAATGATATGATCTTTATCACATGAAAATTTGGTCGATTTCCTAAGGGCCGAGA